CGTGATCCATGGTGATGGATCACTAGAGTCCCAAGCGATCCGGTGGTCCGTGCGTTTTCTGCCTATCTTATCTTCTCTGACCGCCTTAGGAGGTGCCCCCGCGGTAACTGCGGTTGGTTTCGTGACAATTATATTAAGATTTATTAAGACTTAATATTTATTTAAATTAAATTATTATAAATTAACTTAAAAGTTAGATAATATTAATAATATAGGATATTTAATATAATAAATCTTTAAAATTTCTTTAAACTAATAATTATTATAATAATAAATAAATAATCTAATTATCTAATCTTCTATTTATAAATTCTTATCTAATCTTTTATATATATAAAAGATACTTCTACTTAAAATCTATTATATCTTAAATCTAAATATTATAAATAAGTCTCTATTAATTTAAAAATATCTCTACTAAGTCTTTACTAAGAGATTAAACTTAAATCTTAATAATCTCTTATTTTTAAAGAGAATTAAAAGCTTTTCTTTAAAATAACTTAACTACTTTAAATTATTTTCTTAAGAAAAAAATTATATATATAAAATAAGATATAAGATATTTTATAGAATTTTTAAAAAAAGATATTCTGAAGATCTTACTAGAGGATTTTAACTTCTTAGAAATTTAGTAGTGCAGGGGGTCAGGTGAGGACCTACAGACAGGGGGTCGGGCGATTAGACTGCCCGTTTCTTTTCACGCACATGCGAGTTTTCGTTCTAAGCCATTTCGAGCTCCGTACCTACCTCATATCAGATGGATAGAGATCGATCACACCGACATGGCTCGAAAACATCCCCTGGCTTCCCTTTAACATGAGGAGGGCCAGGTCCACTAGGGAATCCATCTTGAATGTGCCCAGTTGTGTCAATCGGACGAGACAGACGTTTGTAGTATTAGATGGAAGCTGATAAAAGTATTTGTCTGCTTGTCTCACGGGCCGTCACAAGCGACGAAGAAGTCCGCACGGGGCGATCAGACTCTAGTCTCGAGTCCAGATGCCTCCAAACTAGAGTGCAATCTTCAACCCATCTCGGCCCGATGGCTCCTTCTTTCGGGGTTGAGATATGCTACAACCAGCTCAGCGGCACAAGTTTCAAGTTCAAACTTTATCATTCGATCGACCTTGTGTCTGTCCGGAAAAGTGAAGGTTGATTCTTATCTTGTTCTTCTTCCACCTAGTGCTGGCCCGTGCTGGCCTGATCTTGCCTCAGGTAGAATTTTCCTATATACCTGACAAGATAGTTGCCTGAACACCATAGCTATTGTCTGCGTCTTGAGCTACAAGACACTGCAGCCTTCCATGATGCAACCGGCGGCTCCTTTGTAGCAAAAGACTTCCAAGATCTGAATTGGGGGCCTAACTATATGATGTTTATTCTCAACTAAGTGGGTTACCCACCAGCATGTCTATGACATTAGGCAGCTATATAGTGGCTCAGCTTTACAATCACTCTAGATGGCTGAGGCCTCAGTGAGATCCCCCTAGAGTTTGGTTCAGTCATAGATATCGACTGTACCATCTTTCTGTGACCTAAATATGTCAGTATAAGAACTATTTATATCAATTTCTCCTCTCTGTAAGACTTACTGCAGATCATACAGAAGCGCGTCATAACGCTGTTTCTGTCCTTATCCTCTTCTGTTTGCGGTGACATTGCAAAGGCTTGGAGGCAACCAATACTGGTTCAGTGTTATGGACAGGACTGGGAGCTTTGCGGCAAGGCCATTTCTTTATTAATATACTTTGAAGAATCAAGTGCATTGACAAACCTGGGAGGTCCTGACACAGATGTTGCGGCCCCTACTTGTCACTACACTACCCTACTTGTCACCGTTCACTATTCTAGATGCCATCCTGACATTTCTTGAGGGTGGCACCATAACACCATCTTTTATGATGAGCAATGTATCATGCTCATTGTGTTAGACTTATACTGCTATTGGGGCCCTAAATTGCAGTGAAAAGAGAAGGGAAAGTATATAACCACTCAAACGTATACATCGTAAACTGTTATACAGCAGCTGCAACTAACCTTACCAAATAGCCACTGCGATTATCTACTCAACTTAAACTCTCAACAGCCACTTCAGCCACTTGAACCATGCAACATTCTCGAACAGAGTAAGCCTGGTTGGACAACCCATCTCCTGGGCAGGCAGGTTCCTCTCTCCCCTTTATCGAAGTGACTGAAAGACTTCTATCTTGTCTAGTTGCTCTGAGAAACTAGATGCGCCCGCTGAATCCCCGTGCCCTGCTATCGGTTATTCTACAGACTGTGGATTGAATCCGACAGTGATTGCTGGGGGACCCGTTGGCCGTGACAGAACTGTTCATCTTAAATAGAACAACACAATTCTCTGGGGCAAAGGATGTTTGTACTTGACATAATCCGTAGCACAATGCCAGAACTAGGCCACAAAATCCTCCTTTGCTATGGCACTCCGGATTGCTTCAAGGGTGAGCTTCTGGGAGCACCGTTGCTGGGGAGGCACGGAAAGGGAGCAATCCGCCAAAAATCGGGCCCAGCCGGAATTTGTCGAGATCCGAGTCGATCGCTTGATCCGAAAGGACCCGCTCGTATTCATCGCCAATCAGGAACCGCTGTCTTGGCAAGACACATAACGAAGCATTGTTCCTATCTCGGCCATGCCTCCTTGTGTGGTTGTCCAGTCAAGTCCAGTCAACTGATCAAAGAGCCCATCCGGGCGAAGAAATATAAGATACAGCATGTGCTCCCATCTCCTTGACTTTGGGCACACGGTTCTTCTTCCTAACTTCCCTAAATCTCATCACATCTTCATACCTGCAATCCCGTGGCCTTGTAGTACTCTACCCACGATTGACCAAAACATTCACGGTAGTCGACCCTTGACAATCACAGAGCAACGAGTGCATCCCGGCCTCGACTTGATTGGTTCACTATGAGTCGGCTCGGAACAAACCTCACGTGCAGACTCCCAGACGGCCGAACCCTGGGCTACGCGGAATTTGGCTGTCCCAACGGCCGTCCGCTGATGTGGTTCCACGGCTTCCCCATGTCGCGGCTGGACGGGTGGGCCGCCGACAGGATTGCTCGGCGCCGTGGCATTCGCGTCATTGCACCGGACCGCCCGGGCTTCGGCCTCTCTACCTTCCAGCCAAGCCGTCGCATCGTCGACTGGCCCGCCGATGTGAAGGCTCTGGCCGATCATATCGGCATCAAACGCTTCGCTGTTCTCGGTTTGTCCGGCGGCGGACCCTATGCCGTGGCGTGTGCGTACGCGCTGCCGGAACAAACGATGACTGCTTGCGGGGTCTTGATTGGTGGCCCGCCAGTAAGTGATTCTCATAGGATCGATCATCTTGAGGCTTGAGGACATCATGTCGCTTACTTGGGACTTTGCAGTGGGAAGCTGGCCCGCATTACATGCCGTGGTTTGCGAGACTTACTTCGTGGGCTTCAAACTACTGCCCTACAGTGCTGCAGGCCTTGTCAGCTATGCTTATCGGTAGCCTTAGGTGGATCATGACAACCGGTTGGGCAACGAAGAAGCTGGATGCCTTTCTGGAAAGGCTGAGCAAAGAAAGGAGAGAGACGGAAGCCGCTGAGCGAGCTGCAGGCAATATCACCGATGAGCCAGAACCTGAGATCTCGGCAGCTGACCGTCGACAACGCGCGATGGCCAACTGGTTCGGCGGCTTCGATCAAGGCTCTAAGGCTTTCGTGCAGGAGGCGCGACTACTCTCTGCGCCGACCTGGGGCTTCCGCTTGGAAGATGTTGAGTACGACAAGGTCCAGATATGGCACGGAGCGAAGGACTTCAACTCGCCGATTGAGATGATGCGCTATTTGGCAAAGAGGCTGCAGCATGCCGACCTCCATGAGTACAGAGACGACAATCACTTTACTATGTTTGAACGTTTGGACGCAGTGATCAATGCACTCATGCACGAAGATGCATGACTTAAGTCACTGCTCACCGGGTTTGATAGATCCAAAGACAAGAGAGCTAGATCCGCTGGTATGAAATCTAAGGTCATATATTCAAGCCTGCTTGAAGTCTGACCCCACTGCCACTTTTCTGGTGATCTGTGGTGTAGAGAGCTAATGAAAACCTTCTCGACCCTGGAGCATTGAGCCCGGGAGAGTGCTGAAACAATAAGGTCTCTCTACCCTGAAGCTAAGTACTACTACATGTTTAGTACTTCCTAATGTTGCGGGTAGTTGTGAACACGGTTGGCGAGATATGCTGCCCTGAAAGGCTTGTACAACTACTGAACAGCAACTCGTTTTTTCAATTCCACTGGCGAAGGCTGATGTCGTCGTTTCCGTCAGACTTTTAGATCTCAAGACTTGCAACCAATCGAGAAAACGATCTCGATCCTGAAGGTCGCAACTCTGACCCGAGCGGCGATCTCTTGCCAAGCCCTATGACATCCGTGATACGGAATAGTTAAATTGGACTACGGTCTTAGTGTACTGCTTGTGCACCCAAAGAGCTTCTTCGAACCAATCTGATGCGATAGATTAGTATTGGCAGCAATGGTTTAGCTTGTAGCTTTGCAAATGTGATCAGTGATCTGCAAGAAAATCTCCACACCCCACACACGGCCTCCAGGGGGTGAACAAGCAATTGCCTTCCGGGATGGCTGGCTTGGTGTCCACGTGGGGGGGCTGTTTGGCCAAACCCGCCTCTTCCCCAGCGTGTTTGGAAACTCTCCTCCGGTTGCCGCAGAGGGATATAAACCCAACACCGAAATAGGAGAGATTAAGCAATCAGTCAAACACTTATCTAAAAGATAGGGCCTTGGCTTGCAGAAAATGGCCACCACGTGTAAGAAAAGACTGTACAACTTTTCGGATGGTCGGGTCTTGATACAATAAGTTCAGCTCAATCGCATGGTCTCAATGCCAAGATGCTATTTAGAGAGTCTTGGCTCGGGGACAAGCATAAATAAGAGAATGAGGCAGCCCGAGAAACCCGGGAGGTGCTTGGTTTAGTGTCAAGTCACCAACTCAAGTCCAGCCTGTCAAGATGCGCTTCTCTCTTGCATACGTGACCCTGCTGGCTGCTACTGCCGCGGCCAGCTTCGAAGGCAACCTCAATTATGAGAGTCCTTCTCGCCGTCATGCCGGTCTCGGTATCGACGTGCCTCTGGTGCAGCGCCGCTCTTGGAAGCGTGGTAATGTGGCCTACAAACCTGAGGAACTAAGCTTCACTCACGGTGTTGCCTCTGGTGACCCGTGGCCCGAGAGCGTCATCCTCTGGACTCGCATTGCTCCCTCCAATGGGTCTGACGCGAGCGAGGTCACTGTCAAGGGAACCTCGGCTTTGTACAATCATGAGACCGAGAAGTATGTCAAGGCTGACCCCAATCCGATCTGTCTTGACTGGAAGGTATTCAAGAGCAAGTGCGGCAACGGTACCCAGGAGGTTATCACTAGCGGCAAGGCTTATACCACCTCCGACATTGACTACACCGTCAAGGCAAGTGGTCATAATGATAGAGGCCTATCACGTAGTTGCTAATTTGCGAGCAGGTTGAGGCCAAAGGGCTGAAGCCCCTTACCAAGTATTACTACCAGTTCACCGTTTGCGGCTCAAACAAGAAGAGTCCCATGGGTAGAACCAAGACTGCGCCAAACAAGGATGACGATGTTTCCCGTTTGAGCTTTGCTGTTTTCTCCTGCAGCAACTTCCGTGCGTCCTCCTCCGGTTCTTTATGGGAGCGTGGAGCCCTGTGTTCATTGAATTGACCTCTGCTTACAGCCAACGGCTATTTCAACGCTTACGGCAATGCTGCCAGAAAGGACAAGCACGACTATGTCATCCACCTCGGTGACTACATCTACGAAACAGGCAAGAAGGGCGAGCGTGCCACCATGCCGAACGGTACCATCTTCACTCTTCATGACTATCGCACTCGACATGGACAGGTGTGCAATGCCCTAGATCTAGTACTAGGTCTGTTTTCTAACCCTGTCGCTGCAGTACCGGACCGACCCAGATCTCCAACTCCTGTCGAAGACCCACCCTTGGATCACCACCTGGGATGACCACGGTGAGATGGGTCGCCTAAGCTTCCAAACGTAGTGTATCATTGACAATCATGCAGAGTTTGCCAACAACGGCTACAGAGATGGCTTCAGCGCCCTGAACAACACCGAGGATTCCTTCCTCAAGGGTCCTAAGGTCACCGTTGATACCCGCAAGGTCAACGCTGTCCGAGCTTACTTCGAGTGGATGCCTATTCGGTAATTTCCTATCCTCGGACATGTCTACAGAAAACACGGCTGAGCTGATGTATCCAGGCAAGCTGATCTCGATGATGGTCTGCGCATCTGGCGTTCTTTCCAGATGGGCAAGCTTCTTGACCTCATCGTCCTTGACACCAGGAACTACGACCGTAGTATCACTTCTCTTGGTATGTTCACTGGAATGTTTCATGCCTACCCTACTAGCCAGCTATTGACATGATATAGGATGGAACGATCACTACATTGACCTCATCCGCGACGACCCTGCTCGAACCCTCATGGGCTCGCGTCAGGAGAACTGGTTCTACAAGTCACTTAGTGAGTCTAAAGACCGGGGCGCGGCTTGGCGACTGGTCGGCAACCAGATCATCTTCTCCCGAATCTTCTCCAATGACAAGGGCGCCTTGAGCGGCGATAACTGGAATGTGAGTGGAGAGTGCATTGCAGTGCCGTCCTGTAATGTAAGTGTTGGTTTCTAACCAGGTTACAGGGCTACATCGCCAACCGCAACCGCACTCTGCAGCACCTGTACGATAACAAGATCGGCAACAATATCTTCCTTGCCGGCGACAGCCACCAGAACTGGGTAAAATTCCATTCCGAACTCCATTGATATTCTGGACTGTGCTGACCATCGCGCTCTTCTCCCCGCAGGTCTCCGATCTTGCCTGGCTCGGAAGCAGGGAGTACGACATGGCGTCCGGCAAGGGCGCCATCGGCGTCGAGTTCGCCGGTACTGCCGTCAGCTCCAGCGGTCGCGCCGGCCCTATCGAGCCCGCTGCCGGTGACTACGCTCGCGGCATGATTAAGCGCAACGAGGAGATGATGTGGCAGGAGGGATACTATCGCGGCTACTTCCAGCTCGACGTCACGCCCAAGGAGGTGACGGCTCAGTTCTTTGGTAAGCACGCACGACATTCATGCACTGCAAGGTAGAGAGCCCCTATCACTAACCCTGCACACCAGGCTGTCCCTCGGTGGCAACCCGCAACGGCTGGGAGATCCCCCTGGCCAACTTCACTGTCGTCTCCGGCGAGGATCATTTGCACCGACCCATCGCTGGGGGTAGAGCCGAGTCTGGGGCTCTGCGGTTCGGTGAGGTCAAGCACACCAACCTGACCCGTAACACCGAGACTGGAGAATGGAAGGTTATTGGATTTGAGAAGATGTTTATCTGAGAGTCTAGCATCAAATACTGTGCACACATGGACGCTTTCTGGATTGAATACTGTTTTCCTTGCTGGTTTGAAGAATGAAGGCCCAAGTTAGTCTCGGAGCAAGTAGTTTCATTATTCTCCATCTAAAACAACACCAGTTCTACGGATCTCTCTAAGATCATCTGCACAAATATGCTCTCTTTCCGCTTCAACTTCGATCATTCGTTGCCACCAATACTCAAAAAAGAAGTCATAGAAGGAAGTATTTTCCTCCTTGTACTTGGTAATGAATTCTGCCACCAGTGCTTCAAGATGCAGCGCTTGGTGCTGATCTTCTTCCTGTATCTCGGCCACCTCCTCCGGCTCCATGATGTCAACTATCTTGTATCTTCCGGCGAGAATATCGGGAGTGACATCTTTTCTGGACTCTTGAGATATGTAACTGCAGCATGTATGTTTCATTTCAAGACGATGGAATGTAATGACCCGAATAATGTCGGTGACAATGTCTGGAGTTTGATTGTCCGACAGGAGGGTAGACATGAGCTTCATGTGCCGCTTCAATTCCCTCAACTGGGTCGGATCTCTGGGTGTTTGAATCTGGCTACCTTTGAGGTATGCAAATCTGAAGAGGCCGCGGATGAATAGAGTAGCTGGAGTGCAGCCTTTCAGCGAGCAATAGCATATGCACGGATCCGTTGAGGTATCACTGACGATGCCACGCATATGATCAATCCGTGAATGGTCAGCCGCTGAAAAAGCAGAAAAGTTCGGTCCATCTCCATACACATAGGCAATCCGATGAACGGTCTTGAACCCCGAGAAGGTTGTCGATGGTTGACTTTGGAAGCCCCTCAAAGCAGAGACTGGGATAGAGGACTGCAAAGAGGCGCCTTGGTCAAGGAACCAGGTAACTAGGTCCACTGTAGAGCTCAAACCTCGTCGACTTGTCAAATATTTCAGATCAACTGCCATCAATGGTGTGAAGCCGTGGAAAGTCGTGTTTGTGCTCGAGAAACCAACCCCGAGCAGTGCTTGCGCCAAAGTACGGCTAAGACACCCCGAGTGGTAGATGGACCCCGGTCGAACGTTTTCGAACAAAGGATACAAGTGATGGCGCTGTTGTCGAAACAGCTCACTGACCTCAAACGCGGTGCTCTGTAGCATGTCCTCATTTTTCAATCCGAGCCTGCAGGTCTCGTGCTCGGGAAGCCACTCAAGGGCGAGGCATAGCATCCTTTTCCGTCTCTCTGCCAGGGTTTGACACAGAAAAGTAATTATCTCGTCGAACTGTGTTGCATTCCAGTTTTCAATATTTGCACACTCAATAATGAATGTCCCTTCGAGATCGATATTGGTACCTGCATCTACCAAGGGCCGAACGGATGAAAGTTGGCCAAGTTGGAGGGCGTAGTCGAGTGGCGACTCATTGAAGGCGTTTGGCGTGTTCAAGATGCCCCCAACCGCTTCTCCACCAAGTTGTAGGAGCAGTTCCACTCCCCTGGGCCAATATGTTGCAACGTGGAGCGGGCTTTCCATCCTTCGACTTTTTTCTAGAATGTGAGACTGTGACCGGGAAAGCAGGCGGCGAACGTCGAGTTCCGATTGCTGAATCAAGGCGCAGGATAAGGCCCCATAACCAAATCCTGAAGAGTTTAGCACAAGAGCACCTCAATAGTGTACTGGTTTTTTATTTCTTACCATTGTCTGGGCTGATCGTGCCTCTGTAAAGCATCGGTAGAAGGTATGGCCCCATGTCGCCAAATGTATGGGCTTCTTCTATGCCGGGGACCTCCGCGCCCACCTCCATCAATTGACTTATGATGCGGTCGTAAAATTGATCCGATTCGCGAGGGGCCATTCTCCGTGGCACTCCCGATGTTCGAGAAAATGAAATGGACCAGAAATTTGACTGCCACATTATGCAAGACAACGGTGTACTATATATTAGTGTCCAATATGTTAGAAGAGGGCATGTAAACGTCATCGGGTTGGACGTTAATCACTCACTTATGCCCCTGACACTCTATGTCGTTCAGAGGCACCCCTAAATCAATGAGCCCTTTGAGAAACTGCAAGTAAATTGCTGCTGAGTCATCATTAAGATTTCTCTCACATGCAAAACTTGCACACTGGTGCGTTGTCAGTATTCGCATTCTGGCTTCTGAAATCGAGAAGTGAATGCACCTACGTGGAGGAGAGAATAACCATGCGTTGTCGTGTCAGTAGGCCAGGCTTTCCCTTCATCGAAGAGTCTTCGGAGCTCCATCAAGCACCATTGAGATGACTTTTGAAACTCTTTGACCCTGGTCCCGCTTATCGTTCCCATTCTGTGGACGACATTGAAGGCTTCTGTCCAGTCAACTGTGGCCCGTATGGTGAGATTCGCACATACTTTGAGATCTTTTGCAAAGACACCAGGGGCACGTTGTAACTCTAGCCTAAACCGCACAAGGGAGCTAAAGACTCTGAGCTTCCCAGCAATAACATGGACCTTCCTGTTCTGGCGCCAGCGAAAACATGTTCTCTCATGCAGTTGGGGATGGCTCGAAGGGCATGAGCATAGTGGATCAAGCAGAGGAGATGATTTGTTGTTTGGCTGGATTGCCGGCTTCTGTGCCATGTCCATGCCCGAAAGAATGTGTCGTGTATCTTCACCTCGTCGGAAGTCGGTCCACTGTTTCTCCAGGCCTGAGAATTGTTTTTGAATCGACACTTCTAGTTTTGAAAGGCCTTCATCCAATGCGTGCGTGATAGAAGGGCCCATGGAGGCAAGTTGCAGGGCTAGTTGGCTTCCTTGGGAAGACATAGCTGATGAAAGAGCGGTCGAGTGGGAGTCCACCTTGCGTTGAAGCTCGGCGGTAAGGTCGCTTAATCACAACTGTTAGTATATACAAAGGCCTGTGTGTTTCCTAAATAACCTACTAGTTCATGACAAGAAGTAGTCCAGAAAGAGGCAAATGAAAGTCATTGAGCTGTTGTCTGAGTTTCTCGAATCGGTCTGCCTCGAACGGATACTTGAGAGCTTGCAGTGCAGCCTTACTGCGTTCTCTCTTTGACGAACCCGGAGCCGCTGGAGACTGTAGGAATCTAGCATTCGGAGTTTGTACATTAGAGACGCAATGTTCGCAGGCACCATGGCAATCAATCAACATAGCGCGGAATGAAGCATCTGCAATGAGCCCATCTTGAAAGCGTTTCTCAATTGCTTGAAGAAGCGCTTGCAGCCTCCTAGCGTGATCACCGAGGGCATTGAGATCGCGTTCGCGTGACTTGTAAGTGTGGCAATATACGACAAGCCCATCACAGATCGTGATGCCGAAAGATAACAGGCTAACAGAGCTAGCAATAATAGACAGTGGATCCATGAAGCTTGATGCGTGAGAAGTTTGTCGTGATATTTGGTATTGTAATCTGGGGCTACTAGAGGCGAGAGGCGCTGGGAACAATGGATTAAAGTAAGAATGGACAAGAGGTAGGAACTGGGCAGTTCTTCGGCTAGTCAGCCCGTATGAATATCTTCCAGTCTGGCATAGCGGTTGTGCAGCAAGCTGCACAAGCTGCGCCCTGGTGTTGAGGCACCGTATGCGAGGTGATGGTTGGCACTTCCAGCTGGACGGATGCGGGTTCCCGGTGCTGGTGCTCCGGGTCTGACGTGTGTCTGGCAACACCGGGCCTATTACGCAGCTTGTTGGAAAGCACGTGATGCTTGTTGTGGACATAGAAGTGAAAAAGATTCACGAGATCGGGAGGATCCTGCTCAGCCTGGTGTGCCATAGCACACGGAAGTGGATTGCGGATTGCACAAAGCACAGCCACTCTCCGATGCCCTCACTACCTCCGTGGACCGGAGGGAACAAAATGTGCCTAGGGGGTTTTCTTCAGCAACCTGTTTGAGACACACGCGTCGCTGGGGACAATGAATGACTGGACGATGGGTTCAACAGCTGGGCGGGGACGAGCTGGGCTTTTAGCGGGCGGCAGTGCGACGGCCGGCCTCAGCTCCGCCCCGTTTGTGTCTCTCACCACGTGGCCATGGCAAGAGGAAGAGCCCACAAGAAATGACACATCGGCGGAGATTCGCGCCTCGAGGGATCGTCATCGGGGTTCCGCCTCGCCTTGCTCAACGGGGTGGGGTGATGCGGCCCCGGGCAGTGCAGTAACCTTTGCCTCTCTGTGTCCTGTGCTGATATCCTTCCTAGGTTTTCCGTGCTTCATTCAATTTCATCGCAAGCAAGGGCCCAGTGCTGGCACTTCTCTTCCCTTCTCTTACCCTATCTTTCCCTTTACTCTCCCCTGACCCAGAGCAGCCATCCCCACACCAAAAATGGTCCGCATCACCGCCGCCGCCGACCTGCCCCTGGCCTCGATGCTCCTCCTCGCAACCAGCGTGTGACCACATGCATTCGCAGTCAGAGCGCCATGTTGAAGCGCATCGAGTCTCGATTGGGCCGCAAAATGATTGCCTGTCTTTATCTGCGTTGGGTTGTCACGCAGGCATTACCGGCGTCGGCATCGAGATATTGACCTACCTTGGATGCTGAGTATCTCAAGATGTCATCGGCAGCCAATGCCGTCGAGCAGGTGCGCCAACCGCAGCCTATTCGTCGGGAGAGTATTGTTTGGAAATTGACTCTAGCGATGTGAGATAATTAGCTCGGCTCGGGATTATCGTTATCGGATATTCCGTTCGCTGTTGCGCTCGCCACAGAACATAGGGAAGCGCAATACTGAGCGATCCCGGTTTCACATCCATCCACATCCAGGCTCGCGGCGGGCACAGCATGACATGCACCGTGCACGCATTGACTGCCCGGGACGGTTTGATGCACAGCCATCGGAGCTGTACCCAATCGTCCGATCCGACAAAAGTCGACAAGGAGCGAGGATTGAGATGCTGCAAGTCGCATCCCACGTCATGCATTTGTCGAAAATGACAGGAGATTAATTCAAATCATCCGGGAACTTTCCATTGAACGCCCCTCTTGGGTTCTCATTTTTCCGGGTCGGAGACCTCCTTTCGATGAGGATCTCCAGCTTGCGGCGCCGCCCAGGTTTCCGAAACTCGTTCTTGGCACTGGAGATTGGGATGGCATATGAAACATGACAGTCGAGGTCTCATCATCGGCCTACCCCTGACATGAGGGCTGGCAATCGGATTCGACGCCTTCGACAGTTCTAGGCTAATATTAGACACGTCCGTGGTGACCTCCCATGAGACCATGCTGAGGCTGAAAAGCCCCGGTCCAAGTGTGGGGGATCACCTCGGGTCCAATACCCCAAGACATGCCTGTAACGGCCCTTAAATATCAATTGAAGCCCTCGGGCTCGTCTTTCAATTCTCGAATGCTCTCTGTTCTCTCTGGTGAAAAGTGTTTCGTTTGTCTGACATTCCGTTCTCATTGGCGACGGTGACGTTGCCTATCTCCTCTCTACCCTAACATCTGTGAATATATCCTGGAGATATCACAACCTTCACGATGAGGAGAGGAATTCTTTTGCAAATTGCAGGGTTGTTGGCCGAGGCCGCTGCGCAAGCCGGGCCAGTGCCTGCACAGGGTCTGCACGCTTTGGCTGTCAAGGCCGGGTTGCAATTCTTCGGGACGGCGACAGACACGAACAACTTTAATGATACAGCATACATGGATGTTGTCAACAACAAGAACGAGTTTGGCATCCTGACACCGGAGAACAGCCAGAAGTGGGAGCCCACAGAGCCCCGGCAGGGTGCCTTCGTCTTTACCAACCCAGATCAGGTCCGGAGTCTGGCAGTCAAGAACACCCAGCAGTTCCGCTGCCATACGTTGACATGGTTCGAACAGTTGCCCCAATTCGGTCAGTAGACACCATAGGAGAACCGCCCGGCGCTCAAGGCCGTTAAGTACTCACGTTCCACATAGTCCAAACGACGCAGTGGACGCGCGAGACGCTGACCGCCGCCATCCGCGCGCACATCACAAACGTGGTCACGCACTACCGCGGCCAGTGCTACAGCTGGGACGTCGTCAACGAGGCCATCAACGACAACGGCACGTTCCGCGAGTCCGTCTTCTTCCGCACGCTGGGCACCGACTACATTCCCATCTCGTTCGACGCGGCGGCCAGGGCGGACCCGCAGGCCAAGCTGTACTACAACGACTTCAGCCTCGAGTTCAACAGCAACAAGACCGACACGGCCGTCCGGATCGTCAAGCTGGTCCAGGACGCCAAGCTGCGCATCGACGGCGTCGGGTTCCAGGCGCACATGGTCGTCGGGCAGACGCCGCCCAGGGCGACGCTCGTGCAGGCGCTGAGCCGCTTCACGGCGCTGGGGCTCGAGGTCGCGCTGACGGAGCTCGACGTGCGGCAGCCCGAGCTGCCCGCGTCGAGCCGCGCCCTGGAGCAGCAGTCGGCCGACTACGCCAGCATGGTGGCGGCGTGCCTCAACGTGGCCAAGTGTGTCGGGGTCGTGGTCTGGCAGTTCACCGACAAGTACAGCTGGGTGCCGAGCACGTTCCCCGGCACTGGCGAGGCGTGCCTGTTCGACCAGAACTTTGTCAAGAGGCCCGCCTACACAGCAGTAGCAAAGGTGCTGTCTGACGCAGCCAGCGTGGGCAGGGCCAGGGTGGTTGCTCCCAATGGGCCGGGACTGCCTGCTGGGGGTGGTGCTGGGGGTGGTGCTCTGGGTGGTGGTGTGGCTGCTGGGGGAGGCAACAGCAAGGCGCCATTTGGCACTGGGAACAGCACCGAGATCGGGAACGGGATCGCTGGGGGGAGGGCCAGACCTTCCCAAGGGGCCACAGGCACGGGAGCACAACCTGGAGCACCGAGGCCAACCAGCTCAGGACGTCCTGTCACATCGGGAGGGTCTACATCTGGAGGAACCATGGTTACGAGGCTAATTGTGCTCTCGTTCGCCCTCTCATGCATAGTAGTAGTATGACAGTGTGAAGACGATTGTGAAGACGAAAATTGTACAGGCATGGAATGGGCATGATCTCTGTCGGGAACGCGAACCGTGACTCGAGGGTGTACTTGCAATGACAGCCATTCAGAACGGGAAGATATCAGGAATCTCGCTATGAGAATCAACACACTGTAGCAGAGCAAGGACATTGTTGTCGTTGTGGTGTCGCGAGAATGACACCGTGGCTGCCGTAGTTGAAATGACACCTGGAGGTACTTGCTGAGACCTACAGTACCTCGAGAGGATACGATACCTCTGGGGCCGGGACCCGGTCCATTGCCATGACAAATGTCGCAGAACCATGAGGCAGAAAGGACGGACTGGCCCAGTAGATAATTCACGCAGAAGCATGGGTGACGCTGTCCTGCATCTGTCTCCCCACGCGTGCTTGCTCTCCTAGTGAACATCGTGGAAAGTGGGTCCACAGCGAGGTCAGGTCAGTTGCAGTGGCCTTTGCTGTGGGAAAATGTGTCGCCAGCTTCAATTTCTCTTCAGAGGGTTGTTTTAGGCCATGTTTTATTTCATTATATATATTTCCAAGTCCATCTACAGGGATCCTGCTGCTGTCAATCTGAAGTGACAGTGACACCTGCTCTCAGCGTTCTGCCGCCTCGACACAACCAGACAACGCCAGGACAACCTTTTCGCCCCCGACACAACTCCTAGCATGCCTCCGTAAGCTCAGAAAGCCCGGCACTATTTCGAACCAAAGTCTGGCGTGCATCAAGTCAGTCACAGACCGTCTAAAATAGCTGCTCTTTACGTCCCCCGGGAGCCAAGTTTCGAGGACTCGTGGTCCCTTCTGAGGCCCCCCCGACGCGTCCTTTTACACAACGACTCCCCAATTTGAGCATTTTTCTTCGCACCAGCTTTTTATTTCCCCGGAGCGCTCGTGACTTCCGGGCATCTCTCCCGTTCGTCAGTCCCAGATCCCAGTCCCGGGGTCTGGGCCCTCCTCGCGCCTACACGCCTTCCACCCGCGTCTGCAAGCCTCGAGCTATTTAGGTCCTTTTGAGGTGGTTTTTGTCGTCAACCAAGGCTCTCTTACCCCGGGAAGAAGGAAAACCTTCGCTGTCTTCTCCTCCAGAATTCCCCTCAAAGGCTCTCGGAGGATGGTGATTAGCCATGCCAGACGTCTACATAAAGCAGCGAAGGGCCCTCTCTGTTCCCAAAGATTCCTCTCTCATCCCTATCTTTCCAACACACCCTTCACTCGAGAGACTATTGATCAAGTATCGAGTCTCATCCAAAAAACAAACACAGACACACATCTCTTCACCTCTCCACTTCTCTCGCTCGCACGCTCTCTCGCTCTCTCTCTTCCAATATATATATACATCTACACACACACACACATATATATATATATCTGTCCAAGATGTCTGGCGGAGGACCCTCCAAGACCTCGGCCGCGGCTCCCGGCCACGACAAGCCTCGCTTCTCCGCCTTCGATGAAACGGACATGGAGGCAGCGGACGTGTTGATGAGCTTGAGGAAGACGAGGACGCCCCTGCCGACGGCGCGTCCGCGGACGGCGCGCGATGCGCCCGTCGCCGTCCAGGACGACCACGAGCGCCGCGTGGAGGAGATGCTGCGCGAGAAGGACGCGGCCCGCGAGGCCCAGGGCAAGGGCCCGCTCGAGGAGCGCAGCCGGGCCGAGTACAGGACGGGCCTCCACACCCAGGTCTACGGTGTCGAGGCCGGCCCGCGAGCCAGGTGCGTCCAGTGCAGGGCGGCCGAAGGGAAGACGAGGGGCGACGCCGTCGTCGCCAAATTCTTCCCCGCGGGCCATTGCATGAGCAAGGAGGGCGGCAAGGGCACCTGCTCTCGGTGCAAGGTGCTGAAGCAGAAGTGCGTCAGGGACGAGTAGACGCAGAACGGGTAAGCCTCTCTCTCTCGGGCGATGTGGATTGATCCTGTGCTAACTTTGTCGATAGGCGAGGGACTTCTGTTGGGGATCGTTTCTGGTGGCTTGTTGTGTTTTCTTGGGCTTGGTGTCCTCTTCTGTTTGTTGTTCTTCGTTTGATTTATATGGGGGATATGGAGTTCCGGTACACAGGATACCAGCATGGGCGTTTATTAGATGGACAGCTGCCTCATGGCACAAATAGTTACTCGCAATAGGCATTTCTTCAATTCAATCTTGTGCCTCTTCTACAGAACATTAGGCTTCTTTCCAACGCACTGTCTCGCAATGCCACGAACGATCAAACCTGCCCCAGCTTTCGTTTAAAATGATCTGCGACCTGCCGCACATACAAGCCTATGATATGACGAGCGGATCTAATTTGCAGGTCATTTCGCAATTAGAAATGCTATGATAAGAATATCTCGTAAACTAGGCAAGTTCCTTGACCTCCTTGACTTCACTCTGTTGTCGCTGACCCTCTATTCCCTGGCCACAGCACTTGTCCAGTTCTTGATCAACAAGATATGTCGTCCAAAGAAAACGATCACTAGCGACCGTTTGGACCTGGGGATGGCAGCACAGTGCAAAGGATCGACCTGCCTAGTCTCCTGGGCACGGGGAATACAGTAACCCACCCCCATCCGACATCCGACAACGATAGATCTATCCCCTGTGTTACTTTCTCCTGGGGGAAATTGGCTTCATCATAAAAATTCCGTACCAACTCTCGCGAACCTAGCTTTTTTCGTATCACGAACCTACAGTCATGCCTAGATCCGCCCTTTCCAGGTGAAAGCCTTGGTACACAGGTATGGCTTGACCCCATTGAAGATAGACCATGGGACACGTCCCATGTTCCACAGTCAAAATACTGGTTCTGAATTCAAGAAACACGGTGTCCTTTTCCGATGGGGAATCCGGAGCGCTGGGATCGGAGGACAACTTTGGGGGCCTTTTTACTGCAGCAGGTACCCGCTAGTCTCCTTGTCACGAACCAGCACGAACAGAATAACCATGGTTCCAGAGTCATCGGACATGGAGAACCTCAGCGACGGAAATATTTCCGGAGCAAAAAGCTCCGGAATGGGTATCATTCTCATGCACACGACACGCCTACCGCTAAACTCCAAACTCGGGCAGCGCGCTTATCGCGCTGCCCCAGTGCCCACAGAACACGCGCGGGCTCACTCCCTCCTCGACCTTCTGGCACTCGCTGCCCGACAGCCGCATCCAGGCGGCCCGGGCGGAAGAAAGAACCCTATCCAAGAAGCCCAGCCCCAGCCCCCGCATGCACACGCTCTCCGGGGCCGTCGCCAGCTGGCGGTTCGCCCTGGCCAGCGCCCTGTACCGGCTCGCGCTGCCGCCGCCCTGCATCAGGAACGCGAACGCGGTGACGAACTCGTCGTCGCCGGCGGCGCGCCTCCTCACGAGGCGGGCCATGTTGTGCGCGTCGGCGACCTCGGCGGGCAGAGGGTGGGTCGGCCGCGCCGCTCCTCCGCTCCGCCGCTTCCACTCGTCGTACGCCTCCACCAGCCACGCCGTAGGTCCCGTCGGCGCGACGACGCCCTCCGTCTCCTGCGCCATAGCCAGGCGGTAATTCCTTGCTAGACGGTCGAGCCTGAGCCTGAGCCTGTGACTCTTCCCGTCGGCGGCAGCAGTGAGGTCCGGGTACGTCTGGTAGAACGGTAGGCCGACGGTCTCCCTCGCGAACCTCAACCAGCCTTCCACGGTCTGCCCTTCCTCACCAGCAGACCGGTCCCCCTCCTCCTCCTCCTGTTGGTTCACCTCCCCACCGCGCTCCAACCAAGCCAGGACAAGATCCTCCGGCCGGAGGTGCAGCGCGCCAAACTCGCCGTGCACAAACACGACCGCGAGGTCATGCACCTGCTGCACGAACCCCGTGACCCGAGAGGCACCGAGCGCAGCCTTTCTCCTCCTGCTGCTCCTTCCCCTCCCCTCATGGTCGTGCGGAGCCAGCGCCAGCCGCGCCCGCCGCGCCGCCTCGTGCAGCCTCGTCACCTGCGCGATCGCCTCAGCCGGGTCGCTCCCCTCCAGCCCCGCCCCGCGCAGGACGGCCCGCGCCTGGTCGCCGAGGAACGCCTCGATCTCGTCGGCGCAGGCCCCGCGCGAGACTAGCATGTCGTCGGCGGCGGCGGCGTAGACGTCCCGGGCCTCCGAGGAGGCGGCGGCGGCGGCGTCGAGGAGGAGAGGTAAGGAGAGGCGGGCGCTGCCGAGGCCGCAGAGGTCGAGGGGGTCGTAGGTTTGCAGGTTGTCGTCATCGTCGGTGTCGGTGTCGGTGCCGGTGCCTATGGCGAGGGGTATCTGCTGCTGTTGTGGCTGTCGCTGTTGCTGTGGGAGGGTGGTAGATCCGACGGCGTGGTCGTGGTCGTGGGCGGGAGGAGGGCCGGGCCACCAGTGCAGGGCGGCGCTGGCGACGGGGTGGCAGCGCAGGAGCGAGAGCAGGGCCGCGGCGCCGCAGACGAGGCGAGTGGGCGGGGCGAGCATTGGGGGAGAGAGGCTGGCTACTGCTACCTGCGAGGGGATGTGCGCATCGCGTGTATCTCTTTTGGTCGTTTGGTTTTATTCCTTTCTCCAGTAGGTTATATGCTTATTGTGTGGACTGCGTGTGGTTCCGTGTGGACCAGGATGATCCGTTTGCTCGAGAGAGGAAAGCAGGCGGGGAAGATCAGTCGAGAGATATCCATAAAATTTATCTGGGGGAGGAAGGAGAGTAGAAAAAGAGAAAAAGAGAACGAATCAAGGGATGGTGGCATGCAGGTAGTTAGGTAGGAATGCGTTGAAGGGGCAGGAGAAGACAAGCCACACCCGCCGTCAGTAGGTTTGCCGCTATTCCGAGACGGGGTGTAAGACAGACCAGACCAGACGAGACCACGCCGGCGCATTCCAGCTGAGAGACCCTGGCCTCCCATTACCTAGACTGCTCTGCTTGCTAGTTAGCTACCAGCTAGCTACAGCAGCTGTGAGGCACTGGTCTCTGAGCTTATTTCACTGCCCACTACGTACTTGTACGTGCATTCACGAAGCCCTTCAGGGTCCGGGCCTCGCCCAGGGCCCAGTACATGATGTGTCGGGTGTCGGCAATGCGAACCTGGTGAGAAACGTACGGCGCAGATCTTTTCTTGTCACGCGTGTGCGTGTGGGTGGCCGGGGTAAGGTATTCTGGGCGTGTGCCTGGGCTTAGCTGTATCCAATGTTAGCCAGGCTCAATGCAATAGTCTGGCGGTGGTCAGACTGGATCGAGACAAGCCTGGGAGGGTCGGCACGACGACTGGCAGTGAGAGGGCCCGGGCTAGCAGGCAAACAGCAAACTAGTGAGTGTGCTTGGTGTGCCGCGGCCCGTCGGATGTGGCCCTTTTTCCCTTCTACTCCTCCGTAAGTGGAATAGCAAGAAATACGAAGTGCACTTTATCATGCGATGCTCGACTGTGAACAAGCAAAAGGCCATGAGCTCGAGGGCTGATGCTGATCCCTGGATCCTGATGCCCATCCACGGATTCCATTTCCGGTCTTCAGAAGAGATAGCAAATGTGTTGGCAAGCAAATGCCTGATGCGTGCCCGCGATACGAGCTTTCGGCCGCCGCCATCAGACCGCACACATGCATCCCCCGGTCCTCCTTGCAGCTCCCTCGCTCCACCACCCCAGCTTCAGCCCAGCCAAACCCCCCGAAAAGGTGATGATCGTTACACGAACTGACACGAACACCCTTGCTACCGGCCTACGGAGTACGACACCAGTTGCTGACCCGACCCAACCTGTCAAGTCCATCCATCCCATCCACCGTCCACTCCCACGTCGCGGCCGCCCACCACCACCCAAGGAAAACACGAACAAATCCTACAAACCCTCAAATCTCCCCTCGTAAACGCATGCCTCAGTCAGCACCCCCCCTTTCCTTCTCCTCCCCCTCCTGCATCACAACATACCTGCGTGCCTAGCTACCCATCACATCACACCACACCCTCAATGCTCCACCCTCAGCGCGTAGAACCTGGCCTCGCTCGACAAGTTCCCCTGGTTGTAATTCCCCGCCTTGAAATAGCTCCTCGGCGCCCGCAGGTCGTGCGTGCTCGGCTCCCGCAGCGGCCGCGCCCCATCCAGCCCGACGCTCAGCCGCCCGCCCTTCTCGTACCGCACCTCGTAGCTCCAGACCCGGCCCGCCGGCTCCACCCTCCCCAGCTCCGTGACCTCCTGCCTGCCGCTACTCCGGTCCCTCTCCACGCCGACGCGCACCGTGCCGTCCGCAGCGAAGCTGATCAGGCACACCGGCAGCGCCCCATCGCCGGCGTCCATGTGTATCTGCCCCACCACCGTGCCGCGGGCGCTGTCGTCCGCCCGCGTCACCGCCAGCGTCGCGCTGAGCCTGTTGACCGCCGCGCCGGGGCCCCAGCTCCGGCCGCCGCCGGGGAGGATCTGGCGCAGCTCCGACCGGCAGTACTTGCTGTTCCTCGTCGTGACGCAGCCCGTGCCCTCGGGCCCGCCCGCCGGGGACGGTGAGCACCATGGCGCCGTCGTCGGGAGACGTGTAGAAGTATTTATTGGTGTCGATGTCCTGCCAGCCCGCCGCCAGCTCGGCCGGCGAGACGGTGTCGACGCGGTGGCCAGCGCCGTCGCCGGTCGGCAGGCCCAGGTTCCAGGTCGTCAGGTTGAAGTTGGCGCCGGGCAGCTTGGCCGGGTCAAAGATCAATAAACAGTCTCGTTGAAGGAGGCGAGCAAGGCAAGGACGTATTGGCAATGGGCTTTGTGTGTATGCCATGCGCCTCCATCTTTTACACACTTTTTTCTCATCCCTTTAAGACGATGACACCTCGGTCCAAGAAATCCAACCTCAGCTTGTATAGAAACGGGGTTGGAGAGATGCCTCTGTGCAACTACAAGACGACTCTAAGAGGATATCAAGAACCTGCGGCCTGATATTCTGTATCACCTCAGGGCCCAGCTATAGTCCAGGACGACTGTAGAGACGGGCAAGGCGGTGGAGAGTGTCGTGATGGTCATTGACCTGCTATGCATTTATTTGGTCACCTGCTTGGCATCGTCACAACCCACACAGCGGCCAGAAGTGCTGTCCTCCCAGCGGTGGGCAGGACGTCATGAGGAACGAGTTCCCTTGGAGAGTGCACAGTGACGACTAGGGTAGGTAGTGATGAGTAGGGACCGCAGCATCTATGTCAGGGCTCACCGGCTTGTCATTGCCTTTGATTTCCAGGTATTAATAAAGAAATCTCCTTGCCGCAAAGCTCCCTGTCGTGTCCATAACACTTGAGCAGCACTGGTACCTCTAAGTTTTTAAGATGCCGCCGCAAAGAGAAGAGGAAAAGGTCGATCACGTCGAGCCAGCTCAGCAGACACCAGCTCAGCAGACACCAGCTCAGAAGATATTCCAAGACTTCTGGTACTCCCTCTATCGCGGTATTCCAACCCACCCACACCTGGCTTGCAGGAAAATTGCAATTTCTGCTCGGAGAAGTATACGCATTGCCTTTGACAAGACATATCCTTGCGCCCTCCTTGCTTGGTCGGACAAGGCCTGTACAGTCGACATGTTTCAACAGGATCTGGACACATCGCTATTTAGAATTGCAGACAGCGGTTTATATCAGAATCTGGGCTGGATCTACACACCCATCTTAGCGCTCCCCTGCGGGCGTGATAAGTATGGAAAAAGGGTCATGGTACGCTTCCGTATGATCCGTGGTAAGTCTTATTGAAAACCTCGATCTGTATAGTTCTTACGCTGACACATATCTCTGTTAGGACTTCAGTCAATGGTTGGAGTAGAGCAAGATAGCAGGGTCGACTGGACCGAACTCTGGGGGGATCTCACCGAGGCGCCAGCCATCTGGAGCGATTCCAATGCTGAGCCACTTTGATAATTGCTGTTCCAGTTGAGAGGCAGTGTTCTGGACAACATGCTGGAGGGCTACCCACTTGATTGAGAATAAGTGTTAGCACTCAAATTCAAGTTTTGGAAGTCATGTGGAATCACACCAATTGTCGAGTGATCAAACGGTTGTGATACGGTCGGTGCCGTCGACAAAGATTGGCACAATGTCAGCGGCTCAAAGCCAGTGATGTCGCCGCACTTGTTCTTTTCTTCTCCCGGCGCAACGAAACGTCAGGAGCTGAACCCGCCTCAAGGTAGTTACTGCAAAACAAGCCAGAGTTCCGTTCGCCAGTACGATCCTTCGTAGTCTTCTGCCCGGGTGGAGCGATCCCACCATGGACATCGCAAAGACCGCTACTCCGACAGCAAGAGCATTACGGAGTTTGGAGGAGAATTGCGGTTTCACGAGCCGGCCAGAGGGTGAGGCACGACGGACTCCAAAACCCATGTGGACAGACAGGACAACATAGGTACCCTACATATATCCTACATGTACCATACAGGCGCGCATTTGCCAAGTAACAGTAGGCATGACTGATACATCAATCCGGCTCCAGTCAACATTGAACTGTTTCCATGCGCATTATATTTCGACCGGCTCCGTGACTTCCTTCGCAATCTCGTCGCCGGGTTCGCTCTTGGAGACTCCATCGTCCCTGATACTGTATGATAAAACCATATGATAACCCGAGCTGTCCAATATCATCATCGATCCATGCAAATGATAGAGCAGCCGCGATAACCCAAACAAACCAAATAACACACCGAGAATTAACGCAACACACACAACCCCCCAAACCCAAATCAATCTTCAAATCCCTCACCAGAAGAACAGTCTCCCTAGTTCAAGTACCATACCCATCCTCCAACCCCTCAAACCCCCCAGTCAATGATCAAATCACCCACCACCGCCGCCGCCGCCGCCGCCGCCCTCTCCCTCCCCTAACTGCATCCCGGCATAGCTCTCCACAAGCTTCCCCAGCATCCGCCCGTCCATGTCCTCGGCCCGGCGCACCACGCTGACGGGCCAGTGGCTCCGCACCGCCTGCACCATCTCCGCGCGCCCGCTCGGCTCGTCCTCGGGCAGGCTCATCGCCTCCCGCAGCAGCGCCGCCTCCCGCGCCCGCATCCGGCCCCGGATCACCCGGTACAGCGCCTCGGCCAGGTAGTGGTTGTGCCGCTGGTTGTACAGGCCCTTGGCCACCAGCAGCAGCGTCGACCGCAGCGTCTCGAGCTCCTCGGCCGGCGTCTCGTCGCCGATGGCGTCGAGGCAGTCGTACCCGGCCAGGATGAGCGGGATCACGATGAAGAGGTCCATCGCCTCGAAGCCGTGCCGGAGGTAGTAGAGCCGAATGAGCGTCTGGATGAATCTCTTGGCGTCGGCGACGATCTGCTGCGGAGACGGCTGCTGGTCCGTCCTGGTGTCTAACAGTGGCTCGAAAATGGTCAAGAGTAGATGGTGGTAGTATATGCTGTGGTGGCAGGTCAGTCAAGTTGCTGGTACGTCTTGGGAATAACTCACTGAAGCTGCAAGTGCCCGGGAAGTACAATCCTCTTGGCCGCCAGCTGTAGCGGCAAGCCGCCGAACCAAGCTCTCATCCGCCAATACAGCTCATAAGCCTTGTCCACGGTGACACTCAAGTCTTTGTCATAGGCGATTTGGCAAAACTCGCTCATGATGATCCGGAACTGGGATTTCGCCTTGAAGACGAGGCCAAAGTACGACGGCGAGAGACTGTTGCTCAGCGGATATTTAACCCACATCTCGCCGTAGAACTGGGATTCTTTAGCTGGATCCGGCAGTACCCAGGGAGGAGGCTTTGTCAGCAGTGGAGGTTTCAAAAAGGAGAATGCCGTGAGTCTAGAGCAATCAGTATCTTTCCCAACCCCAAGGCGTCTTTGTATGTGCACTTACGCTTCCCAATTGTACAGAGCCCAGGCAGTGTAGGCCCTCCCTCTTCGCATCCTCTCGCTCAACCCTACCGAGGACTCAATATCAAAGAGGTGCAGTTGGTGAGCGAGGGCAACGGCATGGATCCGATATGCATGCCCAATTTCGTCCAGGCCAGACAGATTGTAGATGACGTTGAAGGTCACACCCGCCTGTACGGTAGTGATCCTGGCTGCAATAGCCTCCAGCTCCCAGAGGCGCTTCGCCTCGGCAAGGAATCGGTAGTGAAGCGTGTTCGGGTTCCAGTATTCGACGCGGTTAGAAAATTGCGGGTAGCAAACCTGGGTTCATAGTCAGGTGAGTTGAGTCTCGTAAGGAAATTGTCTGGCATCACCTATACAAGCATAAGCAAGAGCCACGTTGACAAGCAACGACGAGCAAAAGTCGGTCCGCTGCGCAGCCATGTCCTCCAGAAAGAGATCCTTCTGGACTATCGCGGTGAAATGGTGCTCACATCTGAGCCACACGCTCAGCAAGTCGCGCATAAGCACATCGTCCTGGCACACGTTGGTCCACACCGACGGCTTCACGCCGGACAGAAGAGGGTCGACGAGCTGGGCAGCATGGAAGGGCTTCAAGTAGAGGTCCTGATATCCTTCAGAGCCCACCTCAATATCCATGGCGGACCAGTCCCGCCTACCATGCGCACCCGGATAGAGCCCCGCCGACTCAAAGAGCAGCGACTCTAGGTAAGGGTTGTCGGATAGGTACACGGCGGGGATCTCGGCCTTGTAGGGCAACTCGTAGCGGAAGCGCGTCTCGGGCGCCACGGCCATCTGCAGCAGCACGTCACCGGCCTTGACGTGGCTGAGGATGGTGTCGACGTCGGTGCCGGCGCGGATGCGGTGCAGCACGCCCTGGGCCTCGGTCTGCGGCAGGCTCTTGAGCAGGTCGAACACCTCCTCGTGGGCCGAGGCGCGCTCCCGCATGTGCATGTAGTCGCGCCGCGTGGCCTGCGCCTCGGTCTCGCCGGGCTGCGTGCTGTACTGGCACTGGTAGCGCCGCTGGACGCAGCGGCGGCACGAGGGCCTCTCGCCGGTGCATTTGGCCTTTTGCTTGCGGCACACAGTGCAGGCGGCGCGCGCCTTCTCGAGGCGTCTCTTTGCGGGCAGCCTGCGCGGCGGCGCTGCTGCTGCTCCTGCTGCTCCCGCTGCTGCTGGAGGTTCTGCCGCCGCCGCAGCTGGAGACACTGCTGCTTCCGGCGGTGTAACGGGCGGGGTCACAGGTGCTGGGAGCAGACGACGCAGCTGGGGGTTCAATGGCTGACCGCCAGGGGCCGCCGGATCAGAAGGCATTGACACGCTTACTCGCCACCCCCTTGCGCGAGACCTCTATGGTATGAGAAGAGAGGCACTGGAGGGCCTTCCAGACGGGAAAGTCGGCGCTGTTGATGCCTGCGGCGAGCGGTAGAGAATTCCTGATGTGAACACAAGGCTGGCTAGCCCCTGCCTGTCGTCCAAATCTGGTTGTGTGCATGAGGGCCTGGACCATGCAGGCGCCCGCGCCTGCCAACTGACTGGACCAGGAAGACCCCTCACCTGCTCAACTGATCGATTATGTCATCATGATAGTCATCCTGATTTAACACTGCCTTAGCTGTCAGGGGGTGAGGAACGCCTCGTCAACCCTCGATCCACCTGAATGCTTGATGCCACGCTGCGACTGTCCACTCCTGTGTATTTTTCTAGTGATTAGAGCATATTTACCGATTCATCCTCGTCCCATCCTCATCCGCCTTGCAACCGCCATTCAGCTCTCACGGGATTTATTCCGACATGGCTCGTGCGCAACTCTTAGGTGCATTGTTAGCGGGCACCTTAATTTGAGTAAATCCCCCGTGGAGACTTTTCCGTATCGGGTGAAGGGTGAATTAGCACTAGCACAGCTTTTGTCGCTTCTTCAGTGCGACGGTGAGAGTGAAAAGGGCCATAATCACGTTTCAAGACTCCCAAATGGCACATTGTTCCGACTTGGTCGTTTTCAAAATCCAGTTCGGAGCAGGTTTGCAGCAATAATGTCAACATCAAATGTTTTTTTTTTCTTGGACGGGTCGACTCACTTCGACAGGTCCTGTAAAGGGGTACCTGCTCTCCCCGCGTCGCCGTCGTGCCTTGGAATGTATCTTTTTGCACAGCGAGAGACATCCGGCCTCTGACTTGTCAATTTCCACACGCCAAGCCTCGACATTTCAGGTCGTGAATGACCATCCCGACATCCGTTGCCCACAGGTTTTGATGTACTTGGAATCTTGTCTGGGATTCATCATTTTAATGCTCCAAGTCACCGAATTCTTCAACGGCGTTGTTAGGGCGGTCGATGCGGCCGACGGGGTTCGCTCGAGACTTTGCACGGCATGCATGTCTCAACCCCCCTCGCACCTTTCTCCAGACGGAGGTGACACGCAAGCACTAAGACTGCTCGTTCCTCGTGCCGTTGCTCCAATGGATCTGCTCCTTAATCTGTCATTATCGCAAAAGGTCGATCTTCGGGAACGTACTACAGTGATTAAAATAGATCTGTCCGGGCAATGCATTTTTCCATCGACCAGTGACACACGCGCACCAGGTCGAGGACAAAGGCGCCCCGGAGGCACAAGGCTTGCTGTCGTGTAATATCGTTAACTACCTAGGTACGCGGCGTGTCAAATTGTGACATGCGCTGCCCGCTACGAGCTCCTGATCAGGGTAACCAGCTCGTTATCGTAATAAAAAGCCTTCCGTTCAGCTACGCCAGGCCATTCCCAAGAGTCTGCCACCGGCCGGCCACTGCTCTCCGCCATCCTCCCATCCTCCACCGTCCCGTGTCAACCATGCATATGCCACGTTATCTTGTCACCCGCGTCTAAGCAGGTGCACATGATCACACTGCTGCGCTCTATGTCCGGGTGTAGGGGTTGCTGACGATCTTGATCTCGTCCTGGCATCGGAACAGGGACGAGAAGATATCGCGAAAACTTCCCGTTTACAAACTTGGACTCGCCTCCGAATGTCTTAGTTCGCGACGACAGCACCGCGTCCACATGACACCGCCATGTTCCATGCAGAAACGGCCCCTAGCCTCAGACGCAAAACAGCTAGACACTTTCAAGGGTATGCGTCTGAGAGCGTTGCTGGCAGATGCGCGTTCCGGGCAGGAAAGACTTCACTCGCGGAAGGTGCAGCCCCTCACAGCAGTCCGCACCTTCCTGTGCAACCAGTTCGTGTCAGCAACTGTCATTTCATTTCCCCCAATCTTGTCGATCCTTTGGTTTGTCAGGCATGACAGAGGCCAAGTTCCTCCAGCAGAGTTCTCGAGATCTGCCTTTTCCACATTTGAGAAGCCTCTGCGCTCCACGACTGGTCTGGACAAATAGAGAACATTGCTTTTGCCTACCCAATTTGCCGCGCTGGCTGTCCAACGTCGATCGCATTTTCCTCTGCTCCCCAGCCGCACAACGAGGCGTCCAACAGGCTTCCAGGACCTCAGCCGCCGTCCAGTCCAGGCGCTCTTCAGCGTGGCCAGGCTGGTCCATCTGGACCATATCGAACCACTTTGCCCTCTCCCCATTGGGCCTCTCACCCTCAGGTCACAGGCGACGGCGCAAAACTCGGCCTGGGGTCGAGAAATTGGGCACGTTGATCCTCCGTGGAACACGACGGCACCTCCTTGCTAAGTCTCAACACGACCGCTTCCCTCTCCAGCCTTCCACCAAGGATCAATAGACCGCGTACACGACACCCGAAAATCGTATCATTTCAGCGGCAATGGCTCTCTGACAAGCAATAGACTCCCGCGCCATCCCTGTCAAACCTACGCCTTTCCACGAGTCGGCGCGTTTCCCAGTCTTGCCGAGCCTCTATTCTCAAATAGTGCCTCTGTCTTGTCCTCGTGTTCCCATCCCTCATGGTCACCTCCCGCCCCTCCACGAGGGGAAACGGCGATCGACATCAGAGACGGTTATCGACCAAATGCCTCACTGTTCTCCCCGTGATGCGAATGCCCTCCTGCCAGCTCTTCACGCCAGCATGTTCCACGTCGATATTTACCCCGGAAGCCATTTCCCCTCGGAAGGGCCAATGGCGCTGAACGAAAATACCAAGACGCGGTAGACATGAACACATCACACAGTTTGTTCATCAAGAGGCGTTCTATGAACATGGGTAAACTTGTATTCACTCGTTTCTTCCGACGTCCCGTGTCCCCCGAGCGTCACTAGCAGGACAAAGAGAGGCAGGCAGAGACCACATCCTCCTCAAACTAGATGTGACCTCGTCACCCACTGCACACGACTCCTTCCTGATACTGGCTTGGCTGATCGCGGAACATACTTTAAAAGGTGACCACGCACCCGACATGCCTCCCTTCTGGACCATCTCGTCGCAACCTTCCCACCACTGCCACGTTACTAGACAAGGGCAAGTGTTCCTCAGAGGTACTCATACCAATCGACTCTCATTACGACAACCGGAACAGCGCATAGTTGTTTTTGGCGGGCATCGTCAAGCTTCATCGTCATATGGCAGTACGCATGCTCCATACCTCGACAAATACAATTCATTGGGGCGCAGTACACGCACCACTGTCAACCAACACATGGATACGCAACATCGCTGTCCCACTTGATTGTACAGGAAGTTCAAGACCTCTGCCCAAGTCCATGCCTATTCAGCTGCGCGAGCCATCTGTTCGAATATCGCTTCAAGGCAGATTTCAACATCCTGTATACAGCGACACCTCGATCTCATAGTGCCTTGGCCAGGACCTGCGCAGCTCTCTCGACACCTTGGAGTGGTACATCAGGATGTGTCTTTTCTACTATCTACATCATCACCACCTGCCCCCATGCTACAGGGATGTAGACATCGTCGTGCACTACATTTTCTGCGAGCACGTTGTTGTCGACGCGGCCACTGGCACGCATCTGCCTTGTGCCAATGCCGCGTACGATCACGCGCAGAGTAGCGTCGACTACAACAACCCTTGCGCCTCGGGAGGCTGCCTCACATCGCCTGAATGTAGCTCAGGAGCCTGTCGTCTGGCCCAGCTCAACGGGCGATGGGTCTGCTGCCAATGTGAAAGAGGTGGCAACACACTGCGTTGGTGTTTCCATCCCATGAGGACCAGCCCTGACACGTTCTGCTATCACGTTTGCTGTGGCGACTGTGCACCAGACCCGATCGACCAAGCGAACTAGTGAGGCGACAACAGTGTGATAATTCTACCATCACCGTTGTTCAACTAGCCGACTAGTATATGGAAAGATCAAATTAGCAAGATTGATGCCAGCACAATGCATACCACCCGCCATGTCAGCGAACCCCCACAACGTCCACCAGGTGCTACTTCTCCGCCACTCATCTGACGCCTAGCGACAAATGCTCGATACGTGCGAGTTGACTGGCAGCCCTGGCCTAACGAGAGGCAATACGCTTGCATGTCCAAGTCGAACAGACGATACTGCCAAGGAGAGGAAGACGATCTTTACCACTAATGAAGCAAATGAAGACACTGGCCTTCACACTATGCCAAACCGACGCAGGACAGCTTGGGGCCTTGGTCAACTGTAGGCGGCACACTTGGGCATAGATATTTCCCAATCCGAACACCGATACTGATTTCAAATCAAATCTCACTCCATGCATCGTGCATAGCCGTGTCATCTGTGAAACTGTCGACGGCCACAAGCTCTCAATATCGGCGAAACATGAGTACGAGACACCAAGTCTTCAGGGGGTCATTGGTTGATCAGGCAGGTCCCATAGGTCCAGAGTGAAGCCTCTGTGTTACAGAACTGTTGGTGTGAAGGCTTGAGAGCTGGTTGACGACAAGGTTTGCCGCGATCTGCTGAGCCTTTCAGCCACCACGGTATCGCCTGACCAAACGCAGGCTGCGAGGGTCGGGGTGGCAGCCGTGAGCGACGGAGCGATATTGCATACGAGCATACGAGCCCATCAGGTGTGCCGGAAATATTGATTCGACGACCTGAATATGACGAACTACTGACGGAAGGGGTGTGGCAGAGATGTGATAGTTGACAGATTGGGGCAAGGTGAAGGGCGTATATAAATGGATGAGATGCCAGCCAGTCGAGATGTCACCCGTCAGCTGCAGAGATAAGAGAGTTCATTCGACAAAGCAGCCCGACCAAGCAACAACGGCACACTCGTTCCGCGATCCGTTTGGCCAAGACTAGTCATTCCCGCCGTGGCAGAGGACACAGCACTGGGAAAACAACATTGGCTCTGTCAAGCTGACAGCAGACACGCCCACCTATTAGCAGCAGCTTTGCAGCTTGTCACCGAACGTCAGCGATGTGCCATCAGATCACTTACACCCTGCCCTGCGAGCACGTGAGGACGCAGATCATCTACTGCGCCGATGCGCTTGTTGCCCCCTCGAGCGGCAGATCGAAGTCGTCCAGGTCGTCAGGGACACAAGGGGCACAACCACCATTGTCGAAACGGTCCTCAGCGAGCACGACGGCGGCGGGGGCCAAGTACTACAAGCCCTGCAGGTCACTGACGCAGCAGTCGTCGCCCTACCCGACGCCACCCAGCTTCGCGGGGGACCCGTCGACGGCGGCGAGCTCGCCGCTGGCCCCCAAGTGCCCGCTGTCGCCGTGCCCCTTTGAGGCCAAGAACCGGTGCTGGAACTGCTGCTGGTGCGGCAAGGGCTGGAACCTGACCGGCCGGTGCAGCTGCGTCATGATCATCGAGGGGAGCGAGGTGCAGTGCGAGCACATCTGCTGTCACAACTGCGAGGCGGCGGGATAAGAGAGAGAGAGGGAGGGGGTGAGAGAGAGAGCAACGAGAGCGGCTGAAAAGTGACAAGGAGCTTTGGCTGGGTTGGGGCCATGGTGTGGAGTGACAAAGGCGGAAAAAAGGAATGGGGAGGCTTGCTCTGGTTCCGCCCGGGTTGACCGTAGCTTTGGGACAGGAAGGGGAGCTGGAGGCATGTGTGGATTGGGGCATGGGGCGGGAGGAGACGTGCGCCAAGGGTGGATGGGATGTGTGGAGGAGCGAGGACGGATGATATCCCTTTTTTCCCGAGACGACTTGGACAGCGAGTATCAGAGACATGTGGCGGTCCGATGCGTGCAGTTTCTGCCCCAGTTTTTCCTTTAGGAGGGAGGCGGTCTTGTCATTTTTTCTTCTTTCTTTTTCAATCTCAAGGAAATGATTCGAGCGAAACTGCCACTTCCCGCTATCGAACATCAGCTCCGGAGTGCGTGCTCTTCCGGGTCTTGGCTTGAGACCTTTTTACTTTGATCAAATAGGCGCGCTAGGGAGAAGAAAGAGGTCACGCGGACAAAGTTCGTATTATGAATGTGTCTGTTTGAATTTGTCGCCTGTGCCTTCGCGAGACATTTGAATTTGGGTGAGGCGCTTTTTTGTCAATCTCAATCTTCCCGACTGGGGACAGAGATCTATGGGACCCTGGCCCGGCTTTTGAGATCAAGTGGCGTTCTTCCTTTACGTCTGCTATCTTGGCGAACCGGTCGCTTCGCCAATCTCGGCTTCTCCTCGACGGATACGATAGGGTGCTTGCAGGTTCGGCAATCTGGATTGATTGCTGCAGGGCAGATGATGCAGGTTCATGCACGGCTGGAGGGGGAGGCGCGCTCACAGGGTTACTTCTGACAGGGTTGGACGAAGAAAAGGAACCAAAAGAGGAGGGGGGAAAGATTAGGAGTAAATTGGGAGAGATTGGTGACTGAGAAAACTTCCCGAGGATCAGGGCCCTTCTCCTACGTTTTGTGCTTCCCACTGCTGGCTAGTCCCCATTGTCCAACGAGACTAGAGGACTGTATGCATTTACCTAGAAGGGAAATCTGTGAACCCTTCAAGCTTGAGGGCTTGGACTTTGGATTGATTCTATAACGACTACGGCGTACGTACTACCCTGTGCACGTCTTCTTAGCAGGTGTGAGGGCACGCAATGTCTCGAATAAGCCTCATTGTGAGAAGGGGGGGATGAGGGTTGGGGAGGGAAGGGGATGGGATGACAGGAAACAGGTGATTAGTGATCACATCGGTCACAAACTGCTGCACGATCTGCTCCAACGCGAGATCGCCGATATTGTGGGCTCGCTCGAGCTGGGCTCCGATGACGCGGCTGGGGATTCTTCCCTAACATCTCCGGGTGCCTATCGATCCGATATGGAGACCCCAGTGATTGCTACCGACAGCTTGGTTCCTAGAGATCAGAAGGGGGGGGCGATGACCGCTTGCGGCTGGGACGCTCCAGCTGAAAACCCGATGGAGGCCACCAGTGACGGACCCTGGTCAGGTCGCTGTACGGTGGTACAGCTTAGGTGATGCGGTGCGGGAGTATGATAGCGTGCTTTAGGCCCTCTGTTCTGTACTGTGTGGCTGAGAGCCAGCAGGTAGCCAGGCAGGCAGTGTATGAATGAATGAAACGAAGAGAAATGATTGTGTTGCACGAGGAGGATGCTGATGCTGGCTGGCTGGCTGGCTGGCGTGGGCTTGGGGCTTGAGGCGGGTGTTGCAACACACGCACACTTTAAAAGGACCGCTCAACGTTTTTCATCCCCCCTCCTCCCACACCCTTGACAAAAGGTTGTTTGGATATCCGAAGATTTTCGGGGAGGGACTCGAGATCGAGTCGAGTTCGCTCTTGTCCAATGCGATTGGTCCCAGTGGGATGGGTGATGACGGACAGGACCAGAACTGGGCTGAATGGAGGGCTTGCGGCGGGCGATTGGGCGAGAAGGAAAAAGCAATGTGAATTCCAAATCTACGAGCTCTGTCTACCTACCTGCCTGACTTGCATATCCTGACCGACAAAAGGGGAGTGACTGGGTTGAGCTGGGGCGCCAGCCACCCACCGGGGACCTCATCCAACCACACAAGTTTACTTTGTCTCATGTCTCGAGGAGACCCAGCAGATCCCCGAGACACAATCTACGAGCCAATCTAGGCCCCCCGGTCCCGGACCCCGTTACCACTCCGCTGGGTTCAGATCTCGCAGACGGGCGGGCGGTGGGCCATCGATCTCAACACGCGCGTACGCCCCCCCAAGCACGAGCAGCGAAAAGGAAAGGGAAAAAAAGCAAATACGGGGCGTGGGAAATCAAGACCTGCGGCTGCCAGCTTGGATCTACTCACAGAATCTCTGGCTACAAACGACCCTCGTTCTGCGAACTTGTCTCTCTTCCTCCACCCTCCCCCCCTCTCCGGCTGCACCGGAGGACCCTCCGCGCCGCCCCGTCCCCGACGGCGCGAACTGCCAAAAGCGGCCACTTGGCAGCAGCAGTCGTTCATGTGTGTCTGAGAACCATGATGGGACAGGCAGCCAATGGGGGCTCTTCTTTGCTTTGGAACGGGGACCAGGATGGCGAGCGCCTCACGGCGGGTTCCCCCGGGGAGGGGCGTGTTGGTCTTTTACACACACACACCCTTGCGCCGCCGAGCAAGTGTGAATGGTCGCGATCAGACGTGTGGGTGTGGGTGATGAGGACGCAATATTGACTCTGACTCGGTGATGACGATACTATCCAATGCGGCGAAAGATGCGGTCAATGGCATCTCGGTGACTCGGTGACCTGACAGGAAGATGTAAGAAGGATTCGAACTGCTTGTCTTTCGGGGTATAAAGAGGAGCTCTCGGTCCTCGAGAGAACAAGATATGAGGAATGCAGTTATCCGTCAACGAAAGCATCTCTGCAGCTTGCTTGTCTCAACACATCTACCCTCAAGCACCAAAGCAAGCCAACCACCAACCTTGGCTTTGCTCTGCCTCTACACACATCCTTGTACATACATACTGCACACGCAGTGCATCCATACATACCCCTAACCAACATCCCTCTCCTGAATCCCTACCCTCCAACCAGAAACCAGCAACTACCACACACACACACACACACACACGATTCTTCTAGAGTGTGCCAAAAAGCAAAGCACCCATCCATACCAACCCATCCCCAAGCACATCAACACCACGATAACCACCATGTGCCACGCCCGCCCCCAGAACCACCCCTGCGGCCACTCCTCGGTCAAGTGGTCCTACTGCCCGGCCGCGCGCATCGACCTCTCGACGGGCCAGGAGACGCCCTGCCGGCGGCAGACGTACACGACGGCCCAGGCCAACGACGGCACCTGCAGCCTGCGCACCTGCTGGTTCGGCCGGCACGCGCGGCCCTCCTCGAGCGCCTGGGTCTGCTGCGCGTGCGGCCAGGGCCCCAACGAGAAGGGGTGGTGCACGTTCGAGCGCCAGGCGCCCTGCTGGCAGCAGAACTACATGACGGGCGAGTACGAGGTCGTCGTCGACTGCGGGCACGGGTGCTGCCAGGACTGCGAGCCGTATGGTGAGTTTTCTTTTTGGAACCTTTCCCAGCCTCTATTTGTTGCCTCTTTGGGGAGGTGAAGAGGAGATTACCATTGTGCTGATGCTGTGTGATGTGTTGTTTAGATGACGGCGAGCAAGGCGGCGAAGAGTCTATCGACGAAGAGGCTGAGGCGGACCGCCGGCGCGAGCGGAGCCAGTCGGTGTCTGGCAAGAAGCACAGCAGCAGCGGTCGAAGCAAGACCAGCAAGACCAGCAAGAAGCCGAGCAAGGGCAAGGAGCAGAGCCAAGGACACAGTAAGAAGCGTTAAAAGCGGGCTAGGTTTGGGGGATATATGTTTCATTGTGTTAGTGTCTTTATCGAGAGTGGGAGCTTGGGTTGACTACCAAGTCAGTCAGGTGATTACTGAAACGGAAATAGGATGACGCGAGGAGTATTTCATATCTAGATTGTCTATTTCTATATTGTTTAGGGGACTTACTGGGATATCTGAGTTTTCGAATGCAACACTTGCTAATTGCTTCATCCGTTGTTGTCATGTGTTCATTGAAGAGATGGGTCGTGATGCTTGAGAATTTGACTAAAGGAAGACATTCGTCAGGAACCATCTGCCAGAGTCTTTGGCACAAATGTTTGGCCATCGTACCTTGGAATAAGGTTCAGGAGAGTGATACAATGACACCCCCAAAGACGCCAACACGTAGTCTAGTTCCTATGATCGTATGACGACTTTGTGCTGCCCGACTAAATTTGCCTCGAGCCAGGCTCACAAGAAGTTTTCCCGTGTCTATGCACTCTTTGATAACAACGCTCGCTCGATTGGTCTATAGATCGTAGGTTATATGTACATCTACGATCGAATGATACAAAATAGGGAAACGACGACACCATTAATCCTTGAGTGCCTGCGTCAGGTCGATCTCGCCAGTAGCACTCTTCTTGTACCACGAGACAATCCACGAATAAGGCATGGCCCTCAGGAAAAGATTCCGTAGGTGATACTTTAGCGCCCCAGCCGGAATGTACACCGGTGCAATCTTTCGGGTATGGGCCTGAAGGCTCTGGATGACGGGGCGGAGCCGCTTTTCGTGGTTCGCCAGGGCCTTTGCGACATCGTTGTTGGTTTTCATCAGCTCGCTGGCGAGTATCTCGGCCGATGCCACAGCCATGCAGGCCCCCTGGCCGGATATCAGCGTTAGGCAATGCGCCGAGTCGCCGAGCAGCAGCACCCGCCCCTTAGACCACCGCTTCAGTGTGACCATGGTCAGGTCGTCGATCACGAGCGACGAGGCGGTCTCGAACGGTGCCACCACCTCGGTCACTAGCGCAGGACCGTTGGCACCAATTTTGTGGACAGCCTCCATCTTGTTTTCTCGGTCTTGCGGACCAGCCTGTGGGTTTCGCCAGATGTGTAGAGCTGCCTTCTGGTCCTCTCCAAGCGAGTACACCGTGGCGAGGTAACCGGGGCAATTAAATGAGACGCAATCCGCCTGAAGCTTCTTCGCAAACGCAATGTCATACGCCGCATACGAGTAGCCCAGCTGCTCGAGGCAGTCCTCGCCCTTCCAGAACCTGTCGCGAATCGACGACCTGATCCCGTCCGCGCCAATGAGCAGATCCACTGTGAGTTTCTCGCCGCTGCTCAGTGTCGCGTGTACCTTGTCCTCGCCATCGTCAGCAGTAATTTCGGTCACCGTCTCCCCGTAGCGGACCGCGTCATCGGGCAGGGCCTCCCTCAAGACCCGCGCCAGGTCGCCGCGACAGATGGCCGTGCCCTCGGTGCCGCCGTGGAAGTCCTCGTACTGCAGGCGCAGCATCTCGTGCCCGCGCTGGTCGTGCATGATGTTCTCGCGCAGCCGGTGGGCCACCTCGCTGACCTTGTCGAACAGGCCCATGCGTTTGATGGTCTCGAGGCCTGGGCCAGAGAGGCTCATCATGTAGCCGCCGTCGCGCACCGCTGGGGACCGCTCGACAACTGCGGCGTCCCAGCCTGCCTTGCGGAGCCACCAGGCTGCGGCCAGGCCCGCGATGCCGGCGCCGACGATGAGCGCTTTGGGCTTTTTGGAGTCCATCGATGAGATTTGTCTGATCTGAAATGCTTTGGGCTTGGATCCCAGTGCTGGACAGTTAATTAGCGTGTTGAGGCCGGGAATAGATAGAAAAGACAAGAGCTATCGTGAGAGAAACATCTGCGTACATCTTGGACGCCCGACCCCGAGGATACGGTTCCTCAAGAACTGACAAGTTGCTAGCAGAAACTAGCAAGGCTCCACGGAATCCGATCAAGCGAGAAGGGCGGGCGGCTCTCAGTGGAGCGGTATCGGAAGATGTTTGATGAATCAGGCGAGTAACTAAAAGGCTAAGAAGAGCTAGTCTGATGAAATGCATGAATGCCTTGAACACGACTTGTGGCTTGATTGGTACATTCGCTCTAGAGCACTAAGTGAGAACATTAAACCCTTGTCAATAGCCATCAGGGTGCTTTCTTGGCAGGACGTGCTTGTAGTTGACATACGTGGAATGCATCATCTTCAAGATCGGATTTCACGTCTCGAGAATTTGTCTTCGTAAGGATAGAGAAGCTGGGTTCCTACGGACACACTGCCAACACTCGAGCAACCTAGTTACCGGTCTCAGGAGGCAGACTCGGGTCAAATGTAAATGTTTGAATTGTTTGGATCTTCTGCTTGGACGCAGAAGTGGGCCCCTTCCGTTTCTTTCTGCAAGGATGCAGGTGTTCTGGAGGGCGTGGAGGAGCAGTCATAGAGAAGGGCACCACGCGAGACGAGGCAAATCATCGGGGGTTTCCGAAACAATTCGGATGAAGACTGATGATCTGATTGATTAGATTAGATCGATAAGATCAGCTGAATTTCTCTCTTCTCGAGCTCTGTAGGGGATCACTCCGACAAAAGCCGTTGGCCTAGCACGCCTGGCTAACCCCATGCGGCAATTTGAAACGAATGCTATGTATCTATCCTGTAACCCTGCTTGAACTACTGAGAGCAGGCAGTTTACTCGAGTGTACTTTTTGAGCAGACCGTAGACATGGTTGCCCGGTATCGGCTACGCGGCCATGATTCGTATTAACAAAATTGCCAGACTGACTTGCAAATCACCTCATCATTCGATGTCGAAATTTTCAAACCATTCCGTAAACTGGGACTATTAAAGTTTTCAAGGGTCACGTCTTTTCTGGGCAACCTTTTGGGATTCCCTCCGTATCAAGACCTCTCACGCACCCCCTTTGGGATTCTATCTTGCATGTTAGATTGAACATTGCCAAAATGTCCACAGAACCAGAAGGTAGCCCTGCTGCCTCGGAACCGAAACCCTCGCCCTTAGTCGACGACAAATCCTGTCAGGAGCATTCCGATAATGCCGTTGGGACGAGCGTAAAGCTCCCTGGTGTGCTCAAGATGGAGGCATTCGATAGCGAGTTGAAGCTGTGGGAACGATGCTTTCTCTTTGCTTCGATCTTCCTCGTCGGCTACGCATTCGGACTTGACGCCTTGGTTCGGGGTACATATCAGGCATATGCCACTTCCAGCTATGCACAGCACTCTCTCCTCTCCACTATCAACGTCATCCGCGGCGTCATCGCAGCCGTCGTCCAGCCCATGGTCGCCAAGCTATCTGATCAGGTGGGGAGGCTGGAGTTGTTTCTCGTCGTCACTGTTTTCTACGTCGTCGGCAGCATCATCGAGACCTGCGCGCTGAGCGTCCAGACCTTCAGCGCTGGGGCCTTGCTTTACCAGATCGGCTACACGTGCACCCTGCTCATCTTCGAAATCATCATTGCCGACATCACCTCGATCCGCAGCCGAGTCTTCTTCGTATTCGTCCCCAACATGCCCTACCTCATCAACACTTGGGTCAGCGGAAACGTGGCTTCGGCGGTCTTGACGACGACGACTTGGCAATGGGGCATTGGAATGTGGTGCATCATCTATCCCGTCGCTACGATACCGTTTATCACGATCATGGCCATCGTCGGACGCCGAGCGAACAAGAAGCTGGCCAAACATGCCAAGAGCGGGAAGGGTTGGGCACGGACAGCACATGAGATGTTCTGGAAGCTGGATGTGGTCGGACTGCTGCTCCTCACCGCTGCGCTGTCCATGACCCTCATCCCGCTGACCCTGGCTGGTGGAGAGAATAAGAAATGGCGCACTGCTGGGATCCTGACTCCTCTGATCCTGGGTATCCTTCTCTTCCCCGTCTTCGCGGTCTGGGAGGCCAACGCTACGCATCCCCTGATGCCGCTCTACCTCCTTCGAAACAGGGGCATCTGGGCCGCGATGGGCACCGCCGTCTTTATGACGTTCTCCTGGTATACGCAAGCCGACTTCTTGTATACGGTTCTCCTGGTAGCGTTTGACTTTAGCATCGATGCTGCGACTCGGGTCGCTTCTGTGTACGCCTTCTGTGCAGTTGTCGGCGGTGTGTCACTCGGTCTGATCATTATGAGGGTGCGTCGTCTGAAGCCGTTCATCCTCGGCGGCATCAGTCTCTGGCTCGCCGCCTATGGGATGCTCTACCATTACCGCGGGAGCACCGATGGCAGCTCTCGATCCGGCGTCATCGCTGGACAGGTGCTCCTGGGTCTGGCGGGCGGCTTCTTCCCGTACCCTAACCTGGCCATCGCCCAGGCCGTGAGCAAGCACGAGGACGTCGGCATCATAACCAGTCTGATGCTGACGATGAACAACGTCGGCATGGCGTTGGGGGGCTGCGTATCGGGAGCGATCTGGACGCAGACGCTTTACGACCAGCTCCAGGCGGACCTGGCGCCCAACAGCACGCTTGCTGCTTCGGTCTACGCCTCTCCGCTTTATGTCGTTCCGAATTATCCCGTCGGCACTGTAGAGCGCACAGCCATCATCCACAGCTATCGCTACATCCAGCGGCTCTTGGCCATCACGGGAATGTGTCTGGTAGTGCCGATGCTGGCCTTTGCATTGTGTCTGCCGAACTTGAAGCTGCCGAACCACAAGGCCAGGAACGCGATCGAGGAATCCTCAGAGCCGAAACAGTGACGGATGTATCAAGTTGTGGTAAGCTGATATTAGCGGTGCGCAAATGGCGCCTCGATACCAATAGCTGTCAATGTGAATACATGCTTTTGCTAGGGCAAACAACATCCCATCATTGAGAATGCCAGGTCCCAGAAAGAACTCGCGGCCCCAGCGCAATTCTAATTCTGCCGCTTCGCCTACTGAAGTCTGCTCTCTCTACCTGAGACGTCCATTGCCATCTTGTCACAAGTGGGTATCTTTGTATGGACATCGATCGGTGCATGCTGAGACGTAGCCACAGCATTCCATTCACCACCCATCCGCATGTGCCAAGGCGCGCTCGCATGGGACTGCCTTTAGAGGGTCGATCAGCGCTACATAACCCACATTATGCACCGAAACTTTGCTGGCGTCGTCTTGTGCTGGACCGGGCTTTACCTTTGGAGGCAAGACGCTCCAGGGCTGGTAACCACCAAAGGTAAGGTCTCTCGCGGCGCTCGGCGAGCATGACCTCCAAAGGCAAAGCCTGGAGCGGTCGTCGATAATACCTGATCTGGAACACCGCAATTCCATTACGAGGTCTGGCATATCGCTCATTTCATCAAGAAACTTCCTGCCATTATCTCTATCATATTTAAACTGACTATCTTCATGATCACGCCCGTTTGTTTTACCTGGTTCAGGGTTTAAGCAAGCGTCAAAGATCTCCGCAAACCACAATGGCTGCCCCCTCACCACATCCCTTTGACCCTCTCAGACCAGATGAGATTGCGAGGGTGCGTCTTGACTCACGTCCCCCCCTCTGGACCGCCTTGTGCATGTACTGATTTGAGTCATAGGCTGCGGGGATCGTGCGCCCGCATTTCGGCGGCCAAGAGCCCAACTTCAGAGTGATCACCCTGCTCGAGCCGCCCAAGAAGCTGATGATTGCCTACTTGGAGAACGAGCATCAAAACCAGCCCATAGAGGATGTGCCGACCCGGCACGCTCGGGTTGAGGTCGTCGTCAAGGGCAGGGCTAATGAAAACCAGTTGTTTGAGCTCTACGTTGATCTCGGCAACGAGAAGGTTACTCAGAAGCAGCATGTCAAGGGCAAGCACTCCTACATTGACGCAAACCATATGAAGGCTGTAGAAGCCGCCTGTCTAGCTGATGAGGGCGTCCAGGCCGAGCTCCGCAGCCTCAACTTACCCGCCGGTGCCACCCCGGTTGTTGAGCCATGGGCGTATGCGACCGATGGCATGAACGACATGTCGACACGCATCACCATGGTTGGTAGACCAGGAGACTCGTACACTTGTTTGACCCCGAGCTAACCCTCGACAGTGTTGGTTCTACCTTCGTCTGCTGGACCACCCCGACGCCAACTACTACGCATACCCCCTGGATGTCTGTGCCGAGGTCTCTGAGGATCTCAAGGTCACAAAGATCTACCGACTGCCGACTAACCCGCAAGAGAGGATTCATCATGAAAAGAGGCCCTTTGACCGCCGGAGAATCCATCCCGCAGATGCAAGCGAGTATCATCCTGAACTGAGGCCTGCTTCGAGAACCACTACCAAACCATACCAAGTTGTTCAGCCTGAAGGACCGTCCTTCCGCATCAATGGCAACCAGCTTGCGTGGGAGAAGTGGAGCTTCCGAGTGGGCTTCAACTACCGAGAAGGCCTGACCCTTCACGATGTTCGTTATGAAGGCCGTAGCCTCTTTTATCGCTTGTCTCTGGCAGAGATGTTTGTCCCGTACGGGGACCCGCGGGCCCCCTACCCTCGCAAGGCGGCGTTCGATCTTGGTAATGATGGTGCTGGCCTCAACGCAAACAACTTGCAGCTTGGATGTGATTGTCTCGGTATGCTCATCACCCTTCCTATGTCTTAATTGTGCTAAGAAGCTGACTTGCCCTGTCCTGTAGGAACCATAAAGTACTTTGACGCTTATCACAACACTCCGACGGGCGAACCCTTGAAGATGCCCAACGTCGTCTGCTGCCATGAGCAGGACGACGGCATCCTGTGGAAGCACACCAACTTCCGCACCGGCAACGCAGTCGTGGCTCGCTCCCGGATCCTCGTTCTGCAGACCATCATCACCGTGAGCAACTACGAGTACATATTCGCATGGCACTTCTACCAAGACGCCTCCATCTTCTACGAGGTCCGCGCCACCGGCATTCTGTCCACGGCGCCCCACGACATAAACGCCAAGGAGAGAGTTCCCTACGGGACTGTAGTCGCACCTGGCGTCCTCGCGCCCTATCACCAACACCTCTTCAGCCTGCGCATCGACCCCGCCATCGACGGCCACAACAACTCCCTGGTCATCGAGGAGTCCACACCACTCCCCACAAACGACCCGAAGGTCCACAATCCGTTCGGGGTCGGCTACGTCACAGAGAGTCGCACCGTCGAAGAGGAAGGCGGCTTCGACCTCGACTTCACCAAGAACCGCACCTTCAAGCTCGTCAACGAGAAGCAGATCAATCCCATCACCGGCACGCCCGTCGGTTTCAAGCTCCTGCCGTTCTACAGCCAGATGCTCCTCGCCAGCCCGGAGTCATACCACGCCAGGCGCTCCGAGTACGCCCAGCACGCCGTCTGGGTGACGCGGTACACGGACAACGACCACTTCCCCGCGGGCAAGTACACGATGCAGTCTGCCGGCGGCGACGGTCTGGCCTCCGTCATTGCGAAGCGGAGAGCTACAGGCGTGGCGCAGTCGGTGCGGGACGAGGACATTGTCATCTGGCATACGTTTGGGTCGACGCACAACCCCCGTATCGAGGACTGGCCGGTGATGCCGAGCGAGAAGCTCATGGTTGGGCTGAAGCCTGTGAACTTCTTCTCTGGGAATCCGGGATTGGACGTTACTCCCTCCACGCAGGAGAAGAATCAGAGTGTTTTGTATACTGGTGAAAGCGCCCAATCCGCGACATGTTGCCAGTCAAAGCTGTAGAGAACAGAAGATTTTGCAAAGACAGAATTTCAATATTATTAAAGGCGATTCCAGCTTTTGTTCATGTCGTGAGCACAGAAACACTACCTAAGTACAAGCTACCTATATAACACCTTCTCTTCAGCAAGCTGCGGAGATGAAAGTGGACAGACGGTAGTTGTTGAAAGCAACTGAGTCCTGAAGGAAAGGCAAAGAAATAATCCTAGATATGAGTGAGAGATAAGGGCTGAGGAAACTGTATATGTTGAAGAATACAGTGGTCGGAGCAACGTCGTTTGGTCAAGCTAGTTGTCCGGGTTCTTGAATAGTAGACGGAAACGATCCTCCACGGTCTTTGATGCTCAACATCCTAATAAGTCCAAACAGCTTGGTTCTGGAGCCATTTGTGACCTCCGCCTCACCTTGGGTGCTACTGCAACTAGTTGACACAGGGAACAGCCACGACCAAACGATCCAAAGCACTGCGGTGAATATGGTCACGGGTACTGACACGGCCCAGAACAGCCAGAACTCGTCCGACACAGCCCATATTCCAGTCGCCTGATCGTAGTTAAAGAACGACATGCTAAAGACTGCCGAGATAAAAGTCGGTGGTAGGAATGTCAGCGTGATGAATGCAATCGTTCGCATGGCGGCACTGTCACTCCGGGCGGCGCGTCCGATTTCGACCGACGTGCGAGCTTCTTGCTGGGACACAAGGTTGAACACAAGTTGGATCTCGTTCTGTAGTCTAGCTCTGTTGGAGGAAGCGCGGCTCCTCAAGTTGCGAATCATGTCCTGGTAGAATAGCAGGCGGCCCACCACCAACCCTGAGCTCAGGTTCTCTTCCGTTCCAGATATTTTGCCCACCAAGCCTGTGACACGTTTGTGGTGCGCCAGTATGCTTTCCACAGTGTTGGCTCCGAGCTCCAGCGTCTCCAGCACATGTATCGCATGCCGTGCGGTGTCATGAAGATAGACGTAATCGGGACCGTCTCCTTGCGGCTTCTCTTCCGTCCTCCTTTTCTCTGTCGCCCGGACTAGATGACGCACCGACCAGACGGACTCGTCCTGGAGTCTCACCACATCATCGAGGAGCCTTGGATACATCCAGAACGGATCGTTCATTTCGCTTTTCTGTAACCCACCAAGGAGCAGACTCCGCATTTGGTTGATCCTTGCGTCCGCCAGGTCGAACGCGAGGATCGTCGTCTGATAAGTGCTGGGGTTCCATACGGTGAAGATATTGAACCGGTCCCAGTCGTACTCGATCTTGTGATTTGACTCCTCCCACACCTTCTTGACAAGAGATCTACACCAAGTGCCTACATAACTGTCAGCACTTGCTCATGGTGAGCTAATATCAGACAGAACTCACGAGTAGTCGGATTCACGTCGTTCCTGGTACAGGCAACCTCACAGCCAAAATATCCATTTGCCTTTCTGCAGTATTCCGACCACCATGCCTGTGGCATAGAGAATGTGTTGATAAAGACATCCTTGCATGTTGAGCATTGGCGAATCTGGTTTGCTCTTGGGAAACTGAGTGGCTGTAAATATTGTATTTCAAGTTTGAAATAGTCTGATGGCGAACGTACAGAATAGCCACATCATATTTGCGATCATGTAACAGTTTCACGTCATTGATCTCTAAAATGTTTGGTTCAGTGCATCCTACAACGCTCTTCCGTTAGCTGAATTCGCAGATGCATTGATGACGTACGTTGTATACCTTTACACCAAGTTGTGATTTCGATCCACCCTGGACACTGGTTGCATGAATCTGAACCCATAGTAGCTCAATTTTAGCTTTGATTTGTGTCTCGCAACTGTGGACTGTTGGGCTTGGGAAGAGATTTTCGAGGTTGTTGAGGTTGTCGAGGATGCCCATTAGGCATCAGGCGCATCCTACATGTACCCCGCCCAAGTCCGGCCAATGGAGAGACATCACGGCAGCGCCATCGGGAAGAAGGCTGTGTGCGGCTGACTGGAAGCTGGTGGGCTGAGCCACCCAACTTCTGAGCTATTAACCGCCCAACTATCCTTCATCGATTGTCCTATTTGATTGTTGCAAAGCGGCTTCTCCGAAAGGGTGGGAGGATTCAACCCACTGCCTAATCTCGCCCAGCAGATATGGCCCAAGCCGCTACGCGACCTTCCCGCATATACAGGGCGACGATATCGTTTAGGAATGAGAGACGAGCCCGAATTGCCATCGTGTGCGCCCTTCCGCTCGATGCAAACACTGTGGTCGTCCTCTTCGGTAAGGCGCAGGAAGATGACGACGAAGCATTCAACCCGTATGATGAACCCGTAGGCGAACCCACAAGCCGCGAGACACCTGGCTTTCCTGGTATCAATCAATCGCAACGTTATACCTTACCCAATTCTGTCTGGATGTTCCAAGGAACTCTTGCTATCGGCTCTGTATACTCTATTCGGGTATGGGTTTCTGGGCAAACGAAGCGGAGCTGACAGGTTGGTAGTTTGGAGAGAGTGTTCTCAACAGCAAAAGAACCCAATCTTTCACTTTCAAAGATACCCTGTATCATATCGAGCAAGTTCTCACACCTGATTCGAAAATGGGAAAGCCATGGCCTGAGGAGAGAGTATTGACCTTATGCCTTGACTGTCGTTCACGTGCTCTAGCCAGAGCTCGGAGACGATGCATGGGAGGCTGGGATGTCGAGTGGGACGCTATCTAGAAGGTACACGAGTGCTACAGCGAGCTGCCAATAGGTACCCGAGAGGCAACACTGTTCAGCTAGGTTGTTGCCTTCTTTCGTCCGTTCATGATGCATGATTGTGCAGCGTCGTGCTTCTGTCCCAGTCTTCTTGACCACCCACCATACGATCATTCGAGTCCAGTCGACACTAAGATGCAGTAGCGTCAACTGCGCCGTACCGGATATTGGCTAGCTGCATCCTAGCTCTGTCCAGAGGCCCCAACGGCCCGGAAAAGTGCCAAGAACGTGGCCCTCATCTGCGATGCTTGATTGGCCACGGCCATCTACAACGTCGACGGATACGTTAGTGCGAGTCCGGGTGCTGATGCTCCTTCCTGGCTGGGTGTTCCGTAAAGAATCTTCACCTCGGAGTTGGCACACGTACGAGAGAATCCCAGCGGTATTTTTTCGCTTTTCCCTCGCCGATGATGGTCTTTAGCTTGAAGAAGACCCCCGGCTAGCCTGTCCATCTTCTATCTGTCCCCCTCCACTTCTCTGCCGATATTTCCGTACCCTCTCCCCACACCTTCGAAAGCTTAGCCATCGAACATGAGCTGTAGCGAATCCTCGGCCTGCAAATCTCCATTAGCAAGCAGGAGCCCACGTGCCCCTGGTGTCGTAAACACCACGTGCTCCTGTCCTGCATATCAACTCGACCCTTTGTGGTTGAATAAACGCGCAAGAGTGGGAATGGAGCTGATCCAGCTGATGGAGCAACGTCACAGCAAGTTTGCAGGCACGGGTAGCTCAGCACTGTCGAGGGTGCAGCTATTTAAGCTCCCGGACCTGCCAAGCATGCCAAGCTCTGGGGGATGCTTCAGAAGCATTCCAGAGCCCGTCAAAGATCGACGCTAAGGTGCAGTCGCCAGCCACAAGAATCCCGAGCCACCTCTAGCTCATAGCTCCTCAAGATGAAGCCGACCGCTGCTGGCCTGCTACTGGCCGGATTGGCCGTAGCCACTGCTTCGCCTACCACTACTTGCTCGACGAACTCGTCCACTCCCTCGGCTCCCAAGGGAAAATGGTTCGACAGTAGGTGATTTTTGATATTGGTGTCGCGCAGGCAAGTGGTGGTGCAGCAGCTGACTTGCTCTGATAGGATTTGTGGTCATTGTGCTGGAGAACACCAACCGCGGTACCACTTTTGGTGACCCGTACTTCCTGAACTTGACCAACATGGGCATGTACCTCGACAACTACCATGGTAAGCCGCTTTGCTCCCCTCCAGCTTGCACAGCTATGCTAACAACTCGGCAACAGGCACAACCCACCCTTCCCAGGTATTTCTCACTTGAATCAGAGCTCTCAATTTATCTCTAACGCGAGGTCCATGCAGCCCAACTACATCACCATGGTCACCAACAGCATTGCCGCCGGTGTCTTCAATGACGATGATCACAACACCACTGAGTACAGCATCATTGATCTGATGGAGCCCAAGGGTAAGCCCTCGCTCAAAGCGCAATCCACACCTGTATCTAGCCTGGCAAAAGGGTTTGCTGACATGAACTTCCGCAGGTGTTACTTGGAAGGCCTACATGGAGGGTTACTCGCCCCTGGCCAATGGCGAATGCAACCCGGTCAGCGAGATCAAGGAGACCCTCTATGTCCGGTAAGTCGGATCAGACTGCCCCATATGATGTCTTAGAGCTAAACGGTCCGGGTGTTGCAGCAAGCACAACCCCTTCATGTCGTTCGACAACATCCGCAACAACACCCGCCGTTGCCAGAACATCGTCAACGCGGAGCAGCACTTTGCCAAGGATGTTGCTCTTGGCGCCGGTGCTCCCAACTACATGTACTACTCGCCCAACCTCGACAACGATGCCCACAACACCAACATCTCCTTCGCCGCCAAGGATATCCAGTACCTGGTCGACACCATGCTCAACAACAAGGAGTTTATGAAGGGCACCATGATTCTCATCACTTTTGACGAGAACAGTAAGTGACCAGAATCTGCTTGCTCTTGTTATCCTTCAAGAGTTTCGCTCACAGATCTACAGTGATTTACCTGAACACCAACTACGGCCAGCCCAACGCGATCTACTCCCTCCTCCTGGGCAACGACACGATCAAGTGCTACAGCTGCGTTGACCAGCAGTACTACAACCGTAAGTATTATATCACGGGCAAAAAAAAAGAGCCCAAATCTGTGCCACACTCCTTGCTAATCGCAATTGTCTCGTCACAGACTTTACCCAGCTCGTGACCCTGGAGAACAACTGGAACCTGGGCAACATTCCCAACGGAGGCGGCTGGGACACGTTCTGGAGGCCCTTTGGCCAGCTCCGCTCCAAGACGGATGACATCTGCGCCTATGCTCCTTGCAGCGAGTACCCCGATGGCAAGAGCCCGCCGCCCGCGGACGCGGACTGGAACGACCAGAACTATTAGGCCTATTCTCGGTCTACAGTGAAGAGAGGGTATGGCTGGGGGTTGCTTCAATCGAGTAGATCTAGACTGCTAGTTTCGAGATTTGTTCGAGAAAAAATTGAAGCACTTGGCAATATCAATGTCGTATTTCGCACTAGTGGGCGCTGTCCCACAGGCGGAGTAGCTGTGATTAGTGGTTGCTTTCAGCGGCCCCAGTAGCCAAAATCAGTACAAATTCTTGCAAAGGCGTTAGTAGGATTTGTGCAGATCTTCCCGATCCCAGATCGGAGCAAGATGCTTGAACGACTAGGTAGTTGAGCATTCTGTAAAACAAGATAGATTTGATAGCACTTGACTAACACATCTACCGCTAAAGCATGGTCGTCTCAACGTTCCAAGGTTGACTTTGGACGCAAATGGGCTTCAAAACACCTTGCGTGGGTGGATCATCTAGCGCTCCGTTCTGTCAGCCCACTCGGATCCATCTGAGTACCAACGCAGAACCTCAGTATCTCTGTACGGCCAGCCTCCCTGCGACACGCGCAAAAGGAATTCCCCAGGCTCAGCGACCTTAATGTTGTCCTGATATCTGTACACGCCGGTATCTGCGGTTCCGACATCCGTCTGTGGGAAGGAAGTGGATGCAAGGATCTCGCGCAAGCATGGTCCCATGATTATTAGCCATCCGTCCTCCGGAACCATCGCAGATCAGAGGTCGACGACGGCAAATTCGCAGACCACGTAGCTCTTGTACCTGGCTGACCCTTCCTAAATCCAAAAGCAAGCCAGCCTTTCTACGGGTTCTGATGCAGTGAGGCAAACGTTCGGTGTGGTGTACATCCGGCTAGTATAGGTACGATGTTTGTCCAATGTGAGATGGGAAGACGAGACACAGACTTCCCGATTATGGCACTCTTCGCCAAAAGGCTGACTGTAAAGAGGAGATTTTGATAAAGAAGCGGAGACTACAAACTTGCGGCTGAGCTGATTTGGAGCGGTGCTGCGCAAGTCAAGGAACTGGTTAGCCAGACTGTGCTCTTTGAGCAAACAGAAGATGGTTATGAAAAGGGCAAAAGAGGGTTATCTTTCACGTTCATCAAGCTGACCAATGTAATCATCCTCCTTGCTCTCTCCGCAGGCTCTCATCTTGGTCAGTTCCCGAGTGCAAGTCCTAGCACGACACTCGCATGCCACACAGCTAATACTCGGACAAATCATTGGGAACAAAGCGATTCGATGATGCACACAATGTATTTGATACACACTACACATGGACTCCTACAAGAGCTGCGACTTAAGCAGTGATAGCCTGCCGGTTGAAGTTTCGATCCACGGCTTGCTTGAAATATTCGCCAACCGTGACAGCAGGGCTTGACAATAGTCAGCTAGTAGCTTGTAGCATTGGAGTAGGGAAACGTACTATTTCTTGTTTGGTCCTTGAACGAGGAAGTTCCGGCGGCCTTGGTTGAAGTAAGCGATCGAGTAGCGAGACGGCGACTTGCCGACGTCTTTGGCGCGGACTCGGTGGAAGTTGGACTTGAGGCGGTCATCGGACCAGGCCACTGCCGTCTCAGTTTAGCAATCATCTGTAGCCAAGATCTTGGTGCATCGGCACTGCTACTCACTCAACATATCACCGATGTTTACCACAATCGGCCCTGTCTTGGCCGGCAGCGGTGAGAAGGTGTCACCCATGGCGAAGCTAGTGTGTGACTCCCGCCCAGGGCAGATCTCGAGGCCGTCTTCGCCGTCTCGTTGAAACAGCAGTGTCAAGCAACCAATGTCAGTATGTGTACCTGCTCTCCAAGTCCCGGCTGCATCTTCCGCAGCCGGGTAGTGAATAAGTCGAAGCTGGCTCATGCAGTCCTCTTTAGTAGGATCATTCGCTTCCTTGAGATATGTTTCGTCAAAGCCGAGGGCGCTTGAGAAGCAGGCAACTTATGACAAGAGTCAGTCTGGATTTGCTTCACACCCTAAAACAGCAGTACAGCGGCTCACTCACGGACTTGGTTTGAGATGATAGCACATTTCGCCATGAAAGCCTCGGTCGCCTCCCGGAAGTTGGGCACATCTTCATCACTGGGCCATTGTGAATGACGCATCAGCCACAGCGACTCTTTTTGGTCGTAAGTGCCAGTACTCGGGCGATGTTGTGCCTGTAGCATGGTCAGCACGGCCAGCCGTCACCGGTATGAATTTCTCATTCGTGAGCAAGCCGAACACTGATCAGGTCTTACCTTGTACTCCCATCCATTGTTTGTGGTAGTATCATGGGGTGTTTTACCCTTGACTTCCTGAGGTAGAGCAAAGAAGGCCCTGGAGATCGCAAACTGACGTTCAATCTCCTCTACGCTGATGCCGTGGTCAACCAGGGTAAAGAACCCGGCATACTCGGCAGCCTCGAGCAGTTGGGTTTTGATCTCATCCTTGCGGTTATCAAAGTCTGTGTCTTGTTAGTCACTAAATTGTTCTATACTTTGCCCATGCTCAAAGAGACTCACCCTTCAAGGAGATGGATGGTACAAATCTCTCGGCCATCTTAAGGTCGTATCAGGGCTGCTTGACGGGACTCAGGGATTACTACGTAAGCTGGACGCATCCAAACAAGATAATAATCTTGATACAAGGCTCTCCGCATTTGAGTTTCGATCCGGTATCTTCACTAGCTTTATCTACGAAGCCTCAGAGAAGCAATTCGGCATCGGTCGGCAGGACCGAATGGTAGGAGTCGGTGTCGGAAATGGCCCTGCCGACAAGTTCCCCCGCATGTCTTTACCGCTATCAAGCACAGTGTGCCAACGCCAGCCACTAAGAATGCCTCGAGATATGCTGATCCTGCAGAGATACCAGAGAGGCATAGTGGGCACTTCCCTGTAAGCAAGGCATCCTGACCCATTTCCCCGCATTCTTCGGTTGGAAGGTTACTCGCTAGACTGCAAAGGGATTGAGCTACATTCACTAGCTCGAGATAGCATCCTGGACATGAATCCGCACCAGATAACAGCGGAGTCAGGGGCGGCGTAATCGTTGTAGTCTCGCACCCATTTCGCTGGCCTTTGGGGCTTTTCCAGCACGTTGTCCCTGGGCTGAAAGATGCTTTCAGTCCTGGTAACAAAGGCTGTCGGATGTTAGTCCTTAAATGTGAACGTTCCCGCGGCTTCAGATTCAAGTTTGAGGAGAGCTGAAGGCCGACACCCCAACTCAGCTCCTGGTTCATCACTCATCACACTGCCCTCTTTCAATATGACCGCCGACGAGTCGAAGACAGCAACACCTGCTCCCGCAGCAGCGACTGATACTATCTTGAAGGTAGCTATGACTGGACTCAGATGCCAATGTCATGATTCTAAGACACTAACTCATCATAACAGGGTGAAGTGCTGGCTGATCCAGGTGTCGACATAAGCAAAGACAAAGCGCTTCAACTCTTATCACGACACAATGATATCCCCTTCGACCCTGATTCCGCCGAGGCAAAGCGAGTTCTGCGAAAGATTGACTGGAGAATCATGCCTATGATCTTTGCCATATATCTACTGCAGCTGATGGTAAGTTGCTTGGTTTTTACCCGAGACCGCTCCGTTGCTGAAACATGTGCCTCGTCTAGGACAAGAACAGCCTTTCATTCGCAGCTATCATGGGAATCCGACCCGATACCAAGTTGACGGCCAGCCAGTACTCATGGCTTGGATCCATTGTCTAGTGAGTACTCTGGGCAACTAGTCCTGGAGAAGCCATACTAACGAGTCTCGTTATTCCAGCTTCGGATACCTCGGTGGCGAAATCCCAGCTGCGTATCTGATGCAGAGGGTTCCCATCGCCAAATATGTCGGAAGCATGTGCATGCTCTGGGGCATCGTGGTGGCGATGCATGCCGTATGCAAGGACTTTGGCGGTCTCGCGGCTGTCCGGTTTCTTCTCGGCATGATCGAGGTCTGCACGGCACCAGCTGCCATCTACATCACCAGCACCTGGTACACAAAGCAAGAGCAAGTCACGCGTGTGGCCATATGGTATTCGACTTCTGGCTGGGCCCAAATCTTTGGCGGCTTCTTTGCCTGGTGTATCTACCAAGCACCCAGGTTCCGCTGGCAGGCACTCTTCATCTTCTATGGCGCCCTTACCTTCATCACGGGGGCCATACTGTTTTTCGCACTCGCGGCCTCGCCCACCGAGGCGCGGTGGCTGACGGAGGAGGAAAAGGTGATTGCCCTCGAGCGCGTCCGCTCCAACAAGACCGGTACCGAAGTGTGGAAGTTCAACCCAAAGCAGCTCAAGGAAACGCTCATGGATGTCCGGTTCTACATGATTTTCATGCTCCTAGTGCTAACCGGACTACCCAATGGCGGCGTCACAGCTTTCGGTGAGTCGTCGTGATCAATCTACTTCTTGATGTTTACTCATAAATCCGTAGGGCCTACCATCATCGCAGGGCTCGGCTTTAACACAGAAAAGACGACCCTCATGAGCATGGCTCCAGGCCTAGGTCAAGTTATTGGGACTTTCCTGGCTCTTGCAGTCTCCAAGTGGACCAACAGAACAGTAGCCGGCGTGTACACGCTATTGCTCGCCTGTGTTGGCGTAGCTATGATGCTGGGAATTCCAGCCGAGAACAATGTAGCACGATATGGAGGCTACATCTTGATGTTTCAATGTGAGTTGCCTAAGTCGACATTTTAGCTGACACATTTTCCAGCTAATATTTGTTGCCAGTCCCCGTGTCTGTTCTCTTCATCATTGCTTTCATGACTGCTGGTGTGGCAGGCTCCACGAAGAAATTTGCATTTGGAGCTGTCTACCAGGTCGGATACGCTGTTGGCAACCTTATCGGTCCACAGACCTTCCGTGGCCAAGACGCTCCTAATTACTATGTAAATCTGGCCCATTCTATGTCTGTATCGTGGCATGAATAGAGACCTGACTGCTAACACATTTTAGGTGGCAAAATACACCATGCTTGGCGCGCTGATCATCACGACTTTTGTTTTGCTAAGCTATGGCCTCATCCACCTCACTTGGAATAAGAACAGGGACAAAAGGGCCATGCAGGGTGACCAAGGTATATTTCACTTCCATATCCTGTATGATAAATGATTGAAGCAAACGGCTAACGCGCATCTGGGTCGTAGCGGAGCATGTTCACTATGAGAATGAGGAGTTTGTCGATTTGACCGATTTCCAGCTGAAGTCATTCCGCTACCCCCTTTGAGGATATACCAACCTCTCGTATTTATTAGCTTCTGTATTACTCCTCATTTTAGATCTTTAATACTTGTTCACTAGTCAAGTTTCTTGATGAATCTCACACGGAATCTTTTCTCACTAGCCAGTTAGTTAGTCAGGTTCAAATTACGCAGAACATGTAGCTTCTGAGATCAGATGGACTTTTATTGAGACTATGGGTAGATAGCTAAAAGTAATATCTAGTATTCTACCAGATTAACAACTAGCTGCCTATCTAAAGCTTGGATTTTGTCAATGATGCACTGGCCAAGCTATTTCCCGTTCTATTATGTCAAGTCATGTAAGCCTCGATATCGGTGCGACTGCATCAATTCAAGGGTTTACTGACGATGAAAGCTTTTGTTGATTACCGAGGCAAGTGTTGATGAACAACATGATTGCATCTGTCTGTGCCGTGTCCGTGGTGCCAATGGACAAGATGTTGCTGCGGTAGAGTTAGCGATACCTCAGGAAGGGCTCGCCTCGGCGTTGAATTTACCTAAGGTGATTGTGGTTTTGCAAAACGTGGAACAACGGGAGAGTGTGGAATGGTAGACTTCCAGCCCGATAAGCATTGAAGAACTTGACTGTAGCGTCCGCGGTTTCCGGTCTATGCAACAAGAGTCAATGAGCCAACAATCTATTTCTCGGTGATATGGCACAAACTTACACTTCCCATTCGACTGAGCCTAGGAATGTTGGCAGCTTTTTCGCATCTCTGCATTCCACTCTGTTAGCTTGAGCCAAAAACTGCCGTTTGCTCCCAAACTTACCGTGCTGGCGAGTCGGCTGGAAGGCGCTCAAACAATCCAACAGCGGACTTCGGTCCCCAAACACTCTCTGCGTCATTGCCATAATATTGACCAACAATCTTCTTTCGTACCGGCTTTCTGACGTCATACCAGAATGGCACGTCGATGTACAAAACACCTGCTACTGGTGGGAACAAAGGGTCTCTCTGAGGTCGACTCGAGTCGCCTAATTCTGGTGTAAGCAACAGTCCAGTCCTTCTTTCACCAGAGCTTTCACTCACCAGCCGCATAGAGATTTGCCGCGATGTGTGCACCTCCCGAGGAATGCCCAAATAAGAAGACCTTGTCCGGTGAGCCACAGCCGTATTTGGATGCTGAAATATTCTGATAGATCCATTCCCGCGTCAATTGAATGTCCTCTGCGCCCCCTGGATATGTCACGTTCGGCACCAGCTGATGGTTGCCGATGACTGTCACAACCCCGAGCTTAGCAAAAGCACAGCCAATGTTTGCGTAGCACTAAAATATATGAATTAGGCAAAAGGGTTAACAACGGCATTTTCCATGTTTCAACGTGGTAGTTTCAAGCACGAACCTTTTCGCTCCAGCGCTTGTCTCCGGAGAAGAAACCACCTCCGTGGACAAAGAGCATCACTGGCCTGCCAGATGCTTCGCCAGGGGGTACAAATACATCCAACAGATTTCTCTCTGCCGGGCCATATCGCTCGTCCCGGATCACTTGGACTCCCTCAAACAAGTCATCGCTGTAGAGGGGCTCGTAGAGTTGGCGCCATTTCTGCAGCGACAATCAGCATCAGGCTGCTGATATGAGTTTTGGCCCTCTGTCTGAGAAGGTTATCTTACCTCTTCATCACCGGGGCCGAAGTTCACTGTCTCTCGTGCGATCTCCTCGAATACGGCATCCATTGTGAAGCGTTGGTGTGAAATGGTGGTTGTCGAACTGTAGTGAGTAGCACTAGCCACTTTGGTATGAGGAAAGCTAGGATCGTCAATCTATCTCCAGCAACTTTTCCTTGAAGGCGGCTCGACGGACAGCAGAGCGGGAATCGCACTTGAACCCCTGATAGCTGAAATCCAGACAAACAATACATCTTATCTCATTGGCAAGAACCCCATGGGGATATCTGTCGGCTACGGACCCAACAATGCAGCGTGGCGTATCTGCGGGGGTGTTCGGCGTTCGGTCGGCCCTACCGATGCCGGTCCGGTCCACACCAGCGTGCCAAACGCAGTAAAGAACAGCCACATTGGCCTGAGAAGCCTTGGTAATGTTTCCCGGGGATGCGACAGGGGCAGATACGACTATCTGAAAGAAATTACCTCATGTAAACTGGGGAGATAGCATTAGCGACCCCTCAGTTCTGCACAGTGCGGAATTGGACTGCGCAATATTGCTATCGCATGTCTTACCCGAAGCCTGCAGGATTAGCTAGCTTGCTGACCGCTTCCCTTGATCTGGTTGGGTAGTTGAATCTTGAACAGCCCTGACATTGGGGCTGGGCAATGGATTACCACTACGATGTTGCATACAGACACGAACACAGACCTCTAAGGCCCAACAATGTGTGGTGGTAGCACGATGTTCGCAAGGTGCGTTTGAAACCCATCTTCTCAGGCATTGACATTTGCCCTGACATGATTCAAGATCGGAGGTTAAAAAGCATGCGTCAAGAGAAAGTTGTTGGATCATTATCGAACGCAAGGTCTACGATGTAACAGCCTTCTTGGACGAACATCCCGGTGGCGACTCGGTGATTCTGAGATATGCAGGCAAAGATGCAACAGATGCTTTTGTTCCTGTGCACCCGGCTGGCACTCTAGAGAAGTACATGCAGCCAGAGTAAGAGGTTCAGCATCATTCTTGACGAAGACATAACTAACATATATTGAAATTAGTCAGGTGATAGGCTTGCTCTCTGATAAAGAAGAAAAGGTGCAAGATCCTGGATTGTCTGAAAAGACGATATCAAAGAAACCAAGGAGACCGAAACTTTCCTCGATCATCAGCTTAGATGATTTTGAGATTGCGGCCTCCAAAATACTCTCGCCTCGACATTTTGCCTGTATGTTGTCCTCTTTCTCTCATTGCTTGCACAGCTCGGCGCAGCTAAGTTGCCTGATAAGTTTTCGCAACTGGGGCGGAAGACGAACAAGCGATCAAATGGAACCGAGACAGCTGGAAAGCTGTACGTTTCCGTCCGCGTATGCTCAGGCCGATTGAGCGCGTGGACTTATCCACCACTATCCTTGGCACAGATTTCTCATCCCCTTTCTTCATATGTCCGGCCGGTGGCGGCAAGCTGGCACACCCCGATGGTGAGGTGGGCCTCACACGAGCAGCCGGCAAGCACGAAATACTGCAATGGGTGTGCAACAATGCTGGCTGTACGAAAGAACAAATGGCGGGTGCCAAGACTCCGTCACAGTCTCTGTTCTGGCAGATCTACGTCAAGGCAAACCTCGCCGAGTCAGAGAAAGAGGTCAAGGAAGCTGTGGCTCTCGGATACAAAGCTTTCGCGCTGACGGTCGACGCAATTCGGCCCGGCAAGAGAGAACGCGATATCCGGGTGAGCATGGCGGAAGAGGATGAGGACTTGGATGATGACGAAGAGGAGGCCGAGGTTGAGACGGCGTCGTTTGCCAAGGCCCCTACCGTCAAGCGACCGTAAGTGTTAAAGCATGCCCACCAGCTCGGTTTGGATACTGACAAAGGAATCAGTCCGGTATGGTCCAGTTTCGACTGGCCCGTTGCTGTGAAGTGGCTTCGAGGTTTGACGGACCTTCCCATTGCGATCAAAGGCATTCAGTGCTGGGAAGACGCCGAGCTCTGTATGAAACATGGTGTACATCCATGGCTGTCGAATCACGGAGGTCGCCAGCTTGATGGCTCGCCCTCGGCAGTCGACACATTGCTCGAGATAAGGACGCATTGCCCACAAGTGTTCGACACGTGTGAGGTCATCGTCGACGGCGGCGTCAGGAGAGGCTCTGACGTAGTCAAGGCGCTTGCCCTTGGTGCTCGAAGCGTGGGGCTCGGCCGTTCATTCCTATACTCGCTGGTACTCGGCGAGCGCGGCGTCGGCAAGGCGATCGAGATTTTGAAACACGAAGTCGAGACCACGATGGCACTTCTTGGGGTTACGTCAATCAAACAAATTGAATTCTCACATGTATGTGCTTCCAAAGCTTTACAGATGTTTCCAATACTAACAAGCTGTCTTGACTCAGGTTGAGATGTCCGGCGCGACATACATGCATGGGGCTCGGTCAAGGCTGTAACTCTCAGAGAAATATGGACAGGCTTTTAGCTTTTAGTACTGCTGCGTTAAAAATGCATATTGTACCCAGTGGATATAATTAAACAATCAATTAAATCTAGAGAGGAGATTACTGCCTTGCTATCTATGTTATTGCAAAGTGGGAGTTGTGAGCTTTTCAGCCTCCTAATACAGTAACTGACGTATAGAACACATATGGTAAATTTACAAGCCCTTCCGCGTGCCCTATGATCAAAAGCCGAGGATAGTCTTGAAATCGGCTTTGTGACTCTGCCACACATTCGGCCCAATCGTGTTCTCATGGCCCCGGAAACCCGTGAACCTCTTGGCTCTCTCTGAGAAGCCCTTGGCCATCTCCCTATCAATCAGCAATGGGTGAGCTTCTTCAGGCGTGAGAGTCGAGCTGACGACGGTGCAGCTCAGAATCCTTCTGTATTCATCGGTCGTGTGGTTCTTCTCCCCACGATGCACTATCCTGCTGCCTAGGATCAGGCAATCTCCTGCCTTGAGCTCAATCTGCTCCACCTGATCATCCGGATACTTGCAGAAGTTGAATGAAAGATCCTTCGTGACCTCTGAAAACTTGTATTTGTGGCTGCCCCTGACAACACCTGTTGCGCCGTTGCGCTTCGTCGTGTCGGTAGCCGCGATCAGGAAGTTGAGTGAGAACTCAGGATTCCATGTATCTCCAAAAGCCCAGAACGGCCACCACCCAGAGCCATCGGCATGGAGCGGTGTCTCATTGCTTCCCGGCCCGATCTCGATCATTTGCGCCGTGCTCAGCCAGTAGCCCCCGAGCTCCTTGAGCGAGTTCTCCGCGACCTGATGCATCACGTCGTCGTCCATCATCTCCTCTCTCCAGGTCGGGCTGGCGTTCAGCAGGTCGCCCAGGCGCTTTGTGTTCTGGCCAAAGACCATGCCATCCGCGTTGTCTGGGAGAGGTGCGTCGTTGATGTTGGCTGGTCTCCCGGCTGAGACCGTGGCTAGTGCTTTGTCCATGTCGGTGTTGAGGCGAGCGATCTGCGACTGAGTGAACATGGAACTAATCACCACGCATCCGTCATTCTTGAGCGCACCGAGAATTTCCGCAGTAGGTGTCGTGCGGCTCAAACGGGTGAAGCGTCTTGTTTGACTCAGCACGACGGGATCGGGCGCCATGGCAAAAGCGCCTCCTCTGGATCCAGGCAAACCATCGAGCCTGAAGAGACCGACATATCGGCAGACTTGTTTGCTACTTGGCCTGAACATTTCGACTTCAATATGAGAGTCACAATAGGGGCTATTATCCGCCGTTTGAACAGATTCGTGATAGCATTCTGTCCTAGTTCGATACTCAGGGGAACACATCGTCATGGCTCGAAAGGCTCGAAACATGGAGCCAACTTCGTAAAGGAATCAAAACAGTATCGCCACGTGATCGCCAAGTCCCGAAACTTGTAACCTAAAAGAGTAATAAATACGTTTACGGCACACCAAAACCAATGAGCAATTCTAATTCGACAACCCCAATGTTGGAAGCCGGGCTTCACTTCCTCTCCATAGTTCAGTGGCGCTGTTGCGCTGTTCCCCACCAACCTGTTCGGTGGGAACAGAAATCTGGCGAGAATGCCAAGAGTGCCAATGTGAACCATCACTTCAATGCCTGTTCTCTGAGACCATGATTGGCAGAGCTCTGGACGAAACTCGTTCTATGATTTAGAACCTTATCAAACCATTCCTGGATCATGACTTAGTGCTCCTTCTCGCTTGCCCTTTTCCTGTACGATCTCTCTCCTCTTTCGCAGCCGTGGGTCTATCATCCACCATCCCCAGCTTCCACTGCTGTTCGCTCGATTCCTCTCCTTGGTCGTCCGTGACTTCCGGCCATGGGTTCGGAACAAGCCTTGGAGATATCCAATAGGCTTGTTGATTTTGGCACTCCACCCATGTGTCTGAAGGAGAAAAACGAGCATGAGGAAAACCACGACTCCTGAGCCAAGGGCAATCGCAAGCCGTGCGTCATATGACGGTATAGCAAGCTCCGTGATTCCATAGAAGCTCTGATTTATCAACAGAATTAGAAAAGCAGCCGTTTAACATGAATAAAGGTTCTCGAACTCACCGTCACAAATGCTAGTGGTAGATAGAGCATACCAATGTTCGCCAGCGCTCTGACATTGTCGCTTTGTGAATAAACCCGTCTGCTTTCCGCGACTGAGCTTCCAGTGAAGATTTGCTCTCTTAGATCCCTGACTTTCTGCCGCGTTCTCTCATTTCGTTGCCGAAGCGCTTGAAGATCGTTGATAGAGCGCTCGAGATCTATTCTTGTAGCGTTCAGCTTCTGTAGATATTCCGCGTACTGTGGATCACTCGGATTCTTGAGACTCCACAAGACTGTTTCGCGGCCAAGCCAGAAATCTTCCGTGAAGGCGTCTTTGTACGCCTTGGCCATGGCATCTATGTTGTCGTTCAGAATCCCCAGGGTTTCGTAAGCCCAGAGGTACCGACGGATGTAGGAAAGGTCTTTGTTCTCAAACAGTAGACGATCCTGTAGTTTGACATCAAAGAGGAATTCGCTCTGAAGTTTCGGAATGGGATATATTAGTCTTCAATTTAACAGATGCTGAATAGGGAATATATGGCACTTACAGGAGGCGTGATCAATCGTTTGATAGCATCCGCTAGTGATGTTAATCTCGTGACAGCCTCTCCATACTCGGTAGCGAGCGCGGTCACAAAGGCCATGGGCCCATTGAGCATCTCCTGTCCTCGGCGCTTGACAGAGTGATCGTCAGGGAAACAACGGATATTCAGAAGATACCACGGTGAAAAAGGGTCAAATAATTGACCGTGCTCAATTGCACCCTCCTTTGTCCGTCTCTGAACTTCACGCGTTGGACGGCCTATTAGTGAGAGTCCTAGAACTGAAGTGCATTCGGCGATATCGAGACTGTGCCTCCACTTGTCATCTCGTTTGCTTGTCGTGGCTCGCTGCCAGGGAAGTGGTGACAGGCCTTCTCCGATGAGGGTGTAGTACTTGAATATGAAGAGGAAGCTTCGCTGTCGGAGCGACGATTGATTCATGGCCCGTTTCATACAGTGCTATATGAAGTTAGTGAGAGTGACATGCGACGCCCTTGCGGGGTCATTAATGTGGCGGACGGGTACCTGAGTCATCCCTGCGGTAGCAAGGAATTGATAGATCTCATCCATGTCAAAGTACAGAGACAAGCCAAGGTGCGCTATGGCAAGCACTGGTGGAGAAGGCTGGCTAAGGATGATTGATCTTCCCGCCACGGCCCCATCAGCGTTGCCGAAGGTCTGCAAAAGCGGTTAGCCGTGTCTAATACGACGATCGCACGGGAGCATTGAATGTACCATCAGGCAGTTCCACAATCTTTCCACCCATCCATCATGGCCTACAAGTGGTAGGAGTCGAATACCGTTCTCGTTCTGGGATCCACCATAGTGTTGCCCAACAAGACTTCCATTTCCAGCGAAATCATACACTTCAAACGCGTTGAGTGGATATGGCCCGATCATATCCGAGACATCAAAGATGTCTGTGTGCTTTAGATCATCGCGACGATCCCAGATATATCCAAGTACGACAGTCGTCGTGGCTGGTGGTGTCAAAAATCGGACATATAATGACAAGTCATTTACAGTGTACGAGTGCGGAGGCAATGAGGCCTTGATGAGCACTGTATCGTCGGCTGAATTGACCTGACTTTTACTGTTTGGTGGCAGTAATGGTATAAAAGGAGAGTCCCCTTCGCTATCTTCGGCATTGGAGAGGAGGTCATGTCGACGCGATAACTCGCCTAGTGATTCAAGCTTCCAAGAGACTGACGGGAGTGGTGCTCCGTACGCCGAAATTTCCCTCACCATTGGAGATTTCGCTTGGGAGTTCAGTACTCTGACTTCTGCGGATGAAGACAGTCGCCGACCAGGGTTGGCAGTCTCTTGATGATCACCAAGACCATTGGTAACTTGGCTAGTGCTGAGTTTCTCATACAGAGCCCTGAGTGTGGAGAGATACTGAGCGTGGTGGTTGTCTAGAACTCGTAGTAACTGAGCTGCGTCTCGCCGATCAGAAATCTCCGAAGTGTTCCGGGCGCGATCAAATCCGGACATGGATTTTAGAGGATGCAGAGTTGCGCCATCCAGAGTCGTCGCAGTTGCTGGGGGTGGCCAGTTGGTTTGTGATAGTGGAGCAGTGATTTGTGGAATTGAGGCTGCTCCGGGCCAGACCCGACTGCAGTCAGACTGCTGAGGAGTGTCTGTCTTGCCGATGTGTGGTCTTTTCTGGGATGTATCAGGAAGACAAACTTGCCTAGCCCCAACGCACGAACTGATATCGTCGAAAATCTTGTCTGCCCGTATCATATAGACCCAGGGGGTACGCTGACGCCCGGCAATGATGTGGCCGCAGAGCTTTCCATTCTGGATCACCCAGGATCCTGAGTCTCCGGCAGCTTGGTCATGTTAGTACGATTAACCTGACTGGTCAGAGGATATGACAATCTTACCCATGGGCCTGTCTGGCATTATTTGGCAAACTTCGACGGTATGGCCACCCAGGTGAAGATAACTAGAGTTGTGGTGAAATGTTCCCTTGACTAGTCCGGTAACTCCTCCTTTGATCCAAACATCACCTTGACAGCTATCTGACGGTCCAATGACTGACTTGATCTCCATTTGAAAATCGTGTTTGGAGTCAATCATTGTGTTGGAGCGCCACTGATGCACAGCTTCATCCATCAGCTCTATCAAGGCCCAGTCCATTGGACTGTCATTGGGCGAGAGAATACAACTTGATCCAAGAACCAATGTCGTCCCATGAGAGCTAGTTGGTTGTTCGTTCTGAATCGACTCTAAGGCCGAAATGGCGACAACATTCTCTGGGTTAATGGAGTGAACTGTGCTGTCATCAGAAAAGTCGAACGGTGACTCAAGGTCCGAGTCACTCTCGCACGCTACTTCCTCAATCGGATCCTCATCCACAAGGTTGACCCTAATAATCCTCTTGGGGGGTTTCAAAGAGTGGCTAGTCGTCATAGCAAAGGTTGTTTCCCCAATTAGCACAACACCACCGATGGTGAAAGAAGCCGGTGGTTCTCGCGACATGGCAACAGCTCCAACCAACCCACCATCGACCACTGATGCGGTGACAGTAATCCTTGCTTGTTCTGCCACTCTTTGGCTCCCATCGCCATCAACGCTGAGATTTTGATCTGGTATTAGACTAGACTGTTCCATTTCACATCTCCTTGGCAGGGTTGCCTTTTCTCGGCTGATCTCTCTTGCAAACTTCTGAACGGGGTCAACGATGACTCGCCAAAAGAAGCTGTAGTCTTTGGTCCACTTGAGCCCTTTGATGATCTTTTTGAGTTGTTTCTTCTGTGTCTCGTCACAGCACACGACCAGCACACAGGGTTTAAATCGATGCGGACTTGGACCTGCCATCATCAATTCGTAAGATACGGCGGTATCATATCTGACTTTGGGGTAGAAGGTGTGCTTGAGTGTATCGTCCAGAAGGCTGCACACTTTCCTGAACTCGTGAACCCGGTCATCGCTCATTGTGATATCTGGAGCGATGAAGAAATCTTTGTCGACCTGCAGAACTACTTGTTGCTGGACGCTAAGAGGTGGGCTGGTAGCGATCGTGGAGGTTGTAGACGAGGTTCTTTCGGAAGTGTTATCACTAGCTGAGGCACATGTATCGTCTCTCTTGACTGGATCGACTTCACGTTCTGTCAAGCCTGGAAGCGGCTGTTTTTCAGTACAGTCTCTCGCCAACTTGCTCCTTGACTCGTCGCTTGTCCTGGGGATGCTTCGCCGTCTTGGTACCGGAGAGAATGAAGGGGAGACTGCGATCTATTGGGATTCAGCTGCCGCTCTAACATGTTCGTATTCTCTATGGCCCATACCTTCAAGCTACCTGGGTTGTGCGTCGGAGCAACAAGTCCAAGAAGCTTCTTGGTTAGAGAGGATGTAGTTGGGTCTTGGCAGTCCGAATTTTCAGGGCGCGATTCCAGTCGCGAGCGCTCTGATCTCGCGGGTCGATGCAACTCCATTCGGTCGATTCGAATGACAGACTTGAAAATATTGTGTCAGTCGTCACATCCGACTAGTGCCATGCTTAGCGTTGCTTAGGTAGAGGGCATCGTCAGTGTCCATACGTGTGGAGGAGTGAATTTGGAGGAGTGAATTTTGAGGAATGAAGGACTGGAGCCGAGCCGAGTTGCGTACTGAAAGGCCAAGGTGGCTGTGGATCGCGTCGCTAATCAAGCACGGCAAAAACACTTTGGCTTCAAGCAAAAGGCAAGTAGGTTATGATTCGTCCAGAACGAAGGAAATTTCGGTGTGCATGCATTGGGCAGTGATGCTTGACCAGGGATTTGACCTTTGATAGGCCTTCACGACAGCCACAAAACACTAGTGCCTGCACAGTGCCGCCCAAGGCATACTCGCAAATCCAATCAGTCTGCCTTTATCGATTTGAGTTGAGGGTTGACAAAATGAAAGGGTGACCCGTCCGGTTTTAGTCTCGAATAATACAAACAATACATCACAGTGGCAATCAGAATGGTGCTCCAGGCATTAGAACACAAGCTCGATCAGCAGTCCCGAGATCTCATCCTCGCAGCCTTTTTCGGCACGGCGAAGCAACCAGCGCTATGCAGTGACTATGATGGATTCTTTGGTCATTATGAAAGAGAATTGAAACAGCTCCGAATGGGTGTTTTGACAAAATCAACTGTGCTCTCCGGATTGGCCGTCAAGAAGCACGCGGATATTGCACAGCTGTGCTTGACTTTGCAACAGTGTGGAAGCCTCACTCGAGAGCAAATACGCTTGAAGGTCCGTCAGGATTACTTTCCCAACGACAAGGACCTATCCATCATTAGGTCAATTGACTTGACCGTGCGGCTATGGCTCATGATCAATATCCGTGATGAGGAGCTTTCGGTGCGCACGCCGTACAAGCCAACGGTACCGTGGGAAGAAAGTTCGTCACTGCAGGACGTGATCAAGGATCAATTCGTTGCCTCCACAATCCAACGCAGCCATCGACAGAGTCGACTCAGCCCATCATTCACTGTGGCAAATATGGAAAAGATATGCGGGCTGGAGATCAAGTGGACGGAGAGCCTAGAGGACCACCTCCGGCTTGACATAACAACAAAAAGCCTCTGGGTATTCCCTTACAAGGACTTCCTTGTAGGGCACCTGCATGCTTCCACTGACTCCGCCAAGAAAAGGCAAGCACTCCGAAATCGTGGACGGGAGGGCTTTACCTGAGACCAGACTAACCGACAGGGTACAAACAGCACGATCTTGCCAACAAACCTGTTGAGGGAGACAATAACATCTCTCAATATGCTCTTCCCACATTGGGACTCAGCCACACAGACACTTCTCAAGAAGCACGGGCAACGATTCCATCACCAAGCACCTTTCCATGGTCCACGTCGCCTGGACTTGACGGAATTCAGCTTCTGGAGAGACCGCCTTGCCGAACTTTACGAGGAGATCTATCTCGCACCACCAGACAGCTGGAGGCAGCTCTGGATTGACCGGCGGAATCCGCACCAGTACTACATGTTCTGGATCGCTCTCGTGGTTTTTGCGCTCTCGCTCGTTTCGTGCGTGGCTTCGTTGGTGCAGGCATGGGCTTCCGTGCAGGCACTGAAGCAGTCATCGTCCAGTTCGTAGTGAGTAGGCCAGGCCAGGAGCACACAAAACCAAACGAAAAGAACAAAACAGGAAAGGGAAAGGGAATGTGATAATTCGAACATCTTGTTCTTCTCAGACGCCCAGGAAATAGGAATGGGCGTAGGAGTACTCCCTGTGCCGGAGCAAAGCGGCGTGGCAAGTCGACGACCCAAGGGACCGCAGGGCCGAATCAAGCTTTTCTTGTCAGTAAACTAGCGGTAGTTGGACCCAAAATAGAGCACGAGGGCTCTAGCCGGGTCCAGATCAGGACTCGGTTGCTCGAGTCAAGGGATTACCAGATTTAGCATTCCGGACACCCCGCCGTTGTAGGGGTCCCTTTGGTCCTTTTTCGAGAGCCATAATTGGGGTGAGATGGCCAAATTAACCCACCCATGATTGGGCCGCGGATCAAGGGTCTGCTTTGCCATGACAGGAACGCACCTGGGGTCCTGGGAGCTGCATGTCTGCCGAGGAGAGGGATGCGTGGTGACCCTGGTGGGTATCGAGCGCCATTTCTTGGCAGCAATGGGGCTGTGTCTATCAAATTTTGCGGAGGGAACAATGGACGGACGTCATAGGAGAAAACGTTCACCAGCACGAGGCCATAGCTCCAGCCCTGGAGAGCTCTCACTTCCTGCGGCGCACTAAACGAGCCCAAGGCGAGGACCTAGACACCAGGAACTGGGATACCAACGTTGCAAGGAACCTTAATCCAACCTCTATGAGCGATTTTCAACTGGCTGTTATGCCACTACCGACTCGTAAAGATCCCACACGTCCACCACGTTGTCAGATGGAACCAGGAAATGGCCCAAACCTTAGCCCATTCCTGCTCATTTACGACACTGCGAATAGCCTGCGTGATTTTTTCTTACAGTGAGTGTTTTGTTATTTTTCCCATTCCATTTTCGTCTCACCGTGACGCGCCACCATCTAACACAGCCAACGCGGTGCCGCTGCTCCTGTCGCGGCCAACTGCCCAATGCGGCATTGAATCTCCTCTCCCCCCTCCTCGCTTCACATGTTTCCGAACCCTTGAGGCTTTTATTGCAGGCAGCAAATGACGGTCAGATTCACCTGCCCCGAGAGAAAAACAGAGTGCAGACGATAAGCTTTCGGGAGGCCGCCTGGGCTTACAAGTCGGGATCTGCACTGACAGTCCCCTCCCAAACCAGACCAGTGCCGCAGCTTCGGGCGAGTCAGACCTAGCTGCTAGTTGTCACTTCTCCCTACTCTCTCGCTTGCATCGTGACATCCTCCTTTGAGGCAATGGACCATCATTTCCCACCTCGAGCTGGATGAGGAGCAAGGACATATTAGGAGATGGCTCCATCCACCCTAGACCATCTGATCTTGACAGCTTGCTTTCGTGTAATATTTGGCGCATCCCATTAGAGAAGCTAGAAGATTTTCTCCCTGCTCTCGCGCTTAGCTCGTAAATCTGACCATCATATAAGTCGTATAAAGGGGGTGAACCGACTGGCAACGCAGCGTTGATCCCTCTCGCCTCGTGTTGCACCCAGTCTCCCTCTTACCGGTCACCCCTTTGATTCTGCATCTGCTCTTGGTTCATCATTGCAAAGCCCAATCCACTTCTCTGACAGATACGCGCGTCGAGAAGTTGAGTGGTTCACCTCCTGGTATGGACGAGAACAAGGCACCTATCCCTGAGCGGATTCGCTGGCAGAACGATGAGGAGGCTGGCCAGCGAGTCCGCCCGGGCCTGCACCGCGGCATCTCGACGGACAACTTGTCCATTCATAGTGTGCGGTCGAGGACAGGCTCTATAGATCCTTCCGCTGCCCTGCCTATCCAGTACCGGACCGTGTAAGTTCCTTCATTTGAAGCATATGTGCATATGTCAGCGAGCAGAGCACTGACCTTTACCTTCTATTTGACTCCAGATCCATCGACATCGATGACTTCAACAACAAGACCGCCACTGCGAAGAAGAACAAGGATGCGGCAACTGGTAAGGTCTCACCAGTTGAAATTACAAACAAGGACACTAATTCTGACACTATTGTGCTGATCACAGATCTCGCCGACCTCGAGTGGCACACCATCACTGTTGAAGAACTTGCCCGTCGTCTTACGACCTCTACCAAGGAGGGCCTCACCGACGAGCAAGTCCGCATCCGCTCCCAACAGTATGGCAAGAATGCGCCTTCGCCTCCTCCCACACACCACACGAAGCAAATTTTTGGCTACTTCTTCAAGGGCTTTGGATCCATCCTCTTCGTCGGCTCAATCCTCGTCTTCATCGCCTGGAAGCCCCTCGGTAGCCCGCCGGCCCTGGCCAACTTGGCCCTTGCCATCGTCCTCCTGGCTGTCTTCTTCATCCAGGCCGCTTTCAACATGTGGCAAGACTGGTCTTCGTCCCGCGTCATGGCGTCCATCAAGACGATGTTGCCGGACGAGTGCCACGTCGTGAGGAATGGCAACCAGACCAACTTGTCCGCGCACGATATTGTTCCTGGCGATGTGCTTCTCATCAAGGCTGGCAATAAACTGCCTGCAGATGTGAGGTTCATCGATGTCTCTAGTGATACCAAGTTCGATCGCGCCATCCTGACTGGTTAGTTGCACTGTCATCCAGTTGAGCCTGGAAGGACCCCTGGCATTAACATAGTGACACAGGTGAATCCGTTCCTCTCGCTGCCACTGTCGACTCTTCGGACGAGAACTATCTAGAGACGAGATGTATCGGCCTGCAGGGAACTCACTGTGTCTCCGGTTCCTGCATCGGTGTCGTCGTAGCGACCGGAAACAAGACTGTCTTTGGCCGTATCGCCAAGCTGACCAACGAACCCAAGACTGGCCTGACCACCCTGGAGCGTGAGGTGCTCAACTTTGTGTACATCATCTGCTCCATCATGGCACTCATGATCGTTCTTGTTATCATCCTCTGGTAAGCAACACTCTACTACTCACCCCATTCCCCAACGCCATCAAAAGCCTAACCCACGTCTTCATCAAACAGGGCAGCATGGCTCCGCAAGGACCACCCAGACTGGATCAACGTGCCGACCCTGATCGTGGACTGCGTCTCCGTGGCCGTCGCCTTCATCCCCGAGGGCCTCCCCGTCGCCCTGACCGCCAGCCTGACCATCAGCGCCAACCTGATGCGCAAGAACAAGGTGCTCTGCAAGTCGCTCAAGACGGTCGAGACCCTGGGCGCCGTGTCCGTCATCTGCTCCGACAAGACGGGCACCCTGACGGAGAACAAGATGACCGTGACCGACTGCGCCGTCGGCGCCACCGTCATGTCGGCCGACGACGCCCGCGACTCGCTGGTCGCCGAGCGCGCGCGGGCCGCCGCCGTCTCGGACGCCGACAACGACACGAGCCTGGCCAGCAACGCGCTGGAGCAGCTGCGCACCGTCGCGGGGCTCTGCAACGCGGGCGAGTTCGACGCCGCGACGCTGCACATGCCGCTGGCGCAGCGGCGCGTGCACGGCGACGCGACGGACCAGGCCATCCTGCGGTTCGCCGAGTCGCTGGGCCCCGTGGCGGCGCTCAAGCGCTGCTGGCAGACGCGGTACGACCTCGCGTTCAACAGCAAGAACAAGTACATGATCCGCGTGCTGGGCCTGAGCCACAAGGACGGCCTGCAGGACGCGCTGCCGTCCGACGTCGCTGCTGTGTTTGAGCCTGGTGACTTGTGAGTATTTCCATACTTGCCTCGGATTGGGCGGACTAGGTTGAAGCTAACTGAACGTGTAACAGCCTTCTCACCATCAAGGGCGCGCCCGAGATCCTCATGGCCCGCTGCACCAGGTACATCGGCCCGACGGGCGTCTCCCACAGCCTGACCGACGCGGCCCGCGCCTCCATCGAGGCCATCAAGGACAAGTGGTCCGCGCGCGGCCGCCGCGTCCTGCTCCTCGCCCACAAGCCCCTCTCGCGCGCCTCCCTGAAGCACCCGGTCTCGTCCTCCCTCTTCGAGAAGGAGATGAACGACCACGCGCGTGAGGGGCTCACCCTCGTCGGCATGGTCGCCATCGTCGACCCGCCCCGCCAGGAGATCCCCGAGGTCGTGCGCACGCTGCGTGGCGCCGGCATCAGGATGTTCATGGTGACGGGCGACTTTGCGCTGACGGCCACGGCCATCGCCTCCGAGTGCGGCATCGTGACGAACCGCCCCGAGGCCGTGGACGACGTCTCGGCCCTGTCGAGGAGTGGCCCCGCCGCACCGACAGCAGCCGCCGGCACGGACGGCAAGCACGCGACCGTCGCGCTCGCCGACAGGCCCGTCACCTCGATCGTGCTGAGCGGCAAGGACCTCGTGACGCTCAGCCCGCCGCAGTGGGACGTCCTGGCGCGCGACTACACCGAGGTCGTGTTCGCGCGGACGACGCCGGAGCAGAAGCTGCGCATCGTGCGCGAGCTGCAGAGCCGCGGCTTCGTGGTCGGCATGACGGGCGACGGCGTCAACGACGCGCCGGCGCTGCGGGCCGCGGACGTGGGCATCGCCATCGGCCTCGGCGGCAGCGACATCGCCATCGAGGCGGCCGACATGGTGCTGCTCGAGTCCTTCTCGGGCGCCGTCGCGGCCGTGCGCTGCGGCCGCATGACGTTTGACAACCTGCGCAAGACGATCGCGTACCTGCTCCCTGCCGGCAGTTTCTCCGAGTTCTGGCCCGTCCTGACCAACGTTGCGTTTGGGCTGCCGCAGATCCTGAGCAGTTTCTTGATGATTGTGATCTGGTAAGTCAAATAATCCTCTACAAGTTTTTTTCTTTGCTACATGCCTGTCCCCATTACTAACAGAACACCACAACAGCTGCTTCACAGACTGCCTGGCCGCCACCTCGCTGGCCTACGAGCAGGCCGAGGCCGACGTGCTCGACCGCCCGCCCCGCAAGGTCGGCGTGGACCGCCTCGTGGACTGGCAGCTGATCGTGCAGGCGTACGGGTTCGTGGGCATCATGGAGACGACGACCTCGTTCGCCATGAGCTACTGGTACCTGCAGCGGCAGGGGATCCCCTTCTCGTCGCTGTGGTTCTCCTTCGGCGCCATCCCGGACGGCATGGACCCGGACTACTACAACGCGCGGCTCAACGAGGCGAGCTCGGTCTACTTCGTCACGCTCGTGGTGATGCAGTGGTTCAACCTGCTGGCTGTGCGCACGCGCCGCCTGTCCATCTTCCAGCACCCGCCGCTGTTCAACCGCGAGACGCGCAACTACTGGCTCTTCCCCGCCGTGCTGTTCGCCGTCGTCATGGCCTTCTTCTGGCTCTACGTGCCCAAGTTCCAGGAGGTGCTCGGCACGGCCCAGGTCCCCGTCGAGCACTGGTTCCTGCCCATGGCGTTCGGTCTGGGCCTGCTGCTATGGGATGAGGGGCGCAAGTACTGCGTTCGTCGGTATCCTAAGAGCTGGGTTGCGAAGCTGGCTTGGTAGCATCTTGGGGAGCAGCCGGGGAGGGATGTCAGAGAATGTCAAATGTCGAGAGCTTGTGTGTCTAGACTACATGGTTTAGAACATAGATGTATAGAACCACTATGTCTGCAAAATGAGTGCACATAAAATTGTGTGAGCCTTGAATGTTGAGTAAATCTTGACTTCCTATTCACTCGCAATGTACATCTTACACCAGTAATGCTCCAAGTCACGATAGTATCACCTACTCACCTTCCACTTCATCTCCAGCGGGTATCTTTGTATATATACGGCCCTTTCCATCAACAGATTCTCTCCCTCCTCCGTTATCAGTTCCCCGATGACGCGCCAAAGGGGTAGTTGAACTTGAGAAGACCATTCAGCCCGCCGACCCAGCCGTCGTCGTCCTCCATGATGCCCTCGGCATCTCCCTTGCCCGGAGCGCGAATGACGCACGGCACGCCGCCCCTCCAGCTGCCATCGCTGCTGCGCCCCACCATCTCGCCCTCGACGCGGACCTCCATGCCGATGCCGACACCCGTCTTGCGCTTGCCGTCGATGCTGACTTCCAGCTCGCGGCCGCGGTTCTTGTCGCTCAGGCGGAGGGAGACCTTGGTGTTGAGAGGCAGCACCAGCGGCCGGAAGCTCAGGCTGCGGGGGCAGATAGGGGTGATGAGCAAGGATCCGACAAGGGGGTGGATGATGGAACCGCCGGCGCTCAGAGAGTAAGCCGTCGAGCCGGTCGGGGTGCTGACGAGGATGCCGTCGGCGACGGCCTCGGTGAGGAAGTGGTTGTTCAGGAAGATGTCGATTACAGCGAGGTGAGGATGCGGGCCACGGTGAATCAGAAGCTCGTTGATGGCATGTATGGAAGGAAAATTCGGTCTTTCCAGCTCTGCCTGCTCTTCAGGTGATGCTGGCAAATTCAACTTCGGGTCGGTTGTAGATGTGGGTATCAAATGACTGTTGATGTTGGTTCCGTCGGTGTCATAGATGCCAACCTTGAGGCGGTGCCGCAGCAGCATCTTGGAGGCACGTTGCGTCCCCATGCTCTGGCCTCGCACGCTGCCCCATTTTGCGACACCTTCCTCGTCCGCGTTTTCGGCGCGCCGGCGCCGGTTGCCTGCGGCCGTCTGAGTGTGCAGGCCGACCAGATCCTTAACCGCGACACCGCTGCCACTCATGTAGACCTCCCGCCAAGCGCGCTTGTACTCGTCGAATTTCCATTCACCGAGGAAGCCTAGCGTTCCCATACTAAATGATAGTATGGGTGGGACGCTTGAGTGCAGGGAGAACAGGCTTGCGGCGCGCAGGATGGTGCCATCTCCTCCGAGCGTGGTAATGAGGTCGATCTTGTTGGGGAACTGTACACCAGGGTCACTATCCATGGTGGTATATACGGGGAAGTGCAGGTCGTTGTGGACTGCATTGGCGATGCGACTCTCGAATATGATGTTGAGGTCGGGGTAGTTGCTGTGGAGGTGCTTGGCGAATGCAACAGCAGAGACGGTGACGTGTGGTGCGTGCAGCTTGGGCATGAGGAGGATGTTCCGTGGTGGCTGCGGCCAGTGGAGAGAGAGGAGAGAGGAGCTGGATGATTCCTCGTATTTGGGTATGATCCGATCAGGCAGGGCTGATATGTCGAGGATCTGCCTCCGCAATGTGGTGATGGAGAAGGATCGTAGGCTGCTGGGCGGGGAGACATTGGCAGAAGTCTGGCTGGCAGCAGGGCGCCACGCCTGCCGTAGCGCTCGAGGCCATGTCGAGGTCTTCATCATACAACTCATTGTGGACCTATGAGTAGAGATTCAGCGCTGGCGCGAGTATGTGAGAGCGCGTGCTGAGTGTCTGGGCGGTTTGTCCCATGGTCGAGCAGAAGGGGTATCGATCGAGCTGTGGTGAGCTGCGTCACAACTAGTATAGTTTGAGGAGCGCAAGGCAGGCGGCTCTATTCATTCAAGAAGCCATGACAGGGTGTCCCTGGGACTGTCAAAGTGTTGCTGTGTGCGTTGGCTGTAATGCCAGATGACATCGATGCATCAAAGGCTCGAATTGAGCAGAATTGAAGCAGAAAAAGGCGCCGCCCGCTTATCGCCGGCCTTTGTGTCGATAAGAACGTCGAAGGACTTGGCAGTGTGACTTGACCCAGGCAGACGCTAACTGAGCAATTCCAGGGTCCAATCTGTGACGAGTTGATTCTCCTTTTAGTGGAGCGTCCGGGGAAGCTTAGGCCTGGGCCGAGCTTCAGAGTCTGGACTCTAGGAACCTCCTCCACTAACTACAAGCACATCAACATCAAAGCTGATCAATGGATGCTCTCCTGTTCCCAAGACTGATGAGTCTGGGATCATAACAAACAGTTCCTGGACACTTTGAGGACCAGGTATTCAGTGTGGATACATCCAGCATTGCCCATCCATACGTCCTGTTAGTCTAGCTTGCTCCCTGGGTTGCGGACTTCCAGCCCTGACTCAGCAGACCAGCCACCAGAAAAGGCACACGTGCGGCAGTGCAGGACGCTAACTGACACCGCCTAAGCAACCAGTCATAGCGCCTTGAAAGCCTGGAACCATCCCCGCAGCTTACCGAAGCTGCCGCTCCAGGCAGTGTGCCTTTCCCACTTTCATGATGCAAGGCAGACACTTGGAATGACGACAGGGATCGGAGAGCTGGCTTCACCAAAAACCCCCCCTCGACCTCACACTGCCCTTCTTCTCTATGGACTGACTTTAAGCATGTGTTATGCGACCCTAGAGGCCACTGCCCTCCCTTCTGCCAGTCCTCTCGTGCTAGAGTAGCCTCGACCTCGGCTGCGCGCATCCTGCTGGCTTGCCCGTTTCCCGTCATCGCAAAGCAGGGCGAGCTTTGTTCCCCGCCAAGGCTGGAGCTACCCCTGCTCCCTTGCTGATCACCGACCCTCCAATCGCCGCGCCATTGCAGTTGGCAGTGGGCACACGACACGAAACGCTCACACGACTCAGGACACCTCATTGTCTGTCTGCCTGCCTACGGGCCTCGGCCGAAGTGCCACCCTTCCTAAAAGGTGCTTCTGCTGCCCTCAGGCCCTGCGACAAACACACCTTTCGCACGAATCGAACCTACTTCGTATCCTCGAGACCGGCCAGCTGAAGCGGATCTGCCCCGCCAAACATGGCTTCCGGAGACCTGCGGCAACGGACGAAGCCGGCGCCCACCGACAACGGCGATCCGCCTGCTGCAAACCTCAATGCCGGCACCACGACGCTCACGGATCCCAAAGTAGCCCATCCCTCCGGAAAGAGGAAACATGGCCGCTTGATCCGGTGGTTCAGAGGGTTTTCCTTCGCCGTTTACTTCCTGTCATCATGCATCGCGTAAGCCCCCTCGTATCCTTGCAGGGGTACTCCAGACTGTTCCAGCTCCAAGAGCTAACCAGAGCTTTCCTTCGCAGCATCAACCTGACCCAGATAGTCGGCGCGCCGCTCTACTGGCTCAACCGCGACCTCTACTACGCCTACATGGCCCTGACCAAGCAGTCCTTCGGCCTCCTGATCACGAGCATGACGTACTGGTGGGGCCCCACGACGATACGCATCAGCGGCGACGATTCGGTCGCCGGGCAGATCAAGCGCACCGCCGACGGCCGCGTCGAGTTCGCCTTCCCCGAGCGCCTCGTCCTCATCGCCAACCACCAGATCTACACCGACTGGCTGTACCTGTGGTGGGTCGGCTACGCCAACAGCCCCCAGATGCACGGCTACCTCTACATCATCCTCAAGGAGTCCCTCAAGTACATCCCCGTCATCGGCACCGGCATGATGTTCTACGGGTTCATCTTCATGTCCCGCAAGATGGCCGTCGACCAGCCCCGCATGGCCCACCGCCTCGGCAAGCTCAAGACGCGCCACACCGCCCCCGACGGCCGGTCCTACCTCAACCCCATGTGGCTGCTGCTCTTCCCCGAGGGCACCAACCTCTCCAACAACGGGCGCGCCAAGTCGGCCAGGTGGGCCGAGAAGTCGGGCCTGGTCGACATGCAGCACCTGCTGCTCCCCCGGAGCACGGGCATGTACTTCTGCCTGAGCGAGCTCAAGGACACGGTCGAGTACGTGTACGACTGCACCGTGGCGTACGAGGGTGTACCGTAAGTCTTGGTGGTCCCACACACACACTCCATATTTCGAAAACTCTCGCACTGACTGACACACGAGCAACAGGCGCGGTGGCTACGGCGAGGAATACTTTGGCCTCTCGAGCACCTACTTCGAGGGCCGCGCCCCCAAGTCGGTCAACTTCCACTGGCGCCGCTTCCGCATCGCCGACATCCCCCTGTCCGACGCCAAGGAGTTCGAGCTGTGGCTGCGCGAGCGCTGGTACGAGAAGGACGCCCTCATGGAGGAGTACCTCGCCACCGGCCGCTTCCCCGCCAGCCCCGAGGCCATCGTCGACTCCAAGGGCCTGCAGGGCAGGACGGGCGCCTACGTCGAGACCGAGGTCCGCACGCGCTACCCCTTTGAGTTTGTGCAGATCTTTGTCGTCCTCGGCGTGTTCGGCCTGGTCTGGAATGTCCTGGGCAAGATGTGGGCCAACACGGTGGGCGTCTTCCGGTGACGAGCGAGCAGGGAGTGGGCGAGGTATTGATGGTGCTTGATCTTACTTTTTTTTTTATATTCTTTTTTTGCATGGAGTTTGTATCAAGGACTACCCGAGCAGATTGGTGTCTGGTTCCGTCATTTCGGGCGATCGTCGTATTGGGTGTTTTGCAGTTCAGCGTTCTGGAATAGGTGGTGCGGTGCATGCGGTTTCACGACTAGGGATTGAAGGGGGCTTCTTTCTGGGTTAGATTGGCGCATCCCTTTGTTCTCGGCGGGATACAGGATGGGAATTGGCTTAGGATCATCTTCCCTACTCATAGCGAATATCCATTTTTGACATGCAAGTCGACATTGACGGCTGATTGTATTATTCGACACATGGCAACTCGGATCTCCATCTCATATTGGACGGGTTGGCTCACTTATCAGGAGGATCAGGCATGGTCAACAGCTTCCTGGCTGTGGCAACACCGGCTTGACTTGTCTTTTCCCTCCAGATTGTCGAAAAGGGTGTACCTGATTCTAGCCCCCAGTCCACGAGTGCCACCACAAGCTCATGGAGGCCGGATTTCTCATTGAAAGGGCCGAAGACATGGCACATGACCGGTCAACGTCCGGACAAACATGCGGGAGCCGTACAAGTACCTCCAAGAGCGAAGTGTTTGCGTTGCACAAGCTGGACTTCCGGACAGAGAGTACTGAAGTATTACAGGTCTGGAATAAGTTGCAAGAGTAACACGTACAAGATCAAGCAATAGGCGAGTCGGTTCTACAAGGCCTAAGATTTAGTGTGTGCTTGGGTGGCAGTGTGGAAAGCTGTAGGGTTACCCGCCGGATCGGCCCCATCGACAAACTCTGAATATGGCCCGGCGATGCACCTATGTGAAACACGCGCCTCGCTACCACAGGAATCCCGTTGCATGCTAGAAACTACCGCTGCACGACCGACACTTTTCTGTATGCTTGTGGACCCCGTTACTGGCAACGAGCGCGTAAGTGCGCAGTGGAGGCGGCGGAGTTTCAACGACATGTTTTGCTCTGAGAAGTACTTAGATCTGAATTCTCGCCTTTTCCACGTCCACAGTAGACGTTGCAATCTATTCTCTGCAGTTTATCGTTATAAAACACGGACCCAAAGCGTTCAACGTCCATCATGAAGTTGTTGATATTCGCAGCCGTCCTGGCCCTGCTCCAGGGAGCGAGCGCCCGCTCGCGGGTCTGCGAGATCCAGTAAGTCTCTGCACGATATAAGAAACGGTTTCATTCCTGAGCTGACAAACTTACTTTTGCCAGTTCAGCTGCCATCAAAAGATACGAAAAGTTCTGTCAGTGCAGTGACGGTATGTCCTTTTCGAAGCTGCAGGCTCCTTGGGACCGATTTTGCTAATATTGTAAAGGCCTCTGCTACAATCTGGACAACAAAACGGGATGCAATCCACCTCGACCGGGCCTGATCCCATGCGTGTTTGGGACCCCCTCGTCATGAATATGGGAGATGTCAAGGATCCAATCTTGGGGAGCTTTGGCACACAGTGTAGATGGCATGTCTGATGGTCTCTAAGAAATGACTTGGACGTGCCACAGATGATGGTGAATCAGAGGCTGAGACTCGAATCGAACCCACAAGCGGGTGTCAAAATAGTTGACGAAGGTTCATCAGGAGCTACCTCGATGTTAGCAATCGATATCCTTGTCATATCTTTGCCCTGGAACTCGGAATGATCCCATTACCTTAGACAGTTACTTCTGTGAGCAGTCCGTCAATTAATGTGACCACCACTTGCGCCATAACCATCTACGTCAGGGTAGCCTTGCTGTATTTCGATGTACATAAAACTATTAATCGCTATCGCTAGACTTTAATGGATGACACTGTCAATGATCCACGCTTTCGTTCCTGCCATACCCTTCCCACGATGTCCACACCTATGAAGGGGGCTGTGCCGCATTTTCTGGTGGCATTTGGAAAGGTTCCAGATGACGACTGCTGGGTTGGAAATCGATCAACAGATTCAGACGCTTTGCGATATGGAACTTCTCCCAACATTCTCTGCAGCTTTGACTGCACTGGGGAAGACACCACGCTCTTGGCGCGTGCGCCAGATCACCCTACTGCTCTGCTACCGCATCGACGTCGCCCGCCTTGATTTCCAGCTCGGCGGGAACTTTCATATATAGTGTCAGCTTGCAAGGCGCCTCGAAAATGACGTGCAGGAACAGCGAGCGAGAAATGAGGACCTACCAAAGGCGAATCGAGCTCTCAGTTTGACCTGTGGATGGCGTAGACAGCCCAGGTCCATATCGCCGTAGCCGGTGGGCCGAAGGGCTTGCTTTTTCGCAAGTTGTCGGAGCGCAATCACGTAGAGCTCCCTACGGAACCCAAACTCGTTCAAGCCTTCTCCAATCCGGCCAGGGTTTGCCTTCTTCCTCCGGCTTGAAGTAAACAAGCAGAACGATTTGCATCTTTTCCATGCCGGATCCGACGTCGAGCTGCTCGGGGCTTCCAAGGAGGCAGTGCGTCTTGCCCGGGAGGAGACGAGACCGGCCATTGCCCGCGCCATCCCTGTGTGTCTGGGCAAGGAGGAAATGATCCAAGAGTACATCGCGTCCCTCCTGCAACAAAGGTATCGGTTAGCGTATGGTTCCGCTCCCCAGATGTGCGCCCGCGAGGGCAATCAAACGAAACGTACCTCCGCTCTTGATCTGGCGTCACGTTTTGTGTCGGGTTCGGCTGAGACATAATGGCTGACTGGAAGCAAGACTAATGGGATAACAGACGCGAATACTAGTCTCCAGAATGTTGAATGATATGTTCGAGGAGTTGGCCAATACTCATCTCGGAGAAAGGTCACTGGTGTCTGGTGCTTCGACAAGCGAAGCTCAGAAGACGCGCGGAGGCGATTTAATGGAAGCGGCTTCGTTAGCATTTGGTTTCCGAAAGTTCTTTCCATCTCATGACTGGCGAAGTATTGCGAGTCGTCATGAGCCACAGAAGGAGGAATAGCTTGCGAAAGCAACAGTGAACATATGTGAATCGGTCAAGAACCTGCAGGTCACTGAACACGCGGCGTCACTCACTCATGAGTCTCACAGCCATGCAAACCCGTCCAGCTGTTCCTGCTTGCGGCTATTTCACTGAAAGGTATAAAAGGCCACTCGCATGCTTGGTCCTCGAGGGGCGACTTCTCTACCATTCTCAAAGGTCGCCATACCACAAAGCTCTTTGATACAATTCTCGAAGCAAACATGCCTGGAAGCGATATCGCCAAGTCCAAACAGGAATACCGAGCATTCCTCGACGCGTTCTACGAAGAACACAAGGGCCATCCGTCCATATCCATCGACTTGCCCAAAGGAATTACCAAATGCGTTCATCACGATAAGGACCGGCGCTTCGCGCTCTTGGCGCACCTTCCCGCCAAGGACGCAACCGCGACCAATCTCAAGCCCAACCTTGCCGATGCTACTTACAAAGAGGCTCTGACTTGGCTTTCCGAGGCCTTCCCGCCCGACTCCTACGGTAGCTTCACCCAGCTGTGCATCATAGACGGAATCCAATGGCGATTTGTTCATGGTGAGGCATGCAACGGACAAGACATCATGAAAGGTCTCCGTCGCTAACGACTTTTCAGTGCCGGAAGACTGCTGTGAACAGGCAGACATCCCTTGTGTCGCAGCGCTGTGGAGGACTCTCGCTATTGTGCCTCTCGAGTACAGGGTCATCGAGATGCACTACCGAGCCAAAGAGACGCTCGAGCCCCTGGAAAAGTGATGGCTTGGCGGCGAGGTTCTGCCTACAGTGCCCGGAGGACAGGTTGCAAGGGTTGCTCGATGCAGCAAGGCGGTAATTAGTACAGTATTTTTAGAATAGCTGATGAGAGAGAATCGAAATCATTTTGGACCACTCGTTCTCCATCGATGTCGCCAATACTATCTGGACGTCCAAGGCGTTGGCCCGGCAGGAGACCGGTGTCTCCCCGACGTCCAACGTCCATTCTCCTCCCCAGTGGAGCTCTGCTGAAGCTTCTCTTGACAGCCCTATACGTGCTTTCGCTTTGTCAGTTTGTTTTGGTTGCTTGACTGAACGCATGTATGGCGATTTGCATCCTTCTCCAGCACATACTTGGTCTTGGAAAGCGATGCTTGGAACCTCTAGGATGTCACTCGCACGGTTTGAATTGGAACCGGGTTCCCGACTTCGGCATCAATGTGGTGATGTATCAGATCACCAAATGCGGGTGTCTATACAAAAGGAGTGCTATTCGCCGGTGGCCATCTCTTCTATCGGCTCCCCTATCCGCCCCAGAAATTCGTTCTCGTTGCAAAAATGGGTCGTGCCAGTGCTACAAGTCCTGTTGAGTCTCCTCAAGCCCAATCTCCACCGTGGCCAGGATAACCGCGGGTTAGACGCCGGAAAGCCTTTCCGAAGAAAAACTTCGCATGAGCTAGTATTCGGGCGATGGTTGAGGCCGATTAGTGTAAACCTGAGAGTTCGCTGTATTATCGAGCAATACATTGGGCAGCGCCGCATTGCGACATCGAGTCCCGGAGGCTAGGCCCGTGGCCATGAAGGGGGACTGGGGTACTGTTGACTCTTCACCAGGAGCTTCAAGTCCATCTCCTGGGGCGTCCCTGTCGCCAATTGTAATTAGGCAAAACAGGACAAGCGAGCCTGAGGTGCCAACGGTTGAGGATCCAGGCGCATGTCTTGTTGCGGCGCAGCTAAGCCCAAGCACGATGACCTCTCTCACCTGCATATTGGCGCCAGCCTCCAACCAATATGACCTCAGAAAGGAGCAGTAAATACACGGAGGAGACAGCCTCCAGGAACCGAAGTGGAAAGGCGCCCCGAATGTTGAGACGACGGGCAATATGCCGTGATCCCGTCCTGTGCCGTATGCTCACTTGCACTGAACCTTAGACTGACCTCAAATGCAAACAGAACCGACTATGAACTGGTTTGAATGAGATACAAATGAGATATAAAGACGACAATCCATCTCCTTTTCTCCACCATCTATTCACCAGTCACCAAGACAATCGACTCTTCTATCCCATACCAGCTTGCAGATTATTGTTCTCGACCCTCGCTTTTTCAAAATGAAGGTTACTGTTATTCTCGCCACTCTTCTCGGCCTTGCTGCCGCCGTCCCGGCCACTCAGTCTTTCGAGGTTGACCTATCTGAGCTGGAGGAGCGCTCCGACCTCGAGGCTCGTGGCAAGTGTGCCTCGCTGTACAGCTGCGTCAGCGGCCGTTGCATCCGCATTGTGTGCAACTCTACCGGCATTGGCACCACCTGCACCACCTTCAAGGGCGGCAAGTGCTAAGTATCCTTCAAAGAGTAAGTGACAGTCAGCCACCAAGGAGCTCGTTCTCCGGTCCTAATGCTTGTTGGCTGATCATATCCTCAAGCACTTGCCACTCCGTTCTAGTGCTTGAGATATACAAGGCATGATGCTGCTAGGCATGTGGGTATTGGCGATCACTGAGTTTATGAAGTCTACTGGCAAGCTTAGATGTGGTACTATCGGTTAGAAAGTTTTTTTTATGTTTTTTTATCGCGGTACCAGTCGGACGAATGAGTCAGCAGAATTCACCTCGGTCTCCATCACCTCTGGTCAATTCTGTACTGTAGGACTTATTATACACGTTTGAGAGCCAATGACAGTCCAGGGCACATGTAATGCCACTGCTGTCTCCCTCCCATGGCTCTGGGCTCTGATGTGTGCTTGCCAGACTGTGTTGTGATGCTAAGTAAATGTCTACCAAGCTTCAGATCGCCGACATCGTTGATATGTCGAAGCTACAATGATTCGGTGGTAATTATGTGTGTTCCTCTTGCCATTCATACGTGAATCTCATGACTTGACCACCTCCCCATGTGGCAAATGAGGCTCCGGGCCCGCGTAGCCAACATCTCTCTATTGTAACGTTGAATTTGGTGCACTTGCCAGCCGTCCTCCCAGCTAGTGAGGCGGCGTTACCGACAGGTCAGAGACCCACTACCTGTAGCTCATCCGTCCGCAACGCCGGCGGAACCTTGACAGCCTGCCCGGCTTGTCAAAGAGCCTTAGTAAAATAGACGCGAGGCGGCACTCAGCGCAACATCTTCTTATCGCAGCGGCCTTTGAAGAGCTCTCTGAAATTTCTTGTCTTACGCACGCTCAGACGAGGAAGCTGGAGAACTTGTGTGGTCTCGCAAAGACGTGCTGTTGAGCCTCTGTAATACTGACCAAATTACCTGAGTAGTTTAGCCAAGGCTCGAGATTCAGACTGTCCCCACAAGGCGTTTCCCAGACAGCCAGTAGCGCTTCTCTAATTCCCCAATTCGGAACTGGGGCTCCGCATTGGGGTTGCTCGAGTCAGGACTCACTGAACAACATACTAGCAACATACCAACGGTATCAGACTACTGCCATGTGGGTTCCGCGTGAGGTGTTGAATTTCTCATTTAGGGAAACCTTAAGCCAAAGGGCAAAGAGTCAGTCAAAATGCGGCTTGTATAAAGAGACGACGCTTTCGCAAGACTGCGACTTGGTCAGTCCATAAAGAGAAAGCATCTAATCTAGTCCATAATAACTCCTTGGGAGACTTGCATATCCTCCAAACGCACCGCCATCACCCGTGACAAAATCCCAAAGTCACAAGATAAAATGCAGTTCACATCCAAGTCCCTGATGCTCGGCGCGGCAGTAGCCCTGGCTGGTCTGCACCTCGCCCACGCCGCGAGCAACAACAAGCCCTGCCCCGGCGTCCAGCACGTGGGCGATGGCGGCAAGGACGACTACTGCTGCATCGGCGGCTCCCTGCACTTCAGCAACTGCGACGGCTGGCCCATCTGCAAGGGGCCGACCTCGTTCGACCCGGCCACCGAGACGGTGCTGAGCTGCGCCACCACCGTCCCGCTGTCGGCACCCAACTACGCCGACCTGGTCTCGAGCGCGAGCTCCAAGTACCTCAACGCCCAGGGCTCTGCCACCGTCCCCTTGACGCCCGTCGGTGCCGCCGCCCAGGCCGCTCCGACGGCGGCCGGCCAGCCTGCCAAGACTGGCACGACCGCGAAGGCCACGACCTCTGCGCCTTCTGGTACGACTACGACCACGTCGGCAGGTGCCAAGACAACGCAGTCGAGCACGAACGGTGGTGGGAGGCTAGAAGCTGCTTATGGTATTGCTGGTGTCCTGATAGGGGCCGCTGCGCTGTTGTGAGATGCGGCTTGATCGCTCTGTGTGAGAGAGGAGGGCTCTGGGGGAAGAAAAGCGCTGGGGACTTAGCCCTATGGTAGCTATAAAATGGAGTCAAAGGAGCGTGGTGTATTTGTTAAATAGACCACTGTGGCTTTGGGGCCTCGTCATTTGAACCGGCAACATCAGATTCATCCAATTGAACAATATCTCAAAGGCTATGCGCGTAGAGACGAAGCCCACATATTCAAGACGAGTGTGCATCGCTCTAAGGAACTTGATTTACCGACAACATTGCAGGCGGTCACACTTGGAAAACGAGATGCGTGAAATTATCTAAGGATTAAGAAAAACTAGGTAGGGGGTATCTATCGTACCTTTGTCATGAAAACGCAACAGGACCAACGCCCTTTTTAGCCCCTGAACTTTCCGGATCCCGCCCGGTCATTAGAAGGAAACCAGCATTGAAGAAGAAAATTATTTCATCCCTCCGTCCTTCTCATTCCCACTCCGGCTCTCTGCCCGCGACGGCGTCGGCGTCTGGTCAACCTGCTCGACCGAAACAGTCGTCACCGTCTCGCACTGTATCGCCATCCCCATGACCTCCCCGGCCCCCATACCAAAGCCCCTCAGAGAGTCCTTGCTCGCCATCTTGATGTTGTCGCCCCTGAGCGTCCGCAGGCTCGCACCGGTGACAACCTTCTCGTTCCACCTCTTCCACCTCTTCTCTTGCTGGCACTTGGCCCCGCCGTCACCGCCAGACACAAAGACGACGTTGCCGAACTGCCGGCCCTCGGGCGTGCGCATAAAGGCAAAGGTCTCGAGCCCCGTGTCTTGCGAGGGGGGAGCGCCGCCGGAGAAGACGATGGAGCGCCGCGTCCAGCTGTAGAGCAGCACGTCGAGCCACCCCGCCGAGGCGATCATGCTGCCCGCGTAGCAAAAGTAGGCCAGCTTGACGTCGCGGCCGGCCATGGAGGCAATCCTTCCGGCAGCCAGGGGCGTAGTGCAGAGCATGTAGATGATGGGGTAGAGGAGGAACGTCGGGTGGCGGGCGGAGCGCGGGATCGGAGGGAGTCGCTTGGTCGTCATGTCGGTCATTGTTGACCGTGACGGAGATGGGGGGATGAGCAGGGGTGGCGGTGAGGGCCCGTTGGGGTCTGGATTCGGGTAGTGCTCTGCCTGTGAGATGGTGGCGTTGGAGCCACGCCGGCCGGTTGCGATGGATGACGCCGCAGATGCCATGCAGCAGGTTGGTGAGTGTTTGCTGTGGAAGCGGAGGTGGAAGAAGATGACCAGATAGATGGCCCAGGTCAGGGCGAGCGCGAGGAAGATCCAGAGATAGTGTGTGTAGAGGCGCAGGTCTTGGTAGGCCGGGTTGACCCAGCACTAGAGATATGTCAGTCCGACGGCCTTGATTCTGGGCCTCTCACTTGACTCACCCATGCCCCGGCTCTGACGTAGTATCCGCCATCATTAACCCCGTTGTCCGTGACGAGGACACCCAGCATGGTGACTCCGTAGACAAAAGACCACATGCCTACAATAGCCAAGTAGAATCCCCACGTTGGTACTCTGTAATTCTTGATAACGCCGAGGTATGTGTGCACTCCGATAGCCGCAATGAACACGCTCGACGCGAGGTCACCAACAGAGACGAACCAGCCCTGTGCCCAACATGTCGGTGTGCCGACATCAATCGAGTCCTTTGTCAACCACTCCACGTTGAGCATGAAGGCTACTGCTTGTTGGATGTCTGCAAAGAGAAGGTTGTATATCAAGATGAGAAACTGGTTCGGTGGTTCCCTCCGTATCCGGGACATGAACGTGGTTTTGGTCTCCCTTGGTGACGGAGGCGGAGGAGGCCATTCCTCTCGATACGCTGTCTTTGGTACGAGGAACCCGTTCACGTCTGAGGCCGTCGGCGACTCCGGCTCTGAACTGACTGGACTTTCTTCTTGCTCTCCCGGGGGTAGTATCTGCCATATGATCAACTTGTATGTCAAAAAAGCAAATAACCCAAGGCTAGCAAAGAAAGACAAGAAGCCAAAAGTGGTGACTGCCCCAAGGCCATGTCGCAGGACGGGCGGCAGAGGCGAGATAGAATTAGGTGAGTCTTCCGAGTCGTACTTCATGCCCTCCACGGGCCCCTCCATCATCTCCATTTTCAACAATGGTAGCGACTGTAAGTGTGCTCCCAAGGGAGTAAATTAGGTTAGAAAGGAAGAGGTGAACAAATGAACTACCAGTGTCCCATTCCAGGGGAGCACAAAATTCGAGCCAGGTGGGCGATGTTGTGATCTTCACATATTCTCCGAGACTTGAAGCCCTCCCCACAATTTAAGGAATGTGACAGAGGAAGAGGGTGGAGCAGAACTGGCCTTCATATCTGGAGAAGAAACACTCTCAGTTTTGAAGACTGCTCAGCCGTGGACCAAGATGGAGGGCACGAGCTGCTTAATGCCCGAGAGGCGTTTGTAACGAAGCGACGCATCTAATCCTTGCGGTCTGATCCCGCGTGCCGTGCTTGCATATGCTGGTAATGCAACCCTATATTGAAGATAAACCGGATTTTCTTTGATAATGATAGGAAGCTCCCAGCCCTAATCGCGCTTTTTACGTGAATGTGCAGTGCATTGCGCAACTGTCTTAGCGGGATCGAAACGCTTTGGTTGAGTAGGATTCCACGTTGCAGCCATGTTCCAAATCTGAAATAGCCTGAAGATTGACGGGCCCAGACCTATGTGACCCCTGGTACATGAATGCATTTTCCCACGGACTTATCCTGCGACGCCAATTCTAGGGAAGAGGTGGTACGGGTACATGTATGATTGGCTGTTAAGGGATAGGAGGATGTAAGCCTGTCGCAGATCATCTTGAGAGTGCTGACTCTTGTCTACGACCGCCTCAAAACCCAAGCCCAAGGGTCAAGCTAAATCAATGACGAGAGATCCTAAACAATGGCGCGAATGTGTGAAATGTCCAACGCCCAAGAATTAATATTCAAAGCCATATAAGATGATGACTAAAGCCTCTATGATATTGACACTCAAGTCCCTACTCCTCATGGAGCGTGGGCCCTTTATGCCAAGCTTTGCTTGTAGGCGAGAATTTGGCTATTCTTTGATCTGCTTCCTCCCGAAATCAGCCCGTCTTGCCAGGCACCATTTCAGCTCGGAGATTTCCGATCCGTTGGTCCCCGAGCAACGTGAAATGTAAAGACCTGTGAAGCCTGCCGTTCCAAGAGAATCATTCATGCAAAGAACAGTTCAAGAACACTTGGCTTTCTTATGAACAATGCTGTATAAATGCAAAGTTCACTCCACAACGGAAGTTGCCGCCTCCTATCACGACGTGTTGAGAAAACACTATCCCCCTGAAAACGAGCTTCCATCGTTCCGGTTGCGAGGGTATCCTGCTGCGTATGATATTGCCACTCGAGAACTGGTCCGACAAGAGGATGGAAAGGGTCTTCACGTTTATTATAGTCATCTCAAACAGTCTTGTCAGACTTGATATGACATCCGATTGAATACAAATCATGGTATAGGTATCTATCCATGCAGGAAATCATACACCTGCTTCTGAACCTGTCCCTCGTAGACGTAGTTGTCCGAGTTGAGCCGCCACACGTGGATGCCTGCCATGCTGTACTTGGTGTAGACACCCTCAGCCTCTGCCACAGTCGGGCCCGGGCAATTTGTCTCGGGGCAAACGCCATATAGCAGCTGATCCTTGCGGTACCCGATGTTCAAAAAGTCCTCTGGTGTCAGGTTGACCCCGCCGGCATACGTCTGCATGTTGACGTAGGAGAGAGACGACGCGGCAGTCTCCAAGTAGTCCGTGTCGGACGGCGAGACCGTCACCCAGTACTCGCGGCCAGTGCTGGCCGTCAGGCCGCTGAGCTGCTGCCGCACCTGGCCGAACAGATACCCGATGAAGGGAACGAGGTTGTTGTCCTCGTAGTCCACATCGAAGCCGTCGAGGCCGCCCGCCACGGGCGCCCACTGCTGGAAGAAGGCGCGCACCGACGCCGCGTACGCGTCCACCGCCTCCGAGGTCGTGCTGTTGCTGGCCTCGTCGATCAGTGCCGAGAGAGGCAGGCCCCAGGTCTTCTGGCCCTGGCCCCACCACTGGGAGATGGCGATCTTGATGGCCGGGTTCTGGGCCCGGGCCGTCTCGAGAGCCCACTGGAAGCGGTTGGCGAGCGGGCCCGTCGTGTTGGAGGAGAACAGCCCGAAGCTGCCGTCGGCCTGGATGCCCGCGGGCCCGATGAAGAGCGCGTCGACGTTGGCGAAGTTGATGGCGGACCACTCTGCGGGGATGGTGTTGTAGTTCGCGTCATCAGACAGATAGAGCCATGCGCCAGCGATGGGCCTCACCGCCGGCGTTGGCGATGAGGTGGGCGAAGAGGAAGAGCTTGTCGAGGAGGCGTAGACTGTAGAAGTCGTGAAGGATCCAGTGGAGGTTGAAACGGGGATAGACGTAGGCGACGAATTCGGCGACACGTTCGGGACTGGTGACACTCCAGATGAGGCAGGGAAGACAACATCCGATTGAACGACCTGAACGATATGTCCGTTCGATTCAACGACCTTGACAATGTGTCCGCATCGACCACCACAGCCGCAACCGCACGGAACACACGCTTGAACTCCGGCAATGTGCAGCAGGGTCAGCACCATGAGGATCCATCTCACGTAGGAGGCCATGATGTTAGTCTAGCGCTTTGTTGTCAAAGTCCAACAGTCTAAACGAGCAACCTACTCCTACGTAGCTGGCAAGGAGAGAGCACAAAGAGGGAAAATGGGGACTTAATACACCGGTTCATTCGCGTCCAAGTTGTATGTCGATCACCTTTTCTATCTCTATATATATGAACAGTGGTCAGGGTTCTGGTGACTGGAATGCGCGAGGCCCTAGTCGCGTTCGAGACCCGCGTTCTGGGCTGAGAACGTGTTTAGTAGCGGCAGGAATGCAACCCGCGCGCAAGGTCGAGATAACGATGGGGATGCCCGGGTACAGTCAAATTAGACCCCGGTCTTTCGTGGTCCGATATAAAGCTTAACTTTAATCAAGGCCAGGTTCTTATGGATAGCCGACAGACTAGTTATCGTCAAATTGCCGACAACAGGGTCCATATCTAGTAAACACGCGAAAGACACAAGGATCTCAGTACCTCAATGTGCTCTATTGTTCGAGAGACAGCGTAGTTGATTCCTGGTAGGGGGCAAATGTGTATACGCTTAAGTATTGAGGGCAGTAATGGCGGGTTGATGAGAAATAGGGCTCGTTTGACGATTCGGCCGTTGAGACCAGTGAACACTCCCGCTCCAACCTAGCGTCTGATATACGAAATGCGAGTTGGTAGCAGTGAATAGTATCAAGATATGGCAATATCTCTGAAGAGAACATGGCATGATATCTTGTCCAAGATATAAGCACTGAGCGCTATCCGAGGCTGCTGGTCCAAAAGGTTGGTAGATACAAGCACAAGGCTGAATACCAGACTTCCACAACAGGAAAGCTTTGCCGCGTTCAGCTTCCTCGTTGCAAATGCTACTACACAGAGGGACACGATACGAGGCCAGTCAGAAGCGGGGAGACTGGTGTGGGTCGGGCTTCTCTGCTATCTTCTTCTCAAAGCCGTCTAGATTTTTGAAGGCATAAACATGGCGCATTCAAATGGTTTGATGATACTTTTGAGGATGATGGGCGGACGATTTGACAAAACCTATCTGGATAAGGTAGTTCTATCTATGCTATCAATGACTGATGGAAGCATCAATGCACGAGTTAGCTGAACAGACTGGAAACACAAAGCGGCAATTGTGCGAGTGGCAAACCACCGGGGCACACCAATGGCAGGTTCCCACAATAATCCCACGCAGTAGGTTGCAAGAGGCAGGTATCTGCGGTGATAATCAAGCACAAATCCCAGAATCAACCCCACCTCTTTGCTTCCCCAAAGCCGCTCGGTGGTAAAACGGGCTTGGCCTTGAAAGTCGTACGGACCTAGTGTCTCATCATATAAAAGGATCACCGCTTACCTCCGTCCTCTGAATACTCGTGCGACTCCAGGCGGTTCTTTGACATTCTCAAATCTCTGAACAACATGAATGATTCGACAATGAAGTCCGACCCCGATCCGGAGAGCATTGCTCCAGCGCCGTCCAACGTCGGTGAAGTTATCCAAGACAAGACGATTCAGCACGATGCTGTGTTTGGCACCATCACAACAAAAGGGCCCAACTACCGCAATGTTGGGTGGATTGGGACCCTCGCTCTCATGATGAAGACACAGATTGGGCTTGGCGTGCTGTCCATGCCCGTCGTCTTTGACACTTTCGGGCTTATTCCCGGCATCATCGTTCTCGTCGTCGTTGCCGCAGTCACAACTTGGTCAGACTACATCGTCGGAACATTCAAGCTGCGTCACCGGCACGTCTATGGAATCGATGATGCTGGCCGGATGCTGTTCGGAAAGATTGGCTACGAGGTGTTTGGGGCTATGTACACCTTGTGTAGGTCGAATCTGTGACTTGTTCTCGTCCGATTTCCTTCTAACAACTTTTTAGACTTTACCTTTGTTTCCGGTTCGGCCATGCTCGGTACCTCGGTTGCACTCAATGCCCTGTCGACACATGGTGCTTGTACAGCCGTATTTGTAGCGGTTGCGGCCATTGCAGTCTTCTGTCTGTCAAGCATTCAGACCCTGGGCCGGATGAGCTGGGTCGCTTGGCTTGGAGCCTGCTGCATTATAGTTTCCGGCAAGTTGCACCGTAATCTGGTTGGAAACGCGTCTAATCTCGCCCGATCTACAGTCTTTGTCATAACGATCGCCGTCGGCCTCCAGGACAGACCTTCAGCAGCGCCCCCGGGTCCGGGCCCGTGGAAATCTGACTACAAACTCGCAAACAATCCGAGTTTCACCGATGCTATCTCTGCGGTGTCGACCCTGATCTTTACATACGCCGGCACCCCGGCCTTCTTCAACATTGTTGCCGAGATGCGAGACCCACGCCTCTACAATCGAGCGTTGTACACATGTCAGATCACTGTGACTGTCGTCTACATCGTCGTCGCGACCGTTGTGTATTACTATTGCGGATCCTATGTATCGTCACCGGCTCTCGGCTCGGCAGGACCTTTGATGAAAAAGGTGGGATACGGTATCGCTCTGCCAGGACTGCTGGGCTCCGGGGTCCTTCTTGCCCATGTAAGATGACGCCCTCTATATATACTTTCAGACTCTGATTAGGACTGACCCAACCCCCAACAGCTCCCCGCCAAGCATGTCTTTGTACGGGTCCTACGAGGAAGCAAGCATCTCACTACAAACACCGCCATCCACTGGGTGACGTGGTTCGGGTCGACCTTCAGCGTGACGCTGGTGGCGTACCTGGTCGCCAGTGGGATTCCCGTCTTCTCGGGTCTCGTCTCCCTCATCGGGGCTTTGTTCGCCTCCAGCCTGACCCTCCAGCCTTATGGCTGCATGTGGTTGTACGATCACTGGCAGGACTCGAGGACGGCTAGGTGGCACTGCATGGTCGCCTGGTGCGCATTTATCATCCTCGCTGGCACCTTCATCACGGTGGCGGGTACTTATGGGTCTATCGTCGCCATCGTGCAGTCTCCTGATAGATCGCGACCATGGTCGTGCGCAGATAACTCGAATTCTACCTGAGTGCAGGTCTTGATGCTGCCATAATTTCAAGGGGGAAGATGAGAATAGAAAGTCAGTTGAGAGAGACCACTTGCCATTGAGTCAAGCTGAGATGGCTGGCTACCTTGAAAATCCTCAAGACACTTAGGTAGACATTAAGACGCGCAAAAGGGCGAAATCAATTAACAATCCAAAATCGGGCCACTTCATTAGCCAAATGCCGAGCCTTCTTCAAGCCCTGAAATTCCCGCAGCCTTCTCAGGCTCGTCTTGTGAAGATCAAGTTCAGCGTGGGCAAGACTAGAGTGAAGGTGTCCCTCTGGCCCTCGATGAAAGCCTCCTTGCCCTGGTCTGGCGCAAACGCGACATCCCACCGCCGTACGATCTGCGCAGTCACCCACCTGATCTCCATCAGAGCAAGCTGCTTCCCGATACACATATATCGACCTGCACAAACATCTTAGTTAACGACAATCATCCATGGTGGGATTCTTAGCAGTTGAGCGTACCGGTACCAAAGGGCATGAAGACACCGGCTTCCTTCACCATTTCTGGCTTTGTAGTCCACCGCTCGGGTGCAAACTCATCTGGTTTCTCAAAGTTTCTCACATCTGCAGTAGTAATTGGTCAGCTTTGGGGGATGGTTTGTGGGGTGACCGAGATTTTATCCCTTGCTGGGAGCATACCTCGAAGCTGAGTGTAAGTGGGAACCTGCACGAGGGTATCGGCGGGGATGAATGTGTCGCCGATATGCATCCCCTGCGATGGGATAACCCTCTGAACGCCGGATGGCACCGGCGGGTGAAGGCGCAGGGCCTCGTTGATGACGGCATCGAGGAATGGAAGGTTAGCCAGGCTGCGAATAGTGACTTCCTCTTGTGCTTCAAAAAGCTCGTCAACTTCTCCCTGCAGTTTCTTCAGGGAGTCTTGATCACAAGCCAACTCGAAAAAGAGCGAGCCCAGGCTGGCAGCTACGGTGTCGCTATTTGTTTCTTGTCAGTTCTGAGTCCTGTGGTTCTCTCGGGGCCATGCCATAGGCCACTTACCTGCCCGCCACAGCGATGAGATACGCATCCCCTTCCAGGTCGAGCTCCTCCTGCGCCGTGGGCTTGGCCTTGGCGTTGTGCGCCTCGAGCAGCGGCGAGAAGACGTCCGGCAGCTCGGGCTCCTTCCGCCGCCGCTCGCTGACCTGGACCTTGAGCCAGTCCCAGAAGCGCCTGTGCTCGGCGTTGAGGATGGGGGTGGCCTTGAAGATGGGGAAGAGCCAGAGCATGTGGCTGAAGAGGCCGATGTTGGTCATGTCGGCGTGCAGCACGACCATGAAGTAGTGCTTGATGCCGTCGCGCAGCATGTTGAACGACTTGCCCCAGGCCAGGTCGCCCATGACGTCGAAGCTGAAGAAGTTGAACCAGTCGCTGACGTTGATGGGCTGGCCCTCGGTCCGGGCGAGGTGCTCGAGCAGGTTGTTGGCGTGCCGGATGACTCTTGGCTCGTAGTCGCGGAGGGCTGTTCCGGAATTAGTAGTGTTCCCGTTGGTGGTGTCGGTGGGAAGGACATGTGTTGCTCACCTTTTGCGCTAAAGGCGCGATCCCAGATTTTGCGGCGGACGAGATGCTCGTTCTTGTCTCGGATCACTTGCAGAGAGATACGAGGCTGGAGGACATTGTACCATGGGCCTTTCGTGGGGTTGGTCTGGAGTAAGGGGAGGGCTCCAGGGTCATTGATGGAGATCTCTGAAGGTCCTATTTTCTTTCAGTGAGCAGACACTCCATATTCTTAAACTTAGCTTCATCATGGCGCTTACCAACTCGGACAAAGTCGCCATATTTCTGATGCAGGCGCTGCACCTCATTGTAGAGGTGCAGGTTCTTGGCTGACAGAGCAGTGATGTAGAGATTGGAGAAGCGGGCGAGGAAGGGACCGGGGAATTTGCGGAGACGGTGAAACCAGCCTCGATATATCATCATGCTGGTGTAGACCCCCAGGATGAGGAAACCCTCGAGGGTAGCAGCCGCTGTAGCAGTCTGGAGAAGCGACGAATAGACATCGGGAAAGACTCTCGATAGAAGGGCGGTCGCCACCAGAGGTAGCAGAGCAAAGGTGTTGATCAGGCTGGTCGTAGCCATGTCCCACTCGCCGATGCGGAAGACCGCAAGGTGCAGGACGACACCCGCGGCGAAGGCGATCTGCTTTGCGAGAGTTGCCCTGATGTCAATCATGGTGGCTTTCTTCTATGGTATGGCCAGTCTTGAAAGACGGGACAGAAGACGACGACCCGTTGAGTATTGAGGGAGAGAGTCGAGAATTAATACCGCCCTCGAGCTCCCTTGTGAGACATCCACAGCCATGGCGGGAGGGGCACGTCGCAGGAGGGTGTGATGCATGCGGTATCTGGGCTGCGAGGCAACACAAGTGCAGACTGTGTACAACGCTCGTCCCTCCCATATGATAGCGACAGCATCCAATCTGATCGACATGGTCTTGATGGTTGCAGCTTTGCCATGTTGGCGTGCTGCAAAATATGCACGTCCGGCCCGGACTGTCTTGCTGCATCGACGCGTACGGGATCCAGGCGAGTCTGCCGTCTGCTCAGTTCAGCTGGTGCCGTGAATGTGAACCTCGATGATCCATGTGAACCCCTCCCTCTCCCCTCCTGACGCTACCCGTCCCCCTCCCGTCCTGCTGTGTGGCCGTCCGACGTAGTATGCGGGGATGTTGATAAGACACAAAGAGTATGCCGGGGGCTCTTTGATCAGTAAGCTCATGCGCGTGCCAGGGCGCGAGAGTCAAATCAGGTTCTTGCTATTATTGATCAACGAGGGCAAGTGCTGCATATACATACCTCTGTTATATACATATTTCCCCTTCTATATGGAGCGATGTGCGGGTGCTAAAGAAGGCAGCGAGATACGAACATTGCCCACTCAGGTCGTCTCTGTGCTCTAGATGTTGTCGAACTGATGGCCTCTATTTGAGCAAGGGCCCTTGGATTTAGATATGTTTGCTGGCAATCTTCCAGCCCAGAGAAAGTTTCGCCTGCAGACCCCATCCAGCATCGGTTAATCAGCATAATAGCCTTGGCCCAGGATCGATTCAGATTCCCAGTCTATGGATCTCGCGTGTCCATGATACCCAAGTTACCAGACGCCCGCCATGTTTCGAAGCCCAACTACCCCTCAACACTCGTCCCAATCACATCATTTGTAACTGGATTCTGCCGTCGACTGAGGCGCCCCCTTCGGCAAGACGCACCGCTCGAGAGACAGTGTTCAGATTCAAATCCTATCCATACCAAAGAACGATGATGCAACTATCCATCGATATCTGTCCTTCTTGAAGAGACCAGCTCACGATAGCGACTGAGCTGGATGGCTTCCAAATGTGTGTTAGTGGCAGCGGGAGCGGGCGCAATGCCCACTGGACGCCCCGTAACTACAAGTATCTTATCCCCTGTATCCCCTGTCGGCTGCCCAAGCTTTAATGGGGCACAGAGGGGCACGCCAATGAAATTGTAACGTCATTCCACGCCCTCAGCTCACCAGCTCCTGCTGTTCCGAGCGCGACACTCCAGATGGGATGGGCTCACTTCCTCTCGTTGCATCACGGCCTCTGCTTTGCAAAAGACTCCTCTTCACACATGTGGTCATCTGCGCGTTCTCCTATCTGCGTCTCTTGTCAACTGCAAGTACAGGCAAAAACATCCAAGAACATCCCATCTGCCCTTTGCGCGGCCGTGCTCCACACTCGCGATCCGCGCGTCCATCCTGTCCTCTTGACTTAACTGCTTCAACTCAACGACAGTCACCATTCTCAACAGCGCAGAAAGCAAGAGAAGAAGACTACAATGGCATTCGTCGTCAACTCTGCCACGTGGGCCCTCTCCTTCGGCCAGCGTCAGCTCGACCGCGCCGTCTCGCCCGAAAAGCGCGAAGAGTACTGGAACTCGGCCGTCGACTTTGCCCAGAGGCGTCCACTCCTCACCGTACGTCTTCAAACCTGAACTACCTTGTCTTCTTCGTCTCCCGACCTCTCCCTCCCTTTCCCATTCTAACACCAACACCTTTTCCACCCCATAATTTCCCGCCGCCTTGCACCAATCTGCCAGCACCCTGACCAAACCACTAACCATCAGACCAACAGGCCTTCCTCCTGACCCAGGCAACAATCTCCTTCCTCCCCACCGTCCTCTTCGCCTCCTTCGTCGCCTCCCTCCTCTTCTTCACCGCCCTCGCCGCCTTCCTCTTCCTCTGCTTCTGGATCGCCGTCGCCCTGCTCTTCTTCGTCCCCGCCGCCTTCGTCACCACCGGCCTCGCCCTGCTCCTCTGGGCCTGGGGCGCGGGGTCCTACGTCGCCCTGCGCTGGCTGTACGACCTGTTCCTCGCCACGGGCAGCAAGGAGGTCGTCCTCTACAACCGAGACGCCAACAACCACAACCATCACAACCACAACCACAACCACGGCGATAAGAAGGAAGGCGTCAACGGCAACAACAAGCAGCAGAAGCACGACAGGCCGCCCACCGCAGACGAGCAGGGCAACCTGGGCCTCGTCAAGACCGAGTCGGACCCCGCCGGCGGGGGCGACATCAAGATCTTCGCGCCCTCGGGCGCTTCGTCCTCGTCCTCGGCGGCGCCGGCCCCGTCGGACCAGTCCTAGGAGGCCGAAAACTGCAGGCGCATCGCCTACGGCGGCAGCGGGCCCGACCTCGAGGACGCATTCGCCAAGGCGATCGCGGCAGGCGGGGATGGGTCCCCTTTACGAACAGGGGGAGGGGCAGCGCAGAACAGCAGCGCCAACGGTGGCGGCGGTAGTAATAGTAGAAATGGCATGGATAAGGAGACGGGATCGGGGTCGGGGCCGATGGACGCCTTTCTGGACGACGAGACGGTGGCGCTACTGAACGAGTCACCGACCCTGTCATCGGGTGCCAGTGCGGTGTCGGACCTGCCGCTGACGGTCATGCGGTTGTTCGCCCGCGACAAGAAAAAGTGAAGGACGGATACGGGGAAACACGGGAGCATGTTCTTATGAGGACTTTTTTTTTTTGGCGTTTTTTACTCGAGCGATTTGGGCTGCAAAACCAACAGCGATAGGGGACATGGGCTGGTAATGAGCGATGGGCATGGGAGGGTTAGCCCAGGAACAGACCGAAACATCGGATATCGAGTCCTTCTCGACAGCACATCAGTTCGTCTTGTAATGACACCTCTTCTTAGGTCGTTCTTTTGGCAGAATAAATCATCGATACCCCCCTTTCTTTAAATGACACACAAAGTACACACCACTAATCAAAAGCACGTCCAAAACTTGATAGTTGAGCTCCCGGTTCGAATTCTCAAGCGTCTCTCCTTGACTCCCCGTCCCACTCCCTCGAAACTCGAGATCCGCTGCTCGTCCACCTGTATGTGTATCAAGAGAACGACAAGTCTATATGCATGTTCTTTTTTTGTTGGTTTGCATGTGAATAACTAGGGTGCAGCAAGGAAGACAAGACGGATCCTTCTAGTAGTAGTACAGATACACAACGCGAGCAGACAGAGAGAAAAGCAGCGATATAAAGTCCATTGATTTTGGTCTTCTTCACGTCAGAGACAGAGAGAGGGAGAGAGAGGCAGGTTAGACAGGCGGGTCGGGTCAGTCTCTCCTCCCTTCCGCCCGACCGGATCATCCTACACAAATGCCAGCCCACACTGGCAGAAGGAAAAAGCCTGGTTTGGTTTGGTTTTGCTGGCAAAGATGGAAAAAAGACCTCCACGGTTGTGATAAAAAAAGACAAACAATGGAAGATACACTTTGTGCCCTCACCCCGACGCGAAAGACACACCTCCCATCCCCCCTTTCCTGTATCCCATAAAACTCCCAAGTTTCAAAAATGGAGCAGAAAAAAAAAGACACCCCCACGGCAAATCAATCCCGCTCGATCCCCTTTCTCTTTCTCGAAGAGTCCCAAGCTGCGAGACCTCTCGAGACGATGATGTACAGCAACAACAACTCTCCTCCCAAAACAAACCTGCGGCCTATTCGCAGGCATCCTTCCCTCGAGAACTATCACCCCATATGCATCTAGAAACCAGGAGTATAAAAAGAGAATAGAGTAAAGATGCAAGCCAACAACGGACTGTATCATGTGAATCTCCTCCCGAGCCCCATGTGCACTTATCCCGTGTAAAACCCGCGGGGGCCCAAGCACAAAGACAGACAAAGACAAGAGATCAGATATCAATCTCGCCATCCGCGATCGCAAGCCTCTGCTTGGTCGTCTTGGCCTTCTTGGTGTTGCCCCGCTTGCGCTTCCCGCCCTTCCCATCAACCGCATCGACAGGCGTCGCCGTGCCCGAGGGCCGGTCGTCAAAGTGTCCTTCGCCTGTAGAAAAGTCGCAACGTTAGTCCCACTGCCATTCCTGTGTCCGTCCAGAAACCTCAAAAGAAGGGAGAATACGAACCTTCGTGATACATGTCATCAAGACTGACACCCGCGCCGTCCCCACCCGAGGCATTCGCCGCGGCAGCCGCGCCGCCGCGCTTCTTCCGACCGCCCTTCTTCTTGGCCTGCTTGTCGTACTCGCCGCTCTCGAGCAGCTCCTTCTCCCGCCGCTCAATCATCTCGGCCTGCTCGTCGTCGGCCAGCCACATGGCGATGTCGCGGTTCCTGTTCTCCGGCGCCCGGCGGCCAGAGAAGTCGACGCCCGCCGACGCGCCCGCGCCGCCCGAGATGACCACGCGCTGCACCTCTTCCTTCTGCAGCGCGCGCTTGCGGATCCGCTCCTCGATGGTGCCGCGCGTGATGAGCCGGTACACCGTCACCTGCCGTGTCTGGCCGAGGCGGTGCGCGCGGTCCATGGCCTGCGAGTCGATGGTCGGGTTCCAGTCCGAGTCGTAGAAGATGACGGTGTCGGCCGCCACGAGGTTGATGCCGAGACCGCCGGCGCGCGTCGACAGCAAGAAGATGAAGATCTCGGGCCGCGTCTGGAAGTCCTGCACCGTGTCGCGACGGTCCTCGAGCTTGGTCGAGCCGTCGAGGCGGCAATACTTGTAGTTGCGGAAGGTTAGGTACTCCTCCATGAGATCGATCATGCGCGTCATCTGGAAGTACAGCAGGACGCGGTGGCCCTCCTCCTTGAGCTTGAACAGGAGCTGGTCGAGCTTGGCCAGCTTACCAGAGTCGGTAACGAAGCGACGCATCGAGGGCGTGCTGATGTTGTTGAACCGCTTTTTCTCGACGTCGGGCTGCGGCAGCAAAGCCCTGGTGGGGTAGTTATCAGGCGAGATCTTTTGCGTGACGAGGGCCTTCTCCTCGACCGGGTTGGGACCGTAGAGGGCTCGCCGCATGGGGACGTTGAACATGACGTTCTCGTTCTCGATGACGGCGCCACGGCTGTCGCAGACAACCTCAATTGGAGGCGCCGACGCATTCGGCCGACCGGCCTGGTCAAGACGCGTGAGGCCAGTGTTGTCGTACGACTCACGCGAGACATTCATCAGCCTGTTGAGAACACCCTCGCGAGTGATGTCGGCCAGGGGCTTGCGCTCGGCGCGATTGACAATGGAGAACAGGGCATGGGAAGGAGTGTACGTCTTGTCCTCGGGCTCATCGTACGCAATGCTCATGGCACCAAGACGATTGGTCTTCTGGGCCAGACGTGTAGCTCGGGTGAAGACGTCCTCCCGGGCAGCCTTGGAGACCTCGCCAATGCTCGCGTCGGCAAAGCGCAGCCAGGAGAAGGCGTCCTTGCCACCCAGGCTCTCGCGGACATTGTCAGGCGTCCAAATGTTCATCATATGGTTCAGGTACTTATTCCTGAAGCCAGCCTGCGGGTTGTCGTCGCCAGCGACCCGTAACCTGCCACCCTCACGCCACAAAAGCTTGGGAAGGGGGTACTCGATAGCGCTGCGGACAGAGTAGCCGACCGGGACGTTGTTACCCTCGCGGGCGAACGACGCCGTCTCAGCAAAGGTGCTCATCGAGTAAGGCGAAGTCGTGTCCGCGCGCTCAAACAGATCGGGATGATTGCACACCTTCCTGAACTGCATGACGAGGTTCATCAGCGTGCCAGAATCGTTGTCGTCGCCCATCGTTGCCTTCTCGATGAGGTCCATGATGCTGATCTGGTTTCTGAGGTTGGCGTACATGGCGCGCTGGCGGTACGTGAGGTCGCAGAAGACGTCGAGCTCAATCTTGTCGCCAAGCTCCTTCTGCACATGCTTCTTGACACGACGAAGCATGAAGGGCTTCAAAATCATGTGCAGACGCTTGAGCTGGTCTTCGTTGAGCTTGGTGTTACTCTGCGCGTGAGACTCGATGTCCTTGGAGAACCACTCGCTGAACTCGTCGTGCGAGTCGAAGAGCGACGGCATGATGAAATGAAGCAGCGCCCACAGCTCCTGCATGTTGTTCTGGATAGGGGTACCGGTGAGGAGCAGGCGGTTACGGCAGTGGTAGTTGAGCAGGACCTTCCAGCGAGAGCTCTGCGAGCTCTTGATGGCCTGGGCCTCATCGAGGATCATGTACTGCCACTTCATCTTGGACATGTAGGCGACGTCGGCGACGACCAGCTGATACGAGGTGATGAGCACGTGGAACTGGGCGTCCTTCTTGTACTTGGAGTGCTTGCGGTCCCAGAACTTCCGCAGCACCTTACGGTCGCCTGCGGAACCCCAGTAGGGGAGAACCTTGAACTCGGGCACGAACTTCTTGATCTCCTGCTGCCAGTTGTGCAGGGTCGAGGCCGGGGCGACGACGAGGAAGGGACCCCAGATGTCGTGCTGCTCCGCGAGATAAGCCATGACGGAGATGGACTGGACAGTCTTTCCGAGACCCATCTCATCAGCAAGGATACCGTTGATGCCCTGCTCGTACAGGTTGACGAGCCAGTTGAGACCCTTGAGCTGGTACTCCTTGAGCTGCGCATTCAGCATCTTGGGCTGCTCGATCTCGATGTCGCCGAGGCCAGTCGGGTTCTGGAAGTTCATCTCGCCCTCCTCGTCCATCTCCATGTCGTCGGCATCGCGGTTGAACTCGCGAGCCTTGGCTTGCGCCTCGGCAATGGCATTCTGCGCATTCGCCATGGCCGCCTCGTGCAGCTTGTCCTCGTCCTCCTCCTCGAAAGTGAGGTTCTCAAAGTTGGTGACCTTGCTGACGGGGCCGGTAGGCTCCTTGACATTGATGTGGTTGTGGTCGGGCGCCTTGTCCTTCTCTTCGACGGCGACATCCGGATGATCCGTGCTGCGCTCGACCTCTTGTGTCTTGATCTTCTTGCCGATGAAGTGAGAGTACAGCTCGGTCTGGGTGATGAGGAAGTTGAGCTTCCGCTTCTGCCGAGCGGCTTCGCGGTCTGCTTCCTCCTTCCGGGCGTTCTCGAGCTCCTGCTTCTCGGCGGCCTTGCGGAGATCACGCTCCTCGCGCTCGTTGCGCTTCCAGAAGCTCATCATGTCACGCATGACACGCTTGGCACGGGCCTGCAGGTCCTTGGTGCCCTTGTTGGTGCGCAGCTGCCACCTCTTGGCTTCCTTGGAGGCCAGGATCGCCGTCTTCTTGAGGTTGGACGCCTTCATGCTGTAGGACTCGGTCGCCAGGCGGAACACCTTGTTGACATCCTTGCGAGCAAGGTCCCTCCAGATCTGGTCATAAATCTGGTTGTAGCCCTTAGACTGGAACCTGGTCTCGAGAGAGTCCTTGGGCTCCTCTGCCTTGGCCTTCTCCTTGGACTCCTTGGGCTCCTTGTTCTCCTTGTCGTTCTGGCCATCTTCCTTGTCTTTATCCTTGGCCTTGTCCTTGTCCTTAGAGCCCTTCTTGCTAATCTTAATGCGGATCTTGGGCTCGTCGCGCGGAGGAGGCAGCTCCTCGCCAGCGTCGATGGCGGCCTGTGCGGCCTCGGCGTTGTCCTTCTCCTGCTGCTTCTGCTCCTTGGACTTCTTGGGACGTGAGCCGCCACGGCCTTTGCTCTTGCCCTTGCCAGGCTCCATGTCGGCAGCCTGGAAGGTAGCCATGACGCCGCCTTCGTGGTTGAGCTCGACCGGGGCCAGATTCCTGGCAGGGCCCTTGAGACCCTTCTGCAGGATGAGCTTGGTCTGCTGGGCCTTCTTGTTGGCGCGCTCGGCCTCGCGAAGGTGCTTCTGGCGCTCCTGTTCGTCCTCGGCGGCAGCTGCCCTGGCCAGGGCGGCGTCCTTCTGCTCCATAGTGACAGCCATGGACTTCTCGCGCCGTCGCTTTCGCTGCATGTCCTTCTTTCGCTCCTTCTCGGCGAAGAGCTCGCGCTCGCGGACCTCGTGCATGGCCTCCTCGTAGTACATATCGTCGTACCGACGCTTGCCAAGCTCTGCGTGGACGGCGAGCTTCTTCAGGGTGAAGTCGGTGAACTCGTCACGACGAGCAGGATGCTCCTTGGACTCGCGGGCAGCCATCTCGGTGCGGCGGCGGAGAGCACGCTCCTTGAACGCCTTGAGCTCCTCGTCAAACTCGGCGCCGTCGATGTCGCCAGCCTCGTTGTCGAACTGGTCCATCAGGTCGCGAATGTTCTTTTCCTTCTCGGCTGATAGGCCCTTCTTCTTGGCCTGGCCGTTGGCTTGCCTCTTGGCGGGGACGCGCGGCTCCGAAGAAATCTTAGTTGAACTTCGCCGCGATGTAGCCTTCGGGGTCGCCTCGGCGTGCCTGAGGTCTGAAGCTCGGGACTTGACCTTGCGGACAGGCTTCTGCCTCTTCTCCTCGACCTTTTCGACCTTGGGCTTGACCTCCCTCTCGGGTTCTTCAGACGGTACAGGGGATTTCGGCTTCGGCTTCTCGATGGGTTCGGAGCTGGAGAGGATGTTGGAGAAGGACATGAGTTCGGCGGCACGACTGGGAGTCTGTACAAAGAGATTAGCCGATGAGGTCAAAAATCGTGCATGGTGATGGGAGGGTGAGGGCCGGGGGGCATGTGCACATACAGTCGCAGGCGCGGCAGCCTTGGGTGCGGGTGACTCTGTCCTCGAATAAGTGCCAAGCCCGTTGGCAGGAGTCGAGGTACCATTTGAGGCAGGCGTGCCGCTGGGCGCAGCGGAATGCCTCATCGTGGGTGACGCCATTTGTGAGCCCTTGGCCGGAGGGCTGATGGAGCCGGCAGGCTGGTGATGATGGGATCGCGATACTGGGCTTCGGGGAGGGTATCCAGAAGTTGTGGTGGAGGACTTGTAACTCCCGTTGTAGTAGGAGCCAGAGTCGGCGCGCTGGCTGGAATAGTGATAAGGGTCCCGGTGCTGTTGGCAAGGCGAAAACAGAAAAAACAATGTCAGTGTGCCATGTCTTTAACCGGACAAAGGGAGAGAGATTGCAAAGGGGTCATTAAAGAAATTGATGCCGATTGCCAAAGGAAAGGATACGCGTCGTGATGGCGTGCGTGGATGGGGCAATGGGTGGTGGGTGAAAAAAAGACTTCAATGGTGATGAAGTGCACGCAGGCAGAAAGGGAAGTAGACGAATTTATTTGGGTTGAGGTTGCAAGGGAAAGTGAAGATTTTGGTTTTGGAACATGACGAGGGGTGCTGGGCGATCCAATGTTCGGAGCTAAAGGGAAAATCCCCATTGTCCCCAGAGTAAAGGAAGTGTGGACGTGGTCTGTGGTGCTGGTGGATTTTTTTGGGTGGTGGTGGTGAAGCTTACCTTTGGCGGCGAAGCGTGCTGGTTCGCACTGCTGCTTGGCCAGGAGCCCGTCTCGGAGGAGCCGTGACGCTGGTGTTGATGATGCTGCGGTTGCTGCTGCTGCTGCTGCTGCTCCTTGACTGTCGTAGTCATGTCCTTGAGAGGATCGTAGAAGCTGCGCGTGGTCGGCGCTGTCGTCGTCGTCGCGGCTGCAGCGGCCTTCTCGCGAGGAGGGTCGCGCAGTTCTGAAGGAAAGTACTGAGGAGGCGCGTGCAAGGGTGAGTGAGGTCCCGGCCGGGCTGTGGCGGAGGCCGATGACGATGCGAGGTGTGCCGGTCGCGATGATGGCGACGAGATGTAGGGAGAGTTGAGGATGGATCTCGAAGCCGGCTGGGAATTACTGCCGTGGCCGTTGGTGGTGGTGGAGGCCGAAGGCGAACCAAAGGGAGGCGGATGGGGCAGCGTCGCTGACTGTGATTGGGATTGCGTGGGTGATCGCAGCGAGAATGATGACCTTGCTGTTGCTGCTCCCAACGACGCAGGCGCCGCACCAGGCGCACCAGAACCTACTGCATGGGCTGCTGCACCGCTGGTCGGGTGCAATATGTCGCGTCGTCGTCGATCGTCCTCGCCATCGTCACGCCCTCCGCCTCCGTGCGGCCGCGACAGCACCGTCGAGCGAAAGCTGGACTCCATTCTCGCGCTCGTTCGCTCTCTTCCCCCAGAGTACCCTGGTCGCCGAGATGCACAAGGTGGGTTCTTGACTACTACTTGGCACCCATAGGCTCTCGAGTGTAGATGTAACTATGTCTTGTTGTTGTTACCGGCAGAGGGACGAGGTTTTCGAGGATGGTATTAGGCGAGGGGGGGGTGGGTTGAATCGATGTTTTGAACGTGCTCGCCGGTTCGTGTGGGAGACTCGCGCGCAGAGCCGTGTTGGTGTCGTTCTTAGCACGGCACTCGTTCACGATGGGGTTTAGGTGACGGCAAGGGCGGTGATGGGAATTAGGCACATCACCAGCAGAGGCGTGGTTCGGAGTTATTTTTTGTCTATAGGCCGGGCCAGGAAGGGAACAATCGATGCGTCTACCGTACTCAAGCAGACAGAAGATGGTGATGATGATGATACGGGCTATTCAACACTCTCTCTATGGCAAAGTGACGTGGTGGGATGGAGTCGACGAGTCGTCCGGTGTTGGAAGGTCGATGGACGGTGGAATCTTCGATGAGGGCAAATCGCACCACGATGGTGGGTGAGTGGGAGGGGAGAGATGGAGATGGATGGGTGATGGAAATGAGAATGGCGACGTTGGTTTTTGGTCTTGGGGATGGCGTTGCGGCTGGAGCAAGTCGAGTTGTTGGGGGTTTGACTTGCCGGGGGCCAACCAAGTCGGGTTCGCTGACTGTTTTGGCTGGTGGGTGAGGAGGGATCGCGAAAATGCCAGACAGTCTCTTCTCTCGCTCCCACACGCACGCACAGCAAAGCTCTCACTTTCGTGACGGCGATGGTGATGCTGGGCTGCGATGCGACGATGGGACGGGGATGGGGGAATGGGGAAAGGGGATGGATCGAATGCTCATTATCACGGCGAGGGTGTGCTATTTTTCCTTCTCCTCCCGGCCATTGTCTCTCTCTCGCTGCCCGTATTTTGTGTGTTGGCCACTTTCTGCTCGATGTGCGTGGGCGCGAGCAAGCAGAGGAGCTGGACACCGAAATCCCCCCCCAAAATTGGCTGGCTGCCCCCTTTGACAAGCCGTCGATTCCCTCACCTGCTACCCTCGCGAAGGAGATCCAGTCCCGCGCATCCATCAAACTCGGCTTAGCACCCCCAGCGGCCCAGAACCTCGAAGTGGGGCCTTCTTAGCTTAATACACGCCCCCCTGCCCCGGTTCCATCGCGCTCACCAGGCGAGCCATCCGCCTAAACCGCCCTGGGAGGTGTGGGTATGCCAGCGATAGGCGCTATGTCCACCCCCCTCCCCTTCTTCCTCCAGCAATATGATCCGTGTGTTTGCGGAGAGGATAGAGCGAGAGAGAGAACAAAGTCCTCAGACCTACTCCGTACTGGATCCCACAAAACATCGACACTGACAAAGCCAGGCCAGTCTTGCCCATCTAACTCCGCCGAATCCGAAGGAGGGCCAGGAAAAGAAGGGCAATCCCATCGATGTGATTCAAAAAATCACATTTACGATTGATTAATGTACCAAAGCCAGTCTACAGCCAGGTGGCAGCCCATCGCCCGTCCATCACATGGGCTGGAGCGAAATGCATTGCAGATGCCAATCACCATCCCGTTTCAGGTCTCTAACCTTACCACGCGCTGATCCAAGGCGAACACTCCAGCTGAAAGAAAGCCCTGTACGAAAAGAAACATCTCGCCAGCGGCCCCATCAATGCTTGCTTCTTTGTGCAATTCTCATCATCACCCGTCATCACCAAATCCGAATGCATGGAAAGTTTCACACCTTCGACGCCCTTCTGTCCCTCTCAAAGCGGCCAAACCCATGCATGCCCCGCCACGACGGACTGCATCTCGATCAAAAGTGGTGTTGACATTACTCGAGCATCTGCACGAAGCCCACACAAATCATCAAGAGTAATCGACGTTTTATCCCGCCCCCTTCCTTGAGGCTACCTACCTGTCTGGTCGCTCCGCAAATACCTGCCGTACATGCCACAGAGGAGCTAGCCGAGTACATCAAATGTAGGCAATTCCTGCCAGCGCTATCGGCACACCTTGGCCCTACGGAGTAAATCGCTGTCCAATCCCCAGCACCTCCAGCCATCCGCCACGGGCATTGGTTGACTGGAGTCTGGTAGCTACGAAGTACCTAGGTAGGTACACCGCAGGGTCTGCTCGCTGGTACGTGCGCGGGGGACGGCGCCGCGCTAACTCGACTGTAATCGTATGAGAAAAGATGGATACACGCATGCACATGTTGGCTGCAGTTCTGTCGCTGCAAAAACCTGGCAGCGGACACCCCAAAGCCTGCTGTAATCCTGGGCGAGAAGCGACTGTTTTTACACCCTTTGAAACCTGTCGTAAGCAGCGAATTAGTCCCGGATCAGGTAGGTCATTTCGTGTGAGACACGGAGAGGAGCATCTCCCAAGGACAGCCACATCAAACCACCGTCACCATGGAGAGGATAGCAGTTCAGGATGCACTCTGATATTGTAGGTATCATAAGACCTAGCTAGTATCATATAGAAAAAAAGGACAGAAACGACGATGCCTTTTGAAAACGCTGGGCCTATCGTGCCAGGCCCGCGTCCGATGAGGAACGCGACAAAAGGGGAAAGAAAAAACTCTCAACCCAGGTCTATTACCATGATCCCAAATATCCATGCTTCGAAGAAGGCCAGCTATTCTCCAAAGGGGCACCACGCCCATGGCCAAGACAAACCACCTTTGTCCATCCTTCCTGGCCGCGGCCTGTCCCTTTTCGCGCCCGTTTGCCTTCGTCTATCCTTTTTGGGGTTCTCTTGAGCACGCTGTCCGCCTATGCTGTGTATCTCCGTACGGGCGGTGTTGCTCAAATGCTGGGTCATGCAATCATCACAATCTAACTTTTTTTTGTTTGAAAGGAAGGACATTCCGAGCCATCAGTCTTAGACAGCACCGGCAGAGATCATCTTCTTCCGCAGGTAGTTCTTGTACTCGCCAATCGAGCCGTCCCACGGTCGGATGGTCTTGTTCTCGCACACCAGAATCTGCTTGGCAATCTTGTCGAGCAGCCTAGAGAGAAGTGGCGAGTCAGTATCGAGAAAGGAAAGATTGGGTTTACAGCAATCAGTGTAGAGACTTACCTGAAGTCGTGACTGACGACAATCACACCTCCGCTAAAGGCGTTGATGGCATCGGCCAAACTGTCAATGGTCGGGATATCGAGACCGTTGGTAGGCTCGTCAAGCAGCAGCATGTTGGGGCTGTCGATGGCGAGCAGGGCGAAGACGATACGGCTCTTCTGGCCCTCGGAGAGGGTACCAATCAGAGCAGTCTGGGACTCACCCGACAGGCCGTACTTTCCAAGCTGCTGACGCCAGTACTGGTAGTCCTGGGACTTGGACGAGTACTTGTCGCGGACAAAGTCGAGAGCCGACTTGGTCAGGTCGAGCTGCTCGGCAGAGTGCTGAGAGTAGAGACCGAGCTTCAGATGCGTGTGCCTCGACACGGAGCCCTGGGTCGGGGAGAGCTTGCCAGTCATGAGACGCAGCAATGTTGACTTGCCCACACCGTTGGGACCGACCAGCGCCGTACGCGAGTCCATGTCGAAACCAAGATCGATGTTGCGGTACAGATCATCCTTCGGATCACCAGAGTAGGAGAAGGTGACGTTGTCGAAAGACAAGACGGGAGGAGGCAGCTTCTCAACGTCGGCGAAGCGGAAGCTGAAGACACGGTCTTGGGCCACGGGCTGGATGAAGCCATCGGCCTCCATCTTGTCGAGAATCTTTTGGCGAGACTTGGCCTGTCTGACCAGGTTGGCATAAGTACCAGCACTGGCAATGAACTTCTTGATGTGCGCAATCTCCTCTTGCTGCTTGGCGTAGGCCTTCATCTGGTTGGTCTCCTGCTCGGAACGGGTCTTGATGTACGAGTCGTAGTTACCACCGTAGTAGATGAGCTTCCTCTCGCGCATGTCGATCATGTTGGTGCAGACGCCGTTGAGGAAGTCCATGGAGTGGGAGACGAGAACCAGGGTACGGTCCCACTTCTTGAGGTACTCCTCCAGCCACACACAGGCCTCGAGATCCAAATGGGCAGTAGGATCGTCGAGCAGCAGCAGGGAGGGCTTGACGAACAGGGCCTTGGCGAGGGCGACACGCATACGCCAACCACCAGACATGTCCTTGGTCTTCTTGTGAATGGTGACCTTGTTGAAGCCGAGACCCGTCAGAATGAGGGAGGCACGGGTGGCGAATGTCGAGGGGTCCATCTTGTCCATGTGCTGTAGAGGGTGTCAGTTAGCTGAGAAAATTACATTCTGGAGGGGGTTATTCGAAAGAAGGCAGGGACAGCACATACGTCGTACAGGTCGAGGAGAACAGGGCTCTCTGGGCCCTCCTCCTCAAGGAGCTTCTCGCAGAGCGCATCCAGACGGGCAAGCTCGTTCTCGGCCTCCTTGACGACCCACTCCAGGGCACCAAGGTCAGACGGAGGGGCGCCCTCGTTGAGCAGGTAGATGTCGATGAACTCGGGAATGGGGAACTCGCGCGCGGCGATGGCCTTGAGCATAGTACTCTTACCGCAGCCGTTCTCACCCAGCAGGCCGTATCTGCGGCCATAGTTCAACTCGAGTGTGGAATCGGTAACGAGGACGCGACCGTGGAACACCAGGCTGGTACTGGTGATCTTGACATCGCGGCTGGTGGGCGTAGAGGACAGGACACCGGTCGTGACGCGGTCAGACAGACCGTGCTTGTCCATCTGGTCGGCGAGGCGCTTGACCTCGTCCATCTTCTCGGCGCCGGTGGCGGGCTCGTCCGACTCGATGGGGTTTCCGTTGGCATCGAGGACGACTTCATCGCCGTTGACTGATCCGGCAGCGCTGGCGTTCTTAGAGTTGGCCTTGGACCCAGCCTTGGAGCGAGATGCGACAGTCTTCTTCTCCTTGCCGTCGGCAGCCTTCTTGGCGAGTCTCTTCTCCTTGGAAGCCGACACCATTTTGGGCAACAATATACAGTGAGGGGTAGATACGGGCCGAAGGAAAGGTTGACCAGGGGTCGAAAGATGTTCCTCGCGAGATAAGATCGCGGTCGTCGAGTGCTGCGTAGATCGAGACTCGAGGGCGGAACAGGAGGTGAGGATGAGGAGATCCGGGGGATAGAAGGGTATGAGGAAGGCGAAAAGTGCAAGAAACTGTAAGGATTGTTTTGCTTGGTGCCCAGTGTGTGGTGGTGGTGGCCAAGGACAGTAGAGGAGTTTGCAGTGGGTGTTGGTGGGCTGTGGTGGGCTGTACTGCCTGAGAAGGTGGGGGAGATTTCAGTTTTTGGTGGGGCAATGATGAATTTTTTTTGCTGATAACCGCTGATATGCTTTTTCCCATTCCGCCAAAGATTACCGACTCTTTTTTAGTATCCGAATTAACTCGCTCGTGGTTTGCTTGGACTCAGTCTGGTACCAAAGAAAGGCACTACTGGGGGTGTAACCAGTGGCGATTGAAGCCATTTCAATGGTCAAGAGCGCATTTAATCCTGTACGCCTCAACTTTGACGCATGCGGAAACAGATTTCGGCAGCCAGTATCAGCCAGACTCGGTTTCCCTCAACCGACAGGTAGACATCGTCAGCAAGATTCATGTGCCTTGCTTGGCCCAAGATAAGTCAGCGACACCGAGAGCGCTGAGGAGGTGCTGAGGCACTGCTGCTTCTAGGCATACTAGCGATGCCCTGAAACTCACCAACCAGATTCTCAGTATTAAGTAATGCCAAACTCGGCCAACCCGACGTCATCACCATCACGTGAGCTTGGCAGTTTCGATTTGGCTGTTGTCTTAGTCAGCCAACCTTCCGTCATGCTTCACTGAGATCTTCCAAGTCGAAGAAACTGGCGGTTGTGGTAATGCATATCAGCAAAGGGTCAATTGCACTCAGTGGAAGTGATATGATACCTTTGAGTCTGAATGGATCTTTCGAAGGCTCAAACTGCGCAACAAGTGTTGTTCATGCACAGTTGCTGGTAGCTGAGAGAAGACGTTTTATCATGAACTAGGACTGTCAAGACTCAATGTGAAGTCGAGGTAGCAGAATTCGATTCTTTTGGAGAAGATAATAAGGATTCCTCTTTAGGAAAAATCATGCAAACAGCCATCGGCCAGCTATTTTTCGGATCCGAATGTGCAGCAGCTCGAGAAAGAAAATCTCTTCAACTGATTGCGATGTGGAGGACAGGACATCCTGACACGGCCCACGATACCTTGCATGACCAGCTCTCCCGTCGATCACGGTAGACTATTCACACTATTGAATCCAAAATCTCGTGTTGAGTTTGCCTTGGTATCCAAACACAGTTGTGATCGCGATGGTTTGTGTCATTTCTGTGTCCTAGGCCTGCTAGGCCATGGTTTTATTCTGTTGCCTAAACCCGGCGACCCATGCACGACGGCCCACGGCACCACCAGCCATCAAGTCGCAGCTGTGATCGGCAGGTACGCAGTGCCTGAGGGGGATGTCTCATTGGCCATGCAGCGCTCGATACAGCCAATTCAGTGCGCGATTGCGGCACTGCTACGACCAACGTCCAGGGTGGTGATGCAAGTAGCATCGTATTGAGAGGCAGCCACCTCAGAATACTCCCCACAACCGACGCCCGACGACTGCATGGCATGTCAACAGCATATGGGCCGCTGCAGATGGAAGTCCACTTGGGCTGCCGGTACGGAGCACAAGCAGGCTGCAGCATTCTCGGCCCTGTCATTCGCTGAACTGCCCATGCCACATATAAGCTTATATGCTTAAGCTCTTGAGTACTTAAAGCGACGAGAGGTTTCCTTGAGCCTGAGGTTGAGGTATTTCGACCGAGCATTTCATGTCTCCTACAATTATCGCAGCCTCGGGTTTGCTGTAGTCTCTTGGTCAAAACACTTTGGGAAGCCACGCCAACTCTTTACCATGTCTTTCTCCAAGAGGCCCCAATCTGCCGAGTTGCCTCCTGCCCACGACCATGCCTCCTTTTCCAAGAAGCCAGAAATGAACGAACAGAATTCGCTTGCCAGAGAGGAGTCTCCGAAATATCAACGTTTTGCCGATGATCACGTCGAGGAGTACGATGAGGTCGATGTTGCCAAACATGGGCCCTTCGATCACCCAGTGCCAGAGGACATGGGCAACAAGGCTATTCAACGCCATCCACGCCCGGATGCTCGTCCTGTCATGCGGGCATTTACAATGATGTGCTGCGTTGGAATTTTCTGTTCTCATATCTCTCTATGGGGCACTTTTCTCACCAACGAGGGAAGATGGGACAACATGGCGACCTCTTCCGTCTGGCTTACTCTACCAGTCGGTACGTGTTCACAATAAATACCACGCCGGCTTGATCGCCAGAAGAATATTGGAGTCGTTGAGGAACGATACTGTTCCTCGAACACACCTTGCAGAAACTAACAATTCTTCTCTCTCTTAGTCTTCGTGGTATTCTGGTGGGAGTTTGCGAGCCTCGTCACTTCCTGGGCCCGCGGCCGTGACATCACGCCTGTTGCTCATATTGTCATGCAGCTCTTGCTGGGATTGGCCTGCATCGTCGCCATCGTTTTTGAAGGCTTCTACCTCGCATACTGGAGCAGCCCGCTTTATCGCTGGGACCGTCTCACCCAAATTGTGCCTGAGATCTTAGTGACTCTGCTCCTTTTGTGCATCACGTACGTCTTGGCAAGGTCCTTTTCCACGTTGGCGACTATTCCTAACGTTCTCCACGACAGAGGATCGGTCTTTACTAGGTTCATTTTGGCGATCAAGGACCACCGACGCCGAAAAGCTGCTGCAAGGCTGGCGAAACAGCCCGAGCAACAAGAGGCATGAGATCTATACGAGATATACGTGCTTTCGAACAGAGCACCGCCCCCTACGAAGACCGAGTAAAATTAAGATTGGACGAAACTTTGCATTTCCGCATCAGTGCATTTTGAGAGGCGACCCGGCGAGGACTGAATTTCAAGACACTCCTTTGATACCCAACCTCGACGTGCTAGAATGCCGTCGCCGCATGCTTTAAGGCGCAGATTTGGAACAAACGCACTCTCGAATGATACATATATGGACTTTAGTTACGATTTAAAACACAATATGATGGTTATTATTAAGACTCGAAATAAGCTTAACACCAGCCCTTCAACTCGTGTCGACAGCAATGCCAACGACGGGTACTGGCTTGGTTGCTCATCAAGGTTCCCAGCCTACAGTCCCCGCAATAAGGGGGTCGGGTGTTTTGGCAATCACGGAGAATACCGAGCAGCGTTTGGTTGTCTCCCTAGATGCTGGGACACTCTGCCGGTAATCACCGTAGTTGTGTACTAGCCTATCGTCGTCAACTCCACCACAAGCTAGACGGCAGTTGATGGCGAGGAGGACGCCATCATACGTTTCATGTCGGCTGGGTTGACAGTGACACTCGTCTTGTCTCCAAGGGCCTTGGCGAGAGTCGGATTACGAGCCGGGATGGTCGCGCTAAATCCTTCGACCGGACTCGGCAGAGGCTTAAAGCCTAATACGCCTAACCGGGAGCAGCAAGAGCCCATGTTGATTCGCGATCTTCACCAATCACAACACGGCGGGGGCATCATATTGGCTGATGGAACCCACATCCATGGGCGACCGATCTGCCAGCCAAGTGGGCGTGTTCCCATCAAACCAGCCCTGGGAGACTGGGAGAGGAGAGAGGAGAGAGGAGACAGTGCACAGCCCTGGAACCCAGCCCAGCAGAACTTGAAGCAGTGCATTCAATTCCCGCTACGTTTTTCTCCCTTTTCTCCCTCGTCACCGTCTCGAAACAGTTGCCTACAAGTAGAATCATTCTGTTCCACTCTCGCCCGCGCTCATTCTCCATCTCGTTGTGGTCTGCCCTTTGCAACGGCTGACGTTGAAGCTCGCTCCAGCCACAAGCCACCGACAGTAAGCCTTGGGTGACTGGCGGACGGTTGATCCGCTCGTCCCCTTTCACGGGTCGCACACAGGCCGTGGGCCCCCGTTCAGAAAGGCATCGCGCCTCGGTCGCACTCGTCGGGCCCAGTGCGAAGCTTCAGCTGCTGGACCAGTCCCAAGTCCGACTCTTTGGCCTGGCATTTGACGGCAAGGGGCCAGCGCTCATACAAGTCCGCGTTACGCGGTGAACACCACCCAAATTGATTCGTATTCGTCCATTTGGTCCAGAGAGACAATTGACCTGATTTCCTCCCCCTTCACTCACTCACACTTTCGCACACTGTTCTCCGACAGACTTCCCCTGTACTGGTGATCCCAGCGCACCACCCAGGATCCTCACCTTGTGCCGAGCACCCGGCCCCGGGACCTCATCCTCATTGAGACAAAACCATCATCGCGTTCTCCTCTCAATCGTCTCATTTCATCTCATTTTTCCTGTCTGGAGCGATGCGGCGCATGCGCCCTGGTGCCGACGCCAACTGAGGCCCGCCCTCTCACGTCACGACGTCACATCCACACAGACACCGCGCCCGCAACTTGCGGCCGTCGCTACCGTCTGGTCCCGTATCAACCTCATCAGCTGCCCCTAATAGCGGCGCCCATCCTCATCCTCCTCCTCCCTGATGCCGTCGTCGCCAAACATGCGGAATACGCTGCGGACCCCGCGGTCGCCGACGCGGAATGCCTCCTACGTAGAGCTCAACAACCTGGCTCCCTCACAACGGCCGTCGCAGACATCTTCCGAGCTTCGCCACCCCTCATCGGAGCTGTATCAAGCTAAGGAGCCTCAGAAGCTGAACCCTTATGTTCCTTTTGCTGTCAAGAACGGCTGGTTCTTCGCCAAGATCGTCCTCCGCAGTCTCTCCTTCATATTCGCCCTCGTCGCCTTCAGCATACAGCTCTCCTTCTTCATCCCGGTCCATGACAATGGCAACATCATCTCCATCATCATCATTTTCTTCTTTGTGAGTCTTCTTCATCGCGAGATGTTCTCTTTTGTCACTTGCACACACATGCAGACGACGACGTACTAACCATTTCGCTTAGTCCGCCTCCATCATCGTTTGGGACTCATGCGAGTTCATAACGCTGTGTGCCCGCAGGGGGTTCGGCATCAACCCCAAGGCCCACATCGGCCTTGATCTAGTCCTATGTCTGGGTGCCATGGCCGGCACGGCCGCTTGTTTCTTTGAGTTTGACTTTATCGACTACTTGGGATACAACAACCTCTGGGGCGAGGACATAGACTCCAAGATCTACTGCTCCATAGCCATGTTTGGCTGCCTCATGTATGTCGACGACCTGATCCTCTGCTGGCCGTCCGTCAGATATCACTAACACTTTCCAGCGTCATCCATTTCATCCTCTTTGTCCGTGCCTGCGTCGACAAGAAACGCGGCATAGGAGCCACCCCCAAAATCATGTACCTCCCGACAGGCGAGGCCGTCGTCGTCGTACCGCGGCCCGTCCCACCCATGCCGACGCGCCAGATGACAAAGGACAGCACCTCACAAGGCCCTCCGAACCAAACACCATCCAGCACGGCCTCGCCGCCGCCCCTACCGCCCTTGTCGCACCCGTTGCCAGCTCTCCCCCACGACCCGCTGCACTCGCAGACCTCGACACCGATCAGCGAGGCCCCGACCCTCATGACGCCCGTGCCGCCGCCGCGCAGGAAACCCTTGCCCGTGCGGGGCACGCACTACGCGAACCCCTGGGACGCCCCCGGGCCCGGGTACCAGCCGAGCGCGGAGGAGATCGCGCGGGCGGAGAGGGGCGAGCGGCAGGCGCAGTACATGGCGCTCGACGGCATCGACACGGCGCGCGTGACGCGCATGGACGGCCCGCGGGAGAAGTTCCTCGCCGGAGAGCCCAAGAAGATTGAGCGGAGGATGTCGACGTGACGAGTCGAGCACGGACGACAGCTTTCTGCGGGATACTTCCTATACGAACACTGTCGGGTTTTACGATACACTGTATATACGAAAAGAACCTTGCTGTCGTTTGTTTGCAAGAGAAGAGCGGAGAAAAGGAAGCTGGGACTCGTTGGGGATTGCACAGCACCTGATATGGGTCGATTGGTCTTCAGGCGAATATTTTTTATGCTCTGTTCATCTTGGGTTTGGGAACCTAACGGAGTTTCGGGTTTGGGATATACCACATTTCGTTGTACACTATCGCTCTTTTCTTTGAAGTATTTGCAAGGATATACCGCGCTCACCGAGGAACCGGGTGGTAGACTGGGCGTTTGGAAAAGCTAATGCTATTTGATACGGTATCTCATGCACGCTCAGCTTGGTACTCCATCTTGATCTTCTTGGAACAACACTCTCTTATGGGCTGCATGATCCTGACAAGGATTTGAAGGTCAGAATTCACCGTGTCCTTGATCTTGCTGCTTTGACAAGCACAGATGTTCGTCTCCTAGTTACATTTCCCCCTTTATTCATCTTGCTCGTCGCCATCGTCATCGTCTTCATCGTCTTGCCATTGCTCGCCGAAATGTGTACAATTCTCGCTCTTGTCAAAGTAGACAGGCTCGACCGTTTCATCGACGAATCGATACCGGAAGCACCCAGGATCCTTCGTCTCTCGTATCAGCTTTACCCCTGTACAAGTTTCATCCGTCCATTGCAAGGAGTAGCGCCAGAGTCCCGGAGGAAAATCGCGGAGCTTTTTCACGTCGTAGGCGGTGTCGATTGGGAATGTCCGAATCTGCTGCGATTTCTTCTCTCCTGCGTAGTTTCTTCTCCTCGGGTGGCGGTGGGTCGAGAAGAAGAAAGGACTGCAGACAATCTTGAGAACCTCCATGTCTTCGCCTCGGAATGTGATTCCATCGTCTTTGCGTGTCGGCTTATAGAAAAGGAATTTGGTTTTAGCTCTCTGGTTTTTTCGTTTTACTCGCCTTGGAGAACCCGCAACCTTGACAAACCTTTCGTAGAGCAATCTGAGCGTAGTGAGACCATACTTGTCCTCGTCGCTTCTGCTGAAACCCAAACACTGCGCCTTGCTCAAGGTACTTAGGAACTGTCATTGAGGACCCTGCGATGATGGCTGCACCCTGAGCAATCTTGGAGGAGCTGGAAACCATTCGTCAGTGACTAGCCCCCTTGAAAAGGAAGAGTAGGAGGCAAACTCACGAATTTGAAATGTTGCACTCCTCGACGAAGCGTAGTTCATGCTCTGCCAGACATGGCACTATCTCTCCTATACCGTATTGCTGCATGTACTCGGGGGTCGATACAGGACGGGCCGCGCGCCGCGTTGTGATCTGAGGTGACTCTCGGATGACGAGCTCGTCTAGCTTCCGCTGGAGCCTCGGAATCTTGGACGTGCCCCCGGACACAATGACCCTCTTCTCCACCTCGAACCCGAGATTGTTCACATGTAAGACAAACTTCCTGATCTTGCGCAACGCCTTGACCACAAGCGGACCGATCGTCTCCTCGTACTTCCTGTCGACAACGGCGCTTGCGATGCGGATCTGCTGATAAGTGATTGTCATGTCTGACGTTTCCTTTCCGCTATAAAATTCCCGTTTCTTCTCGTTTAGGCGGTCGCACACGTAGTTCTTACTCATGGCTTGGACGACTTTGCCTCCCTGGCTCAACTTGTCCAGGGCTACTTTCCAAAGCTCATGTTCCCAGTTTTCGCTCCCACCTGCAAACCCTGCGATGAGGTGTCTTTCAGTACGCTTTCTTGTCCTGGATACCGATATTGGACGGAGAGGGAAATAGAGGGACTGCGAGGAGGGATGAGAGAGGAGAGAAAGAGGATGGGTGAACGAGGAGGGATGAATGAGGATCGATGAACGAGGAGGGCAGTCAGCAGGACCACATGGATAACAAGAAAAGCAGACAGGGAGCAAAGAGATACTCAGCTCTTACCTCTTGCCTCGCCACAGCGAAAATAAGCCGCATGCTCATCTTGGAATAGGTCCTGCTTCGCAAAGAGAGTACAGTAATTCTGCATTGACGGAAGATATCAGTATAAGCTAGCGGAGCTACTTCGACAGACGTTCCAGCATACCAGGCTGTGACCACCAAAATCCAAGATCAAAATCATGGTATTCAAACCCAGCCCCAGAAGTGCCGCATGATTTCCGATCAGGTATCGACTAAGGCTCAGAGTTTCGGTGTAGATACAAACCTGATCGCTTGGGAAGTTGAAGGTATTCGACACAATGCTCCGATAAGTGAGCTCGAACTTCTCCGTCCATTGCGTGGGAACCGACATGGCGATTGCGTCGATCCGATAGCCGTACTGCTTGCATACATGCTCGATTCGGCGATGCAAGGCTCGAAATATGTCACTCAGTACTGATATGATGGCGTCGTCGAGGAAGGATCGCCCTCGGTAATCTTCCAGACTTGCCAGTATGGGAGACTGGTCGAAGATACGTTGCCTGTCAAGCTGAGTACCGCACAGAACGTACATGAGGGCTTTTGCTCGGATGAGTTCGGTGTTTTCGGGAATAGGTATACGGTAGGAAAGACCATTGATGTCAACACAGCAAGTTGTGTCAAAGTCGCCCTTCTCATAACGTTGAGGTGCCTTCTTGGAGTAGGAACCCAGGACCGGGCTCTCCTTGTCTGGCCTCTTTGCATCCCAGAGGACAGCTCTCAGGCTGGTACTGCCAATGTCGATGCCTAGGATACTGAAAAAGGGAGAGCCATCATGCAGACATTTGATCAGTTTCTGCATCAAACCCAAGAGCTAGGGAGCCACATACACTGGGGTGAGCTCAATCCGAGGTTGGCGGTTAGACATGCTGCTTGTACTGGTAAAGGAGTGGAGGTAGTGGTCTTGCGCAGGAATCCTCGCACGGGAGATAGACTTTCGCAGCTTGGTGAAAAGGAAAGGAGAGAGAAAAAGATCGTTTCAGCACGTGGCAAAAAGACATCCTAGGAACTGAGGAATCGCATCCGCCTGCGGGAGAGACAAGTAGCCTACTTTTGGTTGCCAGATTTCCTTGGAGCTCTGGTATGGTTATCAATTTCTGAGAGAGCAGAAGCAGAAAGAAGGACAGGGAATACCACCAAGCACGGTGCATGCAGTCTCCATGCTCGCTAACCCGGGGAACATTTACCGAGGAGCGCGTCTCTCGTGGCAACATCAATACCGCCAATGCTCGGCACTATTAAGCAATGCTGCAATATAACACTGTTGCCCCTGCATGTGATTTGATAAAGTGGATGGTCAGTTGCATCTCCAAGGCTCAGCTGTCTCATTATGCACATTGCTGCTTCAAGGCTTCAACTTTCACCAACAGGGGCGAACGCGTTTGCACCAAGGCGTTTAGGGTCGAAGTCCATTAAGTTCAGGTAACGCGAGAAGTGTCTCAAGACCCCCCGAGGTCTTTGGTACCTGACTGGGGGGTTGAGATTAAACTTGGAACCTTCCGTGGATGAAGAGAACAATGCCAATATCCGCTGCGGCTGGGTGGGTCACTGACCCATGTCCTAGGTGACAATGTCTGCTTACCACAGCACTCGGCTGCAAATCTCTGTTCCCCGGTGGTGTGTGTGGCTTGATTAGCATCCACATAGACTGGCAAGACACAACCTGATGCCAGTGCTGGCACGGCAATGTTGACAGTTTCCAGATGCGCCTCTCCTGAAAATCTCCGTGTTGGTTTTGTACTGAGACAGGAGCCCCCTGAACGACAGGTTGATCAGCCTCACTTGTTCGATCTTTTTAATTACCCAATTTCCAATTTCATACATCGAAGCTTCAACCCTTGGCTACGGCTGAGACATCGAATGGGGCTGGAAGGTGACTTAGAGTACACCCCTGGCACCTACGTAATTACTGCTTGATTTCCTACGACCACGCTAGACCCCGGCCTTGAACATTGGCGTGTCCCTCCCTGCTATTCCTCTTGGATGAACATATTTGCTGCCTCCGCGGTCTAAACACAAGTAATCCCCCCCAGTCTACACCGCAAGCGGACTCGTCAGATCTGTTTTTGCACAGCAAATCGGCCTAAATCCTTCCACCATGGAGCATTTCAGAGAGCTCTTGACTCGCGTACGAGCCAGGTACAACCAAGACGAAAAGGACCTCTCAGACAACGTACAGGCATTCCTGACCTGCTACAAACGACAGGCCCAAGAATCGCACCAGATGCGCGAGCTGATCCTCAGCCAAGCTCGAGCAGTCGATCCCAACATCGAAGAAGAACTGCGGAGAGATCCGCAATACGTGCTGGAGACACCAATCTCCATCCTCCTGGAAGGCGCCTGCCTGGAGCTGGCACACGAGCCGCAAGTCGTGGACGAAACACCCCTCTACCCCGAGCCGACAAACATCTGGCCGACACCCCTAAAATCTATCAGGCCCTCAGATGTCTCTAAGAAGAGCCTGTGGGTATTCGAATATGATGTATTTGATCGCAGAGCCCTTTTTGTACTTTGTTGTCCAGCACAGGGATGTCATGCGAAAGGTTTCCGCAGGAAGCCGATAGGTTCGAGGCAGCGAGGGTTGATACACCTGAGATCCCACAACATCCAAGTCGGTAGTGAAATGGAAATGGTCTATCGCTATGCCCGAGTCAGTATGTTCAGTCAACCCTTTTTAATTCTCTGTCCTCGTCACCTTACTCTGCACAATGCCTTCCCAAGCTCCCGCTTCTCTTCGGCTGCTACGCTTTCTTTTGGCAGCATGTACAGGTACTGACTCTTCTCTGTCTTTCAGTTGTTGGAGATACATGCAAGACAGCCACACCGTCGAGAGAATGGGCTCGAAGACATAACCAGAGCCTATTGAGACCGGAAGAAGAACATCTATTTTACGAAGTTGTCAATCTGGGTCCTTGATGCCAACTATCTTCGTAGTCGTGACAGAGGAGGATAGGTAGACCCTGGGGTTTCTAAAGCCGTGTACCATTTCGTCTGCAATCGAGCAACTGAGGCATCGATAGATATGTTACTTTCTCTTTTCTCTTCCTTTCCTGTTCTTTCTTGCTTGCTTTCTCCGTCGTTACACATCCCTCCTAAATAGCCACCCTTCACGATCCCACTCTGCATGTTTTCAGCGCGCAAGGTCTACCTAGCCAACTGTCGAGATGGATATACTTTTGGGTTGCTCTCTGTTTGCATTTTCTGTGCCAGAGAATTCATATCTTTCAAAGGACAATACCATTACTACACACTTGATGGTGGCTCTACCTCTCTATCTCTCACATAGTAGCTCGGCAATATGTCAATTAGCTCTGCAGCACTTTGTAAATTATTTCTCATGCCTGTTGCCTATGTCTTTATCTCTCATGCCATCTCTATCAGAGAAACGCCACACGACCACAGAATGACAAAAGTGTCTTGTTCATCGCAAAATTTCTGCAACGAAACCATGGATTGACAAAAGTCTTACTACCCATTGGGATCAAGGATGAGCTGCATTAGCAGCCGTGAAGAGCGAGGCTACAGCGCCAATGTTCGCAGGCGCCTCAGACTCCCAGATCCTCTCGTAGGTGCGCTGGAGGATGAAGGCGCTCTGAATCCCGTTCGCAACAATGTTGTCGATCAACGCTTGCAGATCCTGCGCCGTGTTGGGACCGTCCGCGAAGTGGTGCACCAGGATCGAGCTCTTCCCAGCCTGGCCCGCCGGCACGTTGGCGTCGATGGTGGCCTGTCCGTTGTAGCCGGGGCAGTTGTTGTCTGGCGGCGGGAGCTCAGGCAGGGTCTCTTGGATGCGGCATCCCTCATAGACGATGACCGTGTCGGCGTAGCCCGAAGTGAAGTACTCGTCGTGATTGGACTTCTGGCCCACGTTGTACACGACGCTAAAGTTGGACACGCCAGAGAACCTGGCGCGCGCCACGTCGGTGACATTCTTCATGATCTGGACATCGGTCTGACCACCCGGGTGGGCCAAATTGTTGTTTGGCGTCTCGTCAAAGAAAATCCCGTGGATGGATATGTCTGTGCCCGCGAGGTCCTTCCACTGTGACCAGATGGTGATGTTGTTGACCATCATGTCGTAGGGCTCGTTACCATAGTTGGTGCGGACGTAGCCTAGGGTCTGGACGTTGTTATAGGTATTCAACTTGGCCACCGCGGGACGCCAGTCGAAGTTGCACCCATGGTCTGGATCCTGATCGGCAACACAATTGCCACCAGGAAGATCCGCCCAGCGAGCGCCATTGGGGCCAGCATTGACCACAACCTGGAAGATTAGGTCTGGATTGCTCTCAATAGCAGTGTATAGCGGCTGCCATCTGTCGGCTGGGAATGGATACACATAGTAAGGGATAAGCAGCTTGGTCTTGGCTAGAGCGCCGACAGCCAGCGTGGCAAGGATAGAGATATACTTCATGACTGGTTGGCGTATTGAGTAGAAATAGCGGGTTCTTCTATCGCTGAAGAAGCTGTCTTGTCATATAGAATCGGTGTGGCCTTGAGACAGCTTTTATACTTCGCGCTGTGAAAGTTTGGCAAGGCTACGATGGCTGGACTCGTGGCTCAAAAAGGGGGTATTCACGCATGCTCACCACGACATCACATTTCCACATGAGAAAGCACTGGCCTTCCTCGATAAGTGGGGAACCCTGGTCCGGCGTGATGTCAGCTTGTCAGCAATGCTTTGTTGCGAGAGCTCGGATTGCGAAAAGCGAACCAATTAGGCATTTGCCTCGAACATCTACGCGCGCTTTGGCGGCTCGGTATAATCGCCAAAGGCATGTTTTAAAGCCGAGAAATACAAGGCTAAGCTGAATAGGGGTAATTGGAATGACCTTGGAAGGGCTGTTCAGCCTCAACCATGGTTCGGCTCTCGTTGGCTCAATGCCTTGGCCTGGTACGGCTGGGGTAGAGTTGCATCTGAGGTAAGCGCACACCAGTTGATCGGGCCTTCATGAGGCTCTGCTCACATCCTTCCCGTTCCGCACGTCCGGATCCAAATCTTTTGAATTTTGACCTGTGACACTTTGTCCAGGATTATTGTAAGAATCAGCCCTATCCCGATCCCCTCCTGCCAAGATCCCTCCCATGTACTTTGGATTTCTAGGCAACCACCACATCGTCGTTATGACATGTGTCAGACGTGCGGAGCTGGGGCCCGTTGATCCGGAATGGAGGTGTCATCCATCACGAAGGCGATCGGAGTCATACTCTCTCATCGTGCGCGGTGGGTGGCCTCCCAGTATGTTGACCGAGACAGTGCTCAACATGCAACAAATGCCTCGTGAGGTGTGAGATTCCACGCGTTCATGTTACCTTCCAAGATGCTCAGTTTGCGGAACAGATTTCCACCGGATGACAGGAATACTTTTAAGCGGTGCGTCTCTAAAGTAGTCGTCTAATATAGTTCTCGTGACATCGATTATATACTTGCATTGCCTATAGATCATCTACTATGGTTCGTTTCACCGGAGAGATTCCGGGGTAGGTAGGAGGTGTTATATGTCTGGATCTTCCTCTTGTCATTGCTAAAGATATGTGTGTTAGAGCACCCATCCCGTCAGTTTGCAACAATCTCCTCAATCCAAGTCTTGACTCTCTCAGCGACCATCTCACTCATGCCCTCCTCTGCACGCCCCTCGTATTAGCACTTGATCCATAATCTTACGCAGACACGAAGAACTTACTAGCACAAAACTCATGGGTCAACTTCCCAGTCTCATCCACATACGTCCTCGTCCGCCCCCTCTTGTGCGCCGGCACACCGTCCCGGGAGGCATGCTCCGCCCGCACGCGGATGAACTCGTCCCGCACCTCGTCGGCGACCCAGTGGTCGTACTGCGCGTAGTAAAAGAAGAACTTGGGCGGCGGCTCCTGGTCCCTGGTCGCGGCCTCGGCTTCGGTCACCTCCCACAGCTCCTCGCCCCACTTCTCCTCGGTGATGGTCCGCAGCTCGTCCATGCCCAGGAACGCCGCCTCGTGCGCGCCGTCGCGGCTCTGCAGCCAGCGCGCCGTCGTCGCGGCGCCCTCGGCCGTGAACCCCCACGCGCGCTGGAAGAAGGCCGCCAGGAGCCAGGCGGGCCAGAGGTAGAACAGCGCGCGGGGCAGGAGGTGCACGCGGTCCGCCACGGCGGGGAAGCGGTTCATGAGGCTGACGGCGGCCCTGCCGCGGTCCGAGCGCGGCAGGTGCGATATCGTGGGGAAGAGGCACACGCCCGCGCGCAGGGGCAGGTCCCTGAGGGCCGCGTGCGACTGCTGCTGGTGCCGGTGGAAGAGCTCCACGATGATGTAGGAGCCGACCGAGTGGCCGCTGAGGATGACGGCGTCGAAGGGCTGGCCCTTGCGGGGACCGGCGGGGATGCGCTCTGCCGAGACCGCGGCGGCGATGTGGAGGATCTGAGCCTCTAGGTCGTAGGGCTTGTGGGTGGCGTCGAAGGGCGGTGAGTGGTCTGCGTCCTCGAAGCCGAGGAGGTTGCGGCCGGCGATGTGGAACCGGGTGCGGTGTGAGGACGCGTCCTCGGTCGAGTCTAGCAGGGTGCGCAGGGTGGACATGTAGGTGTGGTAGTAGGTGATGAGGCCCGGGTTGCCGGTGATGTGCCAGACGAGGACCCAGTTGGTGTCCGGGGCGTGTTCGGCATCCGGCCGGTGCCGGGGTGGGAAGGAGAGGTAGGTGGTCATGGCTGGTGGACGGAGGCGCCGGATGTAGCAGGCTGCGTTACGGATGCCAGTAGCCCACTCCTACCGTAAGGCTAGCAGCGATGCAATGCGATTGGAGGGTAGATGTCCCTTATGGGCGGGAATAATATCTGTTCTTAGACGGATGAAGGTGATTCACGTTCTCGCGCACGCCGCCCATGATACCAAGATTTTTGACAGACATTTTGCCCCACTATTTCCCTCATTCATCACCTTGTCGGACTGACTGTCAAAAGACTGGAGCCTTTCTCGACAGAACATCATTGCAACTCTTCATGAATTGATAGAACAGATACCGTGTTTCTGTATTCTAAGAGTATCTTCTGGTGAAGCAAATGTCTCTACCCAAGTAATGCCTGCACCAAAGTCTCCTGGGCATCTATTGCACCAGCCAGATGTCAATTCTCAGGTCTAACATTGATGTCCTTCCTCGAGACAACTCAAGCGACAATCATGATACATGATACAAATGAGTAGATCAGTAAGGTCAAGTCGAAAAAACTGATCTCGAACCCACGCATTTCAACCCTCACACTATCCTCAATTAACAGCGCCTGACGGACCAACAACGTCTGTCATGAGTCGATAATGAACATGAAAGTTCTCTTTGGCCACACACTGGGCTTATACACTTCCATGGCTGTAAATTACTGAAGACTGTGAGTGTAAAAGATGCTTCGACCGTAGAACGCGTTGTGAGTAGCAGCACGGTAGCACTCACAGCACTCAGTGACACGTTGGTCAGGTGCCTGCTTCGCATAACCATAAAAAGCGCCCAACCTACCCTCAGAAGGCTATGAATACCTCTTCATAATAAAACTCGCAATCATCTTCCCCTACTCCAGCAGGGAATCAGTTCAGTAAGTCTATGAGGCCCAGACGCTCAGATCACCAGAGATGAGAAAAAGGCGAGCTCGTGAGGCTTTCCTGGAGCTGCTCGACCGCGCATACAAGCACCGCTCCTACAAACTGAGACATTTACTGCACGGCGGGAGGATGCACACATTCTTCAAGAGCACCAAGATGGATGCGGCGCTGCTTTGCTACAGCGAAGAGGACTGTACAGCGGATATGAAGTGCCCCGAACTAAGAAGCAGGCTCTATGAACTTGCTATGACGATCACGACAAGAGGTGACCCTTCGGAGAAATTTTACACAGGCAAGATGGAAACGAGCTACGGATCGAGCACGAAACAAAAGCCACACGTGGAGACAATGATTACATGGAGGTTCATCAGGTGTAAGTCTCCTCATATGTGCCGATACCAAGACCGCTCACTCTATTGACATGGATACTCTAGCGCCTGTGGAATGGATCGGGCTCAAGGATGCTATTACATTATGGGAATACCGGCTCGACACTCCTAGAGCGTACCTGACGACAGGAGAAGAACAGGAGGATGCCTTGTATGATGCACTCAGCGAGCAATGACGGTAACAAAGAAATGATGCACTAGACAATACTCGAAGATCTAGGATATGAGAAATGGTTGCTGCACGATGATTTCGGCGTACAAGATAAGGAAGATATTATTAGCAAATTCAATTTACTACACGACCTCTCATGCTGTAGCATACTTGAACCAAGAGGAGGATCTTTCTGGACGACACGTAGATGATAATCGTGCCTCACTGATTACGTAGGAGGCACCCAACAAAGTCGACGTCAGACCTGACGTTGGATATCAAACCTTCCAGATTCCTTTGTGGTCCTCAGGCCCTAATGACTTCCAGTCCCGGCTGAGCTGCACATGAACTGTACATGAGACTCACCTACCTGTGACTTTTATCTACTGCTGTGCGCATCAGCTATCTGAGACTACCGCTACGAGGTCCACACATCGCCTATCGCCTATTTTCCCTTAAAGCATCGCAAGAGCTCTTGGACTCGGAGAACTCTTCACTATTTCTTTTCCCATTTGACTCCTGTTCTCCCACCACCAGAATTCTCGTGGAGTATGCCAAGATCTTTTCTCATGATGGCTTCCCAGTCGAAAGAACCTCTCAACTTGATGAGACCCAGCACGGAACAATCCTCCGACATTATGCACATGCCGACCGTGGCCGAACTGAGAGCCGCCCTGGAGAACGGAGAGGTCACCAGCAGGGAACTTGTCCAGGCATATTTGGCACGCATTGAACAGGTCAACGGGTTTGTGAAAGCCATCGCGCAAACCAACCCAGACGCTATTGCCGATGCCTCAGCCTGCGACCAGGAGAGGGCGGCTAGTTTTTCCCGAGGGTATCTTGAGCTGCCTTTCCTGTCCCACTACCGCTTGCCATGACTGACATAGCCTGCTCGGCAGAAAACTTCACGGTATCCCAGTCCTGATCAAAGAGTCGATGGCGACCCTGGACAAAATGGAGACAACAGGCGAGTCAAGCTGGTCCACCTTCCACATTGATCTTCTTCCTCTAACACGCCGCATCACTCTAGCTGGTTCTCTTGCTCTAGTCGGCTCACGTCCATCTGTTGAGGCCACAGCAGTGAGACGTCTGCGCGAAGCCGGGGCGATAATCCTGGGGAAGGGCACAATGTCGGAGTGGAACTATGCGAGGTCCGGCAGCGTTCCCAGTGGATGGTCTGCCACCAGTGGACAATGTGTTGGGCCTTTCTACGCAGACCAGGACCCACAGGGATCTTCATCAGGCTGTGCTGTTGCTGCGTCCATTGGTCTGGTACCTGCAACAATCGCGGGTGAGGTGAGAGCCGTCTTTCTCTACCCTATCCACCACATCCACAGCACTAACTCAGGCGTAGGCATGGGGAAGCATTACTTATCCCTCGCAGAACAACGGGGTGGTCGGTCTGAAGCCAACAGTCGGGCTCGTTTCTCGAGCTGGTGTGGTTGGCGGCTCAAGGCATAAGGATACGATCGGCCCCATTACGAAAACGGTTAGAGATGGCGCTGTGCTCTTGAATGCAATAGCTGGTGTGTTTGTAGGCCCCATCCGTGTGGCTTCAATTCATGGAATGCTCATAGACTTCAGGGAAATGCCCATTCGATGCTGCGACGGATTCGATACCTTTTACATCGATGCCAGACTTTGAGAGCGCCTGTCGCCCAGATGCCTTGCGCGGGGCCAAGATAGCGGTACAATCTTCAAGGAGCCTTCTGATTATGTGCCTGTTCTGACACTCATCCAGGTCTCCCAAATCCTACTTGACTCGTATTCTCATCGAGACGTCGTCGAGGCCTTGGAACAGGCACTTGGGGTCATGGAAGCGGCCGGAGCTGAGGTGAGACGGAACGCCGATTTCGAGGGCTGGGTTCCAAACAAGTCTATCAGAGACCCAATGCCGGGCAATGTCCTCCTCAGGGAAGGTAAGACATGCTTACCGTTGCCCAAATAATGTTGCTCTTACAACGCTAATCAACCCAGGGCTCGAGTCTTACTTCAGCAGTCTTGCGGTCAATCCCCACGACATCACGACGCTTGCAGGTCTGATCGAGTTCATGAAGCAAACGCCTGGCGAAAAGACGGAAAAGTATGGGCTTGACTGGTTAGAGGCAGCAAGGGATGAGCCCTTCAGCAGCACCTCAAAGGAGTTCCAGGACGCAATGGAAGAGATGATCCGCCAGGGCAATGCCATCAAGAAACTCCTCGATGACGCGGACTGCGACGCGCTTGTGATGCCCACTACAGGAGACGCTCCTTACGATCTTGGGCAGAATCCAGCCGTAGCTGTCCCCATCGGCTTCTTCCCGCCTGACAAGGCGGTCTCTCTCACTGCGTTTGGAAAGGTTTCCAAGGGCCCCAACATCCCGTATGTTTTTCCCTCCCTCACTTACTGTCTGTTGATTCTCGGTTTGCTGATGTTACTGGTCAGATTTTCCCTCACCTTCCTGGGGCGTAAATGGGACGACGAGAAGCTCATTGGTCTAGCGTATGCCTTCGAGCAACTAACTCGCGTTCAGGCACAGTCTCGGCATTGTGTCATGCCGACCCGGGAGATTCTGACAGGACGGAGTTCGTCCAGGATGTGACAAACAGGTTATTCCCTTGTCTGCAGACTCATCCTATGGTCTGCTGCCAGTGCCATCCTATGGTCTGCTGCCAGTGCCTTGATCATGGCAAAGATGAGCTAAGCTCTACCGCAGCAAGGCACATCCATGGATGGAACTGTTGGTAATGGCGTGGCACTCGGGAACTGTAGATACACCTAGAGTAATATGTCGGTTGATCGGCAATGTGCGCTAATACTATTTGGGTCACCACTCGCGAGACTCCACCCTTCATTGCTCCGCTCTGACAAAGTGACGATGCCTTGTCTGTGGCTGGAAGAAATTGAATTACTCTTTGACTGAGGCAGGTGTAGTTCTATTTTTTTTTTTATATAAGGGAGAGCTCCTTTGGTTTCCAAGACTGAGAAATGACCAAGTGTCCTTCCGTCCTGTGGCCAGCCTCCTTCCCTCGCCATTGCGTATTCTTTTACACCTGGGTATTTCCTCATACCCTAACCCTTGCTCAAACATACCGTCAAGGCTCTGACACCTATCCATCTACACATTTCGGTTTACCTCGTCTCCAATGTCAGATCAAATCTCCCTCCCAGACATTGTTGTTCTCCCTCGGGACCAAGAGAGGCACAACCTTGCCATCGCAACGCTAGTTATCTATGGCCTCTTCCTTCCCGTCACCTGGCTTGTCGAATTCCCAGCGTCATGGAAAGGCTTTACGTCGAAGCGCAAGAGCCGCAATGTTGGTCGCGTCGCGGTCAGAACATTTCTCGACTTCCTCAGTCTTCTTTGCATAAGTATTGCACCACCCTGCTGGTGGCATTTTGCCTGGAGCATTACCTGTACTGACCCGTCGCGTCGTCTTGATCTAGTCCGCATCATCGGTAACGCACTCTACCTCTCCACCTCCACCCCGAGTAAGAGCATCTTCATCGTTCAGACGCTCTTCAGCAGCCTTGGCTTCCTGCCTTTGGTAATGAAGCTCATCTTTGTGCTCGGTCGCGCGTGCGTCTCGCTCTCCCGCCCCATATCTTGTTCGAAATTCTACGAAGACACAGAAGCTAATAATGGGGAGGACATCAACTATCAGGTTACAAAAGAGCCGCAAAACTTCCGCCTTTACACATGTCCGCCGTGCCATCGTCACCGTACGGGTACTGCTCTTCACCGGGGTCATCCTGATCATTGTCGGGGCATGCACGCTCATCCTGTCGCTCTGGAAGGCCGGGGCGATGGTCCTTGCAGCAGCGTTCGTCGTCATGGCCTCCGTCCACGTCTTCCTCTTGGTCAAGGTTGCTCGTAAAGATGGGGATCTTGGCGGCAGACAGGGCCTCTGCATCCGCGTTGCCGCGGCATCGCTGCCGCCGCTGGTCGTGCGAGCGGTGTACCTGATCATCATCGAGTTTTCGCAAGACCCGAGATACAACCCGATCGTTGGTGACCCGGCGTATCTCATTGGAATGGTGTTTGCGATGGAGATTCTGGTCATGATCTCACTCCTGTCGGCTACGGTTATATCGGAAGACCTGTTCAGCATGAGAGAGAGCGAACATGTAGCTCTGCAGGAGGTTCCACCCCATTACCGGCGAACCCAACTTGCTGGGAATGAAGCTTAGGTCTTTGCCAACTGGTCCTCCTGACTTGGCAATCAGGGACACATGAGCTGGAGCATATCTCAGATGTGTAGGAGATGCAGCTGGGATAGCATTAGTTTATTATAATACAGTCATCTGCATGCATTCCTATCCCCTCCCGAGAATATCAGCTGCTGTTGTAGTAGGGTAGCCCTTGTGATTCGTCGCCGCATAGCTCCTGTCAAATTCTTTCAACCATCCTTCGATCCAGAGACGGATCTCAGGGGACGCTGCCTCGTAGGCGATCCTCAATCCGAACCCCACTCGATTTGGCCCAAACATTCCCTGCGATGCCATCTCTACGGATTTGCAGATCCGGTCTACAGATCCAGACACCTCCGCTGAACGATCTCCACCGTACCCGACGAGCGCGAAGACCAGGTTCATGATGATAAGGCACGAATTGTACGTTATCTGAGCCGCAGCCCTCCAAGCATCATCGTACATGTACACCGTGGGGAATCGATCGTCGCCACGCGGAGAGGGCACCTCAACAGGAGCGGGGAACTTGGCGATGAACTGCTGATTCCAAGCATTCCATCGCTGATGGACTGCGATTGTGTGGGCGAGCAAAGATTCATCTTCCGCGGGTTCGACGTAGGAAGAGGAAGCGAAGGCTCGGAGCCTGGCCTGGCCCTTGTGGGCTATACTCGGCATCTCTGAGAGGAGGTCATAAAAGTCTTCATAGAAGGCGTGTAGGTCCTCTGGCAAAGAGTCCGGTGGGTGGGCTCGGAAGAAGGACCGCCATTCTTTGTTGGTAAGACGGCAGCGGCCTGCTCCAAAGATCGAGGCGGCAATCTGTGTTTCGTAGCGGCCGTCAGCTGAGTTACCAAAACGCGGAAGGAAGTATCAAGGAGCGTACCAGGGTGCTTCGAGAGGCTTGGATCAGCGTGATATCGAAGGGGCTCCATAAGTCATGGCGTGGACCCCTTGCCTCTATGAGAGTTCCAATGCCTTGCGCGTGATGGAAATAGTTTTCTGGCGTTGTGGTGCCAGCAAACAGCTGCCAAAGTTCAGTCAGTGTGTGGCGCTCATTCTCGGGAGTTAGATATGCCATCAAACCTCAAATAAACAGAGCAGAACCGATGCACAGAGTGTTTCGGATGTTTTCCATCGTGTTGTATGGCAAAGCGAGTTTTGCAACTGAGATAGGGACATAATATAGGAAGCGCGACTCTGATCTAGAATGCCGGAGTCGCCTCGACTTCTCCCTATCATCCCAAGCGAAAAGGTCTGGATAGCACTGTCAAGAGCGCGACTTTGCCCGGCCATCACCGGAAGGTTCCTAAACCAAGCCCAGACAATCCTATGTTCCTGTTGTATAATACCACTGATGGCAGCGACGGCTTGGTTCTGGAAGAGCTGCGGTGAAATGATAGATCCTGGTATGTTTACGCTGGCGACCTCTTTACAAGAGCCATGGGATGGTGAGTCTATCGTTGATGGATTGCGGGCGATCTTGGAGCGTCGATGGGTTTGAGCCTGGAGGAACACGAGCTGCCTGGCGTAGCCCGGACAGGCTTGGCCATACCTCAGGCAGTTGCCACAGGCCGGTCGTTTCTCATCACACTATGGAAAGGCTCGTCGTCACGTTCCGCGATTGAATCTGGAGCAATCAAAGGACCAAACGAACCTTGACTCGACGTTTCACACACAGAGAGCAGCCCTTGCTCCATCTTGCTCGCCGGGATGTCGACGAAACCTCCATTTATAAATGGGTTTACGTCAACTAAAGCGATGGGGATCAAATTCAATGGGCCGAGGTGCCTGATTCTCGGATATATACAATATGAGGGGACTCGGGCACTCTGACCTCAGCGGCTGGTTGATCTAGAGGGCGGTGTGTCACTGCAGAAACAGGCTCTTATCCCTACCTTACCATCTCTACTTGTAGGTAGGTAGATCACAACTACTAGCCCAGTTAGGAAATTAGGAATTGCGAGAGGCTGCAACAGAGATATATAAGTCTTCACGGGCAGAGGGAACAACTGTAATGCTTATAGGCACGTCGTCAAGGCCCAAGGAATATTATCTGCTGTACCATACCGGCCAATAGCGAAGGCGGGCCCGTAAAACCGCCGAGATCCTTTCTCGAATGTTTTGTGACGTGGCCACCCCTGTCCTTGATTTTGCTTCCGCAGGCCCACAGCAGGGTCGTTTTATATGATGGGATGCTACGCTTAATCTTGTCGCGGTAATGTTTCGTCTTGTCCTTGTTGAAGCTCTCAGACAAGTATTACATGCCTATCCAATATTATCTCTGGATCTCGATAGATGTAGGGACTTGGTATGAACATTTCCAACAACATGCCAGGCAGAAGCTGCTGAAAGGGGCCTTTGGTGATAGGTAAATACAAGTAGAGTCGAACAAGGATCAGCTACCCTTCCAGGCATTGAGCGAGGTCAGATTTTAGGGCTCATTGGATCCCTCCAGTAGCCGCCAAGTTCCAGCCAGAATGAGTTCGGACTCTGGTCTGCGACCCACAACGACCTGGCTCGACATCCCGGCGTGAAATGAGATTTTACTGGGCCGTCGCATCCATCCAACCCTTCAACGGTCCCGTCTCCGTGGCACGTCACACACTCTCTGACTGTCCCGCGTCAACAGGAGTTTGACATCATGCAGATAAGATGCCCCAGGAGGTGGATACAGCCCAGTGTCACCGGGCGGGTTGTCCGCTATAAGGGGCTACGGATCTTAGTGCTGATGGAACCCACAAGGCAGGATTCAGCATCATAATGCTACCCCCAGCCAGCATCAAGGTTTTTCTTGCTTCTGGTGCGCGTTGTATAAGAAGCTGCGTAATCTGGCCCGTTTGAGCTGCGGAGCAGCGACCAGAGGAGGTGGTGCCCAGGTCATTTCCTCGCTCCTGGTCTCTTCGGACGTACGAATCGCCACACATACCGCGCAAGCAGCCATGTCGAAAAGGACATTCTCAGCCGCGGTCGCGGTACTAGTCGCGATCCTCGCCTACCTCGCGGTGACGCTCGTTGGGCAGGACGAGGCATACGTCGCGCCGGTCCAGGGCAAGAACAACACGGCCCTGTTCGTCGTCCTGCCGCACCATGGCCTGTCCAACGTGCACTTGGCCACGGCCCAGGCGCTCATGGAGCGCCACCCGCAGATCAAGATGGAGTTCCTGTCGTTCCCCAAGATCGCGGGCAAGGTGAAGCGCATGTCCGACCTGGGCCTGGCGAGCAACCCCAAGGCGCAGCCGATCGGCTTCCGCAAGCTTCACGGCCGCAACTACGACGACGTGCTCGCGGAGGTGGTGGGCACCGACGGTATCGAGGGCGTCCTCACGCTGCCGGGGCTGAAAGGCATCGACAAGTTCTGCAGGGACCTGCAGATGTACGTGTCGCCCTGGCCGGCTGAGGAGCACTACGAGATCTTCTCCGAGATCGCCCAGGTCATCAACGAGACCGACCCTGCCGTGGTCGTCCTGGACTCTATCTTCGCGCCTGCGATCGATGCCACGCGTGAGAGCAAGCGGCTTCACTCTATCATTTCTCCCAATACGATCGTCGATATCTTCGCTGCTAAGCAGCCTTGGGGTGGCATGTTCTGGAAGTACCCCATGTCAGTTCTTTTCCCTTGATAAGCCACTGTATCGCAGTACTGATCTGATACTGTCTCCTGACAGGATGGGCGCGGGTTTCAAGTTCCCTCTCCCCTGGTATAACATCCCTTCCAATGCGTACCAGGTCGCCCGGCTGGTCGCCCGCATGCTCTACACGCCCGATGTCACCGCCAAGAAGAAGTACCTCATGGAGAAGGGGCTCAAGAACCCGATCAACTTCTTCAAGATGCACCACGAGGACGCGCCGTGGATCACGCAGACCATGGAGGGCGCGAGCGTGCCCGTCGAGGTCATCCCGCGCAACGTCTCTGCCGTGGGCCCCATCGTCATATCCGTCGCGTCGGCCGAGGAGCAGGACCCCAAGATGCACGCTTGGCTCGCCAAGGGGCCGACCATCCTGGTCAACCTCGGCAGTTCCGTCACCTACAGCCAAGTGCGCGCGACCGCCATGGTCCAGGGGATGAAGCAAGTGTTGGACCAGACCGACGTTCAGATCCTGTGGAAGTTCCGCAAGGCCGAGGAATACTCTGATGACTTCTTGGCCCCTGTCAAGGACTACCTTGCGAGTGGACGGCTGAGGCTGGAGAAGTGGCTGACTGTCGACCCGACCTCCATCCTGGAGAGCGGCCACGTCGTCGCATTTGTGCATCACGGTGGAGCTAACTGCTACCATGAGGGCGTCTAGTAAGTCTTTGCCACCGCTGGTATCATGTTTTCAATGCTGACCGTTCCAAGCGCTGGTGTTCCGCACATCATCCTGCCCCTCTGGGTTGACCTCTACAACTTTGCAGCGCTCGTGGAGACGTTTGAGATCGGAGTGTGGGGGTGCCCAAAGACGTCGCCCTACTGGTCAGGAGAGTGTATCGGCGATGCCATTCTCAAGGTCGTTGATGGCGGTGAAAAGAGCAAGGCCATGCGCGAGAATGCGCGGAGCCTGGGAGAGGCTGCCAAGAAGACTCCTGGCCGATACGGTGCTGCTGAGACGATTGCACAGCTCGCAGGCTCAGGTTACTAGGTTTGGGGGTTGCACCGTGTATAAACTTCTCCTATTGTACAAACAGATATGACAGGCTTCGAATAGAGCTCATATAGATATGGCAAGTGAATCATGATATCATCTCCGGATCAACTGTCTCAGGTGAAGCCATGGGTCGCCCCATCAAGGCAACCTGGAATGAACATATTCCCGCTGTCCCAGACACAATCAGAGTACCTGAAATCAGTAGTGTTGGTATATTATCTTTTTCGGAATGATTGCTCTCAGCTTCCTGCTACCTCTTCTCAAACCGCAGAGGACATCGCTCAGGATGGAGCAGTTGCACCAACAAGACCTGCCCAGTATTTTCCTCGATGAAATCCAGCACTCGTTGCTTGGCTGCTCCGAGCGTCTCTCCCGGTCTGGTGACAGGGCTCACCCGCCAGTCCTTGAACACGGTGGCGATGGTCGCGGCAGCCTCGATCTGAGCGAACTTTCTGCCGGGGCAGTCACGCACGCCATCGGACCAGCCTAGAAATGTGCTACGACGGGGCGTCAAAAGCATCTCATCATCGATGTTGGGCGAATCGCTGGCCGATTCTGACTGGATCCACCGTGACGGCCGCCATGTGAGCGAGTCTGGGCCCCAGAACCTCGGATCGGACTGCACGGAGATATGACTTGGAACGACCATTGTCTTTGGCGGGATGTGCAATGTCCTTCCATCGACTAGTTGCAGTGTCGTTGCGTTTCGATCGGTCCACTTTGCCATCCCGACCGGCGAGTACAGGCGAAGAGTCTCGAAGACAATCGAGAGACAGCGCTTGAGACGTGGTAAATCCGCCTTGAGGTCCCATTCTTGCTCCGGACGTGTGCCAAGGACGTGCTCAACCTCTTCATTTATCCAGTCTTGCACTTTAGGGTTTGCAGCTAGGAAGTACATGATCCAAACGAAGGTGTGAGCTGTCGTATCGTGGCCGGCGAAGTTGAAGACGAACACTGCAGACCTAGATGTTAGCGTGCGAAAAATCTCGTAGCTGCTCGAATCGAAGAAGGTTCTTACTGTTTCCGTAGATCTCGCTCTCGCTCATGCTTCCCTTCTCCTGCTGAGAAGCCCGCACGAGCGAGGTCATCAAGTTCCGCTCAGAGACCCTTCCCTCGGCAGAAGCCAGCTTCTCCTTCTCGTATAGCTCTGTCATGTACGCTTCGAAAGCAGTGCAGGCATCATGCAGGTCTTTGAACGCATGAGGCAGCCACGGTTTGGCAAGGAACTTGGTCCCCAGCACCATGATCATGATGCTGTTCTCGAGGATGGACTGGAGCGCCTCCTTGTAGCTCAGAGAGGTTCCCTTGAGCTTGACCTGCGCTTCATGGTGACCTTTGAACGCATAAGACTTGCCGAACCCGGCCCTGGACATGACGTTGAGAGACAGGGTGCGCGTGTCGTGGTCGACTGTATTGACTGTTGACTGGGAGCACCAGTACTGTCCCAGAGCCTTGGCTTGGGCGATACTCCTACCAGAGCCTTAGCATTGACGTTCTTCTCCACGGGAACGGGACACTTACTCCCGCCAGACGAGTTCGAATGTGGGATCATTGAAGCACGAGCCCATGAGCTTCCGCATCTTCTTCCAGTGTGCACCTTGAGCCTGTGACCACGTGAAATAGTCAGCTTCATGTCGACGTATCTCCGTTGGTCACGAAGCATAAGTCACTCACAGAGCCGATGCTAGGCCCGAAAACATCGAGCATCGCCGTGAGTTCAGAGTTGTGCGGGAAATCGGCGTTTCTCTTCAGCATGGAAGTAATGTCGTCCGGGTGGCCCAGATACAGCCAGATCATGGCCGGCGAGCAGAGGATGAAGACATCGCCGAGATCCTCGTGGGCCTTCCACCGCAGCGGGATGTCGAAGCCCAGGTAGTTGTACCTGGTGATGGTGTTGTCGCCGAGCCCAAACGGCAGCTTCTTCAGCAGGCCTGCCACACGCCCGCTGACGATCGTCCAGAGCGGGTTGATGTGGTCGACAGGGATGATGCGCACCGGCACGCCGAGCTTGCGTGCGATCTGGTAGTTTTGAAAGAGGCAGATCGCGGAGTGGAGCGTGTAGGCTGGTATCGCGAAGAGTACCACGGCTCCTCCTATCGCAAGGATGGCCATCGTTGATGGCGAATGAGCTCAGAGACCGAACCGTTAACCTTGCCGGGACCGTGGAGTGAGATTGCGTACTGCGATCACGACATCGCAAAGAAATCCAGGCACACTATTCCTTCATGATTTCCTCACCCCTTTCCCGCCAACCTGGGACGTCGTTTGGGTAAGCACTAGTGAATCCTGCCATCCTCTGATTCCGAGCACAGTAAATAGGTAGTCAAAGTTAGTCAGTCAAAGGAATTACAGTGCTAACACGCGGCTCGAGGACTTTTAAAAATTGCTGGAAATGTATGGATTTGTTCATCGTTTGGAAGTAAAAGTATTGGTCGAGGAGTCTGAGGTCGTGATCTTCGCCATGCAGGCTTGACAGGCTGGGTGAACGTGAACCGAGCCTATGAGTACGATGAGCACAGACCAAATTCGCACACAAATGCTAGGACCTGAATTCGCTGCTTGAGGACCCTGAGCAACCCTTGGCAACCAGGGTGGTATATATCTCTCACAAGCCCGAGTCGCTCGTAGGCCACGATTCATGCTGATGGACATCAATCACGCACACATATGCGGAGCTGGGCCGCATCCGCGGATACCTAACTACCTAGTTAGCTACGGGGTTCCGTTCTTTGCTTACTTATTAGGTGAGGGGCCTTTAGGGCTTTGTAAGCTCCCAAACAAGCTGCAAGCATGAGTCTGTTTGCTATGTATGGGTGTGAATACAGGCAAGCGGCAAGTACCGAACTTGCTTCTCGCTTGGGGAGCAAATACCGCGACCTGAATCTCCCCCCGACCGCGAGGCGCGAGGGGTAATGGATCGACCAAAAGAAAATATGGCTTAGCTCTGGCAATCTATTGAACATTGTTCACCTTGCTCACATCAGAATAAGGATATTTTTACGAGTAGATCTAGACCCCAAAGTGGAAACGCGCCTGGCACCGTCGTCGAGGCTAGCACCTCCTAGCATTGCTGTCAGCCAGTGTCAGGCCTGTCAAAGCGAGTCCCCTGCATCGAAGGGGGACGGCGCTGGGGGGGAGGGGGATAGGGCAGAATCTCTCCGCGGAGTCCCCTACCTAGCTCCAGCTCAAGCTGCATTCGTTCCATCGCAAGACTGGGCTAGCTTCTGGGGTTTCTTTTTCCCCTTACGGAGGAAGGTAACTACTCGTAGGCATCTGAAACTTAATTTGACAGGACCGTACGCCAGCGCGCGACACTTGTCTTGGTCTGGCCCGCCGGATTGGCCAGCCAAGAACGCCTCACATTCCCTCTAGGACAATTCACTTACTGGCCCCTTTCCACTCCGCACTTAAACGAGATATGGGAACGCCACGCTGAGAAGCAAGGGCAGTTCCCAGACCTGAGAATCAGGTGTGTTGGCCATATAGCGTCCAAAGCAAACCCGACAGCTTGCATGCTTTAGCTGGTGGTCTGATGGGGTCTGGTCGAAACAATAGCAGTGCGCCACCTTGCGGATGACAGCATATACGATGGCTGCTAAAATGGGAGGCGCGGGAAGCTGACGGTAGACTCAAAGATAGTATGATCAGGTCAACTAGCTGCCAGCTAGGTGAGCCCTATCATAGACAATAGTGTCTTGGTACCTATTCCTGATTGTCTCACAGGCTTGCTTCATCATCAGCCTGCCGAAAATGCTTAGAGTGAAACCGTGGCTGGAATGAGGCCAGGGACAGGGCGATGGAACTCCTTCGCCGCCCGGGCTGTCCGCGTTCTGGGTTTTCCCTTCCCTTTTCCTGGATTTGTTCTCTTTTACGCGTCTTCGAGAAAAAAAAAAGCCTGTCTTCGGGAAACGTCTTACCTTGAATCAATGTTACAGTCTGCCTTCTTTGTCCTCCAAAAGCTCTACAACACTTGCCATCGGCCGGCAGTCATGATTGTGAACAGAAAGTTTGCGCTGCTCTGCGCTATCACGGTGCCGGTCTTTGTCCTGATCGCCACCTTCTACAACACTGAGCTGCTGTCCAACGCGGTGAACAAGGTCTACACGGGCGCGTCGAACTTGGCCGTCGACCCGAACAAGCCCCGGTATATCTTTGTGGATCTGGGTGCCAACCGAGCAGACTCGCTCGAGGCCTTCCTGCAGCACGAGGGAGCCAAGTTCGAGTACAACTTCCCCGAGCCTTCGTGGGCAAAGCATGACGATGCCGGTAAGTAGCAGTTTCTGTTATACAAAACTACGTTGCCTTGGATGGCCCTGCCCCCGAATACTGACATGAGCGGCTCCGTCCCCTGTGCTGCAGAGATCCACCTCTTCGAGGCCAACCCCGTCTTCAACGCCGACCTGGTCAACGCCAAGCAGCGGTACCTCAGCGCGGGCAAGAAGATCCAGATCTACCCGTCGACCGTGTGCGACAAGATCGACGGCCTGCGCACCTTCTACCTCGACACCGTCAACACGGGCCAGGACTTCTGGGGCTCCTCGACCTACGCCAACCACAACGACGTCATCAAGTCCAAGAGCAACGGCACCGAGCTGACGGCCGTCAACATCGCCCGCTGGCTGCTCATGAACACCCTGCCGCGCGACTTTGTCGTCGTCAAGATGGACATCGAGGGCGCCGAGTACGACCTCGTCCCGCACTTTGCCGAGATGGGCGTCTGGACCGTCGTCGACCACCTGCTCATCGAGTGGCACGAGAACCTGCCCACCGAGCAGGCCAAGGAGGTCGCCAAGGTCGCCACCCTCAAGCTCAAGTCCGAGGGAGTGCAGATGCCCGACTACAGCTCTGGCGCTTAGTCTAGTCGCACATTGCGGGAGGGGGGAGGAGTGGCTATGTGTCAGTATTGTGAATGTACTACTATTATGGGGGGGGGGGGGGGGGGGGGAGGGGGGGCAAGTTCAGGATAGAGAAAGCATATGGGCAAAGTAAAGTAATACAGCGAGGCATGGGCGTCACATTTCATGGAGTTGCGTGTATCGTGCTAAAAGGTGTAGCAGCTCGCGACCAAGGAGTGACTATGTGTGTCGCTTGAGTGCAATTAGGGCATACCACTGCGTCGGTCACGATCAACGAGTGTTCATTGTCAGACTGACATGCACAGTAAGGAAATGACAAGGTGATTGAGGTGTCAAGCATTACGCGACACCAAATTTTACATAAAAGGAGCTCGTTGAGGAATGGGGACATCGTTGCTATTTCAAAAGGTTTTGATGTTATCTCGGCAGCGAAACTCACTCCAATGATGCCAGTTGATCTCTATACAGCGCGGTACACCGGCGCGCGCAAGGTGTACACCTTCTGCGACCTTCTCGATGAAGAGTTCTTGGTACCCCAACCAGTTATTCCCGGCCCGCTCAAGATCGACGAAAAGGCTGTCAAGATTGTGTTGCGGAATGACAAAGTGGGCGTTGCGCTGCTTGCCTATGCCGAGGAGCCTTGTGAGGTCGAGGTTTGGGGGTCGCTCACCCACCAAGCTCTCTACGAGCTTGCGCGCAGCAACGGCGACGACTTCGTTGTCTTCAGCTTCTGCCAAGCAGTCAAATGTGGTACCTCGACCGCGGCTCATCTCCCACCCCACGTGGTGACTGTCTCGTGGAGGTTCATTCGAAGTACGTGCCGAACTCCCATGAACGATTTGCGTTCACACAAAGGCACTTGGAATGGTGCGTTACTAACCTCCCTTTGTTTTTTGCAAAGCGCCCTTGGCCGAAACATCGATCGACGACGCGGCTACCCTCTGGAAGAACAAGTTGGACATACCCACATGCTACCTGCGAACAGGATACTCCCGGATCGAGGAGGTTGTCGAGGCGTTTACAGGCGAGACGCCCGAAGAGCCGAGTCGATCAAAGCAGAGCAAGAATGGTGACGAGTCAATAAAAAAGGGAAAGCGAGCCAGTCTTCGACCCGCCAAGACTGAGAAGCACGCACAGGATACGGAGCGCCAGAGGGAGGAAGATATACAGATGATGGAGGGCTAAGTAAGAGCAGCAGCAGGGTTGGTGGATTATCCCCTGCTCGTGCTGGATTGGCACAGGCCCCTTTTCTTTCTTTCTTTTTTTTTTTTTTGGAGAACAAATCTACCGCGGAATCCGTAACGTCAGATACGTTGGACGTAGCAAGAATGCAATGCATTGAAATCACTTCTTTAGTGACAAATTACTGAGAGCGTGCTTCCAGTTCCTCATCTGCGTCTTCAGAAGTTGGCTCATTGCCCGCATCGCCTCATATACATGTCCTCATATCATGCATGAAATCACAAGACGATCAAAGATCATGTGGTTCAGTCATGTGGCCTTATAGATTCAATTTGTTTACTTAGCCAAACATTGAGCGCAGGTTGTTGTCCTCCATTACGTCAACCCAGTGTGTTGTATATAATAGGCCGTCAGGTTCGTTATCATACGCCCTCCATGTCGCCAGCACAAGCTCCTTTGCAACCGCAACTGGAGTCGGTGGCAAGCTACTTTCCAGAATACTCAATCTTTCCGATATGAATCGTCTGGCTTTACCGACATCATCAGCCAGGGCATTTGAATTAGACGTCTGCCCCACAGCCTGGCCAATCTGGCTGATGTAGGAAGACAGGCTTGGAATGTCGTCCAGCGACTCGCCGTCATCAAGATCTAGTGGATTGATGTGACTGCCCTCCTGAAACACATAGCTGCTAGTTGTTTGGGGCTGAGCAGAGATGTTTCGTCGAAGCCCTGTGCTGGCGGAGATATACAGCAGCGGCTGGATGACACGACTGCCCGACGTGGGAGGTATACCCTCCAGCACCTGGACCAGATGCAAGCTCAGCGGCGTGATCCACTCGGACCACAAAATGGCCTCGTTGTCCATGAGTGAGGGCTTCGATGGAAGACGTAGTGACACTAGATATGGAAACGTCTGGTACAGCTGCAGAAGCGAGGCGAGGCGGTATGCTTCGGCCGTTCGAACGAGATGAGCTACTGGCGTTGTATGATCACCAGTGCTGAAGACATTGCTGCCGCTGTCAAAGGGCAACTTGAGCGCTAGTAGCTGTTCTTCCAGAGATTCAGCCTGGGCGAGCTCGTCGCAAATGGGCATGAACAGCCATTCGGGCTGTGTCGCCGATGGCCGCATCTTCAAGCGGAACTTTCGACAGAGTGTCATTGACTTGGTAAAGAGGCGGGTTGCCGAGGTCGATACCCCGGTCCATGGGTGCAGAGTATCTCCCACTTCGCAGCTCCCCAGAACGGCTGGCTGCGCTTCTGTCGGACGCGCTCCAGCATCCGCGTCTTCAAGGGCATGACAATCGTCGTCGTTGTGGACGACAGCCAGCAACATCTCGCAGTAGGCCAGGGACTTGTTAAAGAAGGCCAGCATATCCTTCTCCGGGCCCTCGAGAGCTGGCGAACTCTGCCGATTGAGGCGACGGAGAAGGGCCTTTGCCTCCTTGATGAAGGGCAGGCCAAGAGCTCGTGCGTCCACCCAGCAGATAGTGGTCCCCATGCAAAACAACGAGAACAAGAGTCCTGTCGGGACGACAAACAGCGGAAAGGTGCTCCTCTTCACCGTCATCAGCTCTGCTTGTATGCAATCTGTTGCCGCTTGCATAAGCCTGAGAGCAGACTGGCGCATCCAAGGGAGGCGGGAGGCCATGAAGCCAGCCGACATGCTTTCGAGGGAACTTCGCACTGTCGCAGAGTTGTGCCACAGATCGATGGCTATCCTACGGTTCATGTTGGTGTCGGAGTCGAAACCGGACCATGCTGGGCAGACTTGCTCGAACCAGTTGATAACGAAGGCTGATGAAGTGTCCATCAGGGTCCTTGTTGACAGGGTCAATGCCTGTTCAGTCGGCAGAGATATTGTCTCAGTCAAGTCTGTGAAGTCCGCGAAATCGATGTCGGCAAAGTCGGTGCTCTGTAGCTCAAGTTCCTGGCCAAACCCGACATCATCCACCTGTGATGACTGCTCTTCAGAGATCAGACCGTCTCCAGTTTGACACTCCTGCGCTGATATCCGTGTTGATAAATTTAACTCGTCGATCCTATCGCCTCCTTGCGTTGCACGTCGTTGCGCCGCCTGCTCATTGCTGCCTTCCCCGGAGAAAATCGATGCCGTATCGGACTGGGAGTACGCTGGAGTCGTGCTGCTTGCGTCACATTGTTGTTTTGAGGAGTTCTTTCGTGGTCGCGGGTGTGAGGTCGATGGTGATGATGGTTCGATACTAAAGGATTGGAACTGAAAGTCCGGTTGGTACTTGAAGGACCACTTGAGGTCCTGCTTGTAGCCTCCGCATTTGAGGCCTTTCTCAGAACACCTCAAACACTCGGGTCTCGCTTCGTCGCATTTGATCTATATCTGTTATTAGTCCTCCAGTCCGCCTCTTCTCCATAATATCTTCTTCTGTTTATCCTCGTGGGTTTTCAGCATTTGCAGCTGGACGTACATGCTTCCTCTTGCAGGTGATGCATCCTGCTCTCGACCGAGGAGGGAGGCCAGCTCGAGGTCCCTTGCGTCCCACCTTGGATGGCGTCTGTGTTACCATGAAATGTCTGGCGTGAAATACGCCGTCTTCTAGTACCAAGAGGGCTGTCGATGATCCTGAATAGGCAATCCAAGCGCCGAAGAGTCTCGGGCGGTTCTCACAATTCGACAACTTATGCTGTCAGCACGGTATGCCAGTAGTGCCAAGTTACAGGGAAAGGGGGGATGCCGAACTGGGTCCGGGTATGATGCTCCATTATCATGAATGCGGGGGCAGAGCGGAGGCGGTTTATCTCGCCAGCTTCGCATGGTTCGGAGCAACGGGCTTGCTCGACTGATAAGACCTCTCGACTACACCATGATTGGCCACAGAGACACACTCAACAACCTTGGCCTACCACCCCCTAGTCCATTAATAACCTAATTACTTGACATTGTGTATTCCGACAAATAGTCTAGTGCGCGGCACTTGAAGCATGGGAGGTACGGTAGGTCCAGTCTCTTCTCTCTATCTGGCACACTTGCATCACATGGCTCACTTCATCCTGGGTGACAGTTCATTCTCGTTCCGCGTTCCGCGCCGCCCCCACCGACCACTTCCTCTCCCATCCGGGGAAGAATGGCCCCTCGGCTAGTGTCTGCACCACCCAGTCCTTCTCCACCAGGCCCGTCTCGACCTGGAAGCGCTCGTACTCGGCCAGCGCCGGCTTGGCCACATGCTCTACGTGCCACGTACCCTTGTACTTCATCAGGTTCTCCTTGCCCTCGTTGAGCAGCTTGAGCACGAGCGACGGGATGCGCGGCTCGTCCCGGAACTCCGTCAGCGGCGTGAAGAGCGCCTTGAAGTTGAACACGATGGCGCCCGAGAGCGGGAGCCGCCGCAGGGTCTGCCAGTCCACCCGCAGGTGGATGTCCTCGGGCCGCAGGTTGGGGTCCTGGGAGGCGCGGTGGGCGAAGTCGGGATGGTCGGAGGGCAGGAAAAGTGGCTGGCCGATCTCGAGGCCCCAGGATCCTCGTTGGATGGGCTTGTCGGTGGGCATCTTGGTAAAGAACCTGGCGCAAAGGGGATCCGTTGTCAGACGCCTGTGACTCAAGAAAGTGACAAAAGTGGCTGGATTGCGTGCATCATTCTAAAACTCACCGGTCCATGCTAAACTCCATCTTCTCCTTGTAGTCCGGGATCGGCTTGTGTATCTCGGGCAGGCCCATGCCGATCTTCTGGCCCAGCTTCCAGCCAACCGTAGAGCAAACCATGCCGGCTCGGAGGACGTAGCGGCCCGTCTCGTGATCTCGAAGCACGATCCCAAAGTCTTCGGGGACATTATGAAGGAGCACATGGAGGGGTGGCGTGGCTGCGAGATCGGTCGTCGTTCCGAGGATGTGGTTGCACAGCATATTCTTGTCTCGGATCTCAAACTGCTTTGGGTACCGAGCGCAGAGAAATTGCAGGACCATCTCCATGAGCTCCTTGCAGGCTAGCTCTGCCCCTGGCAGGCAGTTCAGGAGATCGTCTCCATGCTGTGCGTAGAGTTCTTGGCGCTGGGTGAGTCGCTCGCGGTAGGTGCTTTCGAGTTCAATCCAAAAGTCCGGATCCAGCTTTGTCAGTGCTACATGGTGGCGGTCTTGTCAGCTTCGTTGAACGCGTTTCGCTCGTGGCTTGGTTGTCTGGTCTGTTGCACGGCTTACACATAGTCTGGTGGTAGGGCCATCGGAAGGGCCGGTATGGCCTTGGAAGCGCCTTGTCGATATCAAAGTCTTTCAAAGGGGTGGGCAATGGAACACCAGACAGGGTCGAATAGTCTGGAAAGGCGCCAAGGGAGCGGATATCGCTGATAGCGAAGCCGCTGAAGATGAACTGCTCGGGCTCGGCCTTTCTGTAGTCATCTTGGAGCTTGACGAGAGACTTTCGCGCTATGGAAAGGTCAACATGCTCAGTATTGGCAAACTGCGGATCGAGTTGCGGTAGTCTTCTTCGTTGCGAGGGTGGGAAGACATTGACGTAATCGCCTGTTGACGAGTTGCTTATGGATGTCTTCTGTGGGAGCGAACATGTCGGGACGGGCGTGGTAACGCATTTGCCTCCGAATTTCTTAATCAGATTGCGAATCAAGAGCACCAGGAAGCCACCGAAGAAGGTCACGCCAAGCAACGCAGCAGCGTCATGAATGTTGTTGACCTTGAGGGAGACAGCCATGGTGGCAGAGTTACACTAGATAAGTAGATGGCTCAAGAGGCGTTTCGCAGCTCCTTGGAGCTGTGCCATGCAAATTAATAAGTGCTTGCATTCAAATAGCAGTCATCTCTTGATATGTAGTAATTGCCCATATTTCCATGCAATCTCGACGTCTGCACGTCTCAAATACAAACTTGTGGCGCGTGATACGAAACACCAACAGAGCCATTCTTCGGCTCCGTCAGACACGCAGGCATGTTGTGTGCATTACGGCAACTGCTGTGCGACGCTGGAACCACCTATAGGCTTTCGTGACGTTTGCCCCTTTATGGAAAGAGTTGTGCTGATGAAGTGTGATATCAAGGCTCGGCATTCGGGATAGGTGACCAAGAGGGCCGGCTGGAGCTAAACCCAAAAGGCACTATCTACCCGGCACACGGCGTAAGCAGGATTCCTACTGGTCTGGCCAAGGTTGACACTGATAAGCATATAACCTATCTCGCCTCTGCCTTCTTCCCCACTCCTGGTTGTTCGTCCTCGACTCGGGGCCTATCACAGCACGCCGTTTCATGACTGTCCTGCTACAGTACGCTTTCATTCCGCCTGCTCTGTGGGATGAGCCCTTGTCCAGGCTCAAGTCCCGAGGCAGTGAGTCTCCTTGGCTCTTGTTATCCACCACTCCGCATCCTCTCGTCCAGAGACAAGCTCGCCTTGGCGTCTCTTGGCGGCTGAGGAGAGTCCGGGGGGCTTGCCCCAGTCTCCCTGATGTGATGATAAGCGCGATCGCCAGAGATACAATTGTCAAGATCGAGTAGAGATAGCACAAGATGTGTGAAGATATAAGACTCCCGGTACTGAAGTGATGCTCTGGATTTAATACCCCTTGCTCTGGGTAGCCGCTGACGAATTCCTATTGACCGTCGCCAAACTCGGGACAGTGATTGTTTGTGTTGACTGATCTCGCTTCCAATACGCTTGGCCTTTGACATCGACTGGGCAAGCAATTCTGTGACATTGAGACACGATGGCGGAAATCTCACCTGTGACCGCGTTTCCGGAGTATGAAGTGAATCCTCAGGGTGGCGATCCCTTGACCCAGAACCTCAACACACCGTACGATAAGGCATGTTCTGCACACAGAGTCTCTCCTGCTAAGTCCGAGTGCATGGCCTACCGAGCCATCAGTAGCGTTCATCTTGCAAAGAAACAAAGCTGACCGGACTATCCAACAAACAGGGTGATCTCTGCTGGCTCCTAATATGCACGGTCCTTTGCTGGCAGATCACGCCGGCCATCGGCTTTTTGTATGGCGGCATGCACCGCAGGAAGTCGTCGTTGACCATGATCTTTCAATCGCTCTTCTGCGCCTGTGCTGTTGGGCTCCAGTTCTGGCTCTATGGCGCCACTCTCTACTTGTCACGGCCGACGAATCCCATCTGGGGCAATGGATCCCTGGTGGCTTTCCACAACCTTCTTGCGCAGCCGTCCATGGCAAACTCCGGTGTTCCTGACATTCTCTGTACGTCTCTAGACACCAATCATCTGCGGAAACCATCGTTATGCTAATCCTGTTCTCATTCCAGATGCGGCTTTCGGTTTCACGTTCGTAACAGCTACAGCTATGATTTTGGCGGGTGCGATGCTTGAAAGAGGGCGCTTGTGGCCAAGCATGCTGTTCCTTCTCTGCTGGACCACCTTTGTCTACTACCTGTCAGTTTTGGGAACTCTCTACACAATTTCCAAAGTCGAAACACTAACAGGTGCATAGCCTGGCTTACTGGGAGTGGAACCCGGAGGGTTGGCTCTACAAACTCGGGCTCTACGACTTCGCCGGCTCCGGCCCCGTGCACATCGCCAGTGGTTTCTCCGCTCTTGCCTGGTCCCTGATGCTCGGCAAGCGGACCCCAGACGGCGTCACGCCGATGAAGAAGGGCCTGCTGCACCCCAAGCCCCACGATCCGCTTCTGATGTGCCTCGGCACCATCCTGATCTGGTTCGGCTGGTTCGCCTTCAACGGCGGCAGCACGGCCAACCTCAGCCTCAGGTCCATCTACGTCGTCGTCAACACCAACTTTGCCGCCTGTGGTGGAGGTTTAACGTGGGCACTGCTGGACTACGCTTACACTAAGAAGTTCAGCCTGGTGGGCTTCTGCTCGGGCATCATCTCCGGTCTCGTCGGCATCACTCCCGCCGCTGGATTCAGTAAGTCTCGCCTTTCTCCCCCTATCAGACCCTCTCTCCATATACCCTCCCACTAACACACTTGTCTCCCCTAAAGTCATGGTCTACGTCGCCCCCCTCGTCGGCGTCCTCACCGCCACCGTCTGCTTCTACACCGTCAAGTACAAGCACCTCATCGGCGTCGACGACGGCCTCGACATCTTCGCCATCCACGGCGTCGGCGGCTACGTCGGCGACATCCTGACGGGCATCTTCGCGGCCAAGTTCGTGCCCGCGCTCGACGGCGTCTCGGGCGCCAGCTACGACGGCGGCTGGTGGGACCACCACTGGCGCCAGCTCGGCCTGCAGCTCGCCGGCGCCACGACCTGCGCCGCCTGGTCCTTCTTCGTCTCGTGCCTGCTGCTCTTTGTCATCGACCGCATCCCCGGGTGCCACATCCGCGTCAGCGAGGCCGAGGAGCTGCGCGGCCTGGACATGGCGTACCTCGAGGACGCGCCGTGGGAGGAGGGTGGTGATGACGGCGCGCGGCTGATTGTGCACGAGGGAGAGTCGATGGCCGGCGGCAGCGGGTCGCCTGCGGCTGTCTCGCGCACCTCTGGCATCCAGAAGGCCGACCGTGGGGAAGGGGGCGATGTTGAGATGGCTCATGTCAATGCTGGGAAAAGGTCGGAAGGGCAGGAAAAGCATGGGAAGGAGTAGGCAGTGTTCAGCGCATGGTTATTGGGTTTCTCGAGAGAAGCTAGGTGTTCCTTTGATAGATTAGATCCCTAGGTAATGACTACTGTAATAGATCAGATCCACTTTGCTCTGTGAGGCGTTCAATGTTAGACAACCTAGGAAGCTCCTGCAAGGCCAGAACTCTTTTCACGTCATACCTACTTACCAAAGTCAGGGAGTTTCCTGCTCTCACCCTAGGATAGAGGATCTTTCTGCATTCTCAGTGATGCTATACGAGCCTGGATCAATATGATAGTACCTGCCTTTGATCTGCACCTCAGGATTTGATGTGAAGGCTGTGAGAGTGTCCGGCCCTGTCCCTTGCTCAGTCGCAGGAGCGGTAGCACAGGACCCTCAAGCCATTTATCCTTAACATGTTCGCGTACTTCAGGCCTTCATTGCATGTTCCACTCTCACGCGAATTCTAGTGCCTTGAATTCCTGTGGCCAATCGTAGGTGAGCACAGTTCAGCATGGTAGTGACTAAGTGTTACTGACAGGTGGGTTCACGTCTCGGTGAGAGGCTGTGCTTGTCAATACGTGAAGCCGAGATGTACACAAGACGTGCTACAAAACATCGTCACCGTCGCCACCACCTCACAGTCCACCCCAATGTTGCCCAGGTGTCACTTTTGCGTCCACTTGCCAGCCAACACGTAAAGCTGAGGTGGTTGACATCACGAGTACACCCACCCGGCACAGTGGCAGCTTGCCCACCCCATCGGTCACCCCATACTACCTCGCCCTCCACCTCCTATGGTCTCGTTCACACTCTTGACCCGCCCTCTCCTACTGGTTCGGATAGCCGTGAAATAACATATATCCGAGCGTGGACCAGGTTGGAGAATCGGGTCCCTACTTCCTCAGAAAAAAAAACCATCAAGAGCAAGCCCTTTCTTTTACTCGACCCACCGCAAGACATGCAAATGCGCTGCTCTTATCGTTTATCGATTCCGGACGGCAACATGTTTCATCCAGGCATAACCTAGACATCATTATCGGAGCATCAGTAGCATCGTGGGCAACGAGATGTCCAAGCTACTGTGGCTCCTGTCGGCGACCCTTGGGCCGCCAGCCGACCTCCGACACAGAGAGCTTATGATCGCATTCTACGAAAGACCGACCGAAGAAAGTATCAATCGACACATTTTGTACCAGCGGGAACTCAACATCAGCCTAGCCAGCCGAATCATTCGGCTTTGGAAGAAAGAGGATGTCTCACGACTACTGGCTCTACTCGGAACTCGATTTCTCTACACCAGATGTGTTCGCGAATCACTTATTTAACCCGTTGTCAACGGCGATCACGCCGGAGGCTCAAAACGCCCCAAACAATCTTCACCAAGACCAATGGTTTATAACAATGACATCTTATCCGACATCAACGAATCAAGTAACCATGGATCCCGAATCACAGGCCTTGAGCCTACCATCATAAGATACCTACTACCATAAGCCGCGAGAATCGAGCCTACGACACCTCGCGCCCCATTCCTTCGGATCATCGACCCGAATTACTAACGTCAGAAGCCCTACTCACCTCGAAAGGAACACAAGGAGCCAGTGGGTGTGTCCAAGTAGATCGTGTCCGCAGAGCGACGATCTCGACACCTCTGAGCAGGAGGCTACGTAGAGTCGAAAGGTGGAACATATCGCGTCTTCATCGACATCATTGAGAAGGCTTGGCATTGGGTTTCAGCTGTACTTAAGGACTCTCGGGCCTGCGAGACGTGGCAGCAGCTCCCACCATATCACCCAATATTGCAAAGTCTCGGTCTCAGCCTGGTCCCGCTTCATTTCAATCTGCACTACGAAATCTCCAGTGGCACCTTCGTCCATTGCATGGCGATCTCCGCCCACGTGTAAGGTACCATCGGTACACCACAAACCTAGGACTCTCAACCCATTTGTCCTTGACAAGCTTGTGTACTTCGAATCCCTATTGGCCTTGCCACCCTGAGGCGAATCTAGTGTCTTTAATAGGGGGTGTAACATTTCGGCCAGTTTGCGTCTGCCAAATGCGCGAAGTCTTCGTCGATACCAAAGAGCGACTGTATCATCACCATCGCCACTACCTCACATTCCACCCCAACATGTAAAGTGAAGGTGGTCGGTTATTCGAGTACACAAGGCTATGCCACTCCCAACCATGTACTGTTGGTCAATCATTTAACAGCCCCCAACGACTTGTCCTTGGCGTGATACGTGCATGCGTTCATCATTAAAGAGGGGTAACTCCAATAGAATCATGTATCAAAGGTATGCTTCCTTCTCGTGCTGATCCTGCTGGCCAACAAGATCAAAGAACAGTTCGGTCAAGACCCCCAGCTGATGTTAATATGCACTCAACAAGACTGAATCCATGTATCTTGGTCACCAGGCTGCTCAAGAACCACAGTACGAAAGGGAACTGCTCATGGCTGAGCTCCATGTGACGTGGCAGCCAGGCGCCGAGAGGGATGTGTAGTTTTAGGGTTGCCCATTCGCCAAATGTAACCGCCTGCTCGCGCGTTGTGCCACCTCATCGTCCACCCCGTGCCGCCCCAACCTCCACCCCGTCCACATTCCCAACCCTTTCCATATGATCAGTGGCCTTACCTCCCGAGGACGTATAAAATCACTTGTACCCACGCAACTGCCATTCTGGAAAATTATATTTCTTCTTTGTTTCAAGGGTTAGCTGTCAAGAGAATACCATTCCGTTTCCTCGAGCCAACACAAGACATCCAATTGCACAACCTTTACCAGTTCCTGACCCCCCCCCCGCAAATGACTTCGTCTGAGCCTCACCTAAGCATCGGTAGCATCACATCATGGATAACAACAGCAACGCGATGCCCGGGGCACAGGGGGTGGTACCTGGAGGCGGCCTTTGGGTCGCCTCCTGGACATGCTGCCAGTGTGTGAATGGATCACACAATACAGATCAACAACAACATCAACTGACACGAATTTTACCCAATTGGACAGAGCATTGGATCAAGTGTAATCGTCCCAGCCTATTTCCAAGCCACAGTCGACTGAAGCATCCGGCCTTCAAGAATTTGAATCTGCAAGAGCGAAAACTAGAATGTCTCCCCAGGACTACTGGCACTACTCAGAACTCAACTTCTCGACACCAGATGTGTTAGCGAATCACCTATTCGACCCATTCCCAATAGGGACTAATCCGCAGGCGCAAAACGAGTCGAACAATCCTCACCAAGACGAATTGTCCGTATTGATAACACCTTCCCTTATGTCAACGAACCAAGTGGCCATGGGTCCCGAGCCACAGGGCCGTGGCCTTCCATCGCACAATATACACAACGACAATCATGAATACCGAGGCTACGAACTCTCGGTCACCATTCCCTCGGGGCTTGGACCCGAATTACAACAGCCAGAAGCCGTACCACAGCTTGCGAACGACATGGCTGGCGAGGGTGGCCAGTCAAGGTTAGATGATCTCACCCCAAGATTACTTTTAAGCACTGCAGGTGTCCCTGGCTGACCATTCATAGGACTACCCATCCTGCTCGTCATAGATGCCCAGAATGCAGGAAGACATATCGGCGCCCCGATGTGCTCAAGCGCCACCAAAAGGAGAGCCACAGTCAACAGATTGAGGAGTTTCTCTGCCAGAATGCCCAGTGCGATAGGTCCCGGAACGGGAATGGGTTCTCTCGGTTCGAGAGATTAAAGCGGCATATGAAATCATGTAATAAAGCTCCCAGACGCCACGTTTCAAGCAACGATGATCTCGATTTACTGGCCGGTAGCGAAACGTCACCCAAACTCACAACTGTTGGAAGCGCAAGGGACAGAGATCAACCAGGGGAACAGCCTGAAGATTTGCAGGCCATACCGCGTGCTGGGGATGACCTACTGCAGGCTTTAAAGATACGCTTTGGGGAGGAACAGGAGAAACAGAGGGTCAGGGAGCAAGAATGTCTCAAAGGTCGGGAATATCTTGGAAAGTTGTCGTCCTTGATCGAGGACATGGACCAGAGAAGTAACATATGAGGCTTTGATTTTTGTTGATTTATGATTTCATGATCTATTTTCTATTTCAGAGGCTGTATCTTTTGATTGACATACTCGGCATGGTCTTTGGAAATTATGACTTTCAGAAGTTGAGTTGTTGTTCTCAATTATTTAATCCAGTTCAATGTTTAAGAAACGAAGCACATCAATATATCACCCGGCAGCTTGTGTATGGCACCTTAAGTGGAGAACAGACTTTGCGAAATATCTATGAAAATTCAGTTTCGGCAGTTTGCGAATACATATGGCTTTCTTCGGGATCGGTTGATCACGGTGTACGCCTTGCAGCCATGATCAATGATGTTGATGAAGACTGTTAATTGTGGAGACTCCGTAGCCCCCCTTGACTTCCCCGTGCTAGGCCTTTGGCAAGTGGAAGTCGATCTGGGGGGAAATCGCTGACTGTTCGCCATTAATTGTGCCGCTTTGGCACCTAACGTTTGGGCGGCCGTATTCGACCAGTCCACTGCTGGGTGATGTCAAACCAGAGACAAGGTATGGCAAGTCGCTCAAGGATGACCTTCGAACACGCGTGCTGCCGTGCAAGCCGAGAGCCACAAGTCAAACCAGTCTCTCCCCGGAACCTCATGCCTTCACACACATCACGACCATGCACTGCAAACGCCAGAGCCACAACGAGTATTAGGAGAATGGTATTTTGGTAATTCGATTTTTCTTTCCCTTTCCATGCATGCAAGTTCATCTTGATTGGTTGATGTTTGGTTTTGAGGTGCCCTCATCTTGTTTTAACGGCACACAATGACACACAAAGCCATTCCCCAGCCCGGCCATCCGTCGCAAATGAATTGATTGATTGTCCTGAACCACCACGCCAATCTAAGTGTGAAAAACGCACAAAAAAAGACGAGAAAAAGGTTGACAGCGGCCACGCTTAGTAGCCGAGAGACTCGAGAGCCTTTGCCGTCTTCTGGTCGACCTTGGCGTTCTTCTTGGCCTCGGACAGTTGTCGCGCGGCCAGCTTCTTGCGCTCGTAGTAGGCAGCACCCTTCGCTTTTCTCCGCTCCTCCAGCCTATTGTACATGTTAGCGAATCCATTGAGTGACGAGATGGCACAACCAGAATCATCAGAGTCGCAGGCGCCCCAAAGGTATCCAATACGTACCTGGCAACAACATCCTGGTACTTCCAGCCAACCTCGTGGCTGAGACGGCCAACGGTGCAGTACTTGCGGCCGGGCTGCAGTCTCAGGACACGGAGGGCCTGAGGGACGACCATCTTCTTGGCCTTGTCGTAGGGAGGGGGGACACCCTCGAAGACCTTGAGGCGCTCAAGGGCGGCGGCACCACGGGCGGTCTTGTGGGGGATCATGCCACGGACGGTCTTGTAGAAGATACGAGAGGGAGCGCGGAAGTGGAAGGGACCTATCGTGACAATGTTAGACTCGAATCGACACGAGGATCGGAGCGCAGAAAGCTGAACATACCGCCGCGAGTGGGGTTGTAGCGGGTGATCTTGCGGAGGTACGCGTGGTACTTGACTGTATTCGAAGTCAGCGGACATATTTCTCCAAACACGAAAACGGCCTCGCTCCGAATCATGACAGCGATCGTGAAAATTCTGATTGTCGTTCGATTGCAGAGCGAGGGCAGGGTCGGGTCGACGTACGCTTAGCGCGGAAGAACTCTCCGGAGATGTTGAGGGCCTCGCAGCGGACAACAACGATCTTCTGGCCGTTGAGGAGCTGCTTGGCGACGATGCTGGCAAGACGGCCAAGGAGGTGACCCTTGGCGTCGATGACAACCTGTGTGAAAGATGGAAGGTTAGCCCCAGTCCCAATTCCATTGTTGTCGTGCATGCTCGAATCCCAAAACAATGTCGACATTGAATCCCCAATTGCTTCCCTGTCCGACGTCGCCGACACCCCGTAGACCATCGTTCCCAGCTCTTGACCAAGTAGACTCTCGATTCCCAGTTCTGATCGACCCGAAAAACACGATGCATCGGAGGGGGGACTGAGGGTGGTACTCACAACCGGCTCGAAGGAAGACATCTTAACCTATCGTCTCCGCGGGGGACTCGAGAGAGGGGAACGAAGGAAAAAGAAGTAGAGAGTGTAGGAGCTCAGCAGACAAACTTCGGTCACGATGCGACGAAGTCTGTAAGGTCCTAAGCTGCCGGTCTGTCCTCCTGTGTGGGCGTTGGGGTTAGTATGAAGGTATCGCGAATCTTGAAGATTGGCGAAAATTATTATCGAAAGCGCAAAACAAGAACTGGCTGGTGTGCAGTGGCCGCGCTGGAACCCACTAGGGCTCTTTCGGGAGATAGCGGCCTGGAGAAGCGAACAGAATTTCGGTGGTGCCTCAGGCGACTTAGGGCTCGACAAACCTACTAAGTGTGAAGGTCATGTGATACTCCGGTTTCTCTCTTAGCGCAGCCCTCGGATTTGATAAGCCGTATCGCCCACTGCCAATCCTTATCTTTGGAACCGTGACGACCACCTGCGCGCTAACTCAAATTCAGGTGACGGACCATCGGTCCCTAGCAACCACCGATCAGCAGCGAAAAAGCACACTGAACATCGAGATGCAGTCAGTTGGGAGGTAGTCCCACCAGGCGCCACAGCCAGCATCCGCATGCATCATCGTGAAGATCAAATTGCTAGCCGGAGAGCTGATTTGGAAGTTGTTCGAGTAGAGCTGTGAGTATTTCCAAAACCAAAGAGGCAATGAATATCAAGAAACCCTGTATGTGTCCTCCAAAACGTGCCATCCAAGACATGCGCCCGCATCTTTCTTCTCTCAAACACTCCTTCTCGAATGATCTCAAGACCTGGTTCAGTATCCGTGTAGCCAGAGACATAAGGTAGATATCATATCATTGATGCCAACCTCCTTCTTTCTGATGTAGGGTATCAGTCTACTTTATATGATGCCAGCGCTCTTTTTGCAATGTGCCACACTCCTCTCATGTGAAACTAATCCCTCGCGTCGCCCTTGACCTCGTCTAGTCCCGACAAGACACCCTGGACCTGCTTCACCAGCTCCTTTCTCCGCGTGCGAGCCTCGTCCAGGCCCATGGTGTCGACCTCGTCCAGCTTCAGCAGCACCTGTTGCATGATGGTCTCCGACAGCTTCCGGTGCTCCTCCACCAGCTTCTTGGCGTCCTTGGGCGGGTGAGCGGTATATGAGACGCACAGCGGCAACAGTTTCGTGGTGAAGTGAGAGCTGATGCTGTTCAGCTTATCCAGGGGACCTCCAGGAGCAGCTGCCGCGGCGCTGGCGCCCGAGACACCGGATCCGGGCGAGTCGTACCTGCTCGAGGATCCGCCTCTCCGGTCATCGCGACCACGGCCGGGCACGTCCAGGCCAGTAGTGGAGCTGCCAGGACTGGTCGGACTAGTAGGGCTCTTGTTGCCCTCGCCCCTGTTCTTCTTCTTCTTGCTCGACTTCTTCTTGCGTGATTTCCTGCGTGCCTCATCGTCGTCCTCACCACCCACTACCACGATCTCTTCACTAGAATCACCACCCCTCGACAGTCTCTTGTACGACCCTGCGTCGTCAGGCCTGCCGATCTTGACGAGCAGCTCGCTGTTGTTCTTGACATTGTAGTTGCAGATAGGTACCACGCCTTTGTCGTCTCGTTCCAGCTCCTTGCCTTTGTAATACAGTCTTACTTGGTCAAGTTCCGCGTCGGACAACTTCAAGAGCATCTGGACGCGCTCCCGGACGTCTCCAATCTTGAGCTTTCCATCGCCAATTGCATAGGCAGGGAAGTGCTCGGGGTACGTGACGCCTTCATGCTTGAACAGGATGATGTCGTCGTCTTCGATCTCCAGACCCGAATTTGACGCGGAGGGCTGTTGGAAGTGGTAATTGCTTTGTCGGGGGTCGTATTGGTAGGCGTTTTGCGAGTTGACGCCCTGGTTCTGCAACTCCTCAGACGTGATGTATTCGTAGTCCTGGTCTGTGACGTGCGGGGTGCCCTCATAGCCCAGGCCGGAGTTGTAGGTGTTGAGCGAGGGACGGCCATGCCCAGAGGACCATCCGTAGCGGCTCATCCTCTTTCTTTCGAACGACTTGACCCTCTTGAGTTTCTTGTTCTTACCCGCAGGCTTGGCTCGGGCAGCAACGGTCGGAAGCGCTCCTAAGAGAACAACGGCGGCGAGAGTGCTATAGATGGCGTTGTGGGAAAGCCCAGTCGCGGAGTGGAGATACTGGACGGGACCCTCGAGAGTAGAGGAGAGGTAATCGACGGTGGTATCGAGATACGGCTGCAGCGCGGGCGGGATCTTGAGCAGAGAGGTGACGTTGGCAAGACTAGCGAACGAGGCACCAGGGGATGCCAGACTCCCTGATCCGGAAGCCACCTTGAACGGGCGGTGTGGCCGTCCTTTTGCAGGACACCCACGGAGTCTGATGCTGGATTTCTTTCCTTGGGCCTCGAATGGAAACGGAGGGATGGCCTCGGGCTGCGCTGCGCCGCTGTATCAGACGTGTTCTTTGCGGAGAGGACGGGCAACGGCTGCGATTGGCAGTCGTTGGGTGGCCGTGTGGTTCGAGGCGGAGGGGAAGACTGTGACGATATGGGACGAATGAGGGGACAAAGCAACGGATGTCGTTGGGACGGGACCCCGTTTCGGATTGGATAGTTGGGCTAAACGCGGGATGGCCTTTTATTCTCTCTCGCTTTCTCTGTGGAAAATGATGCCCGAAAAGGGAATGAGGTGATGATTTGACGACGATCACCGCCTGGGAATTTTCAACCCTGGCGTTCCAGCCAGGTGGCGTCAGCCCAGCCGGATTGCTTGGTGAAGGCTTACAGCGGCTAGCTTGTTTCAAGGGTCCCTTTAGCGGCCAACAAAGGTTCAGCGAGTCCAAATCCGCAATCAGTCAGTTTATTAAGCGCTCGCTCTTTGAGATCCAGGAGTCACACTTCAAAGTAGGTAACAATCCAGGTTCAGACTGGCCAGAAAAGAAGACTGCAGCGAGCCTTTTCACCGGGAAAGGGGGAGAGGTCAGGCGTTTGCAAAAGGCCAGGTTTCTCTGACCATTTTACGTACAAGAAGCCCAAGATCTCCACCGTGTAATACCTCTTGTGCCTACCATTTCACCCAGAATCTGATGCCGAGCCTTGGCGCCTGTGGCCAGTGGACCGTATGGCAGGTGACGGCTGGACATGATAGTTGTTGGACGTCTTGGACTTGATGATGGTTTATGTAACAGAGTCCTGGAAGGCGGATCTTGTTGACAGTCGGGTCGGACCAGACAAGACGTCCCAAAGCGGGGATGACTCAAGCACGTACCCGTGCTGTCTGGTGCACATCTGGGATCTATTCTCAGAATACCGCACGGGGAGCTCAAAGTCGATGGATACCGACTTCGGTCATGCCGCCAGCCATGCAGTTTCGACGCAGGTATCTACTTTGAACATTGGATTTCCATTTTGAGGATGTCTTCAAGCTCAGCCGCAGAATCCCTATCCCAGCTCCACAGAATTTAATGTTTATCTTGAGTCCCTGACGTAGGTAGTGGCTGTGTGGCAGCTCGCATCGATTTACCGACGGTCCAGTAGCTGAGAACATCTATATATATATATGGTGCCGTCGATGTCGCTCGACCATGATGGAAATCAAGATTTTGTAATCATTAAGACAACTTTTTCAAGTTACAAACGCTTTTCGCCCTCAATCAATCCGCCCATTCCCCCGTTGGTTGTGCCGACTTCATCTGAGCATTGACCGATTATTGAACAGCACCCGAGCTTAGTCGCATTTAGTCACCTCCAGTGCCTGACAAATACTGAACCGCGCTAAAAGGTTCTCCGGACGGGACACCCCAAGCAGGCTAGCCGTGATTTCATCATCGCAGAGATTAGAGATCGCGCATATTTCGCCCGGCCGCGGCACATTTGCATCCATCCATACTTATATCAAACCCGCCAGTCCAGCTTTTCCCTCTCACAATCCCCTCTGCGGACCTGAAATCCAGTACCAAATGTCATTCCTCCGCCGATTCTTCTCATCCACACCGCAGATCAGCATGGAAGCCGCAAAGACTCGCGCCCAGCAGCTCATCGACGAGAATGCCGTCATGGTCTTCTCCAAGTCGTACTGCCCCTACTGCCGCAACACGAAGAACATCCTCAAGAAGCTGAATGCCAACTTTGGTCTGCTCGAGCTCGACCAGGATGGTGAGTTTTCTTCCTCCCCTGTGCGATGGCATCGTCAATTCTGAATACTCCTTTCCTGCGCCTTTCAGCGCGGCGCACTTGCGCCGTGCGCAAAAGGGCTATGACGCAATGGGAAGCGAAAGTAGCATGGCAAATCTAGCAAGAGATAGAGTGCTGACAAGACATGACCCGCTCAACAGACAACGGCAGCGCCATCCAGGATGCTCTGCAAGAGATGACCGGCCAGCGAACCGTACCCAACATCTTCATCGGCAAGAAGCACATCGGTGGCAACTCAGACCTCGAGGCCAAGAAGGGCAAGGAGCTCGAGGAGCTGCTGCGCTCGGTCGGCGCCATCGCCGCTTAAAACAGTCCTTTCTTGATTTTGATTGTTGGCGACTACAAAAGACATGTATAGATAGAATCGCTGGCCGCGATTCGCGGTGGTTTCGCTGTTGTTTAGGTGCGGAGTGATACCGAGTGGATGAACCGTTGTCGAGACGAGTGTATGCCTAGAGAAGAGAGCAATAAAGGAATACGACTGCTAGATGGAACAAGCTCAATCAACACGAAGCGCGGCATTATGCGCTTCGTAAAGTTTTGATTCACCGAGGCTCTAATGCCTTCCCTAATATACACGACCAGAGCTGTGATTTCACACCGCAAGTTTTTGCTTTGTACATGTATTGCCTCTCGCAACCCTTTCTCCAAGAAACTACACAACCTGCGCGGCCACCGTGCCGACAGGGCGCTCGACAAACTCCATGATGCCGTCGCAGATGCTCGTCCGCGCCGGCTCGCTCGCCACCTTCTTGCCGGCCAGGTAGTTCAGCCACAGGCCGCGCGAGAGCCGCTCGTCCCGGACCGTGCCCAGCAGCTGCCGGCCGAAGCTCCGGCCGTCGTCGTACACGACGCCGAGGCTGCCGTCGCCGCCGCGCACCATCATGAGCTCCTGCTTCTTGGGGGCCTTGCCGCGATTGAAGATGTGGCGGAACTCGCGGACCGACTCGCCGAACTCGCGCGCCGGGTCCTGCGGTAAGGGAAGGGCGAGCTTGTCGCCGCGGGCCTGGATGGCGCGCACGAAGCCGTCGCGCAGGTGGTGGAAGTCGGTGTCGCGGACGGGGACGACGCGGAACAGGGAGCGCGCGGGGACGCCGTCCTTCAGCAGCTCCTCCCAGAGGTCCTCGCCGGCGGCCGGGTCGAGCAGCATCTTGCGCAGGTCGTCGCGCTCGCCGGGGACCAGGGTCGTGGCGATGGGGTTGATCTTCTTGACGAGGCGGGACTGCAGGGCCGCGATGTCGGCCGTCGCGATGTAGTAGCCCACGACGTAGACCTGGATGCCCAGGATGGTGACGGTGCGGGTGCCCACGCCCACGAGCGTGTACTCTGTCCTCTGGGCGCCGGGCGCCGGGACGAGGCTCGTCGGAGCCGACGGCTCCGACGTCGACGTGGGCTCCAGGTGCGACGGCAGTTCGATGGTCCGGGGGAACTGGGGCACCGTGCTGTTCCCCGTGGGGACGAGCTCCTGGCCGTCTTCGTCGTGGATCACGACCTTCCGCTTGGCGTCCGTGCCGGCAACGAGCGGGTCACTGGGCGGCAGGGCCGTGTCGAGCTTGGTCGGGTTGTCCAGCGCCTCCTTGAGCTTCCATGCCGTGTAGGCGAACGATATGACGCCGGCGACGGCGCCGGCGACCAGGAAGTTCCTCCTCGTCCGGTCGTACTCTTCCCTCTCCTGCGCCAGCCGCCTCACGTTCAGCCCGTCGAGGGAGCGGCCCGAGGAGGACTTGCGGCTGAGGAAGGCCCTGCGGGAGACGGGGCCGGCCTGTCTGGTGTGCCGGGCCAGGGCCCGAACAGCTGGTTGGCGGTACATCGGAGCGAAACGGACGGCTGGCCGGATTGGTGGCCGCGGAAAGAACAAGACGTCGGGGTATCAATGGGCTGGAAAACTTTTGAAACTTTTGGGAGGCGCTTTATTGTCCACCAGTCAATTGATCGTGAGCGGCGCCTGGCAAAAGGTTCCAGCACTTGCGGTGGTCAGATTTGCAAGAGCAGAGAGGCATCTGACCACTGACGATTGGGGATGGTGATCTCGGATTGGACTCCCACAGTGGGGTGCGGTAAGTGCGCTAGGGGCCAGTTGGGGCCCAGAAACAGCGGGTAGCGCCCTGTCCTTCTCGTGGCCATCACATGATTCACGTCATCGGCAGGGCCTGATGTCACGGCCAGGTTGCTCCCAGTCTCAAGCTGCTTCACTGGTTACTCCCTAGGTAACTGTGTTCATGTCCCAAGCGAACCACATGGTTGGAAGCATGCGCTACTGAAGCGTGATTCGCAATAACTTCAACTTTCGAAGGCTTGAATTCTAGATGCTCGTAGCCCACAAACGACATCGAGGATCTACCTACTCCCATTCGGGTAGCAAGGTGCCCATTTGTAAGTATCTCTTACCCACGGGTATCATGGATGCTGTACAAGTAGTAGGTATGCCCCACAGCAACAAGCCGTGCGTCCGAAAAAAAGCCCACCATTAGGCATTTTGATGATACAGCCAGCTCAGGATTGTTGGGCACCGAAAGATCGTCGTCATAGACTCGGGCGGGGTCTGGTTCGTATCAAAAAACAAAGGATGTTGTGGCATACCCTTCGCCTTGACGAGGGAGTTCCAAGCCTTAGATACTTCACCTAGCTTCACTTTGCTTGATGTAAATCGACAGCTTCGCAATGGATGTTTTGGTTTCCGTGTGAGGACGGGCAAACGAGTTGTTGTGGTTTGGTTGCACGGTCCCAGCAACACCCTCAGCAGCACAGGGCGCTAATAAACGCAAAGACGGTGCACTGGGCGGGATGCATGTGAGATCAGTACAAGTAGAAGAGCTGTCCCACTGAAATTGATCCATGGATGATCACACTGTTTGGGAGGGGCGGCGGTTCCCTAATGCTAACTCCAGTAGTTCCAGGGCACTCACGAGGCTGAAAATAGCGCGCCAGCGTAGCGCATGCATTGCGCACGAGCACGAGGGATGAGGGATGAGGGATGGATGGGTGACGAGATGGCTGATTTGTACGAAGCAACTGGGCTGCTGCAGTAGGGGGGTGTGATGGCGAATCCAACGTGACGGCGATCCAACAATAGCCCTGAAGTCCTCCCTCTGTAGCAGGAGCTACCAGCTTCAGGGATCCATCCATCCCCCACCCGACGATGCCCCTTTGCTCCATTTCCAAGCATCGCCTAGCCTGGGCGGCAGCTTGGCTTGGCTCTAACATTAGTACAAGTAAACTGGGCTGCTGTTGCCGTGCTGCCCGCCTCGAACTGCTATTTCTCCACTGGTTTCGCAACCTTTTGCTGGTGTCAACTGCCTGGACAATAGGTACATGTGTCAGACGCCCAAAGCCTGGACCTGGCCTTTTCCCTTGTAATTCCCCTCCCCTTCATGCTTGCTTGCTGGTGACAAAGCGAAAACAAATCAAAACCCAAATCGCAGACGAACGACAACAGCCAACAGCCAGGCCTCTTGCCACTGGCTGCCTTACTCACCTGGCAACTGACCTTCTCTTTGTTTTCACGGCGCTCCATCCTCCTCCTCACAGTCCCTTGCAGCGGTCACCTGCCCAGGCTGCCCATCACCGACGGCGACGACATCGATTTGGGCCGCCCCAGGATTCACCCTGTAGCTCGTTGCTTATCTCGAAACCCCTCCGCCGTACATCGTGAATCAGACCCCGACCGACCACGCTGCATTTGCGGAGGTCTCCTCTTCTCTACACACTCCCCGGGCCTCCAGGCTCTTGGTCAAGCTTCGGACCTCGCCAGCATTCGTGACTTCCTCGGTCGCTGCCAAAGTTTACCCGCGCAAACATGTCGCACCCCGGTGCTGACGGCCAGGCTCCTGGCTCGGATCCCCGACCCCAGGCCCCGTCGCTCGATGTCATCGCTACCCAATCCTCCCTCCCCATACCTCTGCCGAGCGAACAGTCCCAACAAGACTCACGATCCTCTTCCTCCACCAGCTCGCCCGCCCCTAATGACAACGAAGAATCCGACTTCTACCTAGCAAACAACGACTCGCAGTCATCCCTTGGCGTCCCGAACCTGCAGGACATGCAGGTCAACGATGATGAATGCCTTCCTCCTGTCAACCGCCTCCCCAATGAGATCTTGATCTCCATATTCGCCAAGCTCAACTCGTCGGCTGACCAGCTGCACTGCATGCTCACCTGCAAGAGATGGGCCAGGAATACCGTCGACTTGCTGTGGCATCGCCCAGCTTGCTCCAACTGGACAAAGCACCAGTCGATATGTCAGACCCTTGGCCTGGACGCACCCTACTTTGCCTACCGCGAATTCATCAAGCGCCTCAACTTGGCCTCTATCGCCGACAAGATCAACGACGGCAGCGTCATGCCCCTCGCCGTCTGCACGAGGGTCGAGAGATTGACGTTGACGAACTGCAAGGGCCTGACGGACAGCGGCCTTATTGCCCTCGTCAACAACGGCAGCCATCTACTCGCGCTCGACATCTCTGGAGACGATCAGATTACCGAGGCCGCCATCTTCGCCATCGCCGAGAACTGCCAGCGTCTGCAGGGACTGAACATCTCGAGCTGTGTCAGGATTTCCAATGAGGGTATGATCAAGCTTGCAAAGAGCTGCAGGTTTATCAAGCGCGTGAGTCTCCACACCTCCCATGCATGACATCCTTCTCCAGCCATACTGACCTCAAGCCGATCCAGCTCAAATTGAACGACTGCGGTCAAATAACGGACGAGGCCATCCTTGCCTTCGCTCAGCACTGCCCCAACATCCTCGAAATCGACCTTCATCAGTGCCGTCTTGTCGGCAACCAACCTGTCACCAACCTTCTAACCCAAGGACAATCCCTGCGAGAGCTGCGGCTGGCCAGCTGCGAGCTCATTGACGATAACGCATTCCTCTCATTACCTGCTGGAAAGACATACGAGCACCTCCGGATCCTCGATTTGACATCTTGTGTGCGACTCACCGACCGAGCCGTCGAGAAGATCATCGATGCCGCCCCTCGACTACGTAACCTCGTCCTGGCCAAGTGCCGAAACATCACAGATGCTGCAGTCTACTCTATCGCCGGCCTGGGCAAGAACCTGCACTACGTACATCTGGGCCACTGTGGCCAGATCACAGACGATGCGGTCAAGAAGTTGATAGCCTCCTGCAATAGGATCCGGTACATCGACCTTGGATGCTGTATCCATCTAACGGACGACTCGGTCACGAGGCTAGCAACCCTACCGAAGCTAAAGCGCATCGGCCTAGTCAAGTGCAGTAGCATCACCGACGAGAGCGTGCTTGCCCTGGCCAGGGCCAACACCCGGCATCGTCCTAGGAGGGATGCCGACGGCAACGCGATCGAGAACCAGTACTACAGCCACACTAGCCTCGAGCGGGTCCATCTGAGTTATTGTACCAACCTGACGCTTAAGGTGAGTCGATCTGTTCGTTATCAGCACCGCCCGGGCAACTTGTGCTAACAGTATCCCAGAGCATCGTCAAGTTGCTTAACGCGTGCACCCGCCTTACCCACTTGTCATTGACTGGTGTCCAAGCTTTCTTGCGTGACGACCTGAACCAATTCTGCCGTGACGCTCCTCCAGGTAAGTCACATCTCCGAGTTTCCTTTGAGAGCAAGGAGACCAGACAGACTGACACCACCTTCAGAGTTTACCCCGCACCAGCGAGATGTTTTCTGCGTCTTCTCTGGCCAAGGCGTGGCAGGTCTCCGGCGGTACCTAAATAACGAGCAGAATTTTGCAGACCCGCACGACCGCAGCAGCATCTTTGGCCACAGGAGACCCCAGGGTGGCCTGGACATGCCCAATGGTCTCACGGGGAATGCCAATGGGGGATTCGACGACCAGGAGCCGGACACGATTGATGACGAGGATGGCATGGATGACAATAGCGAGATGGTCATCGATGTACCACCGCCACCGCAGGGAGGTAACCACGTTGCCCACAACATGGCCGGAGGTCTGCATGTAGTACCACCCCCGCCGCCACCTGCCCCGCCGCAAGCCTTCCCCAGCGTCTACGGCGGTCAGCCCAACGGCGGACCGGTAGCGCAGGGCGTCCACTTCTCGAACGACCCGCAAATGTTTTCACAGTTCATCCCCGTCGCCCCTGCGAGCCCGGTCTCGGAAGACGACGGCAACGAGGATGCCATGGATGTCACGCCTGGACCAGGATCAGCAGGCCCATCGCCAGCGGCGGGAGCCAGTACGGCACCAGTGCGCGGCAACACGCAGCAGCAGCACGAGGCGGGACCTAGTGCGACGGGGGCGAGCACGGCGTCGATGCAGGGGGGTTCGAGCTAGGGCTAGCTTTGATGGGTTGGTTGGACGTCCCACTTGTGACGGGGTGTTGGTCCAGCGGCTTTCCCCTTTTTTTGGAATTTCTTTTAGGGGGTTCGGAAACTTGAACCCAACAGGCAAGCAAGGGAAAGCAAAGCAAGGCAGGCAGGCACATAAAGGAGCGGCAACATTTCAAAGAGCATTGTGTTCCTGACGAAACGACATGGCGTTTATAAAGGGTGGGCGCTTTTCACGACCAAGACGTCCTCTTGTGTTTTTCAGCAGCAGACAATACCAACGAGAGCGACCCGTTTAGTTGATCATCTTCTGAAGCTTTTATTTTATTTTATTTTTAGGGATGTGTTTGTGTCATTGCTTTCCTTCTCTTGAGGGCGGGCTGCTGTCGTTATGACGGTTTTCTTTTTTCAACACATGGGAGGGAAGATAGGGTTTGTGGTGGTGGGAGGGTAGATCAAGAAGCCTCGCTGCTGGCTTGCCTCGGCTTGAGAGAGACCACAAGGCCTGTTATGAATAATGAAGACAGTCGTTCGTGATGATACAAGGTCTCCGTGAGAAATGTGCTTTTGCTGCCAACTAGACATAAGGAGGGCGTTGGACCTTTTGAGAAAGGGGTTCACTGAAGTCCTCTTGACAGTAGGCTTTCGTTGACCCATTGAACTACATCTCCAATCGCTTATCCTAGTGCCTTTCACTTGCAGGGTCAGTTGCTGATCGCCGGGAACCATTCATTACGACAATCCGGTTGTGTCCGGTGTTCTGGTGCATCCGGCCTTGCAAACTCGTGCATCCAGACAAACAGACGAGTTGAGTCACCGGCCACAGGCTGAACAATGATCGAGAGATTAAAAAGTCTGGGAAAAAGTTAGGCCTCAGATCTATCTTGAAAGGTAGAAGCAGTCAGGCTTGAAGGCTCTATGACTAGGGGTGGTTAGGGTTATAATAACTATCTCCTTGTCACTGGGAACTGTCAATGTGTCTCAAGATAATAGGTACTGTGTATCTTTAACTTGGCTCATACCTGACAGTTGTTACTGCTGAGTCTCCTCTGTGACTGCACCTACGCTAGAAAGCAACTCTACAGTTTTTTCATATGCCCACCGTAGCTCCTGCATTGAAGCTAGATCCATCAATGGAGCCATGGTTTCAAGGTCTTTTAAGCCTCGAAGCGCCCACGTCAACGCCGTTCTTCCTGTGCAGTCCCTGGAGTTAATGTCGATTTTCTCTTCCTTTAGCAGGGCTTCCACATTGTCTATATAACCCTGCCCAGCAGCGTAGGATAAAGGCGTCCGTCCTTCAAGACATCGTCTGTTCACATCCACCTTGCCTGTGTCAAGCAGAAGCTGAAGTGTTTGAAGTGATCCTCGTTTAGCAGCAGCTATCGACAGCGGTGTGCCGCCCGCGTGGTCAACCGGCTCGAGTTGCAGTTCTCCAGTAGCCAGCAAAAGCTCCACTATTTCACTACTACAATTTAGTACGGCCCAAGCCAGAGCCGTTCCTCCCCAACGATCCTTCGCATTGATATCCGCTTTCCCTGTCTTCAAAAGCAGCTTCACAATGTCCACGTGCCCGCCGCAGACGGCGCCCAGAAGAGGCGTTCGGCCCTCGAAACCTTGAGAGTTGATTTCGACGTCCTTATTCAGGGGAAGGGGTACGATCTTGACCACGCTCTTCGGCCTGGGATCTGAGCCGCCTCGACCAAGGTCTGTCGCATCTGTTGTCGGCTTGACGCTGGTTGACTCCATACCGGTCGCAGCTGCCACTCGCATGGCATAATCAGGGTCGATTAGCATCTTTGCGATTTTCCTTCGCCCTCTGACAGAAGCAATGTTCAGAGGGGTATGACCGCGATCATGCCTGCAGTAGGGGTGGTCGTGACCTGCCTTTCGGTAGACAGCTGCCAGTAGTCCTGGGATGTCGTATAATGCGCTGATGTGAACGAGGTTACTTCCCTTGTCGGGCTGGGGGTGTAAGAGGTTTAACATAGAGGAATAGCTCATCCACAATTCGACCAGGTCATTCGATGGCCATGCGACAATCTCGAGGATATCGTCCTGCGGGACACCTTCTTCGTCACTTCGCATCGCATGCTCCGGCCATGAAGAGACGGCGTAGCTGAGCAATGGAGCAGTCAGCTTGATGCTATCCTCTGTCTTCCTCTTCATTGAATCGAAATCCGCCATGATATCCAGGGCGAGGTAACGCAAGCAGGACTTTGCCAGGCAGAAGTGTGCCTTCCCCACGACAGTGCCATGTGGCGACGACGCCTTGTAGTCGAGCATCGCCAAGCCTCGCTCGAGAAGGAAATCCTTTGCAGACTGATGAACCAGTTGGACATGGCCTTCCTCGGTCGGTAGAATTTCAGCAAGCCCGCAACTAAGAGTTTGGATACGTCTCTTCAATTGGTCTTTGTCCCGGATATAGTCATGGTGCTGAGAGTAGTATTCGCAAAGCCGGTTAGAAGATTCAGGGTCGATGACCATGGCCCAACGGAGCTCGCTCAACGTCAAGGCCCGTCGGGCAAAGCATACCCACTGAATAAGTCTGAGAGAGTTTGGCTTGTCGTTCATGTGTCCTATGAGCTCACTGTATAGTTCGTCCAGCTTCTTCGGAATGGAGGTGACTCTGGTTTCGATGCTTGCGAGCGACTCTCCTTCGTTATCGAGATTTATCGCTTCATCGATGACAATCCGAGCCCACATGAAGACACCAGAAGCACGGTATGTGATCAGGTCCGGAATTTTAGACTTTTGAAGAGAACCAGAGCCCTGAAACCGAGATTGAACATAGGCAGACATGTCTTCCCGGTTCTGGTGCTCTGGGCAGATCTCGAACTCGCAAGCTTGGCTTAGAATTGGGTAGTGGCGGCAACTGACGCAGAGGTGGAGGCCAAAGCCATATACCGAGAGCTTCTTCATCAGGTGTGTAAACCACTTGAACATCTCAACAGCACTCGCCTTGCCGCATTCGTCGAGGGCGTCCACAAACAACCATGCTCCGCGGCTCGCGAGGATCTTGGACAGGGACTGCTCAACAAAGTCTTGCAACTCCCTGGGGTGCCACTCGCCTTTATCTCCCTGCCGATGTACTTCCCGGCATCTTTGTTGGAACGGGTCGCCAGAACCGGTCAATATTTCTGGGACTTGTCTGATTATCTGGTAGGCCAGAGACCGCAGGAAGCCTACAGGAGACTTTTGCAGGTGGTTGCCGCGATCATGGAAGAAGAATGACAACACAAGGCTGTCTTCTCCGGTGCTGATTATCCTTTGTCTCTTTTCAAAAGCATATTTCAGAAGGGTTGACTTTCCAGATCCAGGCTTGCCCTTGATCCACAGCATGCCGCGTTGGCGCTCTGCCCACTCCCGCAATGTTGTGTGCTCTAGAAGCCATTCGCACGTGCCTTCGACCGGGCGTTCGATGTCATGAGAGCGACTGTGCATCTGTGGAAATAATAAGGTGTCCAAACACGCTGCTAACATATCAGGATCGGGCCTCGAGTCGGTTGGGACTTGAGACAGTGTTAACAATTGTGTATGCGAAATACATAGTCAGGCGTTCATCTTACGCAAGTTATCAGCATCGATCTCACTCTTCCACCTAATCAACTCTCCAAACAGTCGCTTGAATCCATTATCTTCAACAGAGGTAAACTTGGTCATCCCTCTGTGATCGGCGTTGATTGACATGGGCTCCTCCTCGCCTGCGATCGCTGCAGACCTCTTGGACACAACCACGCCAACACCGAGAATGGGAAGTTGTTCAAAGAAGCACGTCACCTCAATAGGCTTGCCGTTTGCCTTGGAGGTGCGCACTAGGTTGCGGAAGCTGACTTGAATTGACTCGAGCAGCTCGTTGTCGCTCCCAAGAACACCGAGTAAGGACAGGTTGGTTGATTTGACGAGGCTGAGGGCAGAGGCTGGGATCTTAGCCCAGGCGGCCATCGAGCTTCCATCGTGCGGTGTGCCCAGGAAGATTATCCCTTTGGTGCTCTCGAACAGGGCACGAAGTCGAGGCTGTGGACTCTCGGCTGATTGCAAGATCGCCTTCTTGCACACAAGGCCCCCCAGGCTGTGTGCCACGAAGACGACTGGTCGTTTCCCGACACCGCAAATTGCTCTATCTGTCGAGAAGTCCTGCAGCAGATTGTTCGCGTGGTCGAGGAGGCGGTTGACAGAGGCGGTCGTCTTCTTGACGACATATGCGTCGTACCCATAGGTGAGAATACGGGTCTTGGCGAGTCTTGGAGGTAGAAACGTCTTTGGCCACGGTACTCTCTCCCCATCGGCGGTCCAGGTATGATTTCGATCACCGGTCAGGCCGTGGACGAAACATATGTCTAGTGCCGCATCCGGACAGTCACACCATACTTCGACGCCATCGGGAAAGGATGGCGCTGGTGCAGCCTTCTTCGCTTCAATCTTGGGCTGTTGTACAGGGCTAGCACAAGACCCTGAAGGCGTTTGCGTTTCCTTCTCATGTTTCCGAGATTTACGCCAGCCGAAGCAGAGTTTGGTCATGCTTCAACTCGTGCGGATCGAGCAAGAAGACTGCTCACCATAGCTTATTAGAGGACAGACTCTGGCGTCCCGGCAAAAAGAAGAGACATAACAGCTGAACCCTACCCTGGTCATCCTGCATGGATGCCTGACGCCTTCACGAACTCGCAGCCAATGATGTTGCTGCCGCGCAGCACCGGAGGGGCACATGGGCGGCTGGCTCAGCCACTCAGGCACACCATGTCGATGATAAACTGAGGGTCGGATTAGTTGACGGAATGCTAACAGAAGTACTTTACTAACTATTCACCAAATCCATTGGGTTTAGGTAGTAAATAGCCCAGGGAGAAAGGTACATATTGTTAGCGTTGAGGTAGATCGTGATGGACTTCCGCCAACGCTAACCCCAGCTTAGATGGCTACTGGAATTCTGGGACTGAATCTAATATCAAGAATGCGAGTTGAAGCCTCATAGTAAGGCAGCAGATTGACCGCATGGTCAAGGAAACGAGTGACAGAAGCGGGCGTCTTCTTGACGACATATCGCGCCCATAGGTGAAGATAGGAATTGAAGTGAGCGCTTCCTCAGCCGGCTCACCGCCAGACCCAACCATGGCGACCTCCGAGCCGTACAAATATCTACCGCTCCAATATCCAGACTCTATTCGTCTTCTCCACATCCGGCCCAGTCAAGATGCTGATGCGCCGGTACAATGCCTCGTTACCACACAGCGCCTCTCGGACACGTGGCTGAACTACGAGGCACTTTCATACACCTGGGGAGACGCCTCGAAGCCGGCCGCAATCCTAATTGGAGATAATGACACCTCCTCGTTGACCATCACGCAGAACTGCTTTGCCGCGCTGCGGAGTCTCCGCCAGCGCGTCCAGCAGCGGACAGTCTGGATCGACGCGATATGCATCAACCAAGATGATGTGGACGAGCGTACGGCTCAGGTCCGGATGATGGACAAGATATTTTCTTCAGCCCCTCGCACCATAGTGTATCTCGGAGAAGAGACGGACGGGAGCCGAACGGTGTTCTCCGAGTTGGCCGAGGCACAAGGAGCACCCAGGATGTATTCCCCCGTCACAGGAGCGGACGTTATCGACCGGCCCATACCCTGCACAGCCGTCGTCGACGCCCTTGAGGAGCTCCTGCAGTGCCCTTGGTTCCGGAGGATCTGGGTGGTGCAAGAGGTGCACTGCAGTAGCAGCAAGTCCCTCACCGTGATGTGTGGGCGGGCTGAGGCGCCCTGGACCGTACTGCACGAGTGTCTGCTAGGATATAGGGATCACCGGGTCACCAGGCAGGAGCTGCCCGTCGTGTTTGACATATACCGGTACTCATCCGACCAAGACATATGGTACGGCCTGTTCAACCATGCCATTCATACCAGAGCCTATCTATCGACCGACCCCAGAGACAGGCTGTTTGCTCTGAAGGCGCTCTTGGACGGTCCTCAGGAAGAGATGGACTGCTTGATCGACTACTCCAAAAGTGTCGAGGAAGTCTTTGCGGAGTTTGCTGGGATTCTGTTTTCCAGAATCGGGGTTCAGATGCTGTGTCTTTCTCGCCATCCGCACAACAGAGCCATGGCGTCGTGGATGCCGGATTGGTCTCAAAACACCCCTATTAAACAGGCCTCTGACTACGTTCATGACGGCCAAGTAGATTATGATTCTGCAACTGGAATGCTTGGTTCTGCCAAGATCATCAGGTCAGCATGCCTCTATTGCTAGAAAAGGGGAAGAGAGGAACAGAGAAGTTGTGCCTTTGTCGCTGACGAGTGATGCGACAGCTCGCCTAGCTCAGAAACCCTCGGAGTCTACAACTCCCTTTCCGTCTGTGGGACTGCAGTTGGCGAAGTCAACGACATCGGGCCGCCCGTCGTTTTCACAGACCATGGCGACGCAACGCGCCAATGGTCCCACATCATCGAACTTCTTCATCTCCCTGAGTCCGGCATCAGGGACCACCTATCTGCTCATCCGGAGAGCCCCTTTACCGAGCACTTCCTCCGGGGTACGTCTTTTCATCTTTATTTGCCACATGATACAATGGCAGACCAAGCAGATGACTGTAACAAGATACTCACCAACCGCAGTGGCGAGAGGCACATCAATACAACAAATCAGCGAGTTCCTCGACCGCGGATCTAACAAGGTTCGATTTGGACCACTCGCGCTCGCTCTGACGGGTCCTCGGGTTGAGACTAACTCGCGTTCTCCACAACAGCTAATGCTCATGAACCACGAGGCCAGCGTCGGCACGGAGCGCATCAACGTGCTGAGAGACGCGTGGCAGCACTGCCGAGCCGTCGCGATCGGCGACACCTTTCTCGGCATCGCCCCCGACGGAGTGCAACTCGGCGACGTCGCCTATCTCGTCGAAGGAGCCATCTCGCCTTGTCTACTTCGACCCGGGCCCAGTGGTCGTTGGGCTCTGGTCAGTGGAGACTGCTACGTGACGGATATGACACCGAAGCCCGTATGGCCTGGTCGACCGGGCAGGCTGATTAGACGGGAGGGTCTGCCGGAGCATGCCTCAGTCGAGGACATTATAATATGTTAAAGTTACATACTACAGGGGGTTGCCTCCATGATGCGTTTGAAAAGGAAGCACTTTCAGATGTGCATGGCCGCAATCAGTCACACGAAGGTAGCATGCAGAATGACAGAGAATATGGCAAGCCAATGATACAGACCAATCATCGTGATGGTTGTTATTTACCGCCAAGTCTTTCTAATCGCACCCTATCCCATAGCACAGCCTATTCATACACATGGGTTTTACAAGTACAGACCCTCCGGCTCACCCTCCTGCTTCGTGCGCAGGACACGCTCCCTCGCGGCGCGGAAGTCGGCCATCTGGACGCGCATCCGCCGCTCACGCAGGGCCATCAGACCAGCCTCGGAGCAGATGGCCTTGATGTCGGCACCGGAGAGATCGTCCTTCTGCGCGATAAACTCCTCCAGATCGACGTCCTCGTTAAGCGACATCTTGGAAGTGTGGAGGGTGAAGATCTTGCGCTTGGTGTTCTGGTCGGGGTTCTCGAACAGGATCTTGCGGTCGATACGACCGGGGCGGATGAGGGCAGGGTCCAGAGTGTCGATCTTGTTGGTGGCCATGATGACCTTGACGTCGCCACGGTCATCGAAACCGTCGAGTTGGTTGAGAAGCTCAAGCATGGTGCGCTGAACCTCGCGTTCACCACCAGAGGTGGATTCGTAGCGCTTGGTACCAATAGCATCGATCTCGTCGATGAAGACGATAGATGGAGCATTTTCGGCGGCAACCTGTCAAGATGGAGTCAGCACTGTATGTAGACCAGGATCAAGATTCGAGGCAAACTTACCTGGAACAGCTGTCGGACCAATCGAGGACCATCACCCAAGTACTTCTGGATCAGCTCACTACCCACGATACGCAGGAAAGTGGCAGATGTCTGGTTGGCGACCGCCTTGGCCAGGAGCGTCTTTCCTGTACCAGGGGCACCGTAGAGAATGACACCCTTGGGTGGCTTGATACCCATCTCCTCATAGAGCTCGGGGTGTAGCAGAGGCAACTCGACCGACTCTCGCACCTCTTGGATCTGCTGTTCGAGACCACCAATATCGGCATATGACTCCGTGGGGGCCTTGTCCAGCTTCATGACGCTGACGAGAGGGTCGGTGTCGTCTGTAAGCACGCCAACAATACTGACGCTCTTATGATGCAGCAACACACTGGCGCCCGGCTCAAGCAGGTCCTTGTCGACGAAGCTCATGATGCTGACGTAGTATTCGGGGCCAGTCGTACTCGAGACAATGGCATGGTCGTCGTCGATCATCTCCTCCAGGTTGCCGACGCCCATGGGGCTGCCGCGCATGTCATCCACACGTCCCCTCTCATCGGCAAGGCGGTCGACGGCGTCGAGGTCGGAGCTGGGGCCAGACGAGTCCTTGGCTGCCTTTGCCTTGCGCAGGCGCTCCTGGTTGGCGACGTATTCTTCCTCGAGGAGCAGGTGGTCGTGGATCCGCTGCATTCGTAGTAGACGCAACTTGCAGCGGCTGGTTGGGAAGACGGCGGGTAGCTTGGCGGCGGCGCTGGTACCAGCTTGCTTTCTCTTCTTGCGGCCGACACGGGTGGTCGGGCGCGGCGGCGGCTCGTACTTGGGCTTCTCCTTCTGTTATGAGGTTTTGTGATCAGAGCTTGTGCATCCGAGAGTCTGAGCAGGATAAACATACCTTCTTGTCCTTATCGTCCTTGCCGTCCTGGCCAGGGCCACCGCCCATGCCAGATTGGTTCTGACCCTGTGATCACAGCTTCGTTAGATGATGTGGTGAAGGGGGCGAGAGCGCCAGATCGTAGAGCATACCATGATTGTCGAGCTGCCAACTTCTGAGCTCCCTCTTACTCAAATGCGACTTGAATGAAATAGGAATAAAAAAGATCCTCTCAATCGCGAGATGAGAGCGAAAAGAATGATGTCGGGGTTGTGGAAAGACAGCGCTGGGGCTGTTTGGGAGGTGATGGTTGACGGTTGGAAAGGCTGGAGATTTGGCCTTGCTGCTCCCGTAATCAGGCGTCAGGGAACGCGACAGCTTCCTCTAATGCACAGTCACGTGGCGCCTAAGCTATGGCCTTTCAGCTTTGATTCCAGGCCTTGCAGGTAGCCAATGGCGATGGCTCTCAAACCGCTAGGGGGGTTACCTTGGAGGTAGCTTCCGCTGAGAAACCCACCCACCTCGGCTTGGATCTGTCCAACTACCTTAACTAATAATGGACGGTGGTCGATGATGAGGGAGGTGGAGACCACCGTGGGACGGAGATGGAATTTGGGCAGGCAAGACCAGAATCGCAACAAGACCAAACACTTTTCTTTCCTTGCTCTTTCAGAAGCACACACAAGCAAACAGCTTTCATAGGACTGGTCCCTTTCTCAAGTCTTCCTTGAAAATATATTAGTCTTCAAATTCTTACACCTTGCCTTCAGCTTCTCTCCATCTTAAAGTTCAGCCCGAGCCTCTATTCTCAGTTTCCATCTGATTCGGCCTTTCCCCCACCATCACCTCACCTGTCCCGGGCTCGCACGACGCCAACGACTCCCGCGATGGCGAACCCAGCACGGAATACGCGTCTCAAAAAGGAGATTGACATCCTCAAAGAGGACACAGACAACTCGGGCGTGGTGGCTGTGATTGTCGACGAGAGTGACATGACGCATCTGAAGGGCCTCTTCACGGGCCCGCCAGACACACCATATGCCGGAGGAACCTACCAGGTCGACATCCAGGTCCCGGCCGGCTACCCCTTCCAGCCGCCCAAGTTCACCATGGATACCAAGATATGGCACCCGAATATCAGCAGCAAGACTGTGGGTGCAGCATCTCTTAGCAAAGCTTTCCGCGTCGTCGCAAGCCTGTTGCATGCTTCCAGACCTGTTGCGTTTTCTCCAGATCCTTTTTGCATATTCCCCCCAAGCCTGCTGCATGTCATCAACCATCTTGTGTCCTTTTTTCTTTTTCAAACTGTCCCGCCATGTTGACAACCGCTGACCACCTCTTACCTCGGGCGCAGGGCATGATCTGCCTCGACATCATCCGACCAAACGACAAGAGCACCAGCAGCGCCAACACGTGGTCCCCCGTAAACACCATCAAGACCGTCCTCCTCTCGATCCGCATGCTCCTCGAGCTCCCCAACCCGGACGACCCGCAGGACGCCGTCGTCGCCACCATGGCCCGCGACGAGCCCGAGTACTTCCGCCTCATGGCCCACGACTGGGCCGTCCGCTACGCCGGCGCCCCGCGCCGCGAGCCCCCTCCGCCCGAGCAGCCCTCCGAGCGGGCCCCGCAGCCGCCCAAGAAGATGGACGAGGTCGACCCGGCGCGGTACAAGGGCTACAACAAGGCCATGGTCGACCAGTTCGTCGAGATGGGCTTCGACATCGACCGCGTCGTCGAGGCCTTTCTCCACTTCGGCCTCGACCGCAACGGCGGGTACCACTACCAGATGGAGGAGGCGTACGCCGGAGACATCATCTCGCGGCTGTACGGCGAGGCGTGATGTTGGGCGTAGGTGGAGGGTTGGGACGTTCGGTTCTGCTCGGGATCGAAACCTCTCCTTTATTTGCATGGACTGGAGTTACTCAGGCGGGAAGCATATCCGTTAGATGGGATTTCAGCACGTGGGAGCGACCATTATTTTTCCGCTTTTCTTTTTGTTCTTTTTTCAAGCTGGTGCTTTTATCAGCAAGCTTCGCTCCCTTAACGAATGAATGAGCATGCAGCCATATTCTTGCTCTACATAGCGTCTCCAGATTTATTCGAGCAAATACTACAATCAAAGTCTCGTCTGATCCAAGGTAACCCACGTTCTACTCCGAGAGCCATCATCACATTCCTGGACCTGATAGGTATAAGGCCGGACAGAGACCAAGTCCTCACGCAACAAGGCCAGTCAGGACGCATGATCATTTATTACAGAGATATGAAAAGACATTTCGATGCAACACGAAGATGCGTGTATCTGTCCTACCCCGTCGCCAAATCCATCCAGTCTATGAGTGTTTGATGTCGGAGTTACCGTGCGGTAGATAATTAAACAAGAAAAAAAAGAGGTTGCACATGATGGGGAAAGTCAAGACAACTTTCTCATCCTTTCTCATCCTTCTCATATCCCTTGTCTGTTTCCCCCCCTTCTCTCCTGTCCCACCTCATCTCTCGCACCCTTTCCATTCGTACAGATATAAATGTGTTGTAGTTTGTTTTTTCATGTTCCCAAGACATTTACAGGAGATCCCTCCTGACGAACTCGTCCCGCAGGGCCTTGCCGAGACCGGCGGGGGAGCGCTCGACGATGACGCCGGCAGCCTCGAGGGCCTTGATCTTGGAGTCGGCGCCGCCCTTGCCGCCGGCGACGATGGCGCCGGCGTGGCCCATGCGGCGGCCGGGGGGCGCCGAGATGCCGGCGATGAAGGAGACGACGGGCTTGCCGCCGTTGACGGTGTTGTTGGCCTTGAGGAAGTCGGCGGCGTCCTCCTCGGCGGAGCCGCCGATCTCGCCGATCATGATGATGCCGTCCGTCTCCTCGTCCTTGAGGAAGACCTTGAGGCAGTCGATGAAGTTGGTGCCGCTAAAGGGGTCGCCGCCGATGCCGACGACGAGCGACTGGCCGAGGCCGGCCTGGGTCGTCTGGTTGACGGCCTCGTAGGTCAGGGTGCCGGAGCGGGAGACGATGCCGATGCGGCCGCGCTTGTGGATGAAGCCGGGCATGATGCCGATCTTGCACTGGCCGGGGGCGATGATGCCGGGGCAGTTGGGGCCGACGAGGCGCGTCTTGCTCTGCGACTTGAGCATCGAGGTGATGCGGACCATGTCTGTGAGTTATAGAGTCAGCGGGTTGCACATGTGTGGGCCGAAGGGTCGGCCGGGAAAAGGATTGCATACCGTGCTGGGGGATACCCTCAGTGATGCAGACGACGAGGGGGACCTCGGCGGCGATGGCCTCCTCAATACCACCGGCGGCCAGAGGGGGGCTGGACAGACGAGAGGCGCATTAGTACCCAGGAAACATATGCATATCAAAGGGAGGAGGTTTTCTCGTACGGGACGAAGATGGCCGTGGCATTGGCGCCGGTCTGCTTCACACCGTCGGCGACATTGGCAAAGACGGGCAGGCCAAGGTGCTCGGTGCCGGCCTTCTTGGGGTTCGTTCCGCCAACGACCTTGGTGCCTGTACAAAGAATGACATCAGCGTGCTGCTCAGAGTCCGACAGGCTTTGATCCTTTCGAAGATCTTGGGCATGGAGGAAGCATTCGTACCATAGTCAAGGGCTCCTTGTGCGTGGAAGCTGTGGGAGAAGGTGGGTGTTAGCAAATGGGAAATGCCGCTTCGTCCAATGGGCAGGAAGCTCCAATGGAAGGGAGCTCCGGGAGGCCAAAGACAACCCAGAGCTTTGGGGCCTGGACGTACGTTCCCTGCTTGCCGGTGAAGCCCTGGAAGAGGACCTTGGTCTCGCTGTTGATGCGCAGGTTGTCGATGGTGGCGGCGTAGGGCGACGCGGAGGAGCTGTAGGGACGGCGAGACAATTGGCGCAGGAGAGTGCCTCCTGACCGGACCTGCTTCGAAATGGCCTGCATCGTGAACGCAAGAAGAGGGATTAATTAAAAAAGGAGAAGAGTGGAGAGGGGAGGAGACAGCAGGTGTCGCGAGGGAGATGACTCTGTCGTCGAGGTGGACGAAGCGAGAGGGAAAGGAACGGTGGTTGCGATGTAGTTATTTTTTTCCCCCTTTGGAGTTCGAGAATGCGAAGTTGGAGATGCACCTCAGTCCCAATGGATCCTCACTAACCCGTGCACGTTCTGCCGTGCTGCGCTGTTACGTCTGCGAAAGCTATTGCCCCCCCTGCCGTCATCAAAAAAAGAACCACCCAAGGTCCAGTAAACAGCGCGCAAAAAGGCAACTGGGGCCACCGAGGCAGGCAGCCAATGCGAGGCTTAATCGGCAAAACCCCTGGAGCAGGTCGGCAACACTGGCATCCACTTGCACCCAAAATGCACCAAAATCCATACAGCAGCCCCGACCTGTCCCGATTCCAGCCGCAGTTTTACTAGCAGAAGCCGCTGTTTCGCTGCTTCCAGCAGCTGTGAACTACCGAAGACACCCACTAAATTTCCCGCGTTAGAGTCCCGTCTCTTACGTACTCCGTCCATCCTCGCCCGCCGAGCCAGCCAGAAGGCCTCCTAGCAAACCAGCATTGTTTTGTATCGGCTTATTCTCTCGTCCCGTCTGAAAGCCTATCGGCATTTTGTGGGGCCCATTACAGCAGTTGTAGTTATCGCATTCAATCAATCGAGGCTGACCAGCCGTCCCCAATATCAGCATCAGCTTTAGCACAGAGGCCTGAAAGAGGCTCCACTAAAAAATTGAACCCCACCAAAAGATTCGCCTGCAACTGTGATGATAGCATCGCGCTCGCCTCCAGCTTCAAGGCTCATTTGATATCTGACAGATAATGCAGAGCAACCCTGCTCGATAAACTCAACCTGGGCCTCGAGGACGGTCCCTTGCTTTTTTTTTTAATTGAACAGCGTCACAGACAGCCATGGCGACAACCACCGTAACGGCCACGAGCCGCAAGAAGGACGCCAACCTGCCTCCTGTCAACGAGCGCTTCCTGCGTTGCTGTGCAGATATCGCCAACGCCCTCATAGAGGACTACGAAGCCTCAAGAGATCCAAAGAAGCCCAAGAAGGACATCAACCTCAACAGCTTGCGTGGCAGGCTGGCCAGGAAGCACAAGGTGCCCAGCCTGCCTCCGCTGACGGCCATCATTGCTGCCGTCCCGGAGCACTACAAGAAATACATATTACCAAAGCTGGTCGCAAAGCCGATTCGTGAGTCGCAACCCTTGCCGATGCAATCCAGACCACCGTACTAACTCCTCCTCACAGGCACGTCTTCTGGCATCGCCGTCGTGGCTGTCATGTGCAAGCCCCATCGATGCCCCCATATCGCATATACTGGCAACATCTGCGTCTACTGTCCCGGCGGCCCCGACTCCGATTTCGAGTACAGCACACAGTCCTACACCGGATATGAGCCCACGTCGATGCGCGCTATCCGCGCGAGGTACGATCCCTTCGAGCAGGCGAGAGGGCGAGTCGACCAGCTCAAGGCGCTGGGGCACTCGGTCGACAAGGTGGAATACATTATCATGGGTGGCACCTTCATGTCGCTCTCGCCGTCCTACCGCGAGGAGTTCATTTCTCAGCTGCACAATGCGCTCAGCGGTTACCAAACAACAAACGTCGACGAGGCGGTTGAGGCCGGCGAGATGAGCAATATCAAGTGCGTCGGCATCACAATCGAGACGCGGCCGGATTACTGTCTCCAGCCACACCTCTCCGATATGCTGAGGTACGGGTGCACACGCTTGGAAGTCGGGGTTCAGTCTCTATACGAAGATGTCGCACGAGACTCAAATAGAGGCCACACCGTCGCTGCGGTGGCCGAGACGTTTTGTCTCGCCAAGGATGCCGGATACAAGGTGGTCAGCCACATGATGCCGGACCTGCCAAATGTGGGCATGGAGAGGGACCTAGACCAGTTCAGGGAGTACTTTGAGAACCCTGCCTTCAGGACAGACGGCTTGAAGATCTACCCGACACTGGTCATCCGAGGCACCGGACTGTACGAACTGTGGAGGACTGGGCGGTACCAGAACTACACGCCCAACGGACTGATCGACCTGGTCGCGCGCATTCTGGCCCTCATCCCGCCATGGACGCGTATCTACCGTGTCCAGCGCGATATCCCCATGCCGCTCGTCACCTCGGGCGTCGAGAACGGCAACCTGCGCGAGCTGGCTCTCGCGCGCATGAAGGACTTTGGCACCACGTGTCGCGACGTACGCACGCGCGAGGTGGGCGTCAACGAAGTCAAGCACAAGATTCGGCCGAACCAGATCGAGCTGATCCGGCGGGACTACACCGCCAACGGCGGCTGGGAGACCTTCCTCGCCTACGAGGACCCCAAGCAGGACATCCTCGTCGGCCTGCTGCGCCTGCGCAAGTGCACCGAGAAGTACACCTACCGCGAGGAGCTGGTCGGCCAGCCGACGAGCCTGGTGCGGGAGCTGCACGTCTACGGCACGGCGGTGCCCGTGCACGCGCGCGACCCCAAGAAGTTCCAGCACCAGGGCTTCGGGACCCTGCTGATGGAGGAGGCGGAGCGCATCGCGAGGGAGGAGCACGGCAGCGACAAGATCAGCGTCATCTCCGGGGTCGGCGTGCGGAGCTACTACCGCAAGCTCGGGTACTGGCTCGATGGGCCCTACATGAGCAAGTGGCTCGACGGGAGGCCTGGGCCTGAGGGCATGTGAACGGGAAGGAATGTTATGAAGTGCGCATTTACATCTTATGCATATATCTTGGGAGTTTCGGGGACCTGGCTTGGCTTAGGAAAGCTGGATGGAAAGCCTTCTTGGTTGACGCACAAATACCACATTCTTTTTATGGCATCACATGCCAGGAATCTCATGAAGCTTGGCTGATGGAATCACATCTTGTGTGTCTTAGAGGCTGATCCGACTTCCAATGCCCTGCCACCGGTGCAATTCTTAGGCCGTCTTATTCGCAACCGCGCCTCTAAGTTTAGCGAGGATGCAACCCTGCAAGGCCTCCGATATCGACCAAAAGCGCCTGGCAATTCAGCCCTACTGTCCAATAAGGTAGACGACTTTATTAGCAGATGATCCTCATTGGGCGCTCTTTTTTTTTTGACATGGATGGCAATTAACCTGCTTGTGATGATGCAGCCTTGGCAGCTGAATGACCGTTGGAGAACGGTCATGCAATGTTGGCCCAGGCCTCCTTGACAATGGCTTCATAAGTGTTCACATGTGCCCCTGGGTTTGGGGTAGCTGCTGGTGTTTCGTCATTCGAACAATACAGTGTCATTAGAGAAGAGAGACCTCATCACTACCTACAAGTATCTAACGCAAACACATAGCAACTGCATACACATGCCCGCCGGCAAACCACAGCCACACCTCGCGCAGTCCGCGCCGGCAACCGCAGCGCAAGAAGAGCAGCAGAGACAGAAGTTCTTCCACCTACCCCGGGCAGCCATCCCGCGCGTCGCCCTCGCCACCGCCGTCCTCATCTGCCTCGCCGCCCTCGCCGGCTTCGCTCTCAAGGCCGTCGGCCTGCAGGCCTGGCGCGACAGCCGCGCCAGGGGCTTCTACGCGAGCCTCGCGGACGGCGACCTGCACAAGGTCGTCGTGGACGGGCGGGTCCGCGGCTGGCTGTACTTCCACGGCGCGGACCTGCACGGCACCAAGAAGGACAAGAACAACTGGGACACGCTGTACTGGCTCGCGCTGGCGCTGGGACTGCTGACGGGCCTGTCGATGGCGTGGGGGGTGCTGAGGCGGAGCGGGCGGGAGGAGATGGGCGTCAAGGTGAGTGCTTGCTTCTCTGCCAACTGAGAAGAGGTCACCACTGACAAGTTGTGGGCGAGGAGTAGCTCAGCCGCTGCCAGCTCTGCCTCTTCTACACCGCCACGCAGATCTACTACATCATCCCCCTGGCCGTCTTCATCTTCCTCTCCGTCGTCCACGCCAAGTCGGCCCGCTTCGACCCGACCTTCGAGGCGTCGCGGCCCTACCAGGGCAACGTCACCGACGTGATGCCCGCCAGGGGCGGCTACTGCGCCGACGGCGGCGGCTGCTGGGGCACCTACGACGGCGGCGTGTTCGACCTCGAGACGTGGGCGTGCGACCTGCACCGCTGGCGGGCCGTGGTGGACGACCCGCGCAATTACATGGGGAGGGTGTGCGCCGGGGAGGCCGGCTCGCGGTGGCTGATCCTCGTGGTCGTGGTGTTGTCGGTGAGCATGGTTGTGATGAACGATTTGGAGAGGAGGAGGGTGCTTCGGGAGACGCAGGCGCGCAGGGAGAGGGCGGAGGTGTAGTGGGGGAAGGGAGGTCAACTTTCCCTTCAGTCAGCGAGTTTAGAGAGAAGATTGGAGAATTTCAAGGCTTGGAACGACCCAGGAGCTTTGTGTATTTGCTCCGTCTTACATGTAATCACGCCTCCAGCCGCAGTATCCATACAATACCCCTTAGAATAATATCTCCATCACGAGCCAAGCATTGCAGCGTCATGTATATCCTCTAGACCTTGCAGAATGGATCGTCAAAGTACCAGACAGGATTGCCATCGGGCTTCATCTCCTCCTCCGTATACCCGTTGCCCATAAACTGATAGCGGTTCTTGGTCCGGTAGGCTATCTCAAAGTCCTCGTATCTCGGCGTCTTGAGGGCCTCGAAGTAGTGCAATCTGCTCCCTGGCCAGATGGCCGTCACGGGTCCGTGTTGCTTGCCGTTCTTGAACCACGAGCGGCACGCTGAGGACCACACCAGACGTTTCATGAGGGTGTGGGTGTGCTGGTAAAAGTCCTGGACACACTCCGTCTTCGGCGTGAAGGACTTGATATTTTCACGCTGCATCTTGTCAATGAGCTGGAAGAGGTAGCGGGTGTGCCACTCGAGGATGGGCAACAGAGAGGAATGGCTGGCTGGGCCGTTGGGACCGATGAATACTGATCAGGGGGGGTTAGTCTGTTGGGGCCGGTAAGGGATGTTGAAATTCGGGAGCTCTCGAGCTGCACACAAAGATAACTCACAAAAGAAATTCGGAAATTCATCCACCATGATGGACAAGTAACCTCTCGGCTCATCTCCAAACTTCTCTCTGAGGTTCTGACCGTTCTTGCCGATGCATTCATACGGCGGCGAATATGACGTATCGAATCCAGTTGCACATATGACAGCATCCACGACATGTTCGTTCCCATCGCCATCGATGATTCCATTCTCCGTGAATCGTACTGCGTCCGAAGTTACAACTTCGACGTTGTCTTTTGTGAGGCTCTGCAGATACTCTGACCCCGGCACCATTCTTCGACAGCCCAAGGCAAAGTCGGGGATCAAGTGGTCGCTCAACCTCTCGTCGTTGTTGAGCTTCTCTCGCATCATCTTTGAGAGCACTTCTCGGGACATCTTCTGGTCTTTGCTGTGGAGATGGTTCTAGAGCATGAACATGTGAGCCAGTCTCCCCTAATGTTCGACTAGAGTCCCCCAGGGCGACTAACAAGAGTGAACCGCTTGTTCAACTCGCCGTCAAGATCACGACAGTACTTGTCGTATATCTGAGGATCCTCTCTGAAAGCCTTCTTTTGTTCTTCGGAATCTGGAACATGTCAGCCAAACAAACAACCAAAAGCGAGGGATAAGTTGATCATCAGACATTCGAAATTGGTTCCACCAGGACCTGCATACTTGGCACCAAAGCCCAGAGTAATCCAAACCGGGGATCTTAGGAATGGGATCAGCTTCTTGATATCTGAGAAGAAGATCAGTTAAACCACATGAAAGTCCTCAACCTGGTCCTGGCTTACTAGGCTGGATAGAGGGAATCACCTGCACCGCAGACGATCCGCCGCCAATGACCGCCACTGTCTTCCCTGTCAAGTCGTAGCTATGATCCCACTCTGCAGTGTGCATGAGCTTGCCTCCAAAGACGTCAAGCCCAGGGATGTTTGGGTACTTCCATTGACTAGAACAATGGTGAGCTCTATGTCTCTGGAAGTCTGAAGGTCTCTACGATGCACAAGACGGTAAACTGACTTTAGCACCCCGGTTCCATCCACTAGGATCTCGCATTGGTCAACCATCACGTCGCCCTGAGGGGTGATGACCGACAGAACCCAAAGCCCCTGGTCATCATCCCACCTGGCGGATTCAACACGGTGAGAGAACTTGACATATCGTTCGAGGTCGTATTTGGTGGCCAGGTTCTTGAGGTACTGCCAGATCTCCGGGCTGCCGGAGTAGTAGTGGGACCAGTTTGGATTCCGCTCCCATCCGAATTGACTTTGTTGTATTGACCATCATCAGCACACTCTTGAGCAAGAGAAGAAACACACGACAACAAGACAATTCAATACACACTAGCTATGGCTCGGGATGTCACAAGTACAACCAGGGTACCGGTTCTCGAGCCAGGTGCCGCCGATATCGTTGTTCTTTTCGTAGATCTGCAAAGTCACATCTTTAAGCAGACGCTCCGTCTTGTACGCAAGCTGCAGGCCTGTTGCTCCGGCGCCGACGCAGACCATACGAACCGGTCTTCTCGTAAACAAGGGCTGTTCTGTGATCATGTAGTCGCCGAAATCCTGGTTGTACCATTCATTCTCATTCTCATGGATCGTGTTGATGTAGTCCACATTGAGAGCATCTGGGTCTGGAGCGAAAGTGCTCGGAGGGAGTTGTGAATTAGCCATATCCTCGAAGTCGACCTGACGAGCGTTCTGGCAAGAAGGATTGCCAAGTTTGGAGATGCTTGTCAGACGTCCAGGCCTGTTATGTACTATTCCGCGCCTTTTGACATTTGGTAACACTGACTTCGCCGCAGCAGATGCACCCCTCACTCACATGCACACGCATCACTTGGCTCTTGCGACCCCGCTCCTTTTTCCCCGATAGAGTAAACAAGCCAGCAACACACCAAACAGCTTGTATTCCCCCAGGTACAATGGTCTCGAACGGCTGTCCATCAACAAGAACCTCTCGATCTGGCTTGGGTCGTCGAGATATGGTCAGCAGCATTACTCAGACCCCGCGTGATTTAGGGATATTGTGCCGCCCCTTTCGGCTGCTTGTGAAGTCTATTAAGTCCATATCGGCCAGACCCGGTTCCGAATACACTGATTATTAAACCCTCTGGTCACGACAGGCTGTGCCAAGCGTTGAAAATGCCTATCCAGTGGGTTCCCTGGAAAGCCAGTTCGGGTGCAAATAGCCTATCCATTGCGACGGAACCGGCAGCTGGGATGAAGGTACTGGCATAGCCCCTTCTCTGACACCAGTACCCCGAACATACGAATTCTTGGTCTAAGGGTTTGTATGTATTCGGCAATGGCGGCGCGGGAGTATCGAGCTCAAGGCATCCAGAGGATGACAAATACGCGGAATTGAACTAAGTGAAATGCTTGGTGTATAAGCTGCCAAACCCCATTAAAAGTTTAACTACCTATTTGTGCTATAGTATATGTAGTGTCGTTATACACGTCAATTGTGCCGACATTGTGGTGGATGGCCGAGATGATGAGTAGCGTTAGTTATAGCTCAGAAGCAAATGGAGATCCATCCTACTGGATGGCGTGCTTGGTTATCAGATATACCTAGTGGGAGTGGCTGAAGATCGGCGTTCCAGGAGCTTCCACGCGAGCTGAAGGGCCGATTTGCATGCCTCATTACTAGGTATTTAGGAGGAGATAGAAGCCAGTACCAATAGAGTATTGTCTCCTGACATATTGTTCTACTTCAAGTATCGCAGTGTAGTTCCGCCTTGCTATTTAGGAAGCTTGCGAGGAAAAGTCTTAATGTCTCCGAGTGTCATGGGGCAGTGCAGTGAAAAACTTATGATGATTTGAAAGACCTGACATACCCCACCAGAAAATGCCGTATTGTAGCTCGCGAATTCGGGAGATCAGATTCAAGCTCATCGTGATTGAAATGCACCGGACACATGTGAGCCTGAGTACATGGCAAGTTACTATCTGACAAGATGGCAACGCCGCCAGCTTCACGGCGAGCTTCATTAAAAATCTATCTACTTATGTATGTAGCAGCAGTTTCATTAGTAGCCCTACACCCCTTGAACTAACACCCAAGTTTAGCTCTTCTAGGGGCAAAATTATTCTGGTACCAGTTGTGCTCCTACCCTAAACCTTGTTATATATTCGATGGACTCCAAGATAAACATAAAAGAGGGCAGTAATGTACTCTGGTAGCAAGCAAAGTAGAGCGAAAGCAATTGCCGAGCCGTAGAGCGGATTCCATTCGGGGTGGGCTTCTGCTTCAGTGAACATGTAGAGGAGACCATACGCCGCACGCAGGGCCAGGGTGGGCATTGCAGAAAGAGTCAGCCGAACGTACTATGGTCACCTATATTAGCTCCGAGCAACTCTAGCCATGGACTTTGTCAGGATCTCAATGTACATACAATAAGGCTTCCTGGAGAAAGGCGTTCTTTCTGAGTGTGGAGGTAGGCCAACTCGAGCATGAGTAAAGAGACGATCACCGCAAAAATGACGTAGCCGGCTTGGCCAAGGGCTCGCGAGGTCGATATGGTCGCATCGAAGCCTTCCAAAACTCCGCTCGCAATCAGCAGGGCCATGGCGATAACAAAGGCTATGCGGATGAGCCTCAACAGAAAGTGTGCGCGTCGGTTCGGGTCTGCGCTGGATTTCAGGCTACAATTGTAGTATGTGAGTACGTGAATGCGACTCCCCCTCGTCGGAGACGGACTCACACTAGGCGAATAAGTCCAACGGCGGCGATAATCAAAGGAACCAAGCCAACATTCAGCATGATTGTCACGGCAATGATGAGGCCAACGTTGTCCGGGTTCGACTCGAGAAGGATAGTCAGAATGCCTCCAGTAAATCGCACTTCGCGCACAAGTTGTTAGATGGTATCTCGGCTTACGTCCAGCCTCAAGGCAACTTGCATAGCGTGAAGGGTATCAGGCTGTACCACGCGAGCCGCGGCCGGTTGTTCCAGTTGCGGCGGAAGATGAAGAGGGCGAGAGGAAGCATTGGCGCATAGAATACGATCTGCGCAATGGCCACGGTCGTATGGGGGTTCGTCATGTTGTTCGAAAACGAGGAGTTCAGCGTGAGGCGTCCAAGAGAAGGAGGTATTTAGAGGTGATCTGTCTGGATCTACAACACCCAGCCCCAACCGGAACCTGGATGCCATTGCGATACCTTTATATCCTCTTCATACTCTGGATAGCTTGCCATAGCCACAATCTAGCTCCAGAGTTTGGTTCCACGCGTCGATGTGACAATTTCTTAACATTCTCGAGCATTGTGACTGCAAAGGGGTAGGTCTCTATCCGTACAGTGGTGCTCTCTGCGGCTCGCGGAGATGGCCGGCCTGAGCGGATCTATCTGTCCCACCCCGTAAGTCCACGAAGCTATGAGCTGTAGTCCACGAAGATGGCAGGGCTTAGACTCGCAAAATCCAACCCGATTCGGTATAGTCCAGTGCATACCTAGTGCGAAGTTCAAACTCAACTCCAGTCACAAATGGCGCGACTCATGAAGCAGGATTTCCACCCGCGTGATGGCCACAGGACGCCTCCTGAAATAAAAAGACAAACAAACATCGGCAAAGGCCGGGGCTCATCTATCCATCATGCTCGCGGCCCTGTTCACCAGGTATCTTTTCCACATAAACAGCTCTCGGGGTCTCTTTTTCTACGAAAGGGCTCTCCATTAAGCCTAGCTCTTTTGCTCCATGGGTCCGGGCATCATGGTGGGCGTCCCCGGTCGATCGAAAGCCTGCCATACGTGCAAACGGAGGAGAGTCAAGGTAGATATACTGAATCCCTGTCTGCCTATGCACATATCCGTTCAAGGTTGCTGACCGATGCTTTTCGCAGTGTACATTCGAGAGGCCCTCGTGTTCCGTCTGCATCAAATCGCAACGCACATGTGGAGGCTATCAGAGGCCCCAAGCGTTTATCCTCTCCGACTATATGGGCACATCAAACCCGGCCCTAAGTAGTAGCGCCCTACTTCTTAATAAGGAGGATGGAACAGCCCCTGTCTACTTGACTCGCTGGAAGGGCAACGCCTGTGTGAAGCCATCAACTCCTTCCACATCAAGGACCAAGGGTGAAAGACTGTTCGAGGGCAGACCAACTTCCGACGTCAGCCTTAGCATGAGCGTCACTCCACGAAATGCTATCCGAGATCAGCTCCTCAGCTTTTTGGTTGACAAGAACCTTCCAGCAGACCTGGACAGCCATAGACGTCACATCGACCATCGCAGTTGGCTTGCCAAGCTTGCAGGGGAACCCCTCTCTCCTGCCCTTGAGCACTCCATGTTGGCTATCTGTGTAGCTGCTTGGGGTCGCCAGACCTCGGAAGAGGCTCTTACACGAGAGAGCCTTGTTATGTACACGACCAGCCTGCGCCAACTACAGCGGGCTATAACCAACTCGACATCGCGCTCTGATGAGCAAAACATCGCTGCTTGCTTGGCGTTGATCATGTACGAGTACATCGAATGTCCCGGTCACACAACTGATGGCTATATGAATCACTACATTGGTGCCATGAGTCTGCTTCAGCTACGCGGCCCCCAAGCACATTCTGAAGGCTTAGCTCATCGCCTACTCAAGACAGTGAGGTTCCATACTGTGAGTTCGCCTAAGATGGCACGTCTTTGACGTGCCCTTGTTCGTACTTTCCACGGCCTTATGCTGACCTAGTCAGATATTTCAGGGCTTGAGGATGCGGCGCACAACCTTTCTGTCGCGGCCAGAATGGATCGAGCAGCCCTGGTCCAGTATGCCAAAGTCCTTCCAGGACCTCTTGCTTGACATTTTGTTAAAGATCCCAGACATCTACTCTGCAACCGACGCTATCACAGACGAGATGGGCCTTCTGAAAGACTTCGCCAGTGGTTTTGAGGTGGCTAGAAAGTGTTCTCAACTTGACGCGGAGCTCGCCAAGTGGTTCTCCCGATATAAAGAGGACCACTCTGGCCCTCTATACTGGCCAGTGTTCTCGAACCTTGACAGCGAGATAGATGCTACTGAGCTGGGGCAAGTCTTTCCAACATCTCTCCGATTTCCCTCTTTTGAAATCGGGGAAACCCTGGTCCTCTATTGGACGGCCCAAGTCCTTATCCACTCCCATCTCTGCCTCCTGCTCCAGAAGCTGTCCAAGGTGGAGTGCCAGCCTGAACAGCTCCATGGATCTGTCTTGGAGATTAATCTGAAGGGGTCAATGACAAGTACACAAACGCAGCAGCCGCCGCTGCGCCAGCTACTTCCGGCAATTGAACATCACAAGCAGTGGGTGCAGTCATCAGCTTATCACATCTGCCAATCCGTGGAGTATTTCTTCCAGGAGATGCTGGGTAGCATTGGAATGGGTGCTATTCTGCCGCCTTTATTAGTTGTACACGCGTGTATGCCATCTGCACTAGGAGCTGGGAGTCGACAGCAGGCGTGGGTTCATGAAATGATTGTGCAGATCCAAGGTGGAAGTAATAAACTACCAAGGAACATCTAATATAAGGATAAGGAAAGCCTAATTAGATATACTTATTACTTATCTGTCATAAATAGATCCAGCTCCAGTGTGAAGAGCTTGGCTAATATAGCAGGTATATTCTTAAAGTGTAAAGCTCTATAATATCTATGTAGAATTAAAATTCAACCTTTTACACATCTTTAAATTGACCCCTATCTTAGTTGTGACAGCTCTACTGCGCTGTAACGCAGCCCAGAGGCAACCTACAAGAATTCACCAATTCACCAACGTTACCACAAGAGTCAGCGACAACACGGTGAAATATCCTGTAGCACTAAACTATGCCTAATGAGTCCGGAAAGGCGATACACGCCCTGTTGCCCCGAAGTCCTACTTGAAACCCACAGCCCAGTTCCTTGACCACTTCCAAGGGTTCATCCCAGTGAGTCTCGCATCCTTGTATTGTTCACAAGCTCCCCAATCCCGAACGCCCGTGTTCCGAAGCAACCCCCCTCCGTATTGACACCCTTACGGGAACCCAAACCACTTCCACTCATCCAACTGAGCCTTACGCTCCCTGAGCTCGCTCATGAACTTCTTGCCGTCGGGGAACTTGAGGCCTAGATTGAGTTGTCGGGTAGTACGCAGCTTTCCCTTCATGATGCAGCCAATTGCATTGGAGTTCTCAAAAGGCCCAAGGCTAACCCACCATTGGAGCTCCGGGTCGCGCTCCTCGGGGCAATGAAAGTCGTTGTGGCTGTCCTGCTCTTCTTTACTGCTATCCTCCTCCTCGTCGCTAGGCCGGCTCCCGGATTCACGCAACTGCCGCATCTCTTCCTTCATCTCGTCATCGGTGGAGCAAAAGGCGAAGTCAATAAAGAAAGGCTGGTTTGTCTTCCCGTCCACGATGACGTTGCGTGGCTGACAGTCTCCGTGTCACACCCCGTATGTATTGATGTCGCGTGCGACATCCATAGCAGAATGTACAATCGTCCGCCACTCGTCCAACTGGCGAGGCGCCCGACGCGAAGTGTACAGGTCGGTGAGGTTGAAACCGTTGATGTACTGTATGAGAATGCCTCGAACTTCTTTGTAGGGAGCCAGCTGCGTCTGGACGGGGTCGTAGGTGTCAGGAAGTTCGAGCCGAACGTGCGCATACATTTGCGGGATCGACTTGCCCTGCAAAGGCTTGAGTCGATCATAAATGTCAGTCTCGACATCGAAGTACTTCTGGCACTCCCGCCAGACCATTGCCTCATACTTGGCAAACTGATCTGGACCTTCATTCTCGTATAGAATTTCACGGGCCGAGGTTTCAAGAAGAGAGGCCTCCTGTCTCTTGTCTAGTTCGCAAAAGAAAGGGTCGACCTTGTCGGCCAGAACGAAGTCCTGAAAGGCTTCTTCGGCTTCAGTGGTGTGACGATACGGAACATCGGATACGCGCAGAATATCCCGAAGCTCTGTGCCAAAGCGACGATCGTAGAGCTTCAGAACAGCCACCATCCTGTCGCCCTTCTCGGTCACGAAGGTGACGTGCATTGCGCAAGAGAGGGTCATGTCGAGGACCCGAAGGATGTTGAACCGGTGCAACTTCACGAGTGGTGGGTCGTGGCAGTCCTTCAGGATTTCCACCCGTAGAGGCCTGTTCTCCCCATACGGAATTGGGGTGTAGTCTTTCCAGTCAATGTCTGCCTCAAAGCGACGGACCATCTCACAAGGAGAGGCTGGCTCTGCTTGTTGTACGGGCGAATCGGTGAGGTCCCACACGAGCGAGTCCGATCCGATCCAGTGCCAGCCGCCTCGCTGAGCCTTTTCCTTCATGAGTTCGATGATGAAAGCGTCGAGGTTAAGGGGCTTGAATTTCGGCTCTACGCCTCCGTTGTGTTTGAAATCACCTGACACTTCTTCGGCCAGGGAATTTGGATCACCATAGTAGAGAACGGTTTTCCACCACTTGACCTCGGGATCCTTTTCAGCGACAAGATCGTCCCAGGTGTCTGGGACATCCCACTGTTTCTCATCAACTGCCTTCCCCTCTTCGGCAGTCTTCTCCTTCTGGGCTTCATGCTCGGCATCAGAAGTATTGTTATCGATCATGGTGCTGGACTTGCCAGGTATGCAATTATCAGTCTGCTGTAGCAGTCGCATCTGCTCCCGAGCTTCCCGGTCACTGCAGGCCCGGCCAAAGTCGATGATGAAAGGCTGACCAGTGGCTTTCGAAATCACAACATTGCGGGCATTAAGGGTTGACTTGATGTGGATCCCACGTTTGTTGATCTCGAGTGCGTTGTCCATAGCAGATTGAACGAGTGACTGCCATTGCTCGGTTGTGCGAGGCCTTCGCGCTTTCGATTTATGAATAGTTTCCAGGGTATACTTTCCAACCCACTGAAGTAGGATGCCCCGAACCTCATTGTAAGGGGCCATTTGTACTTGGACCGGATCGTAGGTGTCCGGCATGGCGACACGTACATGGGCGTACATGACCGGAATTGCCCGGCCCTGCATGGGCTCCAGTTGCTCATAGGCCTCGACCTCACGATCGAAATACCTGCGGGTGGTTCTCCAGATCATTGCCTCGTACTTGGCGTAGCAGTCCGGCCCCTTGTCCTCCCCAAGCCAGTCCCAGTTGTGCATTCTGTAGTCAGGGTCTAGGTCAACCTCATCTTCCTCGCGTTGGTGGACTTCTTGGAGAAATGGCTTGATCTGGTCCCGCAGGACAAAGGATTGGAAATCTTCCTCAGCCTTCGTGTTGTGCTCGAAGGTTCCCAAGTAGTCGAGGCTGCGGAGACTTGAGCCGAACCGACGATCGTAGAGCTTCAGGACCCCCTGAGTTGAGTGACCAGTCATCGTCCTGAACCAGACCAACAGTGTGACTGACTGGGTGTTCGCGATCGTGCCAATAACACCGACCTCGAGATTTTCTGAGAGCTTCGGACCATGCCCATGCTTGAGGACTTCCAGTGGCAGCGCCTGGAGAGTGCATGGCTCGGTGGGGTAAGTCTCCTTCGGGAAAGGGTACTTGGTGACGTCCTCAGGGCCCATATCTGCAAAGAGCCGGTCGACCATCTCTCGGGGAGAAGCGGGCTTCTTTTCTTCGACTGCAGCCTCCATTGCAGGTTGCGACTGCGCGCTCGAGGCTTCCTCCTTTTCTTCGGCTTGAGCCTCCATCATGGGTCAGGATCGATCAAGGTGTAATAGCGATGCGGAAGTGGCAGAGTGAAAGTGCGGAGATGTTGATGGGAAAAGTTGTGGAGGAAGGGCGAAAACAACTATTTGGATTTTGATTGTGTTTGTTTGTCCGGGCCTAAGCGTCCCACAGGTGACTGGGAAACTCAGGTAAGTGCCCGAGGCAGTGAATGACAGTCACAGTATTTTCACTTTGTTTTGACAATCTGAGTTGATCACCAGGCTACCCCCTGGACCTCTGTGCCCCCTGCACAATCAAGTGGCCTAGGCCCACATTGTGCACACAAGGCTGTTGTTTTGACAGCATATACAATGAAAAAGTGAATCTTTTGCAAGTACAATGAAGTTGGATACATAGCTATGCGAAAAGTTCAGACCACCAACCCAGCAATCAAAACCTTGAGAGCACTTTTGCTTCTCGATTATTTAGCATGAGTGAGTCGCTTGCGAGAATGCCCGGCCAGTGCCTAATATGTCTCCATCTTCTTCAGCATATTGTTGCGCAACCTCAATACGGGCACGGCTGGTCTGGAAGAGTCTGGGCACGCCCACATCATGACAGGTCAAGGTCTCGTCAGAGAGAATTAACGCAGCCAGACCCTGCGCCGCCAGGAAAATGACTGGCATTCCATGACCATTGAAGCCGGCGAGAATGAACTGGCCCGGCCGCCCGGGTACCACACCGACATGTGGGTTCGTGTCGAACGAGTAGCCCATGACGCCCGTCCAGATCTTGGTAATCTCAGCCTGTGATTCCTCCCAGCCACGATAAGTCTTCTGCATGTAATCCGAGTAAAACCCCTTCGCGCCGTCGATGTCTGCTCCGTCATCTACATTGTGGTACCACTGCTCTCTGCGACTAGTCAACATGGACGCTTTTCCTCCAACCACAATGCTACCGTTATCGCGACTAATCAGGTACGACAGCATATGATCAGACGCACGATTGATGTAGGAGCCAGGCAGTGAAGGAGGGCGCTGAGCCCCCTGAGGGACGTCAATATGACAGCAAACACCCTTGCAAGGGATGATGTTTCGTGAGTACTCTGGTAATAGTCCGGCCACATAGCCGTTCGAGGCATGCACGACCTGTCTAGCGAAGACTGTGCCCGAGGGTGTCTTGACCAAGAACCCACCCTCCTTCGCTGGAAGGATCTCCGTCACAGGGGTGTGAGAATGTGCATCTACCCTGCCCGCATCCACCATGGATTTGAGAAGGCTGACGATGAACTTGTATGCAGATAGCTGGCCTGCGGTGTAGGAGGCACATGCACGCGCGCCTTTGACGCCTGATATCTGCAAACGATGTGTATCAGATCAGAGCCCGTTTATTAAAGCAGACAGAGAGGCGGTCTTAAGCTTACCTCTTCCGCCTCTTCTCCCATGTTGAAGCACACGTCCTTCATGTAATCGAGGTTCAAGTTGACCATGACATCGTAATTGGCTTTGGCCCTTTGCGCTGCCTCCGGGTTACACCACACGTCAGTAACCCTGGCCAACTTCAAGTCACAATCAATATTCTCTTCTTCGATGACCTTCTCAATGGCCCGGAGGTTGGCGATCTCAAACGCTGCGATCTCAGATCCTGCCGCGACGCCTGATCTGGCCATGTGCGTTGGAATCCGGCCGTAGAGATCCGGTCTTAGATGCCCTCCGTTGCGACCGGTGGCACCAGAACACGGACCTCTAGCATCGAAGATGCTGATTGACAAACGCTTCTGAGCTCCGCCAGACTCGTCGATTTTCTTGAGTAGGTGATATGCAGTCGCCACGCCAGCATATCCGGCACCGATGATGACAACATCAGCTTCCTGGGGGATGGGGGAAGTTGGATTCCAAGCGGCCAGCTCGGCGGCTTCTTGTTGCCAGATTGATTGCGAAGAATTCTGCACTGGCAAGTATTCAGAGGTCACCCGTTGTTGGGGGAGGCTTTGGTCTTCCAGCGAGTCGGCCATCTTCAACATCGATGAATCAAAACAAGATCCAGCACTCGAGACGATTCTTGCTGTAGTTGACTCTTTGGGATGAATAGGGTGCTTTCCTTTCTGAGACCAAATACCTACTACTTTCCTACCTTCTCCTCTCGCATGACTGTCTGGTCTATCCTCCATCAGCCAATGCTAGCTCCGATGTCGGAGACATGTACGAAGGTCAAAGTGTCTCGTTTTTTCGAGGCAGAGAACTGATCTGATAATAATTTCTGATCCTAGCCCCGGCAGCGAATCAAGATCAGATAAGACAAGAACCCCGGTCTTGAAACTAGTCCGCTGCTCTTGGCACGCACTGAACCGTACAGTCCGCGATACGAGGCATAGCATCTTGATGCATGGCGCGACCACCTTGACTTTTCTGCCTGTCATTACACCCATGCATGCACTAATGGAAAAAATCTCTCGCCAAGGGCCTTGGGCTCCTCGAGCCGACATCAGAAGGCAAGGGCCAATTGAACCTCACGGGTGGGTCAGGATTGATATCAATCATCTCGACCCTGGGAGAAAAACGAACTGATCTTAGTTCAAGTCGAAGTCAAGCTAGCCCAGAACAGATTGGAATCATAGACTGCGTAAGTGAATCGCTGGAGGCTTGGGAGCGGGCGTTTTACTTACCGAAATCGGGGACTTTACAGATTCTCCATTACTGAGGCTATCCCGGTCTTGGAAAATATATAATGCCTTTCCTATATCCAGGCGAAATTCATGTGTTGAAATTTCAAGCTGAATTCCATTAATTCAACACCACAAAATTGGCTGCGCAGGTGCAATTCTCTCAGAAATGGCAACCAAATCCGACATCGAGCTCGCCTCGACAACACATCCACCACAGATTAGAACTCTTGATCTGGACAGTGGTCCTCAGTCTTCGTTAGGAACATTATTTCGTCGTTCAGCGAAGCGGGATCCTGACGCAATAGCCACACAGCCGAGCGTTTTCGACGATCCCCAGCAGGCACCGCATTTCCATCCTCACCCCCAATATGAGAACCTGCATCGCTTCGATCCGGATTTTCGGTGGACGTGGGCTGAAGAATTGGTAAGCTTGGAACGCGTCTGGGCCGGAGGCCCTGGCTTGTCGAGATGTTTGCTGACATACAAGGATGGATAGCCCCTGATTCGCAGACTGGATTGGAAAATTACAGCATGGGCTTTTGTGGCTTTCCTGGCATTGAACCTGGATCAAGCAAGCCTGAGTCAGGCCAATACAGACAACTTTTTGGCTGACTTGAAGCTTAATACAAATGGTCTAGTCTATCTCTTCACATTCTCGAGCTGCGCTAACACGAGATGGGCAGATTATAATACGGGAGTGACACTATGGCGGGTTGGTTTCTTGATCGCCGAGATCCCATCGCAGCTCATCAGCAAGAAGATTGGTCCGGACACGTGGATACCTACGTTGATGGTCTCCTGGGCGCTTGTGGCCATCTGTCAATTCTGGCTCAGTGGCCGCCCTGCGTTTCTCGCGTGTCGCTTCTTGATAGGGTTGCTGCAAGGCGGATTCATCCCTGACCTGTTGCTGTACATGTCGTACTTCTGGAAGGGGACTGAGCTACCGTTCCGGATGGCGCTCCTGTTTACTTCGACGCGCTTTTCCTCGATTCTGGCACCACTTCTCGCCTACGGTGTTCTTCGGTTGCGCGGATATCGAGGCCAAGAGGGATGGAGATGGCTGTTCCTAGTCGAAGGGTTGCTGAACCTCGCTGTTGGCATATGGTCATTCTTCATGATGGCAGCATCACCCAGCCAGACGAAACGCCCTTGGCGACCAAACGGCTGGTTCACTGAGCGGGAGGAGAAGATTATGGTGAACCGTATCCTTCGCGACGACCCTTCCAAGGGAGACATGCACAACCGGCAGCCCCTCACGCCACGGATGATCTGGGAAGCGCTCTGCGATTATGATCTGTGGCCGATGTACCTAATCGGGCTTACTTTCGCGATACCTTCGAGTCCGCCGAATCAGTACCTGACTCTGACCCTGCGACAATTAGGATTCACCACATTCCAGACTAATCTGCTGACAATTCCGGCTCAGTTTTGCACAGCCCTTAATGTAAGTTGTACCCTACAATTCACTGAAGCCGCCATACTCACCAGACACAACAGATGCTGCTCATCACATGGGTCTCGGAGAAAATCCACCAGCGAGCGTACCTGGGCATCTTCACGCAGCTCTGGTACTTGCCGTGTCTCATTGCGTTGGCGGTGCTGCCTAGCGACAACAACCGGTGGGCGACATATGGGCTTTTGACAGTCCTCCTCTCCTACCCAGTGGTCCACCCTCTCCAGACGGCCTGGTGCTCACGCAATTCCAACACCGTCCGGACACGCGCCGTGTCGGCCGCGCTCTACAACATCGCGGTGCAACTGCAGTCCATAATCGGCGCAAACATATACCGGGAGGACGACCGTCCGCTCTATCGACGCGGCAACCGAGTCTTGATCGGCATCAACTGTATGAATATTGTCCTCTATCTCCTCATCAAGCTCTACTATACTTGGAGAAACAAGAAGAGAGACGAAGTCTGGAATAGCATGACTCCAACGGAGAAACTGACATATCTGAATACCACAACGGAGAAAGGGAGCAAGAGACTGGATTTCAGGTTTGCATCTTAGTCTCAGGCTGCTATTTCTCCGGGTGCTATTCAGAGCAGAAGACTGCTAGCAGTTCGTGTCAGTGAAGCCATTAGGCGATTACATACATTGAGCATATGTTTCTAACAAAGCCTTTATACTATCAAAGAAATCACAAATCAATAGAGGGCGTCGGGGTAGTATGGTCAGAAGAGGCGTGCGGAGCATGGTCAACGAGGCAACCAGAATAGGTTCGACCACCACTAACAGACTCAACGTATCAGGCCCTTGTGCCACTGGTACTCCCGCGCATTTGTACGTAAAAAAACTACGGCATTTGTACGTAAAAAAACTACGGCATTCGAAGGCACGTTGCACATGCTAGCAAGTCGTTTCAATTTGCCATACAGTCTTTGCCAATGTGTTGCAGTATCTATCCTAATTGGATCCACATGCCAAACAACGACTCCGGGGATAACGGCGTTACCTGGGTCGTACAACTGGGAGGTGAGTATTGGGTTTCTCAAGAAATGGGGAAGACTGCTTCGTGGCTGTCCTGAATTGATCGAGTCAACAAATCGCTAGCGACTTCAACGAGGCGAAAAGCGACTCGAAATCCAGGTATAATGATGCATTCTGGTACACGGCTCGACTGCCCTTGATGCACTCCTCTCAGTTCTCCAACACGTACCGATACTTGGCCATCCCCTTCGCCATATTAACCAGTGCTTGATTCGCATTCTTCATAGGCCGAACTTCTACCCACGGCTTGACCTTCTTATCCACAGCCAGCTGGAACATCTCGCGAATGTCGGCGGGGGGGCCAATCAGCGATCCTTGGAGACTCGTCCCTGACAGGATCAATGACGGCGCCGCCAACTTGAAAACGCCATCGTCGGGATTCCCAACCTGAATGAACACCCCGCCAGTACGTAACAAGGATAGATACTGATCCATCGGCATCTAAAGATCGATCAGCAACTGCTTTTGGCAAGCCTTATTCATTACATCGTACCTTGAGGAGGAAATGGTGCACAAAATCAGATCGATAGATCGAGCATAGTCCCGCGCCCACTCCGGATCGTCGTCAGTCGCGACATAGACATCAGCACCCAGACTCAACGCATCAGCACTCTTACTCGCTTTCCGGGAGATTGCAACGACCTTGTCCGCACCTAGAGCCTTGGCCCAGAGCACTGCAAAGTGGCCGAGACCTCCCAGCCCAATGATGCCGACTTTCTTTCCGGGTCCGCAGCCGTTGCGCTTCAGGGGCGAGTAGGTTGTCAACCCAGCGCAGAGCATGGGAGCGGCATGCTCTGAGGGGATTTCGTCTGGGATCTTGAAGACGAAGTGTGAAGGGGCCCGGCTGTACAGCGCGTACCCTCCTTGCGACTTGTCGCCGGTGAAGTGGACGCCACCGTAGGTGGGGACGTGTCTGACCGTGCAGTACTGCTCCATGCCGGAAGCACACGCTTCGCAGTCGCCGAAGCGCCCGAGGCACGAGTCGCTTTGGGGCCCGAGGCCGACGCGGTCGCCTATCTTGAGACCACCTTCTGCCCGGGAGCCTACGCGGACGACCGTCCCGATGATCTCATGTCCCACGCATACTGGATAATCGGTTGGACCGTAGGGTGGTGTGTTAGTTCTGTGATTTAGGAACCCGAACGTTGCGAAATAGTATACTTACCCATCCGCTTCGTAGTACATGGAGGTCAGATCCGCAGATGCCACAGTGGGAAATCTTGATGTCGACGTCTGTCTCCTCCCATGCCTTGGGAGCTGGGAGTCGACAGCAGGCGTGGGTTCATGAAATGATTGTGCAGATCCAAGGTGGAAGTAATAAACTACCTAGGAACATCTGATATAAGGACGACTAATCTCAATTAAGTTCTTATCTGGTATGTAGATCTGGCTCCAGTGTGAAGAGCTCAGCTAGTTTGGCAAGCGCGTTCTTAAAGTGTGAATCTCTGCGATAGCTATGTGGAATTGAACTTCAACCTTACACACCTTTGATTTGACCCCTATCTTAGTTTTGACAGCTCTACTGCGCTGTAACGCAGCCCAGAGGCAACCTACGAGAATTCACCAATGTTACCGCAAGAGTCAGCAACAACACGGTGGAATAGCCCGTAGCACTAAGCTATGCCTAAGCTAAGCCTGAGGAAAGTGGCAATAGACTGAGCAAGCAATAGGGGTGTAGCAAGGGAACTTTAGGGTCATATAGTAATGTAAGTAAGAACTGAAAAGCCCCGACCCTCCTACAGTCCGCCTGCCTAGGATCTTGCCTGTACCTTTACGCTGCGGCCCTGCCGCGGGTCTCGTACGGCAAGACCAGAAACACAAGTCCCGCCACCACGAACAAAGCAGCCGAGATCCACACCGGCATCTCCGTATCGATGCCAACATACGCAGCAATGATCGGCGCCATAAGACCACTCATCCGGTTGAACATGGCGACGAGGCCGTTGGCCGTCCCACGGATAGGGGCAGGGAACAGCTCGGGCGTGTACGAGTAGAGGAGCCCATAGACCAGGTTCTGGAAGAACGCAATCGAACACGTAAATCCCAACACGGCAGCGGGCGAGTTCGCTCGCGTAAACAGGAAGAGGAACAACCCGGTGCATATGCACGCCAACGACCCCGTGCCCTTGCGCCCCATGACCTTCATGTCGACGGTGAAGCCGCCGAGGATGGAGGCCGGGATGCCGCAGACGGCCTGGATGGCGTAGTTGCGGTACGTGGTGCTCAGCGAGCTATGGCCCTGCGACACGCCTTTGTTTTCGAGGTAGATGGGGATGAATGAGTTGTACAGCGGATAAGCCATGCCGATGGAGCACCAGAGGAAGAGCATGAGGGCCGTTGACAAGGCGAGGCGCGGGCTGGAGAACAGAGAGCGGATCTTTTCTGGCTTGAACTTGTTGAGGTTCTTCTTGACTATGCTGCGCGAGTCGGTGTTGGGTGGTGCAGATGGTTCACTATCGCCTACGCGAGCGGCCAGCTCGGCGTCGACGGTCTCAAAGTGGGAGATGGTGAGCCATGTCGTGGTCTTGTTGCGCTTGGCGATCTTTTGCACAACTTCGATGGCCTGGCTGTCGAGCCCCTTCCCGAGGAGGTACTTGGGAGTCTCGTACATCTTGAAGAGGAGTCGTAGGAGGAACATGACCAAAGTGAGACCGCCAAATGTCCAGTAGGCATATCGCCATCCCAGGTTGTCTTGATAATTGCACACCTTCGAGCCAGATGGACAGGAAAAATTCGCGATTAGGGGCCTGAAGGGACGGACGAGAGATGTTTTAGCGTCAGGCGAGTCGGTAAAAGAGGCTTTCGAAACTTACCATCCGATCAACGCCGCCACAGCTTGGCCCACAAACCAAAAGGCAGACTGCATGGTAAGAAGGTACTGGTGAGTGGCCGGAATGAACTCGAGGAAGATGGCACTGTCGACAGGCTGGTTGCCACCAGTGCCCAGACCGATGACCGCGCAGAAGGTAGCGATCGCGACAAAGTTCGGGCTTCCCGCACCTACCAGGCCACCGACAGATGACAAGAGTAGGGTGGCGTTGAAGGCAAAGCGTCGCCCGATGAAATCTGCCGTCATGGGCCACAGAGTCGATCCGACTACTAGTCCCGCGTACTTTGCCACAGTGAGGAAGGCAATGCGTTGGACATGGAACTCGTTGCGGACTGGTGGGCTGATGATGGTGATTGCTTGCATCCAAAACTTCACATGTTCATGGTCAGCAAATGATCAAGACGGTGGCTTACAGGTGGAGACGGAGTCTCGGACGTACATTGTCTACAAACCAGCCAAAGCCCGTCATGGCAAATATATTCCACTGGAAAGAGCCCATACCCAAGTCGATCAGGGCTTGGTTCATGATGGCAACCTTCCTCTCGTAGACCTCGTCCACGCCTGAGGTGATAGCGCGGGTGTCAATGCCATGGTAGTTCTGCGCATCGTTCATGACGGTGCCATTTTCGTGAGACAGTGTCTGGCCGAAAGCCGCCTTGTCGATGGCAGTCGCCATGTTATACTGGGCAAGTGTGCAATGTCTGGACAGTAGGAGGAAACAAAGTGAGATCGAAGGCGGGGGTGAGAGCCCAATACCGGCCCAAATAGATAAATAGACAGTCAGGTCGTACGATGGTCGTGCAACCTCGTCAAGCCCACTCGAGGGTGGGTTACTCAATCCTCATATACCCCGATGCTGAATGGCCACCGCTCAAGCTGGATGGAAAATCTCAGCCCAGGTCTTGGTAGATTCGGCTATCTCCCGACTGAAGAGATACCATGAGTTAACTCCAGATTCCGCAATTCCCTCCTCTTTATCGCAAAGTTGAGGGACCTCCGCAGGATATGGGCACTTCGCATGTTTCTTTCTGGGACAAGGTTGGTTGGCGAAATAGCCATTGGTACTTCAAAGATGACTAATTACCGCTATATTGGTGTGTATCCGAAGGTATGAGTCTCGGCTGTGAGGGAGGTCCCAATCCAATGAAGCTAATATCAACGATAGGGGTCGCAGAATTGGAGAAACGAGGACTGTCGAGAGCAACAGAGGTGCCAGGAGTTGAGGGAAGAAGCCGAAGGCGTTCCTATTCCTGTGTGGGATCCTGTCCGTGGCCATGATGGCCCATTGCGAGAGCTGTGGGTGGCATAGTCTATCCCACGGATTGTGCCGAGAGTCCGTCAAGAAACGCAGTGAAATCGTCCAGCTCGTCCGGTATCTTCAACCAATGTCCTTCCTGTTCTGCTCCACTGTACTCTTTCCACTGCACGTTGAACCCGAGGTTTGTGAGGACTTTCTTTGCGTCACGCCCGAGCTCCACATCGACGTAGGCATCGTCATTGCCGTGTCCCAGAAAGATGGGGGTTTCCCGAGGCTGATTGTGCTCTTGTTGCTCGGTCCAGAGCCCATCGAGTCCACCTAACAATTCTCGAGGATGCGAGACAGGCTCTCCGCCAGAGGGTTCAGCAACAGATATTGTGTCTGGCAACACTGCTCTGATATCCTCGGCCAGAGGAAGCCATGTGCTGATACCAACAAATGCCCCTAGCTTTCTGTCCTCGGGTTGCTGAAGCAAAGTCCAAAGCCCAACTGCTCCTCCCTGGCTAATGCCGCACAGATATATATGCTCAGACCTGCCGCCCAGTCTTTCGGTCTCGGAAGCCAGCACTGAGCGCACATGAGACACCGAGGCCTTCAGGCTCTTAATTTGCGAGACTTTGGCCAGGTCCAAGTCCCCTGCCGAATAGGAATCAAACCAGGAAGGCATATGCTCCTCGAAGACCGTGCTCCAGACTGTCCGAGACGATGGAAAGACCCATCGCCAGGTTGGAAAATGTTCAGGGAGCGTCCGCCGGTCCGAAAGTTCAGACGAGAGAATCTCATCGGCAAACTCTTCCCCAGTGCTTCCCCTGCCGTGAAGGACGATGGCGGTGTGAGTATGCTGCTTCTGTGGCTCGACGATGTGCGTGTGACCAAACGCACTTTCTGCGGATGCATCCGTGGGCTCGCAGTAACTCATGATTGGAGCCGGCAGGCAGCCTCCTCAGCAAGGGGTTAAGAAAGCTTTGAATCACGTCTGAAAAAGCGATAATGTGATTGTGACGAGGTGGAAACTATCTAGTAGATGCCGTTACTAAAATCAACCACGACAGCTCTGTCAACCAGATCGCCAATGCTCTTGATAAATGCCTGGTGGGACGGATCTGTCTTGACGTAGTAGTCTCGATCCTCAGTGGAGGCGAACTCGACGACAAAACCGTGGGTGATGCCGCCCTGCCGTTTGCGTTAGAGAGTCGATTTGAGTTTGGTCAGACAGCAATCTTACCTGCAGCCCTTCAGGGGAATTGTCTTTGCCGCCTTTGAGGGAGATAATGTAGGGCGCCTGCTTGGTCGGGTGAATACAGCTCTCCTTGAGCGCAAGGAAGCGATCACAAGCCTGTTACATGCTCATCAGAGACCACTCTTTTTCGCTGTATGTCATGACAGGAGGACTTACGGCCTTGACGTCGTCAGCCGTTGCTTTGGCGCTGAACTGGAAGAGCACAGTATGCGTCACACTCGCGCTGGTCTGCGATTGGGCAGGGTACAGAAAGCCCGAGATTTGGGAAGATGTGCAGATGAAGAATATCAATGCCAAGGCAATGATGCCAGCTACAAAATGCCTGGGTTTTGCCATCGCGATGCAGCGTTGCTGGAAGAATGCGAGTTGTTCCTGCAAGGATTTTAACCGCGCCTTGACACGTCAGCCGGCCGGTGGGTTTTGGCGCTTAATTCCCGCTAATTTCCGCTGAGCTGCTGACCAACGATAACGTTTGGCGCTAAAATTGCGGCTTCTCAGCACTACACCTGTTGCGTTGCGTTGCTCAGCCTCAAAAACAATCCATCCATATGGTGGAGCATCGAGACATTGGCGCATCGGAGTTGGCAGACGAGAACAATCGAGACCGACGCTCCATACCGGCATGGCCAGGATCGAAAGACGTGTAATCTGAGCCAGGGGAGATCAGAATATGCTTGTAATTTCCAAGGGCAACTGATCTCAAGGAAAACACCATCAACATTGAAGGTTTAAAAATGCTTATCTCGAGATGCTGCGCCACTGTTTCGCCCACCAGTCCGTGGGGCTCCCTGCTTGAGCCATGTGCACAGTACGGCCTCAACCGCCATCGTCAGATCGAAACGGGTTAGGGCGGTCCGTATGTTTGATCCAGGACGCGTGTGCTGCTGTTCTTGGTAGAGGTCAGCATCAGCTACAAAAGGCTCTTTTTATTCTGAGCAGCTGGATTTGTCTTGACTGAGTGAGAGCCTGCATCGAAGAACGAGATACCGGGGTTCAATGGTGCATATTTGCTTCGCAACTACCTAGGTAGTACAGAATAAGCCCCTACACACAGAACCGGGAACGAGAGGAAACGAATACGGCATGCAGAAACGAACCACTCCCAAAATGGCCGCACCACAGACAATCCCCGACTTCGACGATCTTCCCAAGGTCGAGGGCATGCCCCAAGGCTGCGCATGGGGCATCTTCGACAAGGACGGCGAGAAAGACGTCTACGGAACCTTGAACCTCTTGACCCCAGACGTCGTAGCCGCTGCCGCGACCGAAGTCAAAGAGGGCATCTCCGTCTCGCTCAAGTAAGTCGCTCTTCCCGTGCACGACCAGACCACCGTACCTTACTCAACTCCTTCCCGCAGCTGGCCTCTGAACGGCTTCCCCTTCCCCATCCCCGGCCGCAAGGCACCCGTCCACACCGTCACCCCGCTCAAGGACGTCGGCTACGGCGCCGACGGCTGGGACGACGAGCTCGCCTTCAACACCCAGCTCAGCAGCCAATGGGACAGCCTGTGCCACTTCCACCACCAGGACAGCGGCCTCGCCTACAACGGCGCCCGCCCGACCAGGGCGAGCCTGACGGACCCGGCCGCCGCCGCCGCCGCGGAGCATCAGTCCGTCCTGCCCACGATCGACAAGTGGCACGCGCGCGGCGGCCTCGTCGGCCGCGGCGTCCTGCTCGACTTCGCGCGGTACGCAGACGAGGTCCTCTCGCAGCAGGACGGCACGAAGCAGACCTCGTACCACCCGGCCGACGGGTACCGCATCACGGTGGCGGACCTCGAGGCCGTGGCCGCGTGGCAAGGCGTCGAGTTCAGGCGGGGCGACATCGTCGTCATCCGCACGGCGTACACCGAGGTCATGGCCGCGCCGACGCCCGACGACTTCGCCCGGATGCAAAAGGTGCGGCTCAGCGGCGTGCACGGCACCGAGGAGACGGCGCGGTGGTTCTGGGACCGGCGCTTTGCGGCCGTGGCGGGCGACAGCGCGTCGTTTGAGGCGTTCCCGCCGCTGAGACCCGACGGGAGTGAGGGCGAGATGAGCGATCTCGGTAAGTTTCGTTGGCGGCGGGACAATTATACTGGGAAGGGAGCACTCCGCTTTGATCTAACGTGGATGTGTAATAGTCCTTCACAAGTACTTCTTGGCCATGTTCGGCATGCCGATCGGCGAGCTCTGGGATCTCAAGGCGTTGTCGGAGCAGTGCAAGAGGCTGGGCAGGTATAGCTTCATGCTGACTTCGGTGCCGCTAAACCACCACGGCCTGGTTGCTTCGCCGCCGAATGCCCTCGCCATCTTTTGATACAGGTCACGGAGTTGGTAGAAGGGGGAACAATTAGAGGGGAAATCAATTTGTCATCTAGTGGAGGCTCCTACTGGCCTTTGTCTGCTGGAAGAGTAATAAACACATCGCGCATGTTTCAAGAGGAAGAGCATAAAGCTCTTCAAACCAGCGCCTATCTCAATATGTCGGAGTCTTCCATCTCCAAGTGCCAAGAAAGAGAAACGCAATAATCCCGATGCCATGATCGGCTTATGCAACTGTTCTCATCCAGTCCACACCGAGGGACGGATCTGTTCCACTCAACGCTTTCGAGTGCGAGTGTTCCTCAAAGGGATCTTGAAGATATAGGAAGTAGGATGGGGATGACTCGCCATAGCATCGTTCCGCAACAAGCCCGAACCAGGGCCCTTGTCATCAATGGGCATATCATCAATTCGAGACAGCCACTCCGAGGCGGTCCAGAAAGCCAGGTTGTCGCTGCGAGTAGAGGACAGGTTACCATCCTCGCAGCCGTCCTCATCCCCACTCTCGGGCTGACTGGTGTTCTCGGGCGTCGCCGTGAGACGGAGGTACTTCTCGATGCGGGACTCCACCCTGGGGCCGATCGGCTGCGCGCGCAGGGCGGGCTGGGAGGCCAAGAGCTTGCGGATGTACTCGCCCAGGTCCTCCTCCTCACTGTCCGAGGCGTCGCCGTCGTCGATGTTGGACTCGGGGTTGCTGCTGCCCGGCGGGAAGACCATCCCATTGTGCTCGGGCCAGACGAGGCGCGCTTGGGCGGTGGAGGTGGCGAGCCTCGCGCCGCCGACGTCCATGCGGGCCATGAGCGCGCCGATTTCCTCCTGCGAGGCCGTGGCGGCCCAGCTGGCCTCCGGCTTGGGGACATCCTTGTTCTCGACAAGGTTGGCTTCAACTTTGTCTTGGGCCGAGCCTACCTTGATCTTGGTCCAGTCATCCGAACAGCCCGGGGGTGGATAGAAGAAGGAACGGGGCATTTCGGGCACGCGCTTGACGGTGACCTTCTCCGTGAGGCAAAAGGTGGCCAGGTGCGAGTCACCCGGTCGGTAGGGCTTATTGACGCTCTTGCCCCAGTCAGCTTTATGCCTGAGCTCCATGGCACTTTGCGTTGAATGTTAGTCTTCTGGGGGCGAGGTCACGGTGAATGAAAATAGATCTGAACTTACTCGAGGTTATCTAGCTCCAGCTTCGGAGGTGGGGGGCCCGCAGGAATCTTCTCAATCAGCTCGCGGTCCCATGCCTGATATTTGCGCATCTTGAACAGTAGTCAGTACCGTATAAGATGTCTCCATAAAAGCCGTCTGAGCTCGAATAGTCCGGGGCTGTGGATGGGGATAAGGCTCTCCAAGCCATCATGAGTAGACATACCAGACAGTTCAGGTCTGTAGTAAAGTCCGCCTGCAAGGCTCAGATTAATAAACGACCACGAAGGACTATCCGGGATCCCCAACGTACCAGTCCCCAATCACCGGCGCAGTCCTCAGCGAGAACGAATTGGAACACATCATTGGGGCGCGGGCCAGCAAAACGGCAGCTCTGAAGCTCGGCAGAATAAAAGTACTCGATTGCTTTGCCACAGAACGGAGTGAGCTTCTTTCCAAAGACCTCTGGGCAGGTTTGGAAGTAACGGCCGGTGCTGCGCGCGCACTTGATACAGGCAAAAAGGCCTCTGAACAGCGAAATGCAACCGGAGAGGATGCCGCCCCAGTTGTGACCTAGGCCGTTCTCGACACTGAGGACAACTATGCAATCTTCGACGCGAAGTGCGAACTTCTGCAGGGTAGCTACCTGGAATTCAGAGAGGTCGGAGCCCGAAGAGATCTCGTGAGTCAAGTTTGGGTTGGATTTCTTGACGTCCCAGCGCCAGGCCTCGATGATGGCCTTGGTGTTGAGTTCGGGCTTGGGCTCGGGTTCCTTCTCAGAAGAAGCACTTAGCTCTTGGGTCGGAGAGTTCTTGACCTCAGCTGAAGCGGGATTGTCGATTCCCGCCGGAATGAGCACGCGAGGCTTCTCCTTTGGAGAAGACAACACGGTCTGGTCCGAGGGAGTATTCCCGGATGAGACTGACGAAGCCATGAGGAGAGGAGGCGGCAAGGCGAGTGTGAAAGGAAGCCGGAAGAAAGGGAGAAAGAACAAAGACCAGAGTGCAATGTGCAGTGTGCAGCAATTCACTCCTCCTTGGTTGTTGAAGAGGGGGAAGAGTTAATTTCGAAACTCATATGGAAGAAAGGGTGAGACAAGGGTGAGACTCGGCCTGTTCATGGTCAAATGGCCAAGCAGGAAAAAGAGGGAGTGACAAGGAGGGCTCCGGCTGCTTCTACTCCTTGCCAGGTCGCCTTAGGGCATGAGAAGTTGAATGTCATTCACCGAGATATTGTCCAAAGGCGGGTCCCTGGCAGGATGATGCTGTCGATGCCTCGCAGCCTCGCACTTGTGCAAGTTTTGCCCTGCACATTATTTATTCCCCTGGAAGAGGGCAAGCTGGCTGGCAATTCTTTGGGGCTTTAATCTCTTTCATCACCGGGACAAAAGACAGACATTCGCATCGCGGGGCTTGAAAGCCGCAACGGTATCCTCGTATGTACTTCTATTCTCTCAACGCGGTTCGAATCTAACCGCGCTGATAGGACATGGCTCTTTACATGGAGTCCGACCTAGAGGAGACGCTGTCTCTCATGGAAGAGGTTTCGCTGGATCAGGTTCGCTGGTCCAATACCCCCGTACTTGAGTCTCTCAGCTAACTTCCTCTCTTAGCCATCGCGGCCCACCCTTTCCACGCATCCCGTTGCGTTCCGCAATCTCCCTCCCGAGCTTCGCGATCAGATCTACAAGGAAGTCTTGATCCACAAGGAACCGATCATTGTTGAGAAGGGCGACACACAGCGTCAACCGGTTACCGTGGGCCTCCTCCGCGCAAACAAGACCATACACGCTGAAGCCAGTCCGATCCTCTACGGCCAGAACTGGTTCGACCTCACAGACATGGAGGCGGACCCGATCATCCGCTTCTTCCGACAGATCGGCAGGCGGAACGCTGCCTACCTTCGCAAGATGCTCATCGACTTCCTTGATATCGACATCACCGGCCCTCTCGAGTTCACCATCATCGATGGTAGTGTCAGGGTCATGGCCGCCATCCAACACCACTGCGTCAATCTGGTCTCTCTCACGGTGTCTCTGCTGAACTGGCAGGGCATGGACAAGATAGATGTGCGGCCCTACATCTTGTGTGGCGCGTGGCTCTTCGAGAGCGCCCTCAAGCTGCTTGCCAATCAGATGAGAACCATCCCAACTCTGCGAACGATGAAGGCTGTCGTGTACGACCGTCATCTCGAGCATGTCGAGCGCATCTTGGCGAGACATGGGTTCCTTCTGTCTACAATCAGGTGGCCTCGAGGCATGCACAGGAATATTGCTGATGACGCGCAGCCGTTCCGTACCGCCAGACAGATCTCGTGGCATGAGGATTTGGTTTTTCCACAGTTCCCTTGAATCAAGGGTACGGGTATCGTTCACAAAGGCGAGGAAATAAGGAACTCGGGCACGCTCGAGGGAAAGATATCGGAAACCGGTCTAGCTATTCTACGAAAGGAATAAGGGATCATAGGTACCTCTTAACGTTGATAACTCAAACGTTGATAACTCAAACGTTGATAACTCAAAATGAAACGCCTCTCCTCGAACCAGCCCGACACACTGATAAGCTTGATGTCGTTGTCTTAGTTCCACTTAAGTTCCCTGCTCAGCAATGTGACAGAGACTGGAGCTACAACTGGGCCTGGACGGACAGTGCCGAGAAACTAGCACCTTGAGTCGGTCTAGACCGCAGAAGCCAGCAACGACAAATCGGGGACGTCATAGCTCAGGTCCAAGACTGGTCTAGTGGGGGAAGAATATCCCTTAACTGACTGAGGATGCAGGCCCAGGTTTCTCTGACCACAACAGAGTCCACTGTCAGAGTGGTTGTGGGTAGTGAGGGGTGAATTTTCATCCTCGAGCAACAGTCACTGAACAGTAGCATCGAAGTGAAGCTCCCGTAGCTGATTCCCGTGTTGCAATGCGGCGGCACCGGAAAGACAAGTGCTAAGCGAGCCGTTGAAACAGGCATTTTCTCCCGCCTGCCGCGTACCATGGCCACATTCCAGGTTACCTACCTACCTTTTCACGCCTTCCTCCATGCAAATAGAGTGGCTTGGTCGACAGTACAGCCGACGATGGTGGGTAGGAAGCAAGGGATCCGGGGATCGGACCAACCAAGCCAGCCAATCCATCCCGCCCCCGAATGCGGGGGAACATTGAACATAATCCGAGCTGAGGGAAGCAAAGTGCCAAGCTAACGAGGAAGCGCGAGCTTCAACCCAGGAACTATCCGTTTTGAGGACCCTGGTTGGCGCTAAAACGAAGTCTTGACGACATCGATTTTCCCATCACCAGAAAGGTCAACACCAGACGGCACCACAGCATCCCTCGCTCCATGGCATGCCGGCTAGGCCTGACAAGCGCTGTCGTAGGTCGTTGACCGGATAGAAAACTCAACCTTGGAAGTCTTCTATTTTTACGCCATCTTGGGCTTGGAGACGTATTGCACAAGCGCAAGCTCGACTTGAGCACCGCACGGAGCTGTCTTGCATTTGGTGCTTCTCTCTTCTGGGTATAATCGACCAACATAATATCAAAATGTTCAATCTGCTTGGCTTCGATCACCATTGCGTGTCTTGCAGTGCCGATTTCCTAGTTGGGCAGTCGTTCCACCATAGATGTGGCATGGAAGATCCCCTGACGGCACCATAGCCGGCTTGGCCAAGCCGTCTTCTCGTCATCCATCTTACCCGGGTCTGCACGACCCTGCGTGTCCATCGTCGTCTAAGCGTCTACCCTAACCGCTTTCTACTCTCTTCCATCCGAGCTTGCCAAGGGTAGCTGTCTCCAGTGAGGCCATATCGTGGTGCCACGCCAACGAGACCGGATGGCCTAGTGGCCCATTGGCTCCATACGCCGCCGCCTCTCTGGCCCTGGCAGGCTTCCTTGGCTTGGAGGTGGGTTGCTCGTCAACATCATAGGCTCGAGTGAGATCATGGCGAAAAGCATGCTGGGACTGTCAGGTCCTACATCGTTCCCCGCTTCCCTCGAGGCGAGGAACATCGCCGTGGCATTAAAAAGGGCGCCGCCGTCGCCCGTCATCGTCGCTGGTGTGGCAGCTCTACCTCCCTTCTCGTTTGTCCACCAATTCAGCTCGAGCCCGTGTGTGATATCTCGGCCACGAAAGCACACCTTCAACGACTAGCAAAGATGCAGCTCAAGTCTCTCCTCCCTCTGGCACTTGCCAGCAGTGCTGTGGCCCAGTCCAGCATGCCCAGCTTGGCAGATGCTCTGGCTTCTCAGAATGCCTCGCTCTCTGTCCTCAATGGTTCGTCATCCCTCTCCTCTGTTGGTCGAGCTATGGAATACTGACACTCGCACTCAGGTCTCCTAGCCACGCAGCCCGACCTCGTCAAGTCTCTCTCCAGCGCCTCCAACGTGACCATCCTGGCGCCCAACAACGCCGCCCTCTCCAAGCTGCTCAACTCGTCCATGGGCGCTGCCCTGGCCACCAACAAGGAGGCCCTCACCAGCGTGCTCATGTACCATGTCCTCAACGGCACGCACTACGGCTCCGACTTCACCAATGCCTCCATGTTCGTCCCGACCATGCTCAACAACCCCATGTTCTCCAACGTGACGGGCGGCCAGCGCGTCGAGGCCAAGCTGTCCTCGGGCAAGGTCACCTTCTTCTCGGCCCTCAAGGAGAACTCGACCGTCGTGACGCCCAACCTCAACTTCACCGGCGGCGTCATCCACATCATCGACTCGGTCCTCTCGGTGCCCATGAACGACTCGGCTACCCTCGTCGCCGCCAACCTGACCGCCGCCGCGGGTGCCATCAAGCAGGCCGGCCTCGGCGCCAACCTCACCATGCTCAAGGACGTCACCATCCTGGCCCCGTCCAACCAGGCCTTCGCCGCCATCGGCTCCCTCGCCGCCAACCTGACGACCGAGATGCTGTCCCAGGTCCTCCTGTACCACGTCATCCCTGGCGTCGACTACAGCCCCATGATCAAGAACGGCACCATGGTCAAGACAGCCGGCGGCATGAACGTCACCTTCACCGTCGACAACGGCACCGTCTACGCCAACTCGGCCAAGGTCGTCCTGGCCGACGTGCTCGTCAGCAATGGCGTCGTCCACGTCATTGACGGGTGAGTCTAGTTCTCCTGTGCCGTTCCTTCATGTGTCTCATTTCGCAACTCTCCCTTCTTTCATTCTCTTTTCATGAACTTCAATCTAGATCACCGACTAACGATGATTACCCATATAGCGTCCTGAACCCCCAGAACAGCACCGCCAAGCCCAACCCCTCCGCCAGCACCCAGGAGCCCGCCTTCACCGGCGCCTCCAGCGCCAGCGGCGGCGGCGTCCCCTTCACCTCGGGCATCCCGGTCCCGACTTCGACTGCCCCGGCCGCCACTGGTGCGACCTCGTCCACCAAGAACGCCGCCCCGATGATGACCGGTGCTGTCGGCGCTGCTGCTCTGTTCGGTGGTGCCGCCGTCCTGGTCAACTTGTAAAATGCAGGCACCACATGACGATAAAAGCTTCGAAAGAAAAAAGCCAATTCTGTTAGCTGCCTTTGATTCTTTGAGTTAGGGCGAGTGGATGGCCGTAATAATTAGATGTTAGGGAGAGCAAGAATGATGCCAAGTGTGTCCTGCTGTGTCGTGCTCTGCATATCTTGTATGATTCATTGCGTTGGAGCGAATCGGATTCCTAATCTACTTTCACAAACCGAACCACAAAAAGATATTTTGACAGTATCACTTTCTATTCGTGCTGATGATTTGTTATGCTCCTACAAATGAACCTCAATGTGCCACACGACGCCTGCAAGCGACCACTCCAATCCATCCCACGATCCAAGTACACACTTAAATCATAAAATGTCCATCACAGGCGACACAAAACCATGTACACATGCACCCTCACCCTTCTTACACCCCTTATGCCTCACAAAGTTACTCACCCCATCGTCCCCAACTGAGGTCACGCACCCTCCTCCCTAGCCCGCCGGAGAAACAGCTCCAAGACACCCCTCTGCCTGTCCTCGAGCGCCTTGGCCTCCTTGCTCTTCTCGGGCCTCCCGCCCGCCGCCCGGCAGACCAGCCCACCAAACACCTCGGCATACCTCCTCTCGCGCGCCTGCCGCCGGTCCAGCGCCGCCCACGAGGCCTTGAAGCTCGACGACCGCCGCCCGATGCTCCCCAGCGCAGCGCCGACGGCGCCCCCGCGCCCCGCCGCCGACGGCGTCCTCGTCGCCTCGAGGTCGGCCTGGCTCAGCGGCGAGAGCTCCGCGACGATCTTGGCCAGGGTGGTCGTCAGGAAGACAAACGCGATGTTGTGGTTCGGCGCCGAGGACAGGATGTCGAGCACGGTCTGCTTGTCGTCCTCGGCGGCCGGGTCGCCCGCCGCCTTGGCGAGCGAGGGGAGCGTCGCCTGCTCAATCCTCGTCCAGAGCGGGACCGTGACGACGCCGTCCGTCAGGCCGCGGAGGAAGAGCACGAGGGCCTCGCTGACGGCCTCGAGCCTCCTGAGGGCGGGCGTCTCCGGGTCGAACGCGTCGGTGATGTGCTTGTCCTCGTCCAGCGCCTCGATGACTGCGCTCAGCTGCTCCAGGTCGACGCTGTTGAGTCGGTCCGCGAACGGCCAGCCCGCCTTGTCCTGCGGGATCTGGCAGTCCTCCAGCATCTGCGCGTCGGCGACCACGCGCTCCGTGAGCGTCTCCACGGCCTCTGTGAGCTTGAAGAGTTCCTTGGGAGCGGCGCAGCGGACGGGCAAGTCGTACGGGATGGAGCCTGTGGGGGCACCGTCATCCTGGCGGGAGGTTAGGAACGCCCGTATGCCTCCATCGGGGACCCGGATTAACTCGTCGATGGATCTCCCCATGCAGGTAGGCACCCAGGCCGCCCTGACGGGGATGAAATGGTCTCGCCCATCTGTCACGCGGAGGACGAGCACGTCTTCTAGCTTGAGCTGGCCGTCATTCAGCATACGCACGTGGGACAGCTCGTTAACCCAGACCTCCAGCAGCGCATGCACCGTCTCACCAGGCTCCAGAGTGACTTCTTTGCCGAGATCGATGGCATCAGACTCAACGGCATCAGGGTCAGACCGCGCGAACGCGGGAGTGAGCCATTGGGGGTCATTGGGGCCGTCGGAGTCCTCTGTACTCGGCTTTTCGACGAACGAGAACGTTGCAGCCACTCTGCCCGTGTTCGCAAGAGTCAATGTGGTTGTTTTCTTTTGGAGATACCGTACATCCCCGAAATAGACGGCCTGATCTGACCCATGCTCGTTGGCTTTGGGATCAGGCTTGTCAACGACAATTGTGATGCCCGGCCTCCCTTCGTTTTCAGCACGGTCCAGTTCCTTGGCGACTTCAGCATGTACCTTTGCCTTCATTTCAGGGACCACAGCATCGTAATCGAGGGTGAATATTGAAATTATCGGCTTGTGATCTGACGACTGGATGCGCTGATGCGAGGTGTAAATATCGAGACGGATCCGATCCACGAAGCCCTCTTTCGTGACCACTTCTTCCGGTTCTTCGTCTTCTGCATCATCGTATTCATCGTAATCAAGACTCGTGCTCGACTTTGTAGGATTCTCGCCGTCATTGTCTGGATCGTAGTCGAACAACACTTCGTCGTCGTCCCCAGCCTCTTCCATGCCGCGTGCCTTCATCTCTTCGTCCTTCTTCCGCGCCTCCTCTTCCTCCAGTTTCCGTTTCTGGTATTCTTCTTTGTCCTTCCGCGTTCTGTAGAGGATGCGATCGCACCAGCTAGGGGCGCGCTGCTTCTCACTTGAATCGAACAAGCCCACCGTGCCGACATCGTATTTGTACGATGGGAGGAAGGTGACCTTGCCCTCGCGCCATCCATCCTGAAATACCTTGCCTTGGTGCATCAGCCGACGCAGCTGATCATGTGGGAGGAGAGAATCTAGCGTAGCTTGTAGCGAAGCGGGATCATCGGAAGGATCCGGCAGGAATTCATCTGGATCTGGAAGTGTTTCCGACTCTTCGTCGGTGCTCTTGTTGGTGGACTGTGAAACTTCCGATCTCTTGTCCGTTGATTCGTCGCTGCTTTCTGATGACCGCAAGACGATAGGATCCTCGCCCCCAAGCGAATCGTTCTTGGCATCCTGGCCGGCACCGTACTCGCCGCTGGTGTGAAGCGTCAGAAGCCGGCGGATGTCATCTCCTGGTAGGCCATCTAGGCGGAAGTTGAGGTCTCCGAACCAAAAGGCAAAGTCTTCATCGCCAACCTTTTCCGGCTCTTCCTCTTGAACACCCCCGGGATGTGTGACAGGGTCGAATTGAGTACGACTGACAATATGTGCCACATCCCAGCAGCGTCTTTCAACGTAGGATGAGTCAGTGCCACTTGCAAGATGGCAATTGAGGAACAACAGTCTTGTGGTCTCCCCAAGCACGATCCTCGTCGCGATCGATCCCTTGTTTCCGAGATAGCCAAGAAAACCTGTGCCGACGGGACAGGTGCTCACGTTGGTGATCGAAGGCGCGACCTCGGGAGAGGCGTAGATCAGCAGCAGCAGTCCCGTCATTTGTTCCGAGGCAATGTGCTGGTACCCCTCAGGTAGAGCAGCTTCGATCGCCAACTTCCACTTGTCCATTGCGCCACTGTCGGCATAGACGCGACCCACGTACTGCGAGGCAGCATTCAGGTCGACCACCTCTTGGAGGCCCAGAACGTACAATCCGATATCTTTGCCTCCCACGAGCCGGACGGCGGTGGGATCGTCCTCCAGAGCGACGCTGCTATCTTCCCTGATCACAGCTGGATTATGAGACAAGTCGATTGAGGCGAGCCGTTGGTCGATCCCCTTGCCTGACACAAACCATCTCTCCAAGTCCTTGTCAGTACCGGGTTTTGCAGCCACGTTCCACGTGCCAACCTTGACCCGGATGCGGTGGGGGCGGATGTATTCGGCTCGTCGCGCATGCACAGCTCGGTGAAGGGATTGCGGGCTCGAGGTGAGCTCGTCTAGCTTTGCCTCGGTTGCGTCTGGCTCAGGGCCAGCAATAGAGGTCGAGGCCATAGCGACAAGGTGCACGTGTAGCTTGGGATGCTTGAAGATTTGTACAGGGCGGCCGTCAGGGCAAACGTATGACAGGGCGTTAGTGTCACCTGGAGGTCAGAACATATCCACGGTACATAGGCATGTCCTTTACAGCGAGATATTGTCCATAATCCTTTTCTGTGCTGTTCGGCCGACTTTGGGATTCGGGAGGGAGAATCGGGATTGTCGTCTGCTTCGACTGGGGTCGATCTGACTCGGCCTATGAGAGTCCGGGAAGCTGGAACTGAACAACAGCAATTACTATAATACGGTTATATGGTAAGAAAGAATCTGTTTGGACAATTGTATCGAATGCGACGGGAGAAGATCGTCCAACTTGGAACCCTCAGCTGCCTTGGCAGACCTCGAGGATGGATGGATGACGCGGGTTGCGTCGCTGATAAGAGGCTTATCGCGCCCCTCCCACAGCTAAGCTCGCCCGCTGGCATCCCTGGATTCCCTGGAAACCCCACCAAATCTCGAAAGATGCCACTGGAAGGAGAGGCTGGCACGTGGCTGGGCCGCAATCGTCACCTCCAAACTCCCATCAGCCTTCGAAAGACTGCCCTCGCTGAATCGCGACCAAAGTTCAGCCAGTGCCATATTCATTCCAACTCTCGAGTTAATTCCCGTGGTATACACATCTTGTATCAGTGGGAGTGCCACAGAACACACCTTCTCGTAACTGTGGTTCTCCAGCCACGCGCCAGACGTATCGCATTTCGCGGCCCGAGATTCTCTCGTCCAAGGCTCTCAACGAAAGAGCAAGGTAGACAACTCCAAAGACCTCATCGGGACCCCTCGCGATGAGTCGCCCAACGCCTCGCAAGGCGCGTCACCGCCACAACCCCAGCGGAAGCGGGCCCCGGATCGCCGCTGCTTCGGACTACGAGTCGGATGCAGCCCAATACTACTTGGAGGAGCGAGGGATGGAGTCCTTCCCCCAGATCCCCGAGCGAACGAATACCGAGCTGAACCTCACCGTCTTGCAACGCTATCTCTCCGATATCCAGAGCATCATGTCCATCGCAGCGAACGCTGTGGTCTACACTTTCAGCCCTGAGACGCAGAACTGGGACAAGTCCGGAGTGGAGGGGACCCTGTTCGTCTGCGAACGAGAAGCCGTTATGAGCGGCAACAAAGCGATACCTAGAGCATGCGTTTTTGTGCTCAACCGGAAGGGACTGGACAATGTCATTGTGGACTTGGCGAATGTCAGCGACTGCGAGTTCGCAGCAGAGCTGTTGATACTGCGGCTGAGGGAAGAGGACGGGTCACAGGGCGGCCAGGGAGCTCCTCGCGTGCTGGGCATCTGGATCCATGCCGACAAGGACGACACTCAAGAGGTGAACACGGCCATCATTCAGGAGTACTTCCGCCAGATTCAGCTGGCCCTGGGAGAAGCCTCGTCCGAGGGTGTGCATGATCTCCAGAGCTCGACAGCCAGCTTGCGGCCGCAACAGGAGGAGTTCCTTGGCCCGGCTATGCAGGCCATGGGACGACGGGTGAGCTTGAGCGATCTTTTCGGCCAGCGCGCAGGGGAAGTCAGCGAGGGCGGTGCCTGAAGTGTCGCACCTTGGCATCAGGTCCGTTGCTGGCACTCCTCGCTTTTGGGGGCCAAGAGTCAGCACTACGACTGCACTAGTCCCGTTTCTCAATGCAAGATACCCAGCATGACTTTGATTTTGTTTTGAGCGAAGAGCCCACCGACTTCCGTTTGACATTTGCGTCCAGGGGGAATGGATCACTACGAGAAAGCCTTGTGTAATTGTGTCCTTGCAGCATAAAGTTATCGACCAGCCTTGGGTCCATCGTCAATCTTTCGCCAGAGTCCTTTCATTTGTAGGGCTGAGCATCCCATTCCCCGGAGTACGTGCTCCAGCTCTAATTGCACAGACCACACCTTGTATTTGTATTATGATGATGCGGCGGGAAGACGTTTCACGCCTGGCCACAGTCGGTTAAGGTCTGATGTGGGTCAGGGGTTCAGCCCAATCGCTGGGCCTGTCAAAATCCTACGGTTTCATAATCCTAGAAGCTTGACAGCTTGATAGATGGAGTCCGCTGTAAAGCTTGCCGCTCGCACTCGCGACAACTGCACTAGCTAATCATTACAGCGCTCTTCAACCCCTGGGTTCGGAGCCCTGCAGCTCGCATTTCATGATCGTCCCAGGGATCTCAGCCCCTTTCATCCTAACTGCAGGGTTGCCACTGGTCACCGATATCATGGATAACAACACCTCTGCCCTATCTCTACTTCCCCTCATCGTCCGCCATGAAGATCATGGTTATTCTTCACTACCAAGAGGGCTTCCGGCTCACAGCTCTATCGCCAAGTCGCCATGGCTTCGAGGTACAGCCCCGGGGGCAGTCCTGACAGCCATGCTCGAAATGACTCTGGAAATCTCAACTTTTCGAAGCCGCGCAAACCCTCCGGCTCGGACCACTCTCTCAAAGATGGAGACATGGGAAGTCGGCATGCTCAAGCCCAGGTGACTACTCAGGCTGCCGAGGAACCTCTGTTGAAGGACGACACGGCAGGTGGTGGTCGCGAGACGAAGTTGGGCAACTTGGGCAGACGACTGGGCTGGAAACAGCGCTTGCCCTTTCACCTCGGGCCGCTGTTTCTCGTCCCGTTGATCATTCTCTTCGCGTTGATGATCGGCGCGCTGGAGGTCTTGAGATTCTTCTCGGACCGTGACCGAGGTATCGTTGTCGCGACTGAAGACAGGCACTACCTCTGGACATATGGACCGACTTTGAGTAAGCATTTTCCGTTTCACCTCCCATGATTCCACAGACGCGGTGCTGACAAGACTCAAGTTCTCACCATCGTTGCTGCATTATGGGGCCAACTCGAGTACCGTGCGAAGCAGGTCATGCCATGGGCTGTCATGAACGGAGAGCAAGGCCAGTCTGGCAAGGGGCTTCTTCTCGACTATCTGAGTCCGATCAGCTTCATCGCCCTGTTCCAGTCCGTAAAGAGACGGCACTTTCTCGTCACGCTAGGGATCAGCGGCACGCTCGTGCTTCGGGTGCTGATCATCGTGTCCACCGGCCTCCTGAGCCTTCGGAGCCAACAGCTTGCCGGGAGTACCAACATCACGACTCTAGACCGCTTCAATCTATCCCAGGCGCAGAACGAGAGAGCCACAAATGCTGGCGTCACCCTCTGGACCATATCTCAGCAAAACGCGTCGTATCCTGCAGGTACAACTCCAAAGGTCTCTGTCCAATCTTTTATTGGTCCCGGCGACAGTGAGTCCTTCTCCATGCATGATCCTTTCGGTCGGTACTGACTGGGAACAGGCAGAGCAAACACCCTTGCAGGGAATGTATCTGTTTTTGAAGCATCAACGACATGCGATAAATTCTATTGGCAATGGGACAAAACCACCAAGAAGTTCAACTTCCCACTGAACGACCTGCTCTCTGAAGACGAGAAGAAGCTCTTGAATCCTCTCTGCAGTTATGTCGAAGAGCCCAACAACGAGCCGACCATCAACCAACTGTCATCCACTCATTTTGACAGTCCGTGGGCTCTCGACCCCTGCGATCCAAAGTTGAAGAACGACTTCTCGAGGCGGATATTTCTTTCTATGTCCTACCCACTGGAAGGCAATATGAGAGGAGCATCGGCAGTCCTGTGCAATGCCACTTACACCATTACGCGACGGGAGGTCACGACGACCTGGGCGGGTGGTGCTCCTGGGGACGTTCGAAGCGTATCGAACGAGATTCTCGAGACATTGCCACTCGGTACCACTCCAGCCGCTCTTACGGGAACGCTGGTCAACCCTTTTGGGCCCGAGGTGAACAACCTCAACCCGTTTCCCTCAAACAGAACTACATGGTTCAGTGTCATGAACTTTACTCAGCCCCAGGCAGATCTGCGGACGCTGTCAAGCCTGGATACGTTCCCTGATCTATTCCAGCGGGTCTTCAAGAGCGCCGCCGCGCAGGTCATCAAGGGTGGTTACAGCAACTCGGCAGCAAACCAAACCCAAGTCATCGGAGGATTGATGACCTTCGACAGCCAGAGACTTGTGGTTGAGAATGTGTCCCTTAGAGTCATGGAATCGCTTCTGGGCCTCATGATATTGGTCTGTGTGGTATTGTGTGTTCTTCAAATCGAGGCGACGTTTCCTCGTGACCTTGGCTCGCTGATGGCAATGGCGTCCGTACTCTCACAGAGTCCAGGATTGACGCGGGCTTTGAGTGGAACGAGCGACTACCCAAAGGAACACTTGGACAAGACGCTGGATGGGTACGACGCTCGTGCATTTATGACAGGGGAGGCTGCCAAAGCCAAGATTGAGGTGCGCGATATGCTGCCGAGGGAGACGAGGGAGCAAATCAAGAACGAGACCAGCACCATACCTCCTCTCCCCGAGAATGAGTGGTGGATGCCCGTTGGCGGTGCGGCGAGCTACAGAATAGGGCTCATTGTCCTTACCTGTGGGCTTGTGGCGGCGCTCGAGGCCTTGTATCAGACATCGATCAAGAACAGAGGCCTTCTCCAGGTATCAACTGAGGGCTACGCAAAGTACGGATGGCTCTTCCTCCCCACGCTGACCATGGCCTTGGTGGCAATCTCCTACACCACCATCGACTTCGCCGCCCGCACTTTGCACCCGTATCGAGAGCTCAGGCGGCTCAAGGAGAACAACGTCGATACCATGGTCTACGATCCCTTTGCGCGGACGACCCTGTTGGCCGTGCCCCATGCTCTTGGTCGCCGTTACGTCGCTCTCTCGGCGGCTATGATTACGTCTGTGTTGGGGCCGCTCCTTACGATTGCTGCGAGCGGCCTGTTCACTCCTACCTTTGTGCCCGCCACCCAGAACATGACCCTCAAGCTGGACCGATGGTTCGACATTAGCAACTCAGCCCTCCTCGAGAACAAATATGCACTCAAAGGCGCAACTGGCGGCACTCCAGCAGACGTTGTCGTCAACCAGGCCATTCAGTACAATAACCTGTCCTACTCGCAGTGGACATATGACGAGTTTGCATTTGCGTCCATCAATCCGGACACGTTCCGCGGCCAGGATATGTCCAACCGCACGCTGGAGGCGCGTCTCCCCGCAGCGCGTGCACAGCTCAACTGCACGCCTATTGAGGCTCAAAAGACCACATTTCAGGCGAACGGGTTGGGCTTTTACATCCCCATCACGGCGCCGCCGGGCTGCAAAGCCCACGAGGACCCCGCGAATACCACCCTGTTCGTCACGAACCAGAACGTTGCCACCCCGGACGACGGCTTCTTCGCCCACTGGGCCTCGGTCTTCGGGTCCATCCCGCAAGACCTCTTGGACCTCTTCTCGGGCGCTCTGGACATCCGCACGCCGTACTCGGCCTGCGGGGACGACACGCAGCACCTCTTCTTCATCTACGGCCACCAGACGGGCAACGTGACCGACGACCTCACCGTGCTGCACTGCATGCCCTACGTCGAGGCCCTCCTCGTCGACGTCAGCCTGCGGCTCCCCTCGCTCGAGATCGACGACCAGACGTCGCCGCCGCCCCGCGCGGTCGAGGGCACGGCGCGGCCGTTCGACCGCGTCAACGCGACCGCCGACTCGATCCCGTTCCCCTTCCCGGCCACGGGCCAGGTCACCGGCCGCAAGCTCGACGCCTTCTTCACCATGGCGACTGTGGGTCGCGACGGCACGCCGCTCGGCCAGCTGATGGGGCGGGACAACGCGGGCCGCATGCTGCGGACTATGAACCACCTCTTCGCGCAGCTGTGCGCGCAGACACTAGGGCTGGTCTACCGCGTGCCGATGGCGGCGGTGGGGGCGACAAGCACTGCCGCCTCGGCCAGAAGAAGACAGGAAGGCGGCAACCTACCCTCCTCCTCCTCGAACCCCCTGACAGCAGCGGCAGCAGCAGAGTCGGTCCCCGGCGCGGACCTGCCCCGCGCCGCCGCGGCGACGGGCACACTGCTCGGCGGGGCGACGCGCCTGGAGCAGAGCAGCGTCTCGACGCGCATCCTCGAGGGCCTGCTGCTGGGCATGGCCGTGGCGGCGGCGGCGTCGTTCGCGCTGGGCGGCGGGGTGCGCGTGCTGCCCAAGAACCCGGGCAGCCTGGCGGCGCGCATGAGCCTGCTGGCCGACAGCGAGCTGGTGGAGCGCCTGCGGGACGGGCGGGTGGTCTGGGGCGGCGGCGACGGGCGGCGCGGTGGTGCTAGCACCACTAGGAGCGGGGAGGAACAGGAGGAGAAGCAGGGCAGTGGCAGTGGCAGTAAGGGGGATGGGAAGAGGAAGGCGTACTCGCGGGTGCGGGTTGTCGAGGATGGGGAGGAGAAGGGCTGCGATAGCTTGGAGAACTTGAGCTATGGGCTGACGTGGTGGGCAGCTGGGAGCAGTCGCAAGGGGAAGGGAGGGAAGAATCGGTATGGAATTGATGGATGGAGGCCCGAGAGGGCGGAGAGGACGCGGTCGTTGTCGTCGTCTTCGTCGACGAGGTCACCGTGACGAGTGTTGACGGAAATAGGAAGTGGTGATCATCGGTGTGAATATTACGTATTTCGTTTTGATGCCGGGCATCGACGGCTTTCCCCTCTGCGATGGCATGCATGTAGTACGAGTCTGGGGTCCGGGGATACGCCCTTTTCATTACGTTTTTGCGAAGTGAGCCATTGTGTATTTGCTCCTCATGTTGCTTTCTGTTATGTCATAGTGCCAGACAAAGTGCCGGGACCGCGCGGGGATTGTCTGGAGATGCTTGGAGATACCCTCAAAAAGAAGATTGAACTTGATTACCTCCGCAGATCTCTCTGCCTCTAAGCGGCCGGTCTTTCCCGACAGGATTGAAGCTTACTTGTTGCCGTCTTTTGTTCCTCTCCGCCTGCATCGCGGAGATGCGGGTTTCGGACGAGGACGAGAAGACGCCAGTGACATAACAGAAACACCGTTGGGGGTGCAGCTATGTGTCAAGGCTTGTAGTTGAAAACACGCGAGTGATAGTTATCAGCGACAGCCGTTGCCTTTCTCGTCGACCGAGGTCGCTTACTCCCTAGTGCGGAGTTGAGGCCGGGTCCTGGGACGACGGGAAGGACGGGTACACAGGACGGACGTACTTGGAGAGCGAGGAGGAAGCAAACCAACGAACGACATGGCATGCATACCATGCAATTTCTCCGCATTAGTGATTGCTTGTTCTAATGGGAATCTATCCTATCAGAGACACCGAGATGTCACCGAGACGAGTGTCCACCACGGGGGCGACATTTTGCCATCTGCTATGGAGAAGTCTACGAAGTAGAGGTGGGAGGGCACGGAGATTATTCAGGACTTTCACTAAAGTACCGGTAGGGCATCAAGGGCATACACACACACACACACACACCGCGAGGGCCGGAAGCTAAGGGGAGCCAAGTCCTGCATGTCGGTAGATCGCCGCCTTGCCGAGGGAGGCTCAACAAAGCCCAATGAGCTGCCATCTTCCACCGCAGGTTAGGGGCTTCTGGAAGGGAGGGAACTCCGTCCCGGGCACAAGTGCCGCAGACCAATACTGGCCACTAACCTGATTCTGCAGTAGGCTGGCGGTATTGTATCCAAAGGGCAGTCCTTTTTTGTTCCTTCGATGATCTCATCACGGACGGACCATTGAAGACTTTTTGAGCCTCATCCTTTCTCCAAATGGCATTCTTCGCGACGCCTTGCAAACCCAATCTTCCCTGTCCCCTTCGTGTCTCGCATTTTCTCCACGATCCTGGGGAATTAGTGATCTGGGGTGCACAAACCGTTCCCATTTCCCTGAATTCCTGTTTGTCATCGCGTCAGGATTGACGTCGTTAGTAATGCCCGTGGCGTTGGATGCGGTCGTGTCGCGGGTCCTGCAGGTTGGGCGCAGGCACTTGCCATCGTCATCCAGACAGGGAGGGCTCAAGAGGCGTGGAGACGATATCCATCGAGGGAACCCACAGTTGGAGGGCATCGTGTGTTTTGAGTGGGTGTGAGGGGGGATGCAAAATTATGCACACGCGACACAATCACAGACAACGGAGGATGGGAATACGGCGGCGGTGATGTCTGTTTCGTCGTCTTGCTCCTTCTTGACGGCACGCTGCCACTGTCTGCCGGGAACGGCATCACAAGGCCATACACATAATTGGGTGGGCATGGCCTCGCTCGCAGCAAACAGGACAGTAAAACAGTGACGATGGGTCGAGAAGAAAAATGCGATTGTGTGGATGTGTGTGCTGCTCTCCGACGACTGGAGTGAAGTGTGTACAAGGTGAAGAGGATTGCGGTGGTCCCATGACTCGAGCGAGGCCACCGCGGTTTCTGGCGACTCGGGCCCTAGTGCCTGCCGACTCGGCAAGCGCAAAAGCCATCCAGCAATTCCAGCTACCTACCCAGGTACCCAAGGCACAGACCCGGACGCCCCGGTAGGGCGAGCGTCTGGTGGGCATATCAGCTGGGCAGCCACCGGGCATGGCGAAAAAGTATGTCGGGACAACTGAACGACGACCTGCTTCACAATGGCACCGACACTGGCACAACGCTACGTTACCCTCGTCGATTCGTCAATCAACTCGACAGTCGCTGCATTCGCATCACAAGACCCTACCTGATTTTCCCAGGACCAAGGAGCGAGAGACTGATCAATCCCAACATCAGTAGCTTTCGCGGTTCGCATTGCTAAGAAAGCAGGCCATCCAGGCCATGTGCGCTGCTGGCGAATTCCTTCAGGGCATGCTCTTACCTAACATATTGGCCTCTCAGCCACAGGCACGCTCGCAAAATGCAACGTGGGTCGGGTCCGGACCTGCGCAAAGCCCTAGCGGCCGAGTCGGGTCCTGAATAGCGCTAGATCAGCAAACCTGCAACGCCTGGAGCTAGAAAACTACAGTGGGTACCAGACGCTAAAAGCTTGACAAGTACTTGTACCAGTCTCTGGGAGCCTCCTGCTCCCTACTTTAGCCCAAAGTATCTCCTGATGCTCGAATCGGTCAGTCAACGGGGCAAAAACCAGCGCTTGTTTTACGTACTGGCAATGCCTTCAGGCTCCACCGCAGAGCCCACTTGCTCCCTTCCCACGCAAAACACTACGCTGCCATCTCTCGCATCTCGTACTCGACTCGCAGGCAAGCCGCGGCCGGAGTCTCCAGACCATGGCGGCCACTTGGCACTCAGGCCAGGGGTTCTGGATTAGGACCGACGAGCGGCCTATCCAGCACGCCCACTGGCTACGCAGGCTGGCAACCTCCGAGATGTCGTCGTCGAGCTCCAGTCCAGTGCCGGCGGTGGAGCGGCCCTGGTGCGGGCTTGGTAGGCTTGGTAGGCATCTAGTGGCATGAGGGTTATTATTAAATCTAGGATCATGCCTCTGCCCAGATCTCTCGTCTTCCCTCTTGGCTCATGATCTTGTGGGAAGACACCAAAGCTTGGCTACCAGCGCTGGCCCTGTCATCGAGTTGAACTACCCCGTGTTGCACGACGACCCTTGTATACGCGGAGACAGCATCCGGAGACTCATCCACCTCCAGACCAGCAAGGCCACAAGAACAAGCTGCTTAAATAGCATCCAGTCCACACTTTGTTTTGACTCTGTCCGTCTCGCCTCTTGGACTCAACTCCAAGCCCAAAGCCTGTTCGTTCCCCACGGGACAAGAAACCCTTTTACACAAACCAAACTCGGATATCAAGAGGCAACTCAAAGAGTGTTTGAGCCGGCCTCGACATCAACATACATACACACCCACCCTGAACATCGTGAAGAGTCAAGTCAGTTCTGCAAAACTCTGCACTGCCTTCCTCACAAGGATCTCAGCATTCAAACAAGGAAAGCTCGATCCTTACACAGACACACACACACACATACATCACCATGAACGGCAGCGACCAAATACAACCAACCCACTCCCGGGAAGACCACATCATCCCCGTCAAGCAGGTCAAGTCCAAGTCAAACTCCACAAGCAAGGACATGGCTCCCCAGGACCCAGAGGCGCGCACCTCGAGCGACGTCGACGGCATGTTCTCGGGCGAGGTGGTGGGCGAGATCCGCGAGCGCGAGTACCAGGAGGACATCGAGAAGAGGTTGACGAAACAGGGCGACGCCCACTTCCACCGCCTGGGCTGGAAGCGCCTGACCGTCGTCCTCATCGTCGAGGCCATCGCCCTCGGCAGTCTGAGCATCCCCTCGGCGTTCGCCACCCTCGGCATGGTGGCGGGCGTCATCGTCACCGTCGGCCTGGGTCTCGTCGCCATCTACACCAGCTACGTCGTCGGCCAGGTCAAGCTGCGCTTCCCGCACGTCTCGCACTACGCCGACGCCGGCCGCCTGATCTGGGGCCGCTTCGGCTACGAGCTCGTCGGCATCATGTTCTCCCTGCAGCTGACCTTCCTCGTCGGGTCGCACTGCCTGACGGGCACCATCGCCTTCCTCAACCTGTCCAACAACGGCGCCTGCTCCCTCGCCTTTGGCGTCGTCTCGGCCGTCATCCTGCTGCTGCTCGCCATCCCGCCCTCCTTCGCCGAGGTCGCCATCCTCGGCTACATCGACTTTGTGTCCATCATCCTCGCCATCGGCATCACCATCATCGCCACGGGCGTCGAGAGCAACGAGGCCCCCGGCGGCCTGGCAGCCGTGGCCTGGTCCGCCTGGCCCAAGGACGGCCTGACCTTTGCCGAGGCCTTCATCGCCATCACCAACATCGTCTTCGCCTACTCCTTCGCCGTCTGCCAGTTCTCCTTCATGGACGAGATGCACACGCCCCAGGACTTCCCCAAGTCCATCTGGGCCCTGGGCCTCATCGAGATCTTCATCTACACGCTGACGGGCGCCCTCATCTACGTCTTCGTCGGCCAGGACGTCAAGGCCCCGGCCCTGCTGTCGGCGGGACCCCTCATGTCCAAGATCGCGTTCGGCATCGGCCTGCCCGTCATCTTCATCTCGGGCTCGATCAACACGACCGTCGTGGCGCGGTACATCCACGGCCGCGTCTTCAAGGGCTCGGTCATCCGGTACATCAACACGCCCATGGGCTGGGCGACGTGGCTCGGCCTGTGCACGGCCGTCACCATCGTCGCGTGGATCATCGCCGAGGCCATCCCCTTCTTCTCGGACCTGCTGTCCATCTCGTCGTCGCTCTTCATCTCGGGCTTCACCTTCTACTTCCCCGCGCTCTTCTGGTTCCTGCTCATCAAGGAGGGCAAGTGGTACGAGCGCAAGAACCTGCTGCTCAGCGTCGTCAACGGCATCGTGTTTTTGATCGGCATGGTCGTCCTGGTCGGCGGTACTTACGCCAGTATCAAGGACATTGTGAGTTTTGAACTTTCTCCCAAGGGATTTTGACTCGGTCAGGTTTGCTAATATGGTGTCTTGTTACAGAGCGACCAGTTCAAGGCCAACACGGTCCGCGGCTCCTTCACCTGCGCCCCGATCTGAAAGATGCGCGCCCCGTATACAAACCAAACGAGGCCCGAGTCGCGTGGGTGTGTCCGGCGACGACGACGACGATGATGATGATGATGCTGCTGCCTGAGACAACATTTCGGCGTCATGCCAGCGCGGCTGCTGGGGATGACAATGGGGCGAAGGATCCGATGCAGCATTGACGAATGCGTTCCGAATCCACCTTTTTACGGCTCAGAGAAATCGCCTTTTTTTTCCCCTTTCCGATATCAGGACTTGAACAAGGATTGCGACCCAGTCGTAATTTGGAGCCTCATCGCTCTCCCTAATATCTGGGTCGGAGATGCAATACCACCAGAAGCATCGCAGCGAATGTCTTCGTCAAAACACGCACATAGACATTAGAGATAGAGAGAGATTCGGGCATAGACATTTGGATAGAGAAAATGTCTTGGGGGATTTTGAAATACACAGCGAGCGAGCTTTTGTTTGAAAAGACTCGTATCTTTTACCTCATCTGTCCCCGTATCGATCGTATTCTTTTTCTTTTCCTGTTTTGTATGATGTGACTTGGCGGGTTGTGCGCTGGGCCAGGCCCGTCCTTGGCGGTGCGCGACGGGCCTTTCTTGGCGATTGTCACCCCACGAATGACAGCCCGGAATCTCGAGATCTCGAGCCTGCGACAAGTCTATGCCAAGCTCATCCTCTGGTCGCCAAGCTTCTTTGTCAGGTTCTTGACGTTCTACCGCCTGAACGTATTGGGGAGAACGGATGGGCTGTGTCTCACGAAAGCGGCTTGGCTGCGCAATGTCATGTGCTCCAGAAATCAACGTCAACGCTCAGTTTTACAGGCGATGAGATCTGATAAAAGCGGCTATGTCCCTCAGCCCCGGAGTCGAAGTCTTCTAGAATGATTGCTTTTTCTTGGTGATGCGTCCATCTCCTTTTGAGTGATTCGCACGGCTTTCACTGTGGCCCTTCGCAGATGAATGAAGGCGCATCTCGGCTTGCGGGTTTAGCAATCAGTCCGCCAGCACTGCGTTCAAACCGCAGCGATACCACACAAAAGAGGCAACACTAGAGAGGAATACACTTGATTGGAGGTCCGGACAGTACCACAGCATGGCCGACCAGAGCACAGTGCAGGACAACCTCCCGCCTCCGCCGCCGTACGTGGCCGAGTCGCAGCAGCACGGAGACGACGCCTCGACGGCCCCGCCCCCGGCGTACGACCACGTCGAGACGCCGGCCGATCCCGTACACGGCGACGAGAAGCGTCGACAGCACGAGGCCATCGCCGCTCCGAGATCCCACGGACCGGCTTTATCTGCATCCTCATCATCGCCGCCACCGCCACCGCCACCCGCAGAAGCCTCCTCTTCCTCCTCGTCGCGCGGTGGCAGCAGCAGCAGCAACCCGTTCAACCTGATCAGAAGCGCCAAGGAGGCGTACGAGGCGCGGCAGGCCAACAAGAAGGTCGACTACTACGAGAAGATGTACGGGTTCGTGCCCAAGAACGTCATGACCGAGGCCGAGTGGAAGCGGGCGCGCAAGGAGGCGCCGCGGGAGAGGAAGCCGTTTGAGTCGTATGTGAAGAAGCAGTACTTTGGATCGTGGGACTGAGGGTGTTCTCTTTCTTTTCCTCGAGAGGAGAGAGAGGTATAAAGTGCTTGGGAGAGAAGGGAGTGGTATGTCTCATGAGATGCAGCGCTGTCTTTGGTTTGAGCGATGGGACTCAGCTTTCTCATCAGACTGCCTGAATAACGGTGTATCAGTTTGCAATTTGCACTGGAACGTATAATTCACTCACTGTTTGCCGTTGTTTGCTCTGGTTTGTTGATTCATGGCCTTTCATCAGACAATCGCTGTCGCTTTTGAGCTTTCAAGCTGGAAGACATTGCTTCTGCAAAGCACTGCTGTGAAACCATCTTGAACAATTGTTCTTTTTGTGAATTTTTATTTTTCTTTTCGCTCACAACACTCGGTTCCTCTTTGCTTAATCTTGTTCATACTGTACTTGAACTGTGGTGGCAGTGGAGGAAAAGGGGTAAACAGCCATGAAGGGATGGATGGATGGCTGGGTTGGCCGCTCTGCCTGCAAAACACCATCACTAGCCATCGCGAGTGTCGACTCACAGTGGGACGCACGGGCTACTCTAGGGCTAGCAGCCCCGGAGGAGACTCACAGGCCATGATAAGGCATCCCGGGGGTAAAGGTCGGGGGAAATGGGAGGGGCGTTGGGGGGAGCTTCGGTACATCTCCCAGGCAGACAGTACCTGCCAGAACAGATGACAGCTGCCTCACCTGAGCGTCACCTCGAAATCAAAGAGTGACACACCTCTGCCCGACCCGTGACAATAACCTCAATTCTCGGGCCCAAAGCCAGACAATAGACAACTCTGCCCTCTGATTGGCCCCCTCGTCACCTATTGTTACAGCATCCTCACCTTTTCTCCCATCCTCGAGGGTCGCTGGTCAGCTTTTCTCCTCAACTCCTTTCAACATTGATCCCTTTTCCCCTTCGATCACCCACAACCGGTACTCGAAGACCTTGACGATATTTCCCTCTCTACTTCTCCAAATCTTCATTGTCTCTTCAAGCCACTACTCCCGTCTTATCCAACAGCAACAACCCAGAAACCAAGAAGCCCATCGACAACATCTCAACATGTCGCTCCCGCTTCGCAAGGCGACCCTCCGCCGCCTCAAGAACTACCTCCGCCAGATGGACAAGGTCAAGACCCTGGCCGAGAATGCCATCGTCGTCGAGGATGACTGGGGCCCTGAGAAGGAATCTCCAGAGGAGACATCTGCCAAGCCTGAAAGGAAGGATGGTACCGATGCTCAGACTGCCGAGGGTGGTAAGCCGTCACCCCAAACTCACTTTCGTGTTGGAACACAAAAGTGCTCACATCCATGTCATCAAGACTCTCAAGCCGACCCAAATGATTCCTTCAACGACTCGTCTCCTGACCATAGCGACGACGACGACGACGACGACACCGAGTCCCCAGGCACGACCGCTCCGTCGACCCCGAGTGGCACCCGGCCTTCTAGCCCGACCTCGGACAAGTCCGAGCACTCGTCCTCTTCGTCTTCGGACTCCACCTCCAGCGCCAGCGCCAGCGCCAGCGACGACGACAGCAAGCTGCCTGCCCTCAAGAAGAATGACGACGAGCAGTGGGTCGTCCGGCGCTCCGAGCTCGACAAGCTCCGGAAGTACCACAAGGCCCTGACCAGCATCACCGGCTCCTTGTACAAGGGCATCTCGCGCGTCTACGCCGCCGAGGACGAGGTCTTCAACCGCCGCCACTACGCCGCGCGCGTCTCGGGAGGCCGCTGGCCGGTGCCCGTCGAGGTCAAGCGCCAGGCCAACGCCTGGGCCTACGACGGCCGCAGCCCGCTGTACATGGGCTGCACCGCCGAGGAGTGGCTCGAGGAGGAGGAGGAGGAGAGGCGGCAGCAGGAGGCGTGGATGGAGAGCACCTCGTACGACTACGAGTACCGGTGGGACGACGAGGACAACTGGGACGACGAGGGCCGGCGGGTGCACAAGATTTGAAGGGGGGTTGTGGCGGTTGGTAAAAGGGGGTGATTAGCTAACTGAAGCAAGCTCTTCGTCCTCTTGGATGGACTGGTGAAGGGCGAGGATGCGCATCTGCGGAGATTGGTCTAGGAGCAGATGGACTGGCTGACGATAGAGGTGGCTCTGACGATGATGGCTCACGACAAAGTAGAGTGTCTTTTAGTACCAGCGAGCTCAGTTGTGTGGGCGGAACCTGGAGCTTGTCGTTCTCGACCAGCGGTAGGATTCCCTTTGGTACACTACAGAGTGTAGATCCACACGGGGCTGGATGGTACTTCTCACGACGGAGAGTGTAGATTAGCTTGTTGCTGCTGGCAGGTTGGCCGGTACTCGCCAAGGTGTCTCGGCGTGCTGGCCGGAGACCGAGTTTCGTGACGGAGCGTGGCTGTCTCGCTTGCTTGTCACGAACGTAGGAGGATATGAGTAAATTCAATCATGACATGGGATCCAAGTTTCTTATGAACCTCGAATTTTGTATTTTGTATCAGACTCGCTCGCTGTCAAAATCCCCAGATAACCGAAAGTAAAAGTGCAGAGTGCAAACTCCAGATCCCATGATTACAACCATGATTATGAGAGGAATGATTTGGTTTTCTTTCCCGCAAATGAAATGCCCGTTGGCAGATGTTTTCCAGTTCCCTTTTGATGTCAAGTATGCCCCGATTTCGCAAACTAGTGAACTCCATTATGACTCTCAGTTTTGGATGTGCCTGCAGAGATCATCGCAAATTTGTTGTTTTGTCATTTTGTCGGTGCGCCGTATCCATGCACAATAAGTACGTGGGTGAACCGCTCGAGACGAATCCGACGAAATCAGACCTGGTCCGCGGCCGTCTTGGTACCGCTCGTCTCCTTGCTGCGCGACCTGTCCAGCCCGTCGCTGTTCTCGACGGTCGAGCTCTCGTCCTGGCCCATGGCCTCCTTGCGCGCCTCGAAGCCCATCTCGGTCTTTTGCCGCAGCGCCTCGCGCACCTTGTCCTCGCCGCGGTGCAGCCAGACGGGGTAGCCCGAGGTGCTCATCGGGTAGAGCACCTTGTTGTCGAGCGTCTCGATCCAGTCGCGCGCCTGGGGCCGGGGCCGGCTCGTGATGATGTCGAGCTCGGCGGCGACCTGGGCGCAGTAGTCCTCGAGCGGCAGGTCGTTGACGTCCTGGCCGAAGGGGTTCTCGATCTCGCGGCCGATGAAGAGCAGGCCCAGGATGATGTACGAGGCGCCCAGCGTGGCGGGGATGGTGATCCACTCGAGCTTCGAGCCGAGCAGCTGGAAGGGCATGAGGATGACGTAGACCCAGGTGATCTGGGAGATGGCGATGGCGTAGGCGATGGGCAAGGGCGTGGACAGCACGCGCTCCGTGCCGACGAGGATGTCGTTGAGCGAGGCCACGTTGTTGTAGGCCAGGGTCTGCTGCATGGGCACGGGCAGCTGGCCGTTGGCGACGAGCTCGTCGACGAAAGCGGCGAGGTAGTTGAGGATCTCGAGGGGCACGTTGCCCAGCGGCCGCGTCGACTTCTTGATGGCCTTGCGAGGGTTGCTCGCCATGAAGGACACGCCGAGGTACTCGCCCACGGCCTTGACGGGACCCGGGCGCCGCTGCGCCACCTTCTCGGGCTGCTCCTCGGTGGCTTGCTTGGCGAGGGTGTCGATGTGGCCGACGAGCTGGGAGAGGTCCTCGTAGGCCGTGTACGGCTCGTAGCGGAGCTTGTGCTTGAGGGCGACGGCGAAGGCGGTCAGGAGGTTCATGGCCGTGCTGCAGAGTTTGTTAGCCATGCTTTGCGCCTCCTTGGGTCTGCGAAGCAGCCGTTGACTTACAGCTTGGCGAGGATGTCCTTCTCCCTGTGCTGGGGTCGTTCCGTGGCATGGATCCAGAAGACGCGGCCGAGGGTCTGGGAGGCGAGGATGAGCTGTCCCCAGTATCGGCGGCCTTCGCCGTAGCTGTGGGAGGGAGTGTCAGTTTAGTTGGATCCCCTCAGTGTGTGATTAGACTTCAAGGTCGGCAACGTACCGCTCATATGCTGTCGAGCTTCGGAAACTCAGACCCATACCGACGACGAAACCAGTCACCGTGAGGAGAATCGAGTTGACGCCCACTGTAATGTAATGTCCCTGTTAGTACCTTGGCGCCAGCAGGTAGTGCGAGAGCAGGAGTGTAAATAAGACTTACAAGGCCACACCTTCTGGTTGACGTAGGTTATTGCCGTCGCCCAACAACCAATAAACAGCAGCGGGAGAATCATCTTGGGCAGGATGCTGCCGTGCATCTGCAGGAAGAGGGGCCATTTCGAGTGCTTTCGGATATCACGAGGTCCGGTCTGGAGGTTCGAGAAGCATGGGTCAGCAACGAAGTCCCCGTACCTACTCGGCCTTGGCTGGAATTGTACCACTTACAAAGTAGTCGTCTATGTCGAGGCTGGTCTGTTGTCGGCTGAAGGGATTGGGCGTGTAGACCTTGGGAGACATGGGGATCGTGTCCTCTCGGGTGAGGGTGTTCTGCTTGGGCTGATGTCCATCCTGGCCATGACCGGCGTGTCCGTCCCCGCCTTGTCCTCCGCTGAGGCCGGTGGTGACCACCGCAGGTCCGTGTCCGCCCTCTTCGGCCATTGAGATCGACTTGACTTATGCGGAGGTTGCCGATATGTCGAGGAAGAGGAAGTGATTTTAAATTCGAGTTTTCTTTGCACTGCAAATGTTCGAATGGCTGGGCAGTCAGTTTGCGATTACCGAGGTTCGGCGTGGTTGCTTCTGGGAGAGACGGGGGGTGGGAAGTGGTGAGGGAACAAAGAACGACAGCACTTGGTTCAACAGCGATTGAACTCGAAGGCAGGTGAACAGAACAAAGGAAAGACAAGCATGTAGACGCAGGCTGAGATAGGAAAGGATCGAAGAAGGGAATGGAGAGAAAAAAGATTGACAAAACGGGAGAGCCCTCGTGCACTTATTTCAGCTGCCTGGGATTTTTGGCTCCTTTGGGCTGGCGAGGTCGCCCAAGCTCGTCCCAGCTCGTACATTAAACCGACCTACCAGACTGCCTCTGTACGAGGAACCCCGGCTCGCATTTACAAGGGGCCCGTGCAGCCCTTGCCTCTTACGTGGATCACCTACAAATCTCAGGAACGAGCCTTACCGGGGAGGCGAGTGAAACGCCAGGAGACGCCAAGACCCAGTCTGGCATGGGATGAAAGGGACGTTGAGGGAGGTGTTGGCCCCCAAATGACCAGAAGCAGGCCGACATGTGTGCAGAAACGGGTCATTCTCACTGCGCGGTTAGGGGGCTTCGATGCAGGGAGGGCAGCGGGAGACAGGGGTCGACGGAAGTGCAGTCCAGTCCGGGGTGGTCTCAGCCAGCCCCCGGCCCCGGAGCGGGCGAATGACGATGACGGTTACACGTGTAGGCGGCTTTGCGGCCGCCTCTCCCCTGCACTCAAGCCTGTTGTACCTACTGTACTCAACTCCTTTGGGTACCTAGACTGTCGGCAGATGAGCGTACCTAGTGGCACAGGCTCGGTATCAGGCAGTCTGTTTCTGAGTTGTATTTCCTCCCGCTCTTTCGAACTGCTTGCCTGGTACGGCCGGGTACAGCTTCAGGGATGATAAAAAGCTTAGCACGCACGCCCTGTTCTCGTCAAAATTTCAAGACATCAGTCCCCAAAAAACCAGGAATTCAGGGGTGATGGTGCGGACACAGCGGGTCTCGCTCACTAAATTTGGTATTTCACCACTGTAGCTCCCGCGAGACGAACTACCGAGCCCCCGCTAGCGTACGCACCTAACGGTTGGTTCCGCGCGAAGGAGCACGCTGACTGGACGCTGCGCTCCAATAGAATCGGTCTCGAACGTCTGGGCAGAGGATCCTCAGTGGGGAATGTTCCTCGTAAAATGCAGGGTGTCTACCTAAGCCTCTCTTCTTTGACGAAAGAAGAAGAAGAAGAAGAAACATCATGAGGGAATTGGATGGCTGACATGAACTGAAATCGGACCATGATGACTGGCAGGCAAAACCGACTTGAGAGCGTTTGTGTTCTGATCTCTGACTGGACTGACATTCGACGTACAGACACGGGCGCGCTCCGTCTGGTGTTTCAGATCTCAAACCGTCCGCTTCCAACCGTTCGCTACCTAACGGTGCAGGTGGGAACCAAGCTGCACTGTCAGCGCTATCAATTCTGTTAAACTCTCCGTCACGCGATCGTCCAGTCCCTAACGGAAGTGTTGCCTTCTCTCCGCTACACCGATCGGTTCTAGTCCGATTTCTCAATCCCATCGTGAGGCAGACTCGAGGTAAAGCCCTTCGTGGATGATGAATACCCACCGACGGCCAGTCCAGTGGCGGAACCGTATGTTCCAACCCTGTTCGCATGGCTGTTTGTTAGTCGAAGACCATGTCATTGGTCTTTACGGTTTCAGGTGTGGCGCTGTGGAAATGCGAAATCTTCACCGCCTTTAAGCTTCCCTCCCCCATTCCCCACTTTCTGCCCATCTCGCGACGACATTCGAGATTGTGCGAAGCTCCAAAGCCGACCCCTGAAGACACCAACGTCGAGGCCCACGCGAACACACCCTCTGTGCCTCTTTTTGGGGACGCGAACGCTGCGCAAAGATGCTCTCCGGTATCCTGATTTTCAACCAAAAGGGCGAGAACCTCATTTTCCGCGCCTTCCGCAACGATTGCCGCCCCCGCCTTGCCGATGTCTTCCGCATCCAGGTCATCTCCAACGCCCAGGTGCGATCGCCCATCCTGACCCTCGGGAGCACGACCTTTAGCCATGTCAAGCACGAGAACATCTACCTGGTTGCCATCACAAAGAGCAACGCCAATGCCGCCCTCGTGTTCGAGTTCCTGTACCGCCTGATCCAGCTCGGGCGCGGGTACTTTGGCAAATTTGACGAGGAGGCTGTCAAGAACAATTTTGTCCTTGTCTACGAGCTGCTAGATGGTGCGTAGGACCCAAGAGAAAGCCAACGACATAGCATGGTATCGGACACTGACTTTCTATCCCTTTCTGCAGAGATCATCGATTTTGGGTACCCCCAGAACACCGAGACCGACACCCTCAAGATGTACATCACCACCGAAGGGGTCAAGTCGGAGCAGCGGATAGAAGACTCGGCAAAGATCACAATGCAGGCCACCGGCGCGCTGTCATGGAGGAAAGCAGATGTGAAATACCGCAAGAACGAGGCGTTTGTCGACGTTATCGAGGACGTTAATTTGCTTATGTCAGCGACCGGCGCGGTCCTGCGAGCGGATGTCACGGGTCAGATCATCATGCGGGCATACTTGTCAGGGACCCCAGAGTGCAAGTTCGGCCTCAACGATAGGTTACTTCTCGATAATGACGGGATGATGAGCCTGCCCAGCGGCAACCGGATGGGGACCAAGGCGACCAAGGCCGCTGCTGGAAGTGTCACGCTAGAGGATTGCCAGTTCCACCAATGCGTCAAGCTAGGAAAGTTCGACTCGGATCGCATCATCTCCTTTGTCCCGCCGGATGGGGAGTTCGAGCTGATGCGCTACCGTGCCACTGAGAACGTCAACTTGCCCTTCAAGGTCCACGCCATTGTGAACGAGGTGGGCAAGACCAAGGTGGAATACAGCATTGGTGTCAAGGCGAACTTTGGGTCGAAGCTCTTTGCTACGAATGTGGTGGTCAAAATTCCCACGCCGTTGAACACGGCGAGAATAAACGAGCGCTGCACCCAGGGCAAGGCCAAGTACGAGCCGTCGGAGAACAACATTGTGTGGAAGATTGGTCGCTTCACGGGCCAGTCTGAATTCGTTCTGTCTGCCGAAGCCGAATTGACCAGCATGACCAACCAGAAGAGCTGGAGCCGGCCGCCCCTGAGCATGAACTTCAGCCTGCTCATGTTCACTAGTAGTGGCCTGCTTGTCCGCTACCTCAAGGTCTTTGAGAAGAGCAATTACTCGAGCGTCAAGTGGGTGAGGTACATGACGAGGGCGGGCAGCTACGAGATTAGGTAAGCCTCTTTCTACTGATCTGCCGCTTTGCCAGGGGCCGTTTTACTGATTGCGCGTGCTGCTTAGGTTTTAATGATGGATGGGAGCATGTATTGAGCGCGTAGCACGATCAGCACGTGCCGACTTTTGCATGGCAGGGCGCAGTGGAGTTTTGCTTTTTACTGATCTGGGATCATTGGGATGAGCACGATGCAGAAGGTCAGGACTTTGTTGGTCGAGCAGTGAGTATGGAAGGGCCAACTGTACAAGTCGTGTGGTGCCTCTGTCATATCGCGCCGCCATTGGGACTCCCCAAGGTTCTGTTCTTCGTAAAGTACAAAAGTCAACCTCGAACACGTGCTTGAACTTGCAATCTGACGCTGTGGTACCAAACTCAAGATCACTCCGATACTCGCTTGATTGCATGTTAGTAAATACCGCCAACCAATAATCAAATCAGAAAGTCGGCAACTCAACCACGAAGTCAGATAGCGCTTGCTCAGTTTTCACAACCCAAGTTTGGTTTGCCCTCGAAAGAACAACTCGAGTAGCAGCGCACCCTTGCCCCTGACTGACCAAGTGTCACCCCTCGTGGCGATATTGGACAGCATGTCTCAAGCAGGAACTGCCCGGAAGAGGCCAAGCGGATACGCTGCAACGATGCTCCGGTTCGGCCCTGACTTTTGAAGGCTTTCGAACCTGCATTCTACCAAATGCCATGTGCATTTTCCGTACTTTGACTCTTTCTGGTTCAGAGCCCTGGGTGATTGGAATCCGCCGTGTCTGTCTATTTAAACAGGCCCTTCTGCCCATCTCACCCATCTCACAGAGTTTCTTCTATCTCATCGTACACAACAAAAGCATCGCTTTCTCGAAGACCATCACAGACTGATCAGCCACAACAATGACCCCTGCCATCTTCATTCAAAGTACTTGATTCAAAGTACTTCACCTTGTCAGGCCCTTCACATCGTTCTCTTCGATTAAGGCTCTTCAGGTGGATCATCTCACTGTCTTGATTCCATTGAACAAATGGACCAGGGTAAGCTATTTCATCTACACCTTTCTCTAGGAGTCGCAGGCGAGTTGCCTCACTGCTACAGCCCATCAGCCATCTAATCCCATCAACCTTCCCTCAACCTCCCATCAACTCTCGTCCATCAACTCCCTTCCTATCATCGACAATCCCATCAACTATCCGCCATCCCATCAACTTCCGTCCCTATGACCGACCATTCTATCAACTACCATCCCGTCATCGAGAACTCCATCAACCATCCCATCCTTCATCCGCCACCTTTCTCGTTTCACCTTGTTCAAGAAGTCGTTTGCAGGCTCTGAGACCAAGCAGCGCCAGCTGGAATACTACTGCTGGGTTGGCAGAGGTCGCAAGTCGATTGACTCACCCTTCAAGGGGCAATCCGAGCCGGCCCTACCACCCGGCACTTCCCAAGTGCCGGAGTCAATCATATACCTCTCAGACTATGTCGAACCCACATGCAATTACTGCGGCAAGAAGGGCGTCGACATGCATTGTAATGGATCCTTCGTCGCGTTTGACGACGGTACCTCTTTTGCTACCTACTACTGCAATGAGGAATGTCACGTACGGGACTTCGCCTCCTTGAACCAGATCATCGACCAGATTGATCGACCGATCAATCAGACAGCTAACCACCTCTGCAGTGCCACTGCCATCTCTTTCTTCGACCATATCTACGGAGAGTGGCAAGCCCGGTCGAGCTCACCGGCCCTAAAAAAGAAGGTCTCGGGTCCGATGATTGCCCCTGCTCGGGAGAACCAGGACGGCGCCCGGGGCGAGGAGCAGATCGACGATGGGGACGAGGGCCGGGGCGGCCTTGTCGACTGGCTTCAGGAAGATCTTGGTCTCCGCCATACTCCATCTCCTATTCCCGAAGCGGTTTCTACCGCAATATGCGCGCCTCTTCTGCCGTCTCCTCCCTCGTCTGGCGAGGAGTTCGATCCCTCTTCAGCCGCTGATAGAACGCCGTCACCAGAGTCGCCGCAGCCAGAACGGCAGCGCGAGAGGGACCCTTCAGTCTCGAACGGGCCATCGGTTCGGCCCTCAAAGAGGCGGGCTTCAGCCCCAAGCCCATTGCCTCCCTTGCTGCCGCCGCGGGTACCGTGCCGATGCCAGTGCCGATGCCAGTGCCGATGCCGCCGCCGACAGGCCACAGCAGTCCCACAGCACCAGCAAACCCCGGAGGTGGCGGTCCCACCCAAACAGCAACAGGTCCCTGGGGTGCCGTTGACTCCAGAAGAAGCCTGTCCTCTGCCCAGGGGGTACATGTTCGGCAGGCCATGCAACTTGCCTTACTAGTGCCACAGCCAGGTGCCCGTCTACACGACGCCGCGGCCTGCGGGCTACGCCGTGAGCTCTTCGTAGGACAAGAGGAACTTGGAGAAGCGGATTGAGTGCAAGACGTGGATGGCGGAAGCCCGGCTGCAGAGGGAGGAGAAGGAATCGGGTTATCATAATAAGGACGGAGAACTCAACCTATCGATCAACCAATCGTCGCTCATTGTCCCGCGATTCTCGGCGCAGACACCCTAATCAGCTCAGTCATATTTACGCCTGCTGGTGATTTCTGGGGTCGCCGGATATCTCTCATCATCGTCATCGTGCGGTATCTTCTGTCTCGGCGTCATATTCCAAGTCTGCTCATCTGATATCGCGATGCTGGTTGGCGGAAGGGGCGGGGGGCGGGGGGAAGAAGAGATGACCTATCTTTTCTTCTCTAGTTTTCGTTCTTATGCTTCTCTTTGCTGTTTCATCTTGGTTGGATAGAATGTAGCAGGCTGTTGTTGGAAAGACACTGTTTATTGGCATTGCCGCTATTTTGCTGTGCCTTCAGCGACCGAACTCGCGGTGACCCAAATGCCCTACAAATGAAGTTGCATCTGGACTTTCTCCCACGGATGAATTATCTCACTGCCCAAAGCCTTGATGTGAATAAAAAAGTATCGCTTGATTATCAACAATGCTTTCCCCTTTTGCCCTCCTTGTGATGTTTCCACGGTGCCTTCCTTCAAAGATCTGATGTGCATGTCTAAGCGGAAGGAGCAAGGGCCCACCGTGGGCCTGGTGGTGTCTCCACAAATTCTTCTAGCTTCTCGCTCGCAACTGCCTCAAATCTTCTCACAGAATGCACGAGCCTATTGTAAGATCTACAATGACAGTCTGGCCTTGCCCGTCCCATTGCAGACCACCGCACCCATCGCTGGTCGACTCAATGCATTGCTTTCGCGAGCATGGTTAAGCTTAACAATAAGTCATTCACCGGCTGCTGGACCTGCAGATCTCGGAAAGTCAAATGCGACGAGCAAAAACCGCAGTGCCAGAAGTGCATCCAGCGCGATCTCGAGTGTGAGGGATACGGGCTCCGGCTGACCTGGGTCGTGGGCAGCGGAGAAGACGGTTTGGATAGCCTTCTTGTTAACCAAGAGGAGGCCAACACTGCCTCGCCCAATCGTCGACGCAGCAGACGTGCCTCGCCCAATCGTCGACGCAGCAGACGCGCCGTCGAGCTTGTCGTCACTGGTCCCAGTCGCTGCTGGACCTCGCCGGAAATTGACGCTATGCTCGAGCGGATAGACACCTGCCCTGATGGTGCATCAAGGAGCGAGGCTGGTGGATTCTCCGTCTTCACTGCACGGCCACAGTCACGGTCAGAAACCCCGACAGGTACCACACCAAGGCGCCTCAACCCTTCCGACACCAGCTCGGGCGGTCAATTTCCCAGAGACTTTAGATCTGCGCACTCGGCTTCTCAGCCTCCTATCGGGCCTCAGCCTGATCTCGCCTCCGCTACAGATCGGTGCCTCATGCATGGTGCGGCAAGTTTGACCGAGCTCCAGCCCCTGCCCGACAGTCCCCGTCCAGCGTTTTCAGGCTTCAGTCCCGGCCCGCAAATTCCTGCGAAGCCGCTTGGGGACATAGGAAATACTGAGATCACCCGAAACTCCACTTATGAGTCCTCCACATCAATCGGCATTCGTACCGGGGCCATCGGATCAAACGGGCCACAGTCCGATAGCCTCTCCAAGACACCTGCTCCGAGACATCTGGATCTTCTTCAGGTGCCAGCTGCACAGAAGCGTTTGCTCCATCACTGGGTGGCCTACACTAGCCGGAAGGTAGCTCTGATTGATGGTCCGCTGAATCCCTGTCGCACGATGATGCTACCCATGGCCCTCAGAGGACTCATGTCAGGCTCCGACACATCGACATCGGACATAGCTACTTTCCACGGCATTTGTGCTTGCGCTGCATACAATTTGTTCGAGCTTGGGGGCAGGAAAGAGAGTCATGATTATGAGCTCGCGTGTACCCATGACCAGCAAGCCCTCCGGTACCTTTCACACAACCTGACCCAGGCCGACCAGCACCGTGACCAGTCATTTGCTATGGCCATCATGGCTTGCATCACCATTGACGCCATCTCCGGCCGCACATGTCGTTGGAGGGTACACCTCAAGGGTGGTCTGGCTTACCTCGACAACTTGGTGGCCAGAGCCACCGAAATGGATAGCTCGCCGGCTTTTCAGACACACCTGGTTGCGATGGCTATACTCTGCGGGCACCAGGTGCCCCCAGAGTACAAACGGTTTCTGGATGGGCACAAGACCATGGAACTTACCTTTCCATACTACGGGGTCACGAACTCGTTTCTACAGAATCTGGACCGCATGAATGAACTAATAGCAGCAGAAGGGCTTCCCAGCCCTCGCGACCTCGACGCCTTTGAGCTTCAACTTTACCTCAATTTCCCTTCCACGACAGAGAGCCCATTGTCACAGACCCAGGCTACGATGCTGCAACACATGACGCAGGCGTTCTACTACGCAAGCCTTGTCTTTTTCCAACGGTCTGTTCGGGGTCAGCCCCTGGATACGGTCCAGGATATGGTAGAGAACGGAGTCTCGCAGCTAGAAGGCATCGAATCAGTGAGCAACGGCACAGCAGGCTGCATCATGCTGTGGCCGGCCATCGTGCTGGGTGCTGAATGCGGCACGCCGGCAGTTCAATCTCGCATGAAGGCCTGGTTTCGCGCAAAGCAGCGGCTCGGGTTCCGGAACAATGTCGTGATTGGCGAGCTGGTGCAGACGGTCTGGGACAGCAGGGCGCTAGGTGACGATGCTGTTGACTGGAGAGTGCTCATAGACAAGGAACAATTCGACGTGTTCAGGATATGAATATTGTATGAGTAAGGAATGATGATATCAGATTGCCGGTATTTTAGAGGCGCTGGAGTCGGGCTGTGGTTGGTTATGGTTTATTGGGCGAATACTCAAGTCTGGCTGGTAGCGAGGATCGGGCAGAGTTGATCCGAAACTCAAAATAGTGATATTCAATGAATGACTAGAGGCCAGTCACGCAAAAGAGGGCTGGGGAGACTCGGTTTCGCCCATGCCTCCAATTCTGGTGATATTAGAGCAGGCCTCTCTTATTTTTGCCCCTGAATGTTCGACTTGTACATGCCTTAATTAGTGCGATGGATGGGTCTGAAAGAGGTGACGCGATTGGATCGCTTTCTCCTTCCCAAAATTTTGGTGAACACCCAGTCCTGGTGGGTCTCAGTGGGTCTCCTCAGCGGAGATGAGATGTTGCTTCCACTTAGACGGAGAGCACGCTCTTTCCGACCAGTTTCGTTATTCGAATTGATGCTTTACCAATGATGCCTGGCCTGCGTATTTAGTCTCCGGGCTTCCCATCCTCGGGATGTCTTGCCAGATCTTTTCGGCAGATCAAAAGCGCCTCTTCAACATTACCCACGCCTCCCATTGCTTCAACTTCCAATGCAGAGAACGAAAAACAAGCCGTCCACAACCCCGTCGGAGATGGACGCCGTCAGTCATGGTCGTGTCTCAACAGACAGCCATTCCAAGAAACCTCCCTCAGACCGTGCCAAGCTCGACGATGAAGGTGTGTCGCCCGACCATTTCGAGTTCGGTGGCTCGCTCGGCGCCTCCGCCCTGATGATCGGCTTCCCCTTGCTCATGTGGTACATGTGGGTTGGGCTCGAGTACTACGACGGACAGCTACCGCTCCCTTCGGCTGACCAGTCCTGGTCTGAATTTGTCTCGCACGTGGCGCACCTCGCATACACGGGAGCCTTCCCCTCGGCGCGGGCGTGGAAGATCTACTGGGCATTCTTCCTGATGGAGATGTTCTTCTACTACACGCTGCCCGGAGTGACAGCCTACGGCAAGGCACTGCGCCACGAGGGCGGCAAGCAGCTCAAGTACTTTTGCAACGCCTACTTCAGCTTCTACGCGACCATGCTAGTTGCCGCCACGCTTCACCTCACTGGCGTCTTCCCTCTGTACACCGTGATCGACGAGTTCGGGCCTATCATGTCGGTGGCCATTCTTTCCGGGTATATCAACAGCCTTCTCGTATATGTATCTGCCTTTGCTCGACAGCGTACGCATCGGCTCTCTGGCTATCCGATCTACGACTTCTTCATGGGCGCCGAGCTCAACCCGCGTATCGGAATCCTCGACCTCAAGATGTTTTACGAAGTACGCATCCCCTGGTTCATCCTCTTTCTCATCAGCTCGGCCGCGGCTGTGCGGCAATACGAGGACTATGGATACGTGTCTGGAGAGATCTTGTTCGTCTTGATGGCGCACTTCCTGTACGCCAATGCCTGTGCCAAGGCTGAGCAGTCAATCGTCACCAGCTGGTAAGCCTTTTCGTTACACACCTTACGCTGTGGTGTATTGACATAGTGTTGTGCAGGGACATGTACTTTGAGAAGCTAGGCTTCATGCTCACGTTCTGGAACATGGCCGGCGTCCCCTTTTCGTACTGCCACTGCGCTCTCTTCCTCGCCCGCCACCACCCCGATGAGTACCGATGGAACAAGTACGCCCTTCTGGGTCTGGCTATCGCATATGTGTTTATGTACTGGGTTTGGGATACAGCCAACGGGCAGAGGAACAGTTTCCGACAGATGGAGCGCGGGCAGTGGAAGCCGCGCAAGACCTTCCCTCAGCTGCCCTGGCAGGTCATACACAACCCCAAGACTATCGCCACCGATACGCCAGACCGCCTCCTGGTGGATGGGTGGTTCGGGCTGGCGATCAAGCCGCACTATACGGCCGACATGTTTTTCGCTGTGTCGTGGGCTCTGGTTACAGGCTTCAAGTAAGTGTCAAGATCTGTCTTATTGTTTGTGACGCAGGGAAGGACCATGCTGACGAGGAGGGCGTGATAGGAGTCCATTTCCGTGGTTCTATCCCGTGTTCTTCTGCATCATGATTATCCACCGGACCAACAGAGACTTGACCAAGTGCCGGAACAAGTACGGCGAGGCTTGGAAGGAGTATGAGAGGCAGGTTCCATACCTGTATATTCCGGTGAGTTTGCTGCTGCGATTTGAGGGCAAAATAAAGTGTGGTTTGGTGCTAATAATGTCCCAGTATGTCTTTTAAGTTGAGGAGTCAAGTCATGGACTCGTGAGGCAAGATTGCTGCGTTGTCAGACATTGACTCGGTCAGCAAGGCGAGCCATCTCGGGTGAAATTCATCACAAATACAACTGCCACTTATATCCAGACAATCTTTGTACAAAATTGCTTCTTTCTTGTAGGAATATATCGTTGCAATGAAGCAGCCGAGGATATGAGGAAATGATCAAACGTATCTTGAGGGACAGTTGTGGCCTTGACCCGGAGTTTTGAGAGGTTCAGGGGTAAATGGGAATGAGATGAGGGGTATTCCATTGCTCTATATAATAATCATTGCATCATGCCGAGCTCATTAATTTTGATTTGCATCGTGCAGAGTCTCATAACTCACGATGGTCATATTGTACAATGTTTTTTTTTGTCCTCCATACAGTGACGATCAGTCACTGCGAGGTTGTTTTACAGCCCAGCAGACGGCGGTGCTTCGCTCCCCACGCCAGACAGAATCCACGACTCTGAAGTGCTGTCAAAGTCGATCGGCCCTAGCCCAAAGTCCATCCACTGATCGTCGTCTTGGCCGTTGCCTCGGAAGTCCACAGTAATGCCGGGCATGGTCAAGAGATCGTGCTGCCCTGACGCCGATGGCCCAGACATGATGTAGGCGGCTGTGTCACCCATCATGGAAGGTCCGTCAATTTCAGGATCAATATCTTCTGTTTCTGTATCCTGTGGCTGCTGCGCTTGTGCTTTGGCAGACTCTTGTGCCGATTCTTCAAAGTCGGTCGGCGGGAAGGGCACCCCGCTCTTGACGATCCGGTCCTTGAGCATCTCGAGACTCGCGTCGAGAGCCTTCCTCGCCGCGGCCAAGATGGCCTCCTGTACGGGCAAGCCTGCGAGCATGCCGTTCACCTGACCCAGGCAGCAAGAGTAGAAGCAGTACGCCTTGAAGTTGGTCTCGCCTTCCACGATGCGCTTGTGCGACAGCGCGACGATGGAGGTGACGGCCTTGTACAGGTCCTTCTGCGACAGGGTCATGGAGCCGTCGAACCCGAGCAGCGACGGGTCCTCCTGCAGCTGCTGGATCGCCTCAAAGGTCACGGTCGTGCACGTGTCGAGCAGCACGCACTTGAACAGGCCCCTGCCGTGGATGCGCATCAGGTCGAGGTCGTCCTGCGCCGGGCCCGGCGAGGCCACGGCGGCCATCTCGTCGCCCTGCTGCCCGATCCGGCCGAGCAGGTTGGCGTCGCCGGTGAGGATGGCGACGATCTGCAGCGCCGAGTCGAGGTGCATGCGGCGCGAGTAGTAGTACTGCACGTGGACGAGCGACTTGCGCGCCCAGGGCGCGTGCAGCGAGTGGAAGAAGCGCCGCGTCAGGATGTCGATGAGCTGCACCTGGAACGCGGAGGGCTTCCGGTGGTCAGGTCCGCCCAGCCCCACGTTGCGGCCCATGGACTCGAGCAGGGCCGACGCCGTGCGGCAGCAGCTGCTCAGCTCGCGGCTCAGCCGCAGCGCCTCATTGTACGACTGGTCCACCACCAGGCCGTTGAGGAACTTGGCGATGCGGAGGCGCAGCGGCAGCGAGCGCAGCAGCAGGCGCTGGCACGAGGTCTGCGTGAGGACGGTGTCGGGCAGCGGCGGCTCGAGCATGGACTTGCCGCCGTCGGGGGACATCTGCTCGTCGTTGATGTTGGACGGCGGGCCGCAGTCGAAGTCGTCCGGGCTGATGAGGGGCGGCATGCCCGAGTCGAGGCTCGCCTGGACGACAAACTCGAGGATCGTGGCCCACAGACGGCGCCGCATCTCGATCTCGTACTGCGTGAGCCCGGCGAAGAGGCCCGGGTCGCGGTGCAGGCCCATGGTGAAGGCGGTGTGCATCAGCGAGCCCGCCGAGATCCACACGATATCGTCGCCGTACTCTACCGCGCTCGTCTGCCGGGACAGGAGGACGAGGCAGTACACCTGGATCATGTCCAGAGTCAGGGCGTGCTTGCTGATGGCGGCGCCCTGCCACGCGTGCGCCTTGACGATGGCGCGGCAGGCGGCGATCCGCAGGGTCTCCTTCAGGCCTCCCGGCTCGTTGTCGTAGGTGCAGCTGCCGATGGCGAGGACGATGAGGAATTTGGTCATGAAGACCTCGGTGGCCTGGTTCGGATCCTCCCAGTAGCGTTCGCACTCGTCCAGGAAGGTGGGAATGTGAAGGATGCGAAAGACGGCCTCAAAGGTGCGCAAGTAGGTTTGAACCAGCCGGTCTGCCACGTCCCGAGGGGGTATTGCGGCAGTGAAGTCCGGGAGCTCACTAGAGCTGGCCGGGTTTACAGACTCGAGGTGACGTGCCTTGAGGGCCTTGGACAGGATTTTACATTGCCGTAGCTGCTTGTGAAGGCTCGAATCTGACAGGAAGAATATCTGATAGTTGACATGATGGACTTTCCTGAACTGGTTGGCAGATCAAATTAGAAATGTGACTGTGGCAAGTGTGAATAAAAGGGGATTTCTGTCGTCTTACCTGATCTACAAGATTATTGGCCCAGTGGCTTTGTCCAAAGAGCCGCGTCTTACACACGCGGCCGCTGAGCCTGGGATAATATGTCCCCATCAGACCTTGCATCCTCTCGATCTCGTGGGCCGAGGCCGCCTCGTCATCCACATCTTCATACTCGTCACCCTCGTACTCCTGAGGCGACGGACGAGGCTGGAGTGCACTACCGTTCTTGGCAAAAGATCGGGTCGTGCGGGAGTCTTCTGCAGATGCGCCGTTGGCCGAACGGGTAGACGTGCCGGCCGGAGAGGTGGCCGCCGAGACCTTTCTGGGGCCGCCGGCTGCGGTAGCGCGGGGAACATTGCCATTGGCTGTGGGCCCGTACACGCAGTCCGCGCCGTGCAGCGTGCACTGCCCGCACGGCAGCTTGCGGTCGCAGGCGATCTTGCGCCGGCGGCACTCGGTGCAGACGACGGCGGGCCTACGCCGCCGGCGGACGGGCCTGTCCGCGGAGAACTGCTGGTGCGGACCGGAGCTCGTCATCTTTTGCCCAGGGAGGTGCTTCTCTTCTATCTGGAAGTATCCAAGGGCTTTAGGCTCTAGCGGAAAGGCATGGCAATGTTAAAAGAGTCTTTTTGATCATGGTTGCGCGTTGCATAAGCCAAGGCAGGGCCAGGCAGGGATGACGCATCACTAGCCAATGTGCGAATTTCCCGAGCTCGGAGTTAAGGGGGGGGATTATCAGATGATCTGATAAGATTAGATGGCGCTGGACGGGAGGGGGAGCTGAGAAAGCTCTCGTACTTCGTATGTACGAACTCGTCCCTGATGGAGGGTGCCTAAATAGCGCGCTAAGAAGCAATGGAAAGATGGCGAGGCCGAAAACGGAGGGCCACTGCAATACTTTTGGGTGGACTGGCGATGTAATTCTCCCGCAAGCATCGTATCCACATCGCCATGCGAAATACGGTAAATACGAAAGAGTCCTACGAGGTGCTTGTGCATTAAATCCTGAGCAATGTGAATGACTATTCGAAATGTTCGATATCTCGTGCCAAGTTCAAGTCTGAGGTGCCGCCAAGTCATCGTACATAACATACAGTGCCATCTACATATCTTGCCTGTAGTCTAATCTGCCGTGATTATTACAAAAGGTGTATCATGAATAAAAACGCAAACGCCCTTGACTCTTGCCCTTGATACATTTTCAAGCCTCCTGGGGATCCCACTTGGCACCCATCATGCCCCAAACCTTCTTTACCTCCATGTCCTCGGGAGTCCCGCCCACAGTAAGCAGGATATCTTTGCCCTTGCTGTCGGGGATGTACATCAAGCTCGTTTCCTGTCAGAAGCCCAGGTGTGTCAGTGGGTGGCTCCTCTACGTGCACGTGTGGTACAGGCAACTTCACATCATGAAGGGAGATTCGAAAGAGAAATCAAGTGGTCGCTCACCTTGCCGAGAGTCAGCTTAATGGAGCCTTCGACGTCATTGGGGACATAATTGCGCTCGGGCTTGTTGTTTATACGCGCAATGATGTTGTATTGTGCAACCGCAGCCTGGAAGAATGCCGCGCGAGCCATCTTGCTGCCGCCTGTTCGTGCCACGTCGCCAACTGCATATATGTTCTGCGGGCCCTTGCCGTCGCCACACATGACCTGCAAGGTAGGCTTGACGAGGATCTCTTTGGTGTCTTTGGCAATGGCCTCGGGGCTGTAGTTCTCTATGAGCAGTGAGTTGGGTTTCTGGCCTGTGGCAGGAATCTGTAGTACGACGATCAGTGCCGTGGTTCAATCTGTGATCAGCGGAGGACTATATCAAGACTCACAATGTAGTCGTAGGTGCTCTCGTGTCCGTCAGCAAACTTGAGAGTTCCGCCGACCCCTGCCGAGATGATCTCGGGCCGCTGCTCCAGCATGAGCTCGACGCCGATCTTCTTGATCGGCTCCAGCGAGGCGTCGTTCAGCCTCTTGCCAAAGTGGTTGAGGAGCTGCGCGCGCGAGTGGATGAGCGTGACCTCCTTCTCCGGGTACCAGCTCTTGATGTCCGTCGAGACCTCCACGCCGACCGGACCGCCTCCGACCACGGCGATGCTCTTGGCGTTCTTGACCTTGTCCTGCAGGTCTCGCAGCTCGGCGCACCCAGCCGCCTTCTCTGTCGCGTGAAGATGGCTCGGAGGAGCCTGGTAGGTCCCCGTTGCCATGACGAGGTAGTCGTACGGGACCGCCTTTCCGTCCGCCAGCCGCACCTCCGACTCGGTGATTTCGGTCACCAGACCTTGGACCTGTTCGAAGATACCGTCGGGCCCAGCCTTCTGCAGCATGTCGTAAGGGATGAACGCCTTGTGCTCGTGGCCGGGAATGACGGAGAAGCGCGGGAAGGCGAAGAGGTGGTGCAGGTGCGAGTTGGGCTCGACGAGGACGACGCGCCAGTCCGTGGGGAGGGACTGGCAGAGGCGTCGGACCACCTCGATGCCGGCGAAGGAGCCGCCCACGACGACGACGGTGCGGCACACTGCGACTGGCTTGGCCTTGTAGGTGTAGCTGTGGATGATGGCGCGGATCTTGAAGCCGATGTTGATGGCGATGATGTGTCCGAAGAAGGCCAGGGTCTTGCCCGTCAGGCGCAGGATTTCGCCTGCTGGAGGCATTGTGGCCGAAGTGGTCGTCTAACAGTACTGTGAAAGAGCAGAGAGGGTGAGGTTGATGGAGATTCTGTCTTGGAATAATCCAGCCTACGCCAAACACTTGACATATAAACACTTGACACATAAAGATGAAAGAGTGCTGGGAATCCAAGGCTAATGTGCTCGGGTCATTCTTGGATCCGGGGATGTGAGTTCAAATATGAGGACCTGGCTGGCTACTTAGTACCTACTTTGGCAACAAATGTACGGGGCGGACACCGAAATGTCGGCCGGGCGGGCTTGATATGCCGTCCGAAGACGGCGGCCCTAAGGGGATGCCCCCTACTTCATAAGCGAGCGGTTTGGAAGCAGGGTGGTCTCGTTACGCGGAAGGGAACGAATTCGGTTATCTAATGAAAAGTGCTTGGCTCTCCGAAGGTCTGAGTTCACCGTGGGTCTCCGAGCTCTGTTAACTCCGTGCAGTCGGTAAATTCGCTCATTGGCTTCCCGCCTCCGTGAAGCGAAGTGCGAGACTCCCAGAAGGCTGGCCTTTTGAAGGGCATTGCTTTCATGCCGTTGTCATCCGTCAAGTGATATATCTTAAGACTGGGAGCCGGGACAGAACTTGTGAATTTCTAATACCACCAATAAACCTTCACTCTGAGTGATTGGAGGGTGCATTGCACGCGACACTGTCTGCTTGCCTGCTACTACTCCTTCTCTCGGTCAAAAATGGGATTCGATATCATGGACTTGCTTGTTTCCCTGTGGTGTTTTACCCACTTGCTCCTGGAAAGGCGGCGGCACTCACCGCCCTCCCTGAAGCACTTTTGGTAGCAGAATCAGTGACTCTACCTGCTACCGTTATCGAAGAAGAGGAACCGCAACATCAAGGACCCAGATCTCGGATCTTTCGAGCCGGAATTGAAGCCTAGGATTGCGCAGGACCGGGATAGCGATACGGTACGATACAGCACCGCGTTGCGCGACTGGTTTGTTCGGATCACTGTGTGGGTGCGGGTGCGGGTGCGGGAATGATTCAGGCTGCCGGGCAGTCAGGCACAAGCGCCAGATCTGCAGGTAATCTCATGTGTCTACCTACTAGGTAGGTACCTCCTTGTCTTATTCCAGACCAGCCAGAGCAACCTGGAAAGATAACAGAGGGATTGCTGCCTGCCGACAGGCGTCGTGACTAACCGGCAGTCGCCGCTGAGGAGGATCGAGGCCGCCACCTTTCCAGGATGTTCAGCGTGCTAGGATGGGGGATTATGCGCCACTACGGTTGCCGCCTTGACGCCTTCAGCTTGAAACCCCACTCGTGCACTCCTGCCAGCGCAATCCGCACAAGTCGTGGGGAAAGAAACAGCATTTCCCTCTGCCTAACTCCTGATAGCATGCAGGCAAGTCCGGGATGCTGCTGACGGTGATGCAATGGTGCGCATTGATTGGCAATGGCCCAGTGGCTGATGGCAGTGAGACCCGGGGAAGGATCCGCCTGGCGGGGACGCGCACGCCGGTGTTGACTCACTGGCCGGGCGTACTGGACAAACGAGCAAACAGCCGGCGCTGCATGGACCAGGAAATGCATGGCCGCAGGCAGCAGTTGCCTGTCGAGCGAGTGCAGGATATAAGTATCAGGCTCTCGGAATGCATCAGGGTTGTGGTGGGAGCAATCAATTTATCGTCTCACTTTATCATCTCCCTCATCTACTCAACTCTCTCTTCTCCGCGTTGAAGACCAATGCTGGAGACAACCGCATCCTAGCTTCTTTTATTTCTGCCGCATTCACAATGGGGTTCAGCGTATTGAACGGCGACTCTACGAGTCGCGAGACTGCCAACGGTGATGCCGCTAATGGCCACGCTGTCAACGGTGATGGCCACGCTGAGAATGGCGATGCCGTCGCCACTGACCTTGACGGCACCAACGGCGACGACTCTGATGGTGACTGGAAAACAGACACCACTGGCACCAGCACCACGGAGACAAAGGAGGAGACAAAGGATGAGACAAAGTCGGACGAGCCGGTCGGCTCCGTCAGCACCGTCAAGAATCTATACAAAGGCCCCGAAGATGACGACGGTGACTGGACCTGGGTCGACCGGTATCCCGAGGACGTGGAGGAGGCTGCCGAGAACGAGGAGACTAAGAAGTTCGCCCTCATCGTGCGCAACAAGAAAAGCAACGACAGCCGCAAGACCCTCGAAGCCGACTCGATCATCATCCAGAGCCCTTGGCTGAGGAAGGCGCTGGCCGCCATCCTTGCCGACTACACCGGTGTGTCCTGCGAGCTGGAGCGGCTGGAGTTCGACGCGCCCTTCGAGCCCTTTGTGCACCGCTGGGCCGAGTACACCAAGTACATGCAGCGCTCTGACCTCGACGACAAGACCAAGGAGCACTTGGTCCTGCTGCACGACATCCTCAAGTATGAGATTGGCGACAACCTCAAGGCATTCGAAGATTACGTGCTCAACGGCGTCATTACCTTCGACCACCTCTGGATGATCTTCCAGCCCGGCGCCGTCGTGCTCTCGATGCACGATGACCACGAGGGCGGTACCATCTCGGCCTTTGAGCTCAAGGAGACTGATTACCGCGAGAACAGCATGGAGATGAAGATCTTTGCTCTGACCTGCGACTGCGTGGACTGGGACGGGAGGAATTTTGGCCGCTCAGAAGTCGAGATAGAGATAGGTCTCTTCATCGGCACCAAGAGCATCACGCAGCTCTTTGCCTACCCCCTCGTGTTCCACAAGGACAAGGAAGGCGTGCAGAAGAAGCTCGAGGCCCGAGGCAAGATGTTCGAGGACATGGCCGGTATTCATTACAAGAACTACACCGGGGCGGCCATGGGCTGGGACTGCCGAGGCAACCCGATCCCCATTCAGTGCGACGGCCGTATCATTCTCGATGCCCAGGCGTTCACCCGCTGGAGTCCTTATAGCTTCTACGTCAGTAGTGATTGGACGGCCAAGGATATCGAGATGATGGAAAACTATCAGAAGGAGCAGGGTATCGTGGTGGACGAGAACACCAAGAGCACAACCAAGAAGCTGACCCCATACCACCACATGATTGCCAAGTCCAGGGGCCGTGGCTACTCGTTCAGGCTGAAGATCTGGCTCAGCTTCTACTTTGACCAGATCTCCGACATCACCTGGGACGAGGGTGCCTTCGACAAGCTCGTCCTTCCTGCTGACCAGAAGGAGCTGATCCACGCCATCTCAGAGTCTCAGCTTTCCAGCAGCTCAGCCGCAGCCTTTGACGACGTCATTTCCGGCAAGGGCCGCGGCTTCATCTGCCTGCTCTCGGGTCCTCCTGGCGTGGGCAAGACGTTGACAGCTGAGGCCGTTGCGGAGGACCTGCGCGTCCCGCTGCACACGCTGAGCTCGGGCGACCTTGGTTCCGACCCCGAGAGGCTCGACAAGCAGCTGAGGAGCGTGCTCGAGATGGTCGCCCGGTGGAAGGCCGTCCTGCTCCTCGACGAGTGCGACGTCTTCCTCGAGGCCAGGACGCCGCACGACCTGGAGCGCAACAAGGTCGTGTCCATCTTCCTGCGCACGCTCGAGTACTACGAGGGCATCCTCTTCATGACGACCAACCGCGTGGGCAACATCGACGCCGCCTTCCAGTCGCGCATCCACGTCTCGTTCGAGTACCCGGGGCTCACCAACGCCTCGCGCCAGACCATCTGGCGCAACTTCCTCGACCGCGCGGGGCGCAACACAGACGTCTCGGACGCGCAGGTCGAGGTCCTGGCCCGGCTCGACCTCAACGGCCGCCAGATCAAGAACGTGCTCAAGACGGCGTCGCTGCTGGCCTCGAGGAAGAACACGACCCTGAAGCGGGAGCACATCGACACTATCCTTGCCATCCAAAAGCACAGCCCTCTGATGCAGGCCTCGCATATTTATTTGTAAACATCTTTCTTGCAAGATTTGGGTTTCCCGGTTTGGGGCGCAGCGATGTTATGGGATGGGATTGTTAGAGTACAGGATAATAGCATACCCGGAGCGTTTTATGTTTTAGCCCACTATCAATGTTTATGACAACATCTTTAGTTACCCTGGATCACCAGCAGTCAGCAACTCAATGAGAAATGAATACACATTGATGGCCTGCATAGTCTCCATGCCGGCCCCGCTGTTCTTGGTTAGGGCATGCCAAGCCCGGCCGATCCACCCATTACATGACCAGCCAGGCATGTTGTCTCTTCGCTGTGCCGCTGTTAGATCTGAACTACATCCTGTTCAACGCGAGAAGCTACCTGCGACAGGCATCTCTTTGCTTTTTGTCAAGCACTCGCCTTCTTTCAAGTATTCCAAAGATTGCTGATTTTCCCTCAGACAAAGATGGGGGATCATGATCTGGATCTCAAGGACACAAGTCACATCCCCGTGGAGCCGGCGCCGCTTCGGCCAAGACGGAGACAAGGCAAAGATGTAGAGCGCCACGCCTGCAATATCTGCCGGGAGCGCAAAGTTCGCTGTGACAGGGCTTTCCCCAAATGTGGCCGCTGTATACGCCTTCGAGAGGACTGCAGCTACGATAGCTGGACTCCTGGTACCGCTCTAAGCCAATCCGCCATGGCTCGTCAGTTGGCCGAGCTACAGCAAAGACTTGGTGAGTTAACGACGTGGTCTTGTATAAAGACAGCGGACTGATCGTTTTGACACAGCCAAGGCTGAAGCGCTGCTTGCTGCGGCCGCGGTCGGTCCAGGTGCTCAAGCAAGTACCGAGGCAGCTCCAGTCGACCCTTTTCGGCCTGACCTTCTGGGCTCGCAGCCTGTCCTACGTGTCGGAGATCCAGTCGCCCACGATCCTCTAACTCAGCCATTTGGAGGCTTTGGGGATATCTCCACCGATATGGGGCTGGATATGGACTCGTTTGTCGACTTTGATAGCGCTCTGAACTTCGCCGGCGCTGATCTTGGTACCCTGTGAGCAGGCATGGCTGCTATACCGTTCCATGTGGATTATTACTCACTATACTCTCCCAGAAATCCTGAGATATTTGTATCCCACGCAGGGCTCGATGCATTTGCAAAAGAGAATGGTGTTCAGAGAGAGGTGCCATCCCCTTTACCACCAAGTACTCATAGCAGTAATGCGAACCCCCTCTCTCCAGAAGAACTTAGTCGGCTGTGAGTAGATTTGCGAGATCACATTGTCATGGTCCGTATTTTGCTGATGCACCCAGTTATGATATCTATTTCGACACTCTGCACCCGTCTCTGCCCTTTCTCAGCCGTCGACGGTTTTCCGCTGCGCTGCTGGCCTCCCCCTCATCATACGCCCTACATAGCTTGAGCTACGCAGTCGCACTGCTAGGCACGACCATGTCCGCACATCACAGAAGCTCACAGAAGAGCTGCTACCAGCTCGCACGGAGATACTTTGACCTGTGCGAACAGGACGAACAGAGTGGCGACTTGGCTAGTATCGATTCCTTCCAGGCGTTGATCCTCATCGTCAGATACGAGATCATGGGGCAGCGGCTAGAGCGGGCCTGGATCACGATAGGCAGAGCTATCAGGCTGGCCAAGATGCTGGATCTTCATCAGATTGATGGAGACCCCTCCGAAGTATCCGAGTTGGACCTGCAGCTAGCACTTCCACCGACGAGCGATCCAGCACTGTTGGAAGAAAGGCGGCGGTCCTTCTGGACCCTGTACGTCTTGGAGAGCTATGTCAGTACCCGTACTGGGATGCAGTGTCATCTGGGTGAACCGAGCGTAGGTGTCATTCTCCTTTGCAACATGCGTAGACTAATCCTTGGACAGACTTTCTCAGTCAGACTGACATCGTCTGGTCATATCGACTCATTAAGAGATGATAGACCAATGCCCTTCTTTGACGATGTCATCCGCAGTCCGGATACTTTGAGCGTAACGTCATTCGCCGGCTGCATTTTCATGATAGAGCTTGCGTTGAGATGCTTCGAGCACTCCCGGAACAAGGGCAAGGGCACTGCCCAGATGGGCTTCTGGGATCGTCAGTATGCTCTGGTCAAGGATGTAGCCGAGCGAACCAAGCTCCTTGCCAGGTACTTTGACCTCTCCGCCATAGAGACGGATCCCGTCGCGCTGTCCGTCTGCATGAACATGTGCGCACTGGAGATACACCTCCACGAGACGGCCGTCCAAGAAGTCGAGAGGCAGAAACTACCAGCGAGCATGGCGTTGGAGAGCCAGCAACAGTGCACGCGAGCTGCGGAGAAGGTATTCCAAGTCACGCAGCACATGTTACCTCGCCGAGGATCACAGGTGAGGCCCATACACCTCACTTCTTATCATGGACGTGTGCTAATTGGCTATATGTTCTTCCAGGGTGACTACCTCCATTTACAATCGACATTTGTCGCCTGGCCGATCTCTATGGCCATCAAGGTCTTGGGGCGAGACGGCCCCTTACAACAACAGCATGCCGAGCAGAAGAGCCTTATCGACAAGCTGGTCGTGTTGGTGAATGGACTCGACAGGGTTGAGGCTCAAGAAGGATACTGGCATGCTACAGTGCAAGACGTGGTGGCAGAAGTCTCTTGGAGGGCCCAGTGACAACCCAGTGTAGATGGAAATCGATACATTTTGGATGATCCGCATTCCCTCTCATCCCATATAGAACACGAAGCCACGCTAGCTATGCAAAGAGTCAAACACGACGTCGAGCCTCCCCTCCAGCACCCTGTCCACGGCCTGCTTGATGGGCCGCGCGACAGCAGCGTCGTGCAGCAGGATCCCTAGCTCCTGGCTGGTGAACCAGCTCGCGCGGTCCATGTTCCCGGACCCGAGGAGCGCGAACTCGTCGTCTACAACCGTGAGCTTGAGATGCGACTGCACAGGCTCCTCTGCCCGGCGGCCCTGCTCGACGTCCGACGACGCCCGGCGGCTCTTGGCCGCGGCCAGGAGCGGCCGGTAGTAGTAGATCGCCAGGCGCCCGCAGCCGGCGTCGCTCTCGCCCTCGACGGCCCTCGCCGCGCCGGGCAGGGCCATGTAGCGCCTGACGAAGCCGCCGACGCACCGCGGTGTCGTCGTCCCGGCGGTGACCAGCTGCTCAAGCCACATCATGCTGCGGCCCGTGACGACCGTCACGCTCACGCGGCGCTGCAGGGCGCGCAGGAGGCTGGCGACGACCGCCTCGCTGGTCAGGTTGGGCGTCTGGACGTAGATGCTGTGGCGGGCCGAGGAGAACAGCTCGAGGCTGGCGATGTTGAGCGGCGTGGGCGGCGGGATGGGGTGGGACTGCCATGGGAAAGGGTGGAACTGCGGGTTCTGATGGTGTGAAGATGGGATGATCATCGTTGTCACTCCGGCTTTCTGCAGGAGGATAGACGTGTCGACTGTGCTCTCGATGGCGCGCACCGTCGACTCATCTGTCGACTCATCTGGAAGTTCGCCTTGGTTGCCCCCTTCATCATCATCATCTGTGTCGGAATTCTTGCTCACGCTGTCCGCTCCAGCGTCACCAGGCAGGGTTCCCGCTGAGCCTTGTGTCGGGTCTGCTGTCCTGTCCCACGTCCTCGAGTAGAATTCCAAGAGCCCAGTGATGGCATTCGCCCCCGACAGTTCGATGCAGCCCTCCAGCCATGGTTCCCAGCTCACGTTGCAGCTGGGGACGAACGCCCGCTGCCTGTCTACAATGACAAACTTGGGATGCATCACGCTGACGGGGAAGAAGAAGAGACTCTTGACGGTCAGATCAATACCAGCGGCCTGGAGGACGTCGTGCGCAGGGAGCCCGAGAGTCGCGGGCCAGCTTTCCGGAGGGTAGACGTAACCGTCCGGCGACCAGGTGTGAAACAGCCGCTGGAAGAAGCTCCGCGAGGAAAAGCAGACGCGGATCCTCAGACGAGGCAGATCTGTCGTCGACCGTCGGCGACGGGCGGCGAGCTGGAGCAGAGTGTCGCGCAGCGCTGCCAGCGTGTCGGACTGGGCCCAGAAGCAAGTGACGAGGATCACCTCGTGGCGCGCAGACAGGATGGCGGGCAGGATCTTGCGCGTGTAGATGGACGCTCCCGTGCCGAGGTGGAAACCGCGCACTGTGCTGTGGCAGGCCAGCGACTCCAGCTCGCCCTCGTCATCGTAGTCGTAGTGCGGCAGCTCCTGCGTGGCTCGAGAGCCGCGCCATCCATCGGCGCGGAGCCGGTCGGTCACGTCGCGGACGAAGGTGTCGGGGGATGGCGGTGAGGGTGTCATGCTCTTGCCTCGCCCGGAGCTGCGGATTCCTCCGCGAGCAGGATGACAATGACAGTAGCAGTTGCGGTTTGCGAACTTGCACTAGATACTCAGGCCAAAAGTAGAAACTTCTGGTGAGTTTCACTTGCTATGGCATGGTCTGGAGAGAGTCGAGGAAGGATGTCGTCACATCAAGGTTGAGCTGCGAGAGGGTAGCGAGATGAGCGTTGAATCTCAGCGCAAAGTCAGCGCTTGAGGCTTGGGCCGCCCCTACGTCAGGCGGGCTGGGGTTTACAGGCGGCCATCCCAGTGGGGCCATGAAGTGCTGGACCAGGGTGTTGAGCGCCAAGGAGCCCCCGAATTGACCCCTTAGCGCGCTCAGTCCAACACATCCATGAATGGATGGAAGTGGTGGTCTGAACAGCAAGGCCTCGAGGATCTCGACGATGCATAGAGATAACCTTGCAATAGCCCCCAGCCATTTACTGAGCATACAATACATTGCTTATCTCTTTCATGGCTTTTACGAGAGCACAGTATCAGGGAAGCAAGACGCCGTTCGTTCCTCTGAATAGCACAGTACCCACCGAACCGACGGACCAATCATCGAGAGCGCTCGGCCGACGTGCTCCGTGGGGAGCAGCACCGGTTCTATTCCGGCCGGAGATCACCACTCCAAACAACACATCATCCGCGACTGGCACCGGGCGGTCGGCCGAGCTGCAGTGATATAAAACTCCAGAACTTGTTACTCTCATTTACCACTATGAAGTGCTTGCTAGTGCAAACAGAACATTACCCTGGAACACAGTTTCCAGTTCCTAATACGACAGTCACCTCGTTTCAGTGCTTTGCAATATATATACCACCACTTTCCTCACCAGGTTCCCACAAGACGCCATCATGCCTGCAGTGGAAATTGAGCGTACCGGAGCCGGCGATTTGGAGGGCTCTAAGAGCTATGATTCTCGCCCAGACGAAGAATCCAACATGGATGTTGCCAAGCACATTGATTCTTCTCGAACTATTCATGGATGGAAGGTATCCAAAAAGCTTGTCCTTCAAAGAGTTGCCGTGTTAGCTAACAATCCTGGAAGTGGGTTGCCGCGTACACTGCCATGCTGTCGACGACCTTTCTTTTCTCCCTCGACAATACCATTGTACGTGAATTCCGCGCCAAGGTTATCCTCTACCACGAGCTAAGAATACCCATCCCTCCCATCAGGTAGCAGACATCCAACCCTCCATCATCCACTCCTTTGGCGCAATCGATCTCCTGCCATGGGTGGGCACAGGCTTCGCCCTCGGAACCATGACGATCCTGCCTTGGGGCAAGGCCTACGGAGTCTTCAACATCAAGCCTATTTATCTAGCCAACATCCTCCTCTTCGAGGTCGGGAGTGCCTTGTGCGGGGCAGCCCCGAACATGACTGCGCTCATTGTCGGCCGAGTCATCGCAGGAGTCGGCGGCTCCGGCATGTACGCAGGCACACTGACGTACATCTCGGTCCTCACCAATATGCGGGAGAGGGCTGCATACATGGCAGGCAGCACAGTTGTATGGGGCGTGGGAAGTGTGCTTGGTCCCGTGGTGCGTCTCTCTCTCCCCCTCTTCTTATTTGACATTGCGTACTGATTCAGCTAGGTCGGTGGTGCATTTGCTGTGAGTTCAGCGACGTGGAGATGGGTATGTTGTGCGATTGCTCGTCCTCTATCTCTAGCCAAGTTTAACAACTTCGGCAGGGTTTTTACATCAACCTCGTTGTCGGAGCCGTCTTCGCGCCTGCGTACATTCTCCTCTTCCCTTCGGTTGATCCGCAGATGGGCAGAACCTTAAGAGAGAAAGCCAGATTGATGGACTGGCCTACTAGTTTCACCTTCGTTGGCGGAGCGGCATGTTTGGTATCAGCAATATCGTTTGGAGGTACTGTGTATGACTGGAACTCCGCAACATTGGTTGCGCTATGGGTAGTGACGGGAGTACTTCTTGTGGCTACTACCCTGCTCTTGACATTTCATCCGGGAGTTTCAAAGGAGCACAGGCTCTATCCTGTCCATTTCCTCAGAAAGCCTCTTTTGATGAATATGCAGCTTCAAGTCTTTCTTGCCGGTGGCATTGTGCTGGTATGTTTTCAGACTCATAGTTTCGTGGCGATGGCTCTACTGACACTCGGAATCAGAGCATCACTTATTACATCCCCTTGTTCTTCCAATTCATCCGGGTAAGCTACTCGCATGGTTATACCCGTGGCACAGGCTTACAATGCGGCAGGGAGATGGACCTCTTGATGCTGGAGTCCGACTATTGCCGCTCATCGTCGGTCTGGTCGTAGTCTCTATGGTCAATGGGCTTCTCATGCCGAGGTGGTCCTTCGTTGCACCCTGGTACTTCTTTGGGAGTGGTCTCGTGCTCACTGGAACATGCCTGATGTGTAAGTCGTGCCCTGCTGAGCAGACCAAGTTGCAGGCGTGTCTCTAATCTCAGCAGACACTGTTCATTATGACACCCCCATAGCCAAGATATATGGCTACACAGTCTTGATCGGTGTTGGAGCTGGTTGCTACATTGTTGCCGGGTTTTCGGTGATCCAGTCCCTTGTTCCCCCTTCTGACATTGCGAACGCAGTCGGGGTGATGGCGATTGGTAAGCTACACCTCAGGCTGTTGGGATTATTCTATCGTTGATGTCAGCTCATACCTTTCTCCTAGCCCAAAACCTCGGCATGGTTCTGTTCCTAGCCATAGCTGGATCAGTGTACCAAAACACGGCACTAAACCGAGTGCTCGGAGTGTTGCCAGAGCGTTCACGAGCGGAGATCACCGAGCTGATCGCTGGAGCGAGCAGTGACGCCTTCAAACGGTTGTCAGAGAGCGAGAAGAACATCGTCATTCCACAGATTACCAGCGCCATGGGCAACGTCTGGCTCTTGTTCCTTGTGGCTGGGGCATTGAGCTTTGTTGCGAGTCTGGGTATCGGTGTGCGTGAGAGTACCTCCCCGTGCTGGCAGAATTGATACTAAACTGAGCCCTAGAGACTTCGCCTCCGCGCTTCAGAGCAAACGAGCTCCTCTGGTCTTAAATCTTAGTCTATGCCCGGGCTTAAGGGAAGGACTCTGTGCGACTGGCAAAGCAGCTGATTACTAACGGCAATTTCTACAGGTCCGCTTCAAGGTGGCATGCAGGTACATGTGCATCATACCTAGTGTGGAGTGCATGTAGGCTGCGGATCGGCCAGCTATAGGAGAAAAGAAGTGGATTCCGGGGGCGGGAGGTCCTAGGATCCCAGCCTGGGTAATGTCATCGGGATCTTGGATAAACGCCCCAATGATCAAAGCTTGTAGCTTTTGATATAGCCGGCTAGTATTACACAATCTCCCCAGGTCCCGTACCCAGTTCGGAGACTCCGCATATAAAGACTAAAATGCCTACACCACACTGAGGAGGCCAATCCTACTTGGCTCGTGTGAATAGAGTTCAGAAAGGCAACTTGGGCCTGGTAAACATGGTCTTTCTTCGAAATATGTTGCCTTCGGCAGCTTTTGTCCAGGTCGGACTACTGCTCTTGTCCGCATGCGTCCAATCGGCACCGGCGAGCTCGGGACTCGCTGTCGACACTCGCCAAGCCGGCGACGATGGACACTGGGTTGCTACGTGGACCTCAATGCCACAGCTGGTAGAGCCAGACAACATGCCGCCTGTACCCTTCGTAAGTCACACGTGGTGTCAAAACTCAACCAGTGCAGAGACAAGCTAACATCTTTGAAGAGAGGCGGCACGACACTCAAGGACGCCACCCTCCGGCAGACACTACACATGTCCATCGGCGCCCCCCGTATCCGCGTCCAGATCTCGAACACCTTTGGCGGCTCCGACCTCCCCATCACCGCGGCCTCGCTCGCGCTGCCGACGGGCGGCAAGGCCGGCGTCGGCGGCATCGACACCTCGACGCTGACGGCGCTGACGTTCGACGGCGGCAAGGCGTCGACGACTGTCCCGAGGGGCAAGGTGGTCTACTCGGACCCCGTCGACTTCAAGGTCGCGCCCGAGTCCATGCTCACCGTCAGCCTGTACTCGCAGGCGGGGCAGCAGGGAAGCAGCATCACGGGCCACCCGGGCAGCAGGACCACGAGCTGGATGCAGCAGGGCAACCACGTCAACGCGTCGAGCGTGGCGGGCACGAGCACCAAGCACTGGTACTGGGTCAGCGTCGTGGAGGCATGGGCGCCGCTGGACAGCAGCGCGTTTGTCATTCTGGGCGACAGCATCACCGACGGGCGGGGGAGCATCGACGACGCGAATAACCGGTAAGGATCCATCACCACCCCCCTTTTTCTCCTTTTTCCCCATATATATCAATATACATTCCATGCAACGAACATTGCTAAAAAAAGACTGGACGGAAAGCTGGCCCGACCTCCTCCTCGCCCGCATGCAAAAGTCCCCCGCGACGGCCAAGATCGGCGTCAACAACCAGGCCGCCGGCGGCAACCGCGTGCTGCAGGACGGCCTGGGCCCCTCGCTCGTGAGCCGGTACAAGCGCGACGCCATTGGGCAGCAGGGCGTGAAGTGGGTCATGGTCTTCGAGGGCGTCAACGACATCGGCACGGCCGGCGCGGACGCGGGCTCGCAGTCGCGCGTCGGGGACCAGCTGATCGCCGCCCTGAAGCGCATCGCGGCCGACTGCAGGGCCGCCGGCTTGCGGGTGTTCGCCGCGACCATCACGCCGTTTGGCGGCAGCGGGCAGAGCTACTCCAGCCCCGTGCGGGAGCAGACGCGGCAGAAGGTCAACCAGTGGATCCTGACGAGCGGGACGTTTGACGCCGTCGTCGACTTTGGCAAGATGCTCGGCAGCGGCGGGTCGGCGACGAGCAGCCAGCTGGCGAGCCAGTACGATGGAGGGGATCACCTGCATCCCAACGTGGCGGGCTACCAGCACCTGGCGGACCAGTTCCCTTTGGAGATCTTTGCGGGGAATAGCACGGCATCGGCATAGAGAGCGTCATGTGTATAGGTTGGTTCTTGGGAGTGGGCATAAGAAAATGATAGTGGACAGAAGTGGACCGAAGTGACCTTTTCTGTTCTTGATTACTCCTCACTCTTTTTCATCTACCGTGACAAGTCTGTATCCTGGATCTGGCACTTGGTCAAGAGATGGTCTACACCAGTGATAGACTCTGAAGGAAGTGGTATGCCACAGTCGATACAACGGCTCGGCCCGAGAGAAGCAAGGTGATGTGGGGACTCAGTGGATGGCCGTGGAGTCAAACATCAACAAGCGTATCGAATGGTAGAGGATGGCGATGGCGGAACCTGTGGAGCAAAGGCTTGATGCATATTACTGGAGATAAGGCTGAAACATCGGGGCATGAGCGCGGGGACGCTTGAGTGCCCCCGTCTGGCTCATGGTGGGCTGGTGCTGGGAGTCTATTATTATTCAGCTTGTGAAAGTGAGAGGATGTTGGCATTTCGAGCTACAGGCGCAGGGATCGCCAGTCTGCTTTCACTACACCTTCTCCACACATACAGTAGATAGCACAGGACGGCCATTTTCAATATTTACCGAGTTTGTTATTATCAAATACTAGAAAACTCAGATTGGTATCAAGAGCATTACAAAAAAGGTAGGTATACGCATCCCAACACCCGCTAATGCTCTTCCCAGAACTGCGTTCACACAGTTCACAACCGTAACAACGAGCGATGATCTATTTCGTGTTTATGTGTTTTTGCTTCCCCACATCTAGACAGCAGCAGTGACCTTCTCGGTGGGGGCCGGTGCCGTCTTGCCGTCCTTGATGCTGGTGTGGCTGCTGTGCGACTCGGCCAGGTTGTGCTCGGAGGGGGTGCGGGCGAGCTCGACGTAGTCGTAGGCGAACTCGCCGAGCTGGCCGTCGTCGAGGCCGAGCTCCTCCTCCTCGGCCGAGGCGCGCAGGCTCAGGCCGGGCACGAGGTTCATGAGGAAGAGGATGATGCAGGTCATGCCGAAGGAGTAAGAGAAGCCGGCGACGCAGTCGGCCAGCTGGTATGCGAGCTGGATGTAGTTATGGTTGAGCCAGCCGCCGGAGATGGTGGTGGAACCGTCGAGATGTGCGATGTAGTCACTGCGAGGACCCGAGTGTTAGTTACATTCCCATTGGAACAGGCTAGAAGGTGATGCTTACGCGGCGAAGAGACCAGTCAGCAGGTTGCCGACAATGCCACCGACGCAGTGCTCGGCGAAGATATCGAGGGCGTCGTCAATGCCGAGGACGAACTTGAGCTTGGTGGCAAAGTTGCACACGATACCGCCGACGACGCCGTAGATGACGGCAGCCCAGGCGGGGACGAAGCCGGAGGCGGGCGTGATGGCAACGAGGCCGGCGATGGCGCCGGAGCAGAAGCCGACGGTGGACCACTTCTTCTCCAGGCGGTAATCGAGCAGGCACCAGGTGATGCCGCCGACCGAGGCGGCCAGGTTGGTGACGAGGCAGGCCATGACGGCCCTCAGGTTGGCGGCGAGGGCGCTGCCGCCGTTGAAGCCGAACCAGCCGACCCACAGGAAGACGGTACCGAGGACGACATGAGTCACATTGTGGGGGCGGTAGGGCAGGCCGCGGACCTTGTTGTAGCCGGAGCGGCGGCCGAGCATGAGCGAGTAGGCGAGGGCGGCGGCGCCGGAGGAGATGTGGACCGGGGTGCCGCCGGCGAAGTCGAGACCGCCGAGCTTGAAGGACCAGCCGTTGGGGTTCCAGGTCCAGTAGGCGATGGGGTCGTAGACGATGGTGGCCCAGATGAAGATGAAGACGATGCAGGGGAGCATGCGGCCGCGGTCAGCGGCGGCGCCGATGGCGAGGGCAGGACTAAACAGATATTTGTTAGCCAAGATGGCATGCTGGGGAAGACTCGTTTGCGGATGGTGTAGTGTCTTACGTGATGGCCGCGAACATGCCCTGGAAGATGCAGAACAGCAGGTCGGGGACCTTGGTGCTGCCGACGCTGGGCTGGCCGAGGGTCTTCATCAGACCAAAGTTGGACAGGTCGCCGATGAAGGAGCTGCCCGTGTGGGAGAAGGCGAGCGAGTAGCCCCAGAAGAACCATTGGAAACTGACGACCGCTATACTCATCATGGACAACCAGATGAGCGCGAGGGCGGACTTGCGGCGGGCGAGGCCCGAGTAGAAGAAGCCGACGCCGGGAATCATGAGAAGGACGAGGGCGGTGGAGGTGATGATCCAGGCAAAGTCACCGGACTACCCATTGCGTATTTGTTAGTTGCGATGAGACATTTCATTGAGTGTTTGTGCGCTTTCTGAGATGGGTGCGTACCGAGTAGTAGATGTTCAAGTCCTCGGTGAGGGAGTCGCCTCCGGTGTCAGCAACACCGGTGGTGCCATTGTAGACTGTGAGGGGTCCGGCAGACATGATGGCGGATGGCGAGTCGACGCGACGCTGCTAGTGAAGGTGATGAAAGTGTCAAGAGGTGGTCTAAGACACTTTGTCTTCTCCAAGAGGGTGATCGGCAGCGACCTGGTAAAGGGGGGGCGGGATCCGCTGGATTATATGTAGGGGCGTGAGGGATTCGAGAAGCACAAAAGGAAGACTCGGACGGGGAAGGGGGAAGGGGGGTATAAGATTAAATACAAAGATCAAAGCTGCAGGGAGAAGCGCGGGATGAAACCATGAACCCAGACCCCCGGGATCTCGGCTGAGCGTGGCATGTCAGGTCGCAGTATCCGTGGTGGTTGTCGAACCAGTGACAAAGCTGAAATGTAAGGGCATTGCACAAGAGATAAGGTGATGACCAACGCAAAGTTTGTGGTGGTTATCGGGGCACCGGTCGCGGTGATAGAGTGATAGAGACAAATGTGAGAAACAGGCCAGTCTCTGGGCGTGTTAGCCTTTGTGTTGGAACCTGGGATTCCGGGACTAGGGACGAATAATCAAGGGAAAGCCACGCCAAGTCTGCGCCAAGCTCCGGGCGGGGACCCACCGTAGATAAGACGGCTCGCAAACGAATAGAGCGCCCGGATTCACTTGGGCAGACTTCCCAAAGCAGCCAAGACCCCGGCCGAGGGCTGAGCGGAAGCAGAGCGAGCCAAGCGAAAGCAAACCAGAGCAAGGATGGATGGACGCATGGAAGACACGGCGGCAGACTCTCTGCACCTCGCATCACCCCCAGGTTTCATGAAATGATGTGGCTTGCTTGCTCCGGACGTGCCGTCGTGCATGAGGATTCGAGGAAGGGTTCAAGTCCTTGTCAGCAGGCAGGCTGAGGAGAGGAGAGAACCCCTCATCATGATATCATCTCACGCAGAGCTTTACTTGTACAGATCTCATCGGGCAGTACAGTGGACCGTAGGATGAAGGATGAAGGAATAGGTACAGGACTGCTATGCTTGTACGAAGGAACCTATGAAAGGAAAAGCCAAGCCGCACCGTTGGAAGCGGAGGTGGAATGTCGAAACAGGTTAAGGAGAGTCAGCGCAGGCGCCCCATGCGCGCCATGCAGGAACTGCGTGCGCTCTCCGCGAGACACACATGCAGATGCATATACTCCCGTACCTAGGAAGATGCGAGCACCTCGCATCGGCGACGCGGCATGCCGTGGCACCTCGAAACTTACTTATACGCCATGCCCGGTCCTGAGGTCGGGTGTGTCGCACAGCGCCCTCACAGGCCCCGTTGGCAGCGTCAGCAGCACCGACCTACCTTCTCGTTCAGGCAACGTTTGGCGAGAGGCATCTCTATTCGGCGGCGGCGACACACAGGGCGCGACTTGGGAGACGACGCGCTCTCTCTCTCTCTCTCTCTCTCTCTGAGAGAAAGGCATTGTGGGATGTCTCAGGGGCCAGCAAATCCTTATCTCGGGCCTCTCTAAACGCGATTTGCCGCTCCCTCATTGGCGGGAGATAGCGCCTGGCCCGTCATTGAGAAACGCCGCGCTGTGATTGGCTGTCCGAGCGTCATCCATGCATTTCTTATCTCTGGAGCTTCCAGGGTGGGTCGTATAGGCTGTCTTGGCGCGCCGTGGCTTATCAGCCTGTTTGTCTCGCTGTGTCAGAGATAAGAAACAGCCCGACTCGACGAAAATGTCACGGCTTGAGTGAGAGTTGCAGCCTCGGGAACCAATGATCCGGACTCGACCAGCGCAGCTACGCCATAGACGAATTAACGGTATGTGAAGGCAAGATTTGAGTACCTAGGTATGAGTGCCTAGCCAGCAAATGACTACGGAGTAGGTTAATATTCGGTAGTTGACTAGTTGTAGATTGGGTTGAGATCGCTCTCGCTTCACATCGACCATGATCCCTGGCCCCGGTACATTCGCACGCCCAATGGGCAAGTCGTCTTCCATGCAGGGCTCTTCGATGTCTCACAGCAGTCCCTGCATATCGTCTGCAATGGCCATCGCCGTTCAACGCTGATATATAGCCCGTCTGCCCCCACCAACCACCCGGACCCGGTCCGCGACACGCTTGGCGAATGCTTGTCAAAGCCCTGTCGCATGGCTGGTGGGGGGATTTTCTGGCACACGCCGCCTTTCACCTCCCGAACTGAGCGGACCTACAATCTAGATGGCATGCACTCTTCCGCTGCAGGTACAAAACGTGGGGAAGAATGCCGTACTACCTTTTCTACCTTGCAGATCCATTCGATCTGATCGTCAAGCAAAATGCCATGCGTGCTGTTCTCGATGCTCTGTTGCCTGGATGAATCACGTGTGGGGCGAGCTATCTACTGGAAGCTCAGCCCCGTCAGCATCAACTGCTTGATGCCTAAAGGTCAGCTGGGCTGGACAAATTAAGGTAACCAGTACTGGAGGCTACTGGGAATATTCTCTTTCGATCCAACACCAGACATATCAACAACACTCTACCATGGCGTCCCCTCCGACACGCCTGCAGCGCACAGTCGGCGCCCTCCTCGGCGTCCACGCCGGCGACTCCCTCGGCGCCTCCCTCGAGTTCTCCACCTGGGATTCCATCCGCAAGCGGTACCCGACCGGCCTGCGCGACATCATCGGCGGCGGGCCCTTCAGCTGGTCGCCCGGCCACGCCACCGACGACACGGACCTCACCCGCGCCGTCCTGCTCGCCTACCTGGACGTCCGTCGCCGCGGGGCGGCCGGCGAGGAGGAGGAGGGCGGCGACCTCGCGCGGCTCGCGGCCGGGCACATGCTCGACTGGATGGACGGGCGGTGGCCCGACCGCACGCCCGGCGTCGAGCCCGTCGACTTCGGCGCCGCCACGCGCATCGGCCTCGACAAGTTCAGGGCGTCGGGCGACCCCGCCAAGGCCGGCGCAGGCCCGAATCAAGCTGGCAACGGATCTCTGATGCGGTGCATCCCGACGGCGCTGTTCCAGGACGACCGCGACAAGATGATAGCCGAGTCGCAGATCATCTCCGCCGTGACGCACGACGACACCCGCTGCACGGTCGCCTGCGCCGCGTACAATGTCATCGTCGCCGCGCTTGTGCGAGGCGAGTCGCCCGAGGGAGCGGTAGCTGCCGGTCTCGACGTCGCCAAGGAGCTGGAGAAGGAACCTGCAAAGCCCGTCGTGGTGGGCGCCATCAGAGCGGGGACGCGCCTGTCGGTTCAGGAGCTGGCCGAGAAAGGTCCCGGCGCGTCCTTGCCCGGGAAGGCATCTGGCTACGTTCTCGAGTCCCTCTCCATCGCGATAGCAGCCGTCTTGGACCCGAGGACTCTGGTGGACGTCCTGGTCGATGTCGTGAGGATCGGCAAGGACACGGATACGAACGCGGCCATTGCGGGCGGACTGCTGGGAGCGCGAGATGGGGTCGGCGCGATACCCCAGGACTGGGTGGACAAGTTGCAGTTCCGAGACGAGTTTACGGCCGCGGCGACGGAGTTGCTTGGCGCGGAGGCTACGTGAAGAGCATAGACACATCTATGAAGCTTCGAAGCAGTTTTAGGAAGCCATTCAAAGTCTCTAATGCAAGACCTCGATGCTGAAAGAAAAGGACTCAAAGCCAGTATCGTACATTCTAGCACTCAATACGTGATGCGATGGACACGCATCACTAGCTCGTGACTGTCAACAACAGCTAGTCACTTCAGGAATGCAATGATGGCACACATCCCGAACCATGCAGTCTATACTTAGCCATCTATAGTCTGATGAGCATCGCCCATCGGCCTCAGCCGTGAGGCCTCGCGCAGGAGGCCGCCAAGCAATTTGACTCCAGCCCACGTTCTTCGCTGCCGCCCATGCACAGAATAGCTTGTCCCGAAAAAGTAGGGGACCCTGAAGCTGAGGGTTGCCAAGGCCAGACTAACGACCACCGTTGGGAGCCCGTGGCGCATCGCAGCCAATCTGCGCCTTGCAAATAGACGAGACTATTGCCAACGCGGGCTAGCCAACACCAAACCGTCGACAAGCCATCGAGCCAGCGGTCTGGTCTCCAAGGGAGGCCCACGGGGCTGAAGAAAAGACAAGAGAGGGAGCTGGGGTGGGAAGAGTCTCTGGGAAAAGTATAACTACCCTCTTTGTGCGACTTCTTTGGCTCCCGTGTGGCATCTTGGCATTGCCCAGACACCCTCTTCGACGTCAATTCAGGCACGGGCATTGTCGCCGTGGTCAGGACCTCGTACCGATTCAATCGCGACTTCACCACCATCGACTGCGCGACTTTGCGACAATCTCACCCAACACCCTCACTAAGTTGCGACCAATCGCGTTCCCCCTTAGGAAGATGCCGAACTCGCAGGCGCCGAAGATGGAGCCGCCCATGCAGGCGGCGCAAACCCCCAAGGATCAGAAGAGTGTTGTCACAGAGCAGCCTGTGAGTGTGCCCCCCGGGACTCGTTGGCGCAGCGTCATTCATGTTTGAGATGGTTGGCTGACCAGTCCACAACAGAAAGCCGAGCCGCAGCCTTCAACGGACAACGAGGAGGTGACGGGGCTGCGCGGCGGCTACTTGAACCTCGGCTGCTCGTGCTGCCACGGCACCCTATCTTTCTACAAGAGCTGCTGCTAGTCTATTGCTGTTTGCAACCCGTGTGTGATTGCAAGGAATGGAAAAGGATCCGATCGCATCGAAACACTTTGATGAGATCTGCCTGTTCAGTCGCGTCTGGTGCCGTTCAAGGCCTGCGGCCAAACGCTAGCTCTTCCATGTATCGATTTACCGCGAATGAGATACCAAGAAGGACTGACTGGAGGAGAGGCGAAATGAGAAACCTCGATACTCACCCCTGTTGTGTAGGGCTCCGAGCTTGAATACACGATGTTATGACGGCTGGGGCTTGGACTTTGATTCTTGCGATTCTTCTATCTTCGATGGGATTCATCTCCTCGTTGACTTACCCAACTATCGACTATTCATTGGTCAGCAAGTTCAAGGGTTTGTTGCATGATCTTATTATTCGTTACCTTGGTGGGACGTTGATGCTGTCTTGGACGGGCAGGTCGTTGGTCTCAACTATAATTGCATGTTGATCAACTCCGAAGCTGTCGAATAACTTGTCGCTAAAATATGTGCATATTTACCAAACCAAACTACATCCTTGCAGCCGGGATCGGAAGCAATCCCTGTACTTGTACAGGTCCTTCGCTTGTCCCAGTCACAGCCCCATCTGTGCGCTTAGGATCAGCGAACGGACACATGGATGCCACATGCAGTCAGATTGACATGTTCGCACATTTGCACATCCCATGTCGGTCGAGGAGCCAAATCACACCGGTCCGAGTCGTCCCCCGCAGAAGCCTCCTTGCCTCCTTGCGTAAGAGAGAATAAACCCGCCAACAACCGCATCTAGCCTCGACCGTTTGCAGTTCACAAAGCAGCATGATGCGCGATGCAGCGCAAGGCACAGAGCCCGCCCATTAGGGAGCACATACCTGCAAGTACGGGCGGTCCAAGCATCGTTCTGCAACCACTTCAACACATCTCCACCGGGAATACAACCTCTCCGGGAATGGCTGTTCAGCAGCGGGGGAGAAGCAGGGATTGGAGTGGGCACGCTCCGATCAGCATCCGATACTTGGTAGCATGCTTGCACAAAAATAACGAAATACAGCACACATCCCACACACAGCGGAGCAGTTGTCCATGTTGCTGGTTTGAGGTTCTCGCTCAATGTTCCTCCAATGGGTTCGCTATGTGCACAATGACCACACGCGGCTGGAGCAGCTCTTAAGCAGACGGTTCCCCGCACGCTTCTGTGTGATTGTTCCCCTCGTAAACTAATGTGACGATTACAAACCTCGGGTCAGTGTTCCCGGGGCATTTGCGGACGGCCGAGTGGAGTTAGACTATCCTGACATCGCGCCGCCCCAGAGACTCCTTTCCCCTTCTAGTTGGGCCGCCGCCCATTTGCTTCCTCGCCTGGTGCTTGCTTGTTGACCCACGCGAGCCACGGCAAATAAAAACCGGACCGTGGACAAGGGCAGTGACGATTTTGTAAAACCTCCCCAAGGTTGGCGCCCCCCCCTTCAGCCCGTCTTCCCCTAATTTCTTCGCCTCGTCTTGGTTTGGTCTCCTTTCCCGCTGTCCACGATCTGCTCGCCAAGCCTCCCCGCGCGCGCACGCTGCAGACCAGGCCATGGCAGATGAAGAAAAGCACGCCGCCGGTCCTGCTGCGGCTAACGCCCCTCCCGCCGGCATGGGTACCACGACCGACTCGGAGAGGACTCCGCCGACCACAGCCGCCTCGACGTTAAGCGGCGATGTCAGCCACGGCAACAAGAAGGAGGTGGAGGAGGTCCAGGACGCCGGAGCCGACTACAGCGACGAGGACGAGGATGACATCGTGGAGGTCGAAGATCCGAATGCCGATATCGATCTAGAAGACATCGAGGTTGCAGTGCCGGGCTATTCCCTTGATCGGCGGTTGTCAAAGGTATGTCTCCGCCAAGCCATGACCTACTGCTGCGAAACTACCACGTGCGTGCGCATACTGATCCATAGCTGCAACAGGCACATGATGTCGAGAGTCTTCGCCGCATCGAGTCGCGCAGCAGCCGCCGAAGTCGAGCGTCGCGCATCCTCAGCAGAGTCAGCACGAGACGCTCTAAGAAAGGCGGCATCCGCATCGAGCCGATCCCCGTCACGAATCTCGACGAGGGCATCGTCGGCTGGGAGTCCCAGGACGACCCGGAGATGCCGCTCAACTTCCCCAAGTGGAAGAAGTGGCTCCTCGTGACCATGCTGGCAGCTATCACGCTGCTGACACCGTTCGCGTCGTCCATCCTGTCGCCGGGCATCGCGGCGCTCGGGCGCGAGTTCCACAACTCGGACACCATCGTCGGCACCATGACCGTCAGCATCTACCTGCTCGGCTACGTCGTCGGCCCCCTCTTCCTGGCGCCACTGTCCGAGATCTACGGCCGCAAGATCGTGCTCGGCGCGGCCAACGCCAACTTCTGCGTCTGGCAGATCGGGTGTGCGCTGGCGCCCAACATCGCGTCCCTCATCGTCTTTCGCTTCTTCGCCGGCCTGGGCGGAGCTGGCTGCATGACGCTGGGTGCCGGTATCGTCGGCGACCTGTTTCGTCCTCAGGAGCGCGGGTTTGCGATGGGCATGTGGACGCTCGGCCCTATCATTGGTGCGTTCTGGCGTGACCCTCGCGGCGATCGAGCTCTCTTGCGCAAGTAGTGCTGACTTCTTTTCAGGCCCGACTATTGGTCCACTGATCGGTGGCTACCTGACCGAGTCGAAGCTGGGCTGGAGGTGGGATTTTTGGATCGTACTCATCATCGCGGTCCCCATCACCGTGGCCATGGAGATCTTCGGCTCCGAGACGAGCCATCGACTGCTCATCCATCGCAAGGTGCAGCGGATGAAGAAGGAGCTCAACCGGGACGACCTCCGCAGCTGCTACCAGAGCCGCGCCGAGACCCAGACCGCCTTCCAGATCCTCATGAACGGCCTGACCCGGCCGCTGAAGCTGCTCTTCCTCTCGCCCATCGTCTCCCTGCTGTCCGTCTACATCGCCTTCACCTACGGCGTCCTCTACCTGCTGTTCACGACGATCCCGACCGTGTTCATGCAGCAGTACGGCTTCAGCGTCGGCAGCACGGGGCTCGTCTACCTGTCCCTCGGCGCGGCCAACCTGGTCGGCTGGGTCATCATGACGCTGTACAGCGACAGGTCGGTCGTGCGGCTGGCGCGCGCCAACGACGGCAAGTTCGAGCCCGAGATGCGCCTGCCGCTCAGCCTCTTCTTCGGCTTCTTCATGCCCATCACCTTCTTCTGGTACGGCTGGTGCGCCTACTACAAGACGCACTGGATCTGGGCCGTGCTGGCCCTCGCGCCTTACGGCCTCGGCTGCCTCGGCGTCTTCATGGCCGTCGCGACGTACCTCGTCGACTCGTACCCCATGTACGCCGCCTCGGCCTTCGCGGCCAACATGGTCTGCCGGAGTCTGGTCGGCGCGCTGCTGCCGCTGGCGGGCCCGCCCATGTACCGGACCCTGGGGCTCGGATGGGGCAACAGCCTGCTGGGTTTCATCTGCGTTGGGCTGGTGCCCATGCCTCTCTTCTTCTACAAGTTTGGTGCGAGGTTGCGCAAGATGCAGAAGTTCGAGCTATGAAAGGCCCTTGGGGCAAAACATGATGACCACTCTATATATTCATCATGTCAGTACTTCTTTAAACACAGCCGACATGACATCTCGGAAGCCACACATTCAGAGAATCGGCACAACAGTCCGGGGCTGCCGGAGAACGAATAGAGACATTCCAGGCCTATTTATACGGATATACAACTAGCCGATCGGCAATTCCTGGTGTGAATCACGGCGCAAGAACAGGGCCGACTGGGCACCCCATCACAACCGACCCAGCGAAAGTCACTAGGCCATACACTATATCAGAGGCTACATTGTCCCAGGCCAGTCACTTCAAGTCGGTCTTGGGCGGATAGCATACCTTCATGGAGGACAGGACAACGCAGCGCAGAGGAACACACACACACCCGCACATATCGCATACCTCATCGCAACGCAACTATAAAGCAGGGATCACGAGCATTGGCGTAATGACTATACTACTACACAAATAATATTATCTTTAGCCTCCATTGTGTTGAGTGAGAGAGCCGGTGAAGCCGGTGGTGCATGTGAGAGCTGTTCTTGGCAAAGAGACCAATACATGCCAGCGAGTGACTGAGTGCTCTAAGACAAAGAGCAAAAGGGCTGCAAGTGACGTCAATAATCAACCAATAGTAACTCCCGCCTGCAGGCTCTGTCACTCGTGCATTTTTGATGCCCGCGGCTTACCGCGCGTCACATTTGCGAACGAACCGCCGGCAACATGTGCTTTCGCTTGCAAAGTGGCTCAGCCAGTCTCAACGGTTTCGAGATCCCCCGCACTTGGCTCAAAGTACAAAAGTAATCTGCCAGAATGTTTGGCTAATCTCTTTTCTCTCTCGTTCAACTAACTACATACACTACATAGTAGTACCCACCGAAACTCTCAGACGTCATGTCGACCATGTGAAAAACTACACAAGACGGAATCGCGCTCTCAAACCGAGCAACAGCAACAACACACACACACACACACACACACAATACCACTCTAGGGTCTCTCTGACTGCGCAAACCGACCTCTTTCCGTTGTGCGCGTCGCGATGGACGACAACGACAACGGCGCGGGCTCGGCCGACCACGAGCCGTTCTACCCGGCCGCCGTCCGCGTCCTGGTCCTGAGCAAGACGGCCGGCTACCGCCACGAGTCGATCCCCTCCGGCATCGCCGCCCTGCACCGCCTCGGCTCCACGTCCTCGGTGCCCGTCGTCGCCCACGCCACCGAGGACTCCCGGGACCTGCTCGGCATCTCGCCCGCCGAGTACCACGTCGTCGTGCTGCTGCAGACCTCGGGCGACTTCCTCGACGCGGCCGAGCTCGCGGCCCTGAGGGCGTACGCGCGCGCCGGCGGCGGGATCGTCGGGATCCACTGCGCCGCGGCGGGGATGCCGCCTGGCGAGGGCGGGAGCGGCAACGCGGTCGACGGGGACGGGTGGTACGCCCGCGGTCTGATCGGCGCCGCGTTCGCGGGCCACCCGGAGCCCCAGTGGGGCGTCGTGCGTGTCGCGGATCCGGAGCACCCCATCTTGGCCCGGGGTAAGGGACTCAGCAGCATGGAGAAGCCGGCGGAGGGAGGTGCGCTCGAGTGGAAGTGGTACGACGAGTGGTACAACTTCCACACGAACCCGCGGGACAACAACCACGTGCTGCTCACCTGCGACGAGTCGTCCTTCGAGGGCGGCACGATGGGCGAGGACCACCCGCTGGCGTGGTGTCGCGAGGTTGACGGGATGCGGTCTTTCTACACGGCCCTGGGCCACTTTGACGAGGCGTACACGGATGAGACTTTTATGGCGCACATTCTGAATGGTATACTCTGGTCCGCAAGGAGGATTTGAAAAGGAACAACAGGTGCTCTGGATATCAGCTAGGCGTATTCGCGATCAGGGACAGGTCAAGGTATGGTTCTTTACGATGCAATTTTCTACTTGTGCAATGAATGTGGACGTCAAGCACAACTTGTCCAAGAATATATACAATGAAGAAAGGTAGGCGGGAGCAGCACCATCTGTCCCCCGGCAACTTGCGGTTCATTTTTTTGCCCCCCTGGCTCCCCTCACAACGACTTGCAGCCCGTATGATGAGTATCATGGCCACGGTCTGCCATCATCTTCCCGACACACCCTTTAGAAAGGAGGGTTCGCGTTGGTGAGCAGCTGCTCAAAGTAGGCCTGGAACCAAGACCCAGCCTCGGGAGCCGGCTGGAGCGCGTCGCTCAGGCCGCAGTGGTAGTCGTAGCGCGCGGCGCTCTTGTCCGAGGTGCCGTCGCACTCGCCGCCGGGCTTGATCCAGACGAAGGCGTCCTCGACGTCGAGGCCCGTGTTGGCCGTCGGGCGCATGCCGAAGCCGGTGCCGATGACGTTGCACCAGTCGCCCCACGCCTGCTGGCCCGTGGGCTGCTTGCCGCTGCGGCCCGTGTCGGTGATGAAGTGGGCGTCGAAGCCGGCGCTGCGCAGCAGCGGCGAGATGGCCTGCACGTAGTGGATCTCGTCGTAGTTCTTGTTGCCCTGCGTGTACGAGGGCGCCGACGTCAGGTTCCAGCCGTTGTAGTTGGCGACGTTGGTGGCGAGCCCGCGCACGGCGGCGGGCTTGCCGGCCTTGGAGTAGACGTCGGCGAACATCTGCGCCGCGGGGCTCAGGTTGGCGTCCCAGCCGAGCCAGCCCGCGTGGCCCGCGTCCATGTACATGGCCACGTTGGGAAGGTTGAGCGTGCGCAGCGCGTAGTCGGTCAGCTCGAGGTAGGCCGACTTGGCGTTGGCGCACTTTTGCACGTTGAGGTTGGTGATGAGGTTGGCCAGGCTGTCGGGCTCGATGACGAGCAGGATGCGCACGTCCGAGTACTCCTTGACCACGTCGCGGATCGAGTTGATGTAGTCGTGGTACTTGTCCACGCCGCCGTCGGCCAGCGAGAGCTCGCCGTTGGAGGCCGCGGCCGCGCAGTCGCGCTCGGGCAGGTCGTAGACGACGAACTGGCCGGCGTAGGGCGGGCTCGCGCCGGCCTTGTTGGCGGCGCGGATGTCCTTCAGGGTGTCGGACATCATGGGCACCTTGGCGCGGGTGTCGCTGTTGTCGGCTTGTCAGTGTGCGATCCTTTGGGGGTTTCCGAGGGAGGGAACAAATGAAGAATGATACGTACAGCCACTGGAAGCTCGGGACCTTGGCGACAGCAGCCGCCTTGGTGGCCATGGGGCCGCTCAGAGACGGCATGGCCAGAGTGCTGACCTCGGAGGCGTAGAAGTTGTTGGCCCACAGCTGGACGCCCTGGAAGGGGTTGCCAGTGTAGCCAACAGAGCCGCCACCGCCGGGAGCGGTGGTGGTGGTGCCGCCATTACCGGGTTTCGTCGTCGTTGGCGGCTGGGTGGGCTTGGTGGTCGCCGGCGCCGTGCTGGTAGGGGTAGAAGGATTGCTCGTCACCTTTTTGCGATCATTCAGTCAGTGTCTGGTGAGTGATAGGCTTGAAAGCGTTGGAGTGCGCGCACCTGTTGACCAGGCAGGCACTGAGAGTAGTAGTCATTCTGCTTCACGCAAGTGCTACATCCTCTTGTCAGAATTCAACCCCTTATAGAGGGATGCATTTTCCCACTCACCTGCCAGAGGCACAGCAAGTTGGGCCATTGAAGCCGATGCCACCGCATTGGGCCCTAGTATCTAGTCAGTATAGGAGTATGGAATGATGAGTAGGGAAGCTGTCATAAGTGCCCAGAGAATCTTACCATTGAGAACCGCAGTTCTGGCGCTCATCGAGGGGAGCGGAAAGGGCAACAGTGCTGAGCGCAGCTGCAAGGAGGAGCTTTCGGGCGGCCATTGTGCAAGAGGTGTCAATGCCAGGCTCTTATGGACAGGGCTGATGCTGGTGTGAGTGACTGTCCCGGAACAAACACTCGATGACGAGAAGGGGTAACAATTGTCTTTATACTAAAGCAAGCTCCTTCCAAAACTGCACCGGAAGCCACACGATGGCACTATCGGATCTACGGGATGCAATCCCTGGGCTCCCGTAGCTGAGAGGAAGAAATTTGGGTGTGCTCTCGGACCAAGACTCGCCACTCCGCGTCTGCAGACTGCTCGTCCGGCCCTGTCGTGGGGAAACCCACCACAAGCCTGGAGGCCCAGTACCCTTTAGAGGGCATTAGCTCTGTGAAGGATGGGAGAGAGTTATTCCGTGTGGGTGATCGACAAGATGGCTTGGGTCCGTGGTGATGGTGCATTGCCCGGATTGGCCCCGTGGCCCTGACTGGCTCTGTATCACATGGAAAGGTACGAATCACAAGGCTCTACGGAAATTCTCTTCGATAAAAAAACCACGCCAAGGAGACTAGGACACAGCTTGCCGGACATGGCCAGTGCTTCCAAGGCTGGATCTCACCACAAACAGACACACAACCCTGGACTGTTAAGCTTGTGTCGGAGCGATGTAACCCGAGGGGGACGGATGGAGTGGTGCAGGACTGCAGGTGATGTTCAATCTCGGAGGCCACGTTCCTGAATATCCCTGAAAGGAACAGCTCCAATGCCGGGCGCCTTGTGTGGGGTTTCCCATGGGGGTCAACGCGCGCGCCACGAGGTCCGGGGTTGGCTTGGTGAGGGGTTCACAGACTCACAGTCGACATCTCGGAGGAGAGTCGGCGGAATATGCGCCTCTCTGTTCCGCAAGACGGTTACATTCTCCCTGGACCCTAACTGTCTTGTACCATGATGTAAGCGGCAGTGATGTTGTGATGGCTCCCATAGCTAACCTGCCCCGGCGGCGAACATGCTTCATTCTGGCAAGAAATTGGAGAAGGCGGTTGGAGAAACTGGGTCCCTCGTCGCAATCAATTTGTAGTTCCAGATATAGATCCACTGCTGCCGCATCCAACAAGACGCGGTCGATCGAATGGTACCGAGAACCAGGCATCCATTAATTAGGCCGCACTACCCTTTCATTTAACTCATGCGCCGAGACTAGGAAATCCTGGTTACAAAATGATCGGCCAGCCAGGCAAGCTGGTCCAGTCTGCGACTGACGGCATCTTCCATTGCTGCCGACGGAATGGCATGGCCGTCACACCATGTCACCATTTGATCTTCTTGATTCTCGATCATCCACTACCCTTACTTTTACGAAGCTGGCCTTGGCATCCTCGGAGACTGCTCCGAGATTTCATGGAAAGACGGGCCTTTATGCGGATTTCAGAAGGAACTGTGTGTAAGACCATAGTAGATTCCCCAGTCATTGCCAGTGCGCAAGGGCAGTATCCCCTGCTTTGATCTGCGCGTATCCCACACTATCCGTCCATAGCATCCCCCTCTTGGCCTCGTCCCTCGCCTCTGCGCTTGTGTCGCACAACTCGCTGCCGTTGAAGTAGAGCGCCTTGCCCTTCTCGCCCTCGACGTCAAAGCTCGCGCGCAGTGCGTCAGCTGCCGACTTGTCCGTCGTCCTGAACATACCATTGGGGCTGAAGTACGTCGTGGCGACGGCGCCGATCCTGAGGAGGGGAGCGCCGATGGTGGTCATGAACCAAGAGCCACGACGCAACAAGCCAGTACTCATGGCGCCTGGATCCAGGCCGGCGATGGTGATGTTGGACAGCTCGGGATCCTTGGCAAGTCGAGCTGCCAGTTCGTGCCTTTGGGTCATGGATCGTCAGTTCACCGCGTATCGAGAGGCCACAATGATAGGGCCCATTCTTACATGAAAAGGAGTTCGCACAGCTTGGAGGCTCCGTATCTTCGGAATCCGCTACATAAAGTCGGATCTTCCTGCGGCGTGCTCCAGGTCCCGCGGGCAAGGGCTTCGGTGGTCGAGAATAAAGTATCCATCCCCTTGAAAGCCTCACTTACGGGACCAACCTTATTCCTGGGGTCGCTGGGACTACATCAGGGCACCTGTTAGAATACTCCGTTTGAGAATGCCACGTCTTTCAGAAACAACTTACTCATGCGACCAGCTTCCCACAACCATCACACGCCCCTTTTCCTTGTCCATGCTCTGGAGGACCATGAGCGTGAACAGAAAGTGGGAGAGAAAATTGACCTGGAACGTCATGTCGAAACCATCGTCGCTGAACTCTAGCGTCGTGCTCTCCTGGTAACCCGCGTTGAGGACCAAGGCGCGGATGCGAGGCAGGGAGCCGTCGGCGACACGCCCGTTGATGTCTCGAGCGCAGGCGCGAGTCGAGTCCAGTGACGACAGATCGAGATTTACAAAGTCGTATGTGTGCTGCGGTCGTCGCCGATTGCACTTTTCGATCGATGCTCGCACTGGCTCGGCGCCTTTCGGGGTACGCACCGTGTAGATACCGTGATATCGACTGCCCAGGCCGGACGAGACGACACGAGAGACGATAGACGAGCCTAGACCGCCGTTGGCGCCGGTGATGAGTATGCTTCCTGCCTTGGCCATGGCGTCCACACGATGCAAATGTTTACTTCTTTGCCCGTTAGGTGGTAGATGGAAGTAAGTGAGCCGAGGCCACTGGTTCGTCTCTGGTGGCTCTGATCAACTAGTAACGCGGTATAGTGCGGCATATGAGCCGGGAGAAGAATAACCTGCGCCCCCTTATATATGTACATATCTGCGGTCTGATCACGCTCATCGTCGCGGCCGTGTTAATACTCCGTAGCTTGACCTGCGGAGTGTTCCTGAATGCGACCACATCAGACCGAGCCATCCTGGCATTTGATTGGCACGCGCAGACTAAATCCTGGTCCACTCTTCCAGCCGGCCAAATCCATCGCCCGTCTCGGAGACAATGTGGCTCGGCCGGGCGAACTTGGGCATCGCGGGCTGCCGGTGTGAGAATTCTCAGTACACCATCAGTCTTTGCTTCAAAGACACCGGTAGGACTGCTGAAGTGTGAGCTTCTATTTGACACCCGAGAACAATAGATATGCTATCGACCTTGACTTCCCATAGCCCAAGTACCTAGGTAGGATCCTCGCCATTGGCAATATACGGAGCGCATCATGCTGGCACTATAAGGCCCCGTGCAGTCTACTTGTGATGTCAAGCATTCATGCAGAGGGAGGTGGTGACACCTGACGGAAAGCAATCGATTTGGGGGTATCACATATCAAAAAGTCAAGTCTACAGGCGAGGTTGGCCTTCCTCAAGCCTCTGCTTCTGCTTCACGTCTTGTTCCCACTGCGCTTCCAGCTCGAGCAGCCGTTCCAGCACCCCTGTGCACCCCTGCTCCGCCAGGACCGACCTCTCACGCTGGGTAGTCCTTCGCAACACGTAGTCCGACACAGTCGAGCGATCTCGCTCGCCAGGCCTGCCGATGCCGACAGATATCCTCGCCCACCTCGCGCCCTTGTAGTCTGCACCCCGCAGGCTGGCGTTGACGCTCTTGACCCCGTTGTGGCCCCTGTGGCTGCGGTCCCACTTCCTGATCTTGACCACGCCTAGGTCTTCTTCTAGGTCGTCGTGCACGAGGACCAAGCCGAGCTCTTCGGGCGTCAGGTTCTGGTCGGCGAGCGTCTCTTTCCAAGTCTTGGCCAGCCAGGGCCCGCAGACGTTCATCAAAGTCGGGCTCTTTACGAGAGTGTATTTCGGTCCGTTGGAGGTCTGGCAGGACTTCTTCCCGCGCCGCTCGGAGGCAAAGGGCGGCTGCGCGTCGCGTAATTGCTGCTGGAGAGCGTCTAGGACGATGTGGCCGGCCGAGTGGAGGGTGTCGAGGTAAGGCGCTGGGTTGCCCAAGCTGACGACAAGGAAGTGCGGGCTGAACATGTCTGCTCGTAGTTGCGCAGGGTGGAGGGATGCAAAGGAGTGATGAAAAGAGCGGCAGAGCCAAAAGGCTCGTTGAAAAGAAGAGGCACTATTATACATATTTCATTGTTCTCGAGACCCAGGCATTTTGGACAAAGGATTGCAGCGTCCTTGGTGGAGGACAGTCGCGCTGTAAAGAGTCAATTGGAACAAAGGATGACTCTTCCGGCGAGGTCATCACTGCCGTGTTGTAGCCGGAAAAAAAGGTCCTTGATTAGGCCAGGTCCTGGGCGACCATCTCCCCCGCCAAACGGCTGGACCAATCGAACGGGAAGGCAAGTGAGTGTGGGGCAAGGTATGAAGCTGAGGTAGAAACGGCCAATCACCAGAGCCAAATTCAGCCATCTCGTGGCGCAGAATGGTGCTGACGTCGTCTGGCGGTGTTTGGCCGTGTCTGGCAACTGGCACAGCCACAGCCCAACTCGTAGCTCCTTCGTCACTCACGCAGATCCCGGCCAGCGATCCCAGAATCCAACTTTGGGCGAGAAAAGGAACCGTCAACGCATTCGCGGCATCGCCTGTCCCATACGCCTCTCGATCATTTGTTAACGACGATATCCAACCAAGCGCAACAGATAGACACCTTCGAGTATCAATTACCAGCTGCGCAGCGACAACACACGCAAACCGCGACCTCGGAAGGACTCGAAAAGCAGCCCACCATGTCTTGGGCAGGTATGGCTTGGGTGCCCCTCGCGCGACGGCGCCCGCGGCACAGGCGACACTGACGCATGGCACAACAGGCTTCAAGAAGAATGTCAACCGCGCGACGACGCAGGTGATGATGAAGACGGGGCACGTCGAGAAGACCAACGATCGTGACTACGAGGTCGAGGAGAGGTGGGAAAACACCCAATCACCGAACGAGCCCAACAAACATGGCGAGAAACGGGGCGGCTAACATAGGCATGCAGGCGATTCCGCACGATGGAGGCAGCATCGAACCGGTTACAGAAGGAGGCCAAGGGATATCTTGACTCGCTACGAGGTGCGTGCCTTGCCGCTGTTGTGCCCGTTCACAACCAGCAGCATTCGGAAGAGAAGGAAACCCGATGCTAACGCGGCCCAATGCAGCTATGACTGCCTCTCAGATGCGCATTGCCGAGACGATAGATGCGTTCTACGGAGATTCTGGCGCGACAGATGGCGTGAGCCGGAGCTACAAGCAAGCCGTCGAGGATCTTGATGCCGAGACGATCAAAGCTCTGGACGGGCCGTATCGGTATGAGGATTCGGACCCGTTCAACAAACAGTCCGCATGGGTAAAGGTGCTGACCAGCTTGCAGGACCACTGTCCTCGACCCTATCTCCAGGTTCTGCGCCTACTTCCCAGACGTCAACGAATGTGAGTTGCGCTTCCGGTTTTCAAGTGGGTTCGCACGGGATTGACAGGTGTTCAATAGGTATCAAGAAGCGCTCGCACAAGCTTCTCGACTACGATGCACTGCGAGCCAAGGTGAAGCGGCTCGTCGAGAAACCCGACAAGGATGTGACCAAGCTGCCGCGGGCGGAGAAGGAGACCGAGATGGCCAAGCTCGCCTACGAGCAGCTGAACGAGCAGCTGTGCACCGAGCTGCCGCAGCTGCTCGACTTGCGTGTTCCCTACCTGGACCCCAGCTTCGAGGCCCTCGTCAAGATCCAGCTGCGGTTCTGTGCCGAGGCCTACAGCCGCATGGCCCAGGTTCAGCAGTACCTGGACGCGGATACTAGGGATCAGTACGCCAACGGACATCTGGACGCGAGGGTGGAGCAAGTATTGCAGGAGATCAGAGAGCTGAGCATCAGCGGGACCGTCTAGACGGACGTGGTAATGATGGTGGCGGGATGAGCATGCAAATATGGCGTTTACGGGTTGTAGGTTTTTCCATGTGTTGGTCGGCGGGCTTGCCAGGGGGTACAAGGACCTCCTCATACGGAATCGATAGACGGATGGACACAGGGGACGTAGTGATGAAAGCGAAAGCGTTCGATCGTGGCATTACATGTACCCCGGGACCAGTCGATTGTGCTGTGATATGTGAACCAAGACGGGAGGAGGCAGGTATGACGCAATGTCAGTGTCCGAAGAAAGGAAAACTCCGTGCGCAACCAGGAGATGCCCCCTCAAAGGAGTTTTGGGACTTGTCCGGCAGGGCCGGAGCGAGGGAGTGAGTCCGCGTGCACTTCAATGCTGAATGGCTAGGGTGAAGCCCACGGAGAGGGCGGAAGGAAGTGACGATGGAGACAGATGCAACAGACGCACACGTCCGACATGATTGGCAGTGCTTGACTGACGCTGAAACCCAACTCGGGATGATGCTTCGGGGTGCTCGGCAGTCGAGCATTCTACGTGGAGAATCTTTGTTTCGAGGAGCACGGCGCCTGGAAGATCAGCGCAAGGGCGGCTGACTTTCTGACACGGTGGACTTTTGTGTAAGATCACTGATCACTGATCGGACATGCGATAGCAGCAACTCGGGAAGGGCCTGATGGAGACTGAGTTGATCTGAATTTGTATTGCATCTTGGGTCTTGATCAAGTACTCGAGTTATGACTTACTTGCCTTGCATCAACTATCAACAAAGGGTGCATGGACTAGCATTTTCTAGCCCAAAAAGCTATTGCCAATTAGTCGATTTGCCAGGTCTACCAAGGTACCCAAGCTACCTAAGTAGTACCGGCCAGTCCAGTTGGAGGTTGGGGTTTTGGCTGATTGGAATGACTGCAATGTTAGATCTGCCCATCGATTGTCTGCACTGCCACCTTCGCAGGGGTTGCGGACGCGTGTATCTTTTTGACGGATCGGTTCCTCCACTGTTTCGATGGTTCTATTTTTGCGGGTTCGCGGGTCGAGGGTCATTCATTCTTCAGTGGAGAGGGCCTGAATTGGGGGGGGGGGAAGGGGTTCAAGGTCTGGAATCTAGAGCGCCAAGCGGAATCGACTGGGCGGCAGGCAACCAAAGGAAACAGCACCGTTTTTGGGCCAACGTCCAACGATGAGGAATAAGCCAACACAGGTAGCTCGATTGGGCCACAGGGCAAGCACAGCACACCTACACAAACCTTTTTTGCATACCTAATGTACCGGAGATGGGATGAGGAGGATCTGGAGGAGGAGGGGGCGCCAGCGAGGGGGAAGCAGTGGCGGCAAATGCCAATGGTGCCATGAAGATGGAGAAAAGCTCGCGCTTTTGCGTCTCCACCGCCGTCCATTCAGTCCATGCTCGCTCGTGTCTCCCTTTCGTATTCCAACGTGAGGTGAGGTGAGCAATTCGAGACCGAGACATGGTCACGGTACCTACCTAGGTATTCAAAGCACAGTCAGTCGCAAGGAGGTATTTGACGGGTACTGTGAGAGTTACTTACGGTACATACGTCCGTATGCGCGCGGCAGTGACATGGAGATACCTTACCTCCCAGATGGGATGGATGGGATGCTTAAGAGCGCCCCGTCTCGCCAGGACAGCCGTGGGTATGCGCATACTTAACTGCTCACATGGCCTCCTCCTCCAATGCTTCCCAATTCTCATATTCGAGGCCCTTGTTTCTCGAATCCGTGCCCGGCTTAACGTTATCTTGCTCGGCTTACCTAAAGACAAAGAAAAGCCAACCTAATTACCTGCCTGTCCTGTCCCAACTTTCGCCTCGTCCCCCGCGGATCGCCCCTTGCGCTAACGAGATCACGGCTGCACCCCCCGCTCACGCAACACGCACCCGCCCACCATCGAGTTCTAGCCCGCTAACTTGGCTCTCTGACTGCTCCGGTCCCCTGGAACCCGCCTAAAGAGCCTCCCGGACCGTGCCCCTTTTCTGCCCTCAGCGACCAACTAAAAACGTGGGAGGGAGGGGTGGAGACCCCTGAAAGAGCCAGCCAAGTAGCCAAGTGAGCCAAGCCAACCCTGGAAGCTAGGCCCGGGCCCAACCAAAGCAAGAGAAGAAGCTGTTTCCAAGAATTGGATGCTTTTTCTTTGGAGTGTGCATCTGCGCCAGCCGATGACACCCACCCCCCCGACTTGGACTTGAGAACTGCTGGGCCAACGACTCTTGGATCTTCTGGGAAAATCCAAAGCCACATCCAATTCCAATTCACCCGCCGCCTAGGTGCTTTAGACGAAAGGGAGGCACACGAAGGGCTGCAGAAGCGAGATCTGCGCTCGACAACATAGCTACCGTTGCGTTGCTGGTCAATCAATCCGCTTTGCCACCACCACCACCACCACCGTCGCTCACCAACCACCACCACCTTCTCTCTTCCCAGCCGTCTCGCTCGCTCGCTACCCGGATCCAGTTCCCATTCGCTTTGACTCTTCCCGACCTTCACTTCCCTTATCTTGTGCCACCGTTTCTGGATCTGGATTATAATCTGTCCTTCGACACCATACGCCCGTTACTCCAGTGCCTGCGTACATCCTTGGAGTGTTATCACGAGCTAGATCTCTCGTTTACACCACTGTCCTCGATTCTTCTACGACACACACCCACCTACACCGTTTCCTAGACACTCGGCCCGCAGTCCGCGACTGTTGACACCGCGAGAATGAACATCACCAAAAAGATCGACCGCGCCTTCCAGCGCGTGGGGGAGAAGATGGGCGGCGGGGCCCAGACCAGCATGTCGGACGACTTCAAGATGCTCGAGATCGAGACCAATCTGCGACACGATGGTGCGCCCCTTCTGCTCTCTGCCGCGGCCCAGACTGCCATTTGAATCTCTGCTGACGTCGAGTGTTATCAGGTATGGAGCGCCTTCAGAAGTCGACCAACGTATACGTCAAGTCCATCTCGCGCCGCTGCGATGGGTCCGAGGACAAGGAAAAGGGGCTGCCGGTCAGCCTGCTCGGCCGCACCTTTGTCAGCCACGGCGAGGACTTTGGGCCCGACTCGGAGTTTGGCAACTGTCTCATTGCGCTCGGGCGCGCCAACGACCGAATGGGGAGCTTCCAGGAAAGCTTTGCCACGGATGCGGCCACCCTCTGGCTCGACTCGATTGAGCGGAATCTGGCCATGATGAAAGACTATCAAGTAAGTTAGCCCGGGTAGGATCTTGTGTGTTCTGTTGAATGGCAGCGCTGATCAGTATTCCGCCTCCCAGACCGCCCGGAAGAAACTCGAGAACCGCCGCCTGACCTACGACTCGACCATGAGCAAGATGCAAAAGGCCCGACGAGACGACATCCGTATCGAGGAGGAGCTGCGCACCAACAAGGCCAAGTACGAGGAGAGCAGTGAGGACGTGATGCAGCGGATGCAAGACATCCAGGAGACCGAGGCCGAGAGCCTGCAGGACCTGACCGGCTTCCTCGAGGCCGAGCTCGAATACCACGAGCGGTGCGCCGAGGAGCTGCGCAAGGTCCGCCAGAACTGGGCCATGAGCATGGACGGGTATACCAAGCCCCAGTACAACGGGTACGCCACGCCCGAGCGCAAGCTCACGACTAGGAGCCGCTCCAACACCGCCCGGTCGTGGACGAACCCCCTTTCCCGCACCAGCAGCAACACCAACGTGTACAACGACCCGGAGCCGGAGCCGGTGCGCATCGCCATCCGCTCCAGCTCGCGCCAGAGCAACTACGCGCCCGAGATCCCGACGCGGCCGGCCATGGGCAGAGCTAACACCTACGCCCCCGGCGCGCCCGCCGACCGGGCCCGCGCGAACTCGGGCGCCTCGACGCCCGTCTACAGCCAGAACGTGACGGCCCTGCGCGCGGGCCTGCGGCCGGTCAGCACTAACATGCCCTCGGGGGCGGCGGCGGCGGGCACGCCGCGGAACCACCACGGCGGCGGTGGCGGAGACGTCTTTGCCGACGACGGCGGCGAGGACACGGCGAGCGGCAGCGGCAGTCCCGAGTGGGGCGAGCGCAGCGCGTCGCCGGCGACGAGCTATGGCAGTCTGAGCCGGAGCAGCACCAATAACCTCCTCCCCCCCAGCGGCGGCGGCGGCGGCGGCGGCGGCGTGCGCAAGCCTCCTCCGCCTCCGCCTCCGAGTCGGGCGAAGAAGCCTGCGCCCCCGGTGCCTGCGAGGAGGGATCTGGGATATTGAGGCCAGGGTCCTGGGCGGGGCGAGGATCTGTTGACTACATTCCGCTTGTAGACGGGTCTAAGCTTGATAGCTAGGCGGGCCCATGAGAAAGAGACGTCTCATTCGAGTCGAAAGAGAGTTGTGCTCGCATTTTTGGCTTTTGGTCTTGTACTTTTATTCAGCCGTCGGGGCATTTTTGGAAGCTCGTCTAGCGTTGCGTAAGAGCAGCTTTGAGGACGTGATAAAAGTCTCACACTGTACATCATGAGAGTTTCTGATATCCTTTTGTGCCGTATTCTGAAAGAATCTCTGTCAATAAAGCAAGCATCGGATGAAAATATAATGTCTTGGGAGAGGTTGAAGTAAGAGAAGTAAAGACGGAGTGTCCTAGCTGAGTAAGGGACCCGACCGGAGGAGGCGGGTGTTAGCGTAGACCCTGCGCAAACCAATCAGCAGATAAGCGCTATAATCCCCCAGCAGCCAGCTCCCTGTGGAGCTTCAAGTCTTCTTCTTATCAAGCTCGAGGTTCCGATAAGCCCAAGTGCTCTCTGATGGAGGGATGAATTCGTACCTTGTTCGCGCGCGGATACATCGTCTGTGATCTCCATCGCAGCACTTGTGATTGCAACTCCAGAAGAGCTATCGCTTCTTGAATAGCATTCGTGCTTTATTCTCGCCTCCAATTCGATCTGGCACTTCGCGAACCCAAGCATACCACAGCTGTGAGGTTTCAGCTGTCGAAACAACCGCTCCATTCACACATCCTCGACCACCTTTCCTTCTCCCACCCACGCTACTTTGCAGGACAACAACTCCTCATTGCTACAAGGCGCCACGCCATCGCCACCGACCATGGCCACTGAGGATGCCCGCTACCGCCAGTCGACGCAGTACAGGCTATGGTCCTTCTCCCGCTCGCAGCTCGCCGAGCTGCGCACCACGACAAACGACTACGCCGCGGCCAGCATCTCTGACCGATTGAGCGCTTCTTCCACCACCACGTCGGCATCTACGCCCGCCGTGTCAGCCTCCAACACGCCGAACCACCACCAGTCTTCCTCTGCCGCTGCTGCTGCTGCTCCACCCTCCTCCGAAAGCAAACCTGCGCTGCCCGACTTCCTCACCCCGGGAGAGGAAGCGCAGCTGCTCAAGTTCTACACCGTCGAGCTCCTGCGCGCCGCGGCATTCTGCGAGCTGCCGGTAGATATACAGGCGACCGCCGCCGTCTTCCTGCGGCGGTTCTACCTGACCAACTCGATCATGACTTACCCGCCGACCGACATGCTCAAGACGGCGTTGTTCTTTGGCTCCAAGGCCGAGGGTTACTACACGAGGCTGAAGAAGTGAGCTCCCCACACAAGCGATCATTCTTCTTCCACACTAGGTGTACGGCTGTGCTGACTTACATGGGACTTTGCAGATTCGCCGAGAATTTCCCCAACACCACGTCGGAGCAGATCCTCGCCGGGGAATTTCTTTTGTGCCAAGGCATCCGATTCGCCTTTGACGTCAGGCATCCCTACCGTGCGCTCGAGGGGGCCATCATGGACTTGAGGAGATACGGCGACATCGACGTATGTCTCGTCCATAGCTGTAATCGTTTCCGCTTGCTCTTCATCCTGCTAACCGATCCCCCACCGTGGACAGGAAACCCGCATCAACCAGGCCCACAAGCGCGCCCGTGCCGTGCTCAAGTTCTCCTCCCTCGTCACCGACGTCTACTTCCACTACACCCCCAGCCAGATCATGATGGGCGCCCTGTCGTTTGCGGACCAGGGCCTGGCCGAGCGCATCATCCAGGAGACCTTCAAGCACACGCACGAGGACGAGGAATCCAGCGACGCCAACAACACCAAAGGCGCCACCGACGGCGCGGCGAACGGAGCATCGAGCAAGGCCCGAAAGGCTGAGACGAGGAGAGAAAAGATCGGTGGTGCCGACGTCAGGGACAAGGTACTTGCGTCGGTGAAGAGCTGTCGCGAGATGCTGGCCGCGGAACCGCCGGAGAGGTTCAACGAGTATTGGGGCACGGTATGTTGGCAGCCACTCGGATGCTGAGATACTCTAAACGACTAACCGCCCGATCTCCTTATGCAGCCCGAGTCCAACAACATCATCAAGCCCCTGATACGGAAGCTCAAGAAGTGCAGGGATCCGGACCGGTGGGACCTGGTGGCACTGCAAAAGGCCAAGATGGAGATGGCCTACAAAAAGGGCGAGAAGGAAGGCGGCGGCGGCGGCGGCGGCGGCGGCGGTGACAAGGACGACGATGGCGCGGTCTTTGGCGGTGGCGGGAGCGGGCCGGATCCCAAGAGGAGGAAAGTGAGCAAAATGCCCGCGAATGATCCATTCGGTCCGGCTCTCAAAGGATGAAAGCGAGGCAACAAATTGAACGGGGCGCTAGGGTAGCGTCTTGCCTGCTTCGAACCAGATATGTTGCTGTACCAGTGAGAGCCGCGATGGAATCTCCGGACATCAACACCACCCGGTTGGTCGTTGGCAAAAGACTTACAGATCACCCACCTATGTACCGTCTCGTTGCCCTTGACTCGAAGAAGACCGAGATTGTGCCGAACCGTGTCCTTGATCCGAGCAGAGGGGAGACACGTCAAACGAACGCCTTTGCGGTTGCAATTATTCTCCAACCCATCATGAAACAGAATCTCGTGTATTTTCGCTAGAGCAGGCCTAGATACCGACTAGACAGGTTTCGAGACTGAATAGACGCCGCTGCCCTGAGAACTTCACCCAAATCCATCCGCTAACCTAACCTAAATAACAGGGCACAGCTTCCACCCGCATCCGAATCTCGACCGAGCCTGGACGGAGAATGCCATGCAAATACCACCAAATAACCCTTATCCATCCGAGCATTCTGCTAGCCTTTCCCTCCGAAACCCTCACGCCCGCTCCCAGATCTGGTCCCGCACTGGTGGTCCCTGTGCCCCTTTTACTCTGTGTAGTAGGTCGGATAGGAAGCCGCACCTTTCCTACGCTTGGACCGGCGTAACTCCTGACCTTTCTAAGTATCAAAGGCCCCGATCCGACGCAGCGGCGCATCCACCTCTTCGAGCATCTGCGCATGCGGGAGCGCACCCCAAGCCGTGACCCTCTCGACCACCGAGCGGCCGTGGTTGCAAAAGTGCCACATCGCGACATCCTCCCAGATCGCCGAGCCGGCCGAACTCGGCGATCCTCCCTGCGGCAACGCCGCCAGTGCCTGGTTCGCAGCTGCAGCTACAATTACAGCTGGTGGCGCCAGCGCCGGCGGCGGCTGCTGCTGCTGCTGCTGCTGCTGCGGCGGCGGCGGGATGGAGGGGGCCAGCCTGCGCAGCCAGGGCATGATGGCGTGCTTGACGGTGGCGGACTGGATGCGCGTGTTCTCGAGCTTGCTCGCCGCTTCGTTGCTACTAACTTCGAAACCGGGCTCGTTGTAGTATGGCTTTTCGCAAAAGATCATGGCCTGGATGGAGACGAGGACCTGGAGCAGGGTCGACTGGCCCGGCCGCCAGCTCGGGCCAGTCCAGGTGCCCAGGAGCGAGAGGCAGACTGGGAAGACATGGTCAGTACAAGATCGGGAACAGAGAGAGAAAAGAAAAAGCAAGACGATGAGCAACACACAGAGTAGATGTACTTACCTGTGCCATTAGCATATAGATTCGGGTTGAACCTGATCATGCCGTTGCCCGTGGTCCGGAGGCGCACCTTGGGAGGCTTTTTCGGGAAGTCCCGCGGACAAAACATGTCAAACTCAAAGAGACCTCGCTCGTACGGCGTGCCACACGGCCCGACGACCAGGACCTTGAGGATGTCCATGCGCGAGCTTCCGTGCCTCACAAATATGCCCTCGGGCAGCGTCTCCTGCATCGAGATGATGTCGGTGACGAGCTTCTTCATGCGACCCTTGGCCAGGTTCCCCATCTGGCCAACCTGGGAAGCGAAAAAGAAATCGCGCAGAATAATCTCGTCGGGGACCTCTTCTACGCAGTGCTCGCGGTGCCAGTCCGCAAGCTTCTTGTTGTAGTCCGGTTGCACAGAGTCGGCAGCGCTCGTGGGCGCGCCTCTCGAGGTCTCTGGTGCCGCCAGGTACTCCGGGCTGGTAGTGATCCGGTCGTCAAGAGACGCGAACTTCTGGCAAACGCTCACTATCTTCTTGCCGTCTGCCTTGGCAAAGTCCTGCATGTTCTGCTCCATCTCGGCGCGTGTCAGGATGTTGCGGCACAGAGTTGCTGTACGGTGCAGGATAGCGGCTATGGACTTTGTCACCTCGGGCCTGCTCTCAGCCGCCGCGATGGTAGAGGGTATGGCGCTCGAAGGATTCCTGGAGGAGTAATACTCCATCATGTAGATTTCCAGGAGCTGCTGGTGCTGGGCATAGAGGGTGAAAGGCTCAAACACGAGCATGGCCGTTGAGTTGTCCCTAACCAGAGTCTCGATGAAGATGAACAATGCTTGGTAGAGCTCCTCGCGGCGAGCCATGTCTTCGATAGAGGTGTTGCGCAGCAGCTCTACAGCCTTTGCCAAGGCAGGGCTCCGCCTCAGGATCAAACACAAGACCGCATAACAGTCGCGATAGGGCTCGGTTCCGATGGCCTTGAAATGGCTCGGCATCAGGCGGCCAAGTGCTTTGAAGTGCGACTCCCAGATCGCATCGTGCCTGAGTGGGTCGGTGTCCTCTGTCCGAGAGCTGGTCCCCATGGCATCCCTCACCCGCGCCATTAGCTCATAGAAGGAAGAAGACTCATCTCCGTAGCCGACCCCCCTAGGAAGGGCATTGCCCTTTTTCAGAGTACCCATGGTGCGCTCCCACTCGTCGTCGTCCAGCTCGGCATAGTGCTTGACCTGGTCAAAAATAATGTTCGGCATTTCCGTGTGCTCCTCATCAACACCGAACACATAGCCGTCCACAGTGTCGATGTTCTTGTTTATGAGATCTTCAACCCCGGCTTTTTCCAACGGTTGGCGTTCCTTTTTCGTAATCTTGTTCTTGTCTCCGGGGTTGCTGTCGGCAGTAGGTGCCGTGGACGGCGTGATTCCGCAACAGAGAATGAAGACCGTTAGCAGCTGGCCTTCGATGCACAGTGATTGCTGTCTGCTGTCCCGTTGGCGGAAGAAGCGTCGGGCCCAGCCGTGGCTGCCATCTTTCATGCATCCCAAGCACGTTCTGGCTGAGCATTTGTTACAGCCCAAACTCATAATCTCATGGTCTATATTTTCCTCTTAGTAAGCTAAAGCAAGAACGCCTTGTTACTGCCGGCCTGGGAACACGAGCCCAGGCTTTTTTCTTGGCTTTGACGAAGGAAGTGCACCTACGTGGATCCTCGCGAAGGCGCTTGGCGATGGAAGCAAACTTGGGGCCGAGAATGTCGAACGGTTCATCACATGCATTGCATCGGGCTGTTGCAAGCTGTCGGGTCAGAGATGCGAGGGAAATCGTACGTTCGGCCGACGACGCGAGCGTAGTGCCATCTTCCGATATGGCGTTGCGCGAGCGAGACCTCGTAGGGTCCAAAGGCGGGAGTCGGGCCATATCTGTCCGTCGTGTCAGCTGTGATGTGCCGCAAGATGGATAACCTGTGGCGGCAGACTTACTGGTATAAAGTTCGTCACGGCGGGTTGACACCCCAGCACCCACAGAAGATCCATTCGACCTTTTGGATGTCTGAAACTCGGCGTCATCTGCTCCCGTAAGGTCTATTGGGTTCTGCGCCGTTCCGGCAGTCCGTTCGAACTCTGGCGAACGCGTTGGAGGCATTGTGGTCGTCTGTCAGGTGGTCTGTTACTAAACCATCACTTGTGCTCTCGAGTTCTCGCAAGCGGAAAGGCCTCGAGCATTGCAACAACCAAAATCTGCTTGCAGCGTGGGTAGACGGTGTTGTTTGTCTGCGGAGGCGTGGGTAAGGGTAAGGATGAGGAGGAGGAGGAGGCAAGGTTATTCTGAGGATACTGCGAATATTGAAGGTGAACTGATGATCGTTTGGAATGGTACTTTGATAATATTGGGGCGCAAAAAGAAGAAGGGATCTGAAAGATTGATTCTGCACATGTAGATGGTGACAATCAGGCCTACATAAACTTACCTTGGGTAGAAATCTCGGCCAAAGAAGGATGGGTGGAATCTCTCGCCTAAGCGTGTGGCCCAACCATTGACCAGAAGTGGATGAGCAGGGAAAGAACCAGGCAAGATGGATGGTCGCTTTCTTCAGGTCAGTAACCTTGGGAAGTACCTAATGTACCTGTGGTCAGGTACTTGCATTACTTGTAGGGAGGAAGGCAAAGGGCGGAACCAGAGGTGCACCTACCGAGCAGTGCGATTCAAGGTTTGTGGTCGAGGTCGAGATCCGCGTTTGGAACTCGCCTTAATTGCTCCAGCCTTCCCCAGTCTCCTCCGCCCACGGGGTCGCGGTGGGGAACGTGAGCGAGCGCGCAGATAAAGGACCTAGGTAATGATGTGCTGAGAGGAGCGCCGCCGTAGATCAAAACAGGTGCAAAATGACTCTCGTCCACACTTGTGCAAGCATGGGCGTCATAAGATCGCAGCTCAACCTTGGTAGCGTTTGCCGCGGGTGGGATGCCTTGGGCAATCAAACGTGATCAAATGTGCAGGTAAGGCAACCAGCCACCTGCAGGCTGATTTCGTGCGAGGCTGTCAATTTTCCTCCGCACGACCTGAACTGGTGGGATCGTGTGGCTCGGGTAGCCCAGACCAATCCGGCCGCATAGCTACCTAGTGAAGATGCATTTGGAAATGAAGGCTGTTCGTTTTTTTCTGGGTGAAATTCTCAATGCATGCAATTGTTTGTTTTCGTACTGAGTGGACAGAAACGCGTCCCAAAGGAGAATTACCATGTGGCAAGTCGATCATGACTGTCGGAGCGCGGTCATCAGCACTGGGTTGCTTCAAGAACTATACTTGAGTTAGTCACTTAACTCACTTCTGTATACGCAAAGCCTTGTTTGTATTCTCGAGTCGCAAGAGTCTGTATGTTCGGAGTCAACCTAGTCAAGGTTCGGTGCAACACAACATGGCGTGGACAGCTCCGAATACTTTAACACAAGGTAATCTACCCTTGATTTGTATTGGAGCTTTGGAAGGAGCGCGAGGCGCACTTCTACTAGATCTCTGAAGCTGGGCATGACACATACGTAGGCAGTGTAGGCGATGCCAGCTGCAATACTATCCACATCCATGCCCGTCACATGGACCAGGAGGACTTTTCTTCAGGATCTTTGTTGAGGACCAGTATGTATAAATCCTGTCCACAACCAGTACATTAAGAAGACGGCTTGGTTAGTTGTCACCTCTTCTAGTGATCGAACTGCAAAATATGAAGGACGGCACACGATTTGCTAATGCCCCTTCAGCAGTGAGTCGAGCCACTGCAACCGTTCATTAGCGCAAAGATTATCGGTCATACGGATCTCACTCAAAACCACATCTGCTTCCGGTATGAGCCCGGCCCTGCTCCCACCCTGCCTTCGCTCTGCTGACAGGTCCAAGAGTGACCGGCAATCCCGTCTGGTGCCATGAGCCGCGCCGGAAGGGCCGAGTCTTCCGACGGATTGGCCGGATCTGCGTCGCTTGCCAAATGGGTTGGGACCCGGTGTTCCTCTCTGGACTTCTTATCTCTTACGGATCTTGATATCAAGGAGCTTTCAGATAGTCTACTTAAACAACCAGAGATAAGAATTAATCGCCCGGTTGGAACATCCCAAAAGGGCTAGCCCGATCTAACCCCGGACTGGCGGTGAAGATCTTGGCCGGATTCAGTCTCGATTCCTCGAATCCCCACGCGTAGCTAACAGCGATGTCACCCAACCAGCTGCGTGCCGAGTGGCAGCACGCTTAACCTCCCATAACTTGTACCACCGCGCTCTTCCACGGCCTATTAGAGAAGTTATTCCTTATCAAGCCTCTCATCTCGGCCGGCAACTAAGCATTTAGACTCCGAAGTTTGCATCAAATCCATGACAGACCAACATGGCCCGAAGCCCGAACTACTGACCTCTTGCATATGGGTCGCTCAGGCCGTTGATGACGCGGGAGAACCAATGCCACGGGCTCCAGTCTGTACCCTACCCACAACTCCAATGCAACCTTGGACCTATCAAAACCGAGCCGCATCTCCCGCAGCTCTGCGTATTTCCCCGGGGTTGGCCGTTGGATATGCTCCAGCGACTACAAGGGCGCGCCTTCCTGCTTATGTCCTAGATGTCGAGTCTTATCTCTGGCTACTCCAGTCCATTCTCGATGCATATACCGAGCAAAGGCAGACTAGGTAGCCCCCAGTCGCATCGGCCGTCGGGCCTGTCGTATAATCCCACTCCATGATAAGACCAGCAGGAGTATGAGGTATTATTCCTACGCATTCTGACATACGGCGCCGCCGGAGATCAGAGCTCCGGTCCTCGGCGTCGCCATGTTTTCTCCTGCACGTACTAGAGAGTGAGTCGGGATATAAAAGACGGTCGTTGTAATATACTTGGTGTGGCGTAGACGGCTCACTGCCAACCAGCCACTAGTCTTACACCAATGGCTCCAGTGTTTGCTTCTCTTGTTCTTGGCTTGGGCGCCGTCGCCGCGGCGTCGCCGTCTAGGCTTCCCGTGCGGCTAGAAACGCGGGGACCTATCGAGTCACGCTTGGCAAACATCCACCTCAGCTTCGAGAGTCCTATCGATGGCCCCATTACATTCACCTATGGATCCTGCTCTTCTCTATACCAGCGTGATGCCCACCACACCGTCGCCCGGGGTCACCACGCCTCCGCAGACAGGCTAGTCTGGATCTTGCCCGATGATGCCGCATCTGGTGGCTGCATATCGGCTTGGACCGAGTCCGGTGTGCTTATTGGCCGGAGCGAAAGCCAGCAGGTCAATGCAAAGGGCCTGCGCAGGCGGAGTACGATCCCCAAGCGCGATGTTGCCGGTATCACCATGACCCAGGGTAATGGGATCGACGCATGGGGCCCGTGGTTTGATGGTGTTGAGGCTCTCAAGGCTAGTAACATTAGTGCCGTGGACGTCAAGGATGCCAAGAGCAAACATGTTGGCATTGTTGGAGCGGGCATGTCTGGCTTGATGACCTATCTTTGTCTGACCCAGGCTGGCTTTTCAAACGTGGAGATCATCGAAGCTGGCCAGAGATTGGGTGGAAGAGTACACACAGAGTATCTCAGTGGCGGCCCATTCGACTACTCCTATCAAGGCAAGTCCAGTTGTCATGCTCCGTGACGATGCAGGAGTGCTGACTTGATATGTGATAGAGATGGGACCCATGAGGTTTCCCAAGGTAGGCTTGCAATCCTATCCGCAAGGAAGATCCAAATCTAATTGGTCAACTGTAGACTATTACCTTGGGCAACGAGACATACAATGTCTCCGACCACCAGCTTGTATTTCAGCTTGCTGCTGAGATGAACATGCTCAATAACCACGACAAGAACCTTAGTGTCGACTTCATCCCTTGGTATCAGTCCAACCAGAACGGACTCTACTTCAAGAATGGCATCAAGCTTGCCAATGGTCTCCCACCAACTGTGGCACAAACGGCGGCGAACTCGTCCTTAAAGGTGACCAAACCCATGGATGCCTCCACTAAGGACCTCCAGGACAAGGTCAATGCTGCCCTCCCGGGTCAGAGCTTTTACGCGGACATGGCCAAGAACATGTTCAAGGCCCACCGGGAATGGATTGGTAAGTGAATCGTGCTAGCTTTTCGGTTTGCAGAAAACGCGGGTGCTGACTACAAGCAGCGGATGGCCTCAGTGGCTTGCCTGGAAACCAGTGGAGCGAATTTGCCTACATGGTCAACTACCTCAAGGCGAACCTCAACGACACTGATGTTGTCAGTGGGGGTGGTTTTGTCACCGACTTTTGGGACACAGTTAGTAGCGTGGTGTACTGAGGTCTGAAGACAAGTAAACTGATCTGTATGATGTGTAGCTCTACGAGGGCATGTACTTCAGTGCGACAACATGGCTGACCATTGACGGCGGTCTGAACCGCTTGCCTCTGTCCTTCCATCCCATGGTTGACAATGCTACTACGATGGTACGTAGTCGAGGAGGCTGACCCACCACGGCGATCAGCTTTATTAACACAAGGCATGACAGAACCGCAAGATCGAGCGCGTCAAGTACAGCTCGTGCTCAAAGAAGGTCACTCTGCAGTGGCGTGACAACTACAACGACACGACTTTCCACAACTCGAGCTACGACTACGCAGTTGTCGCCGTGCCGTTCTCTGTCGTCAAGCGGTGGCGCTTCTCGGACCTGCCGACTACCATTGGGAACGCTATCGCCCACGTGCCCTACACCTCGGCATGCAAGGTCGCCCTCGAGTTCAAGACCCGGTTCTGGGAGCGCTACGCGAACCCCATCTACGGGTCCTGCTCCACGGCCACAGATATCCCCGGCATCGGCAGCATCTGCTACCCATCGTACAACATCAACGGCACGGGACCGGCCACAATGCTCGGGTCGTACATCTCTGGCGGCCAGTGGGGAGAGCACTGGGCAGCGCAGACCGAGGCGGAGCACGTGCAGTACGTCCTCGACGCCATGATTGAGATCCACGGCGACGTGGCTCGCGAGCAGTACACGGGCAAGTTCAACCGGCGTTGCTGGGTGCTGGATCCGCTGGAGCACGGGAGCTGGGCGTCGCCCATTGTCGGGCAGCACGAGCTGTACCTACCCGAGTACTTCAAGACGCACAATAACGTAGGTTTGGGCTGGAGGCGACATGTGCCGGCGCTGGAGGTCCGGGAAGGACTTGGCTGACGATGGGTTGCAGATGATTTTTGTGGGCGAGCACACCTCATACACCCACGCCTGGATTGCATCGGCGCTCGAGTCGGGCATTCGCGGGTCTGTGCAGCTGATGCTGGGTAAGAGAACGACTTTCTTTTGTCTCTGGATGAGGTGAAAAGACCTTTTCTTTGCTGACCATTTCTGCGCACAGAGCTCGGACTTGTGGACGAAGCCAAAGCGACTGTCGAAAAATGGATGGCTCGATGGATTGATGTGGTATGTTCGGACTCGGCGGCCGCACCGCGTCTATTGTATCGAGTACTAACATGGTCGCAGTAATGCAGTAACTCATCTGAAAAGGAGGTCCTGATGGTTGCATCCCTTTTGCATGAATGATGTTTTTCCTGGTAAGACGGGTCTTGGCTGCGGAGGCAGTGTGGGGAGGCTGCTGCTGTCAGCAGGGAGGTTCGGGGCGTGCCTACAGCGGAGCCGCCCCCCGTCATTGGCCCAAGCGCGAGATGGAGGGGACCTGAATGCCGTCATTAGCGTTAGTGTAGCTACGGGTGCTAGCCGATTGCACACTGAAATTCGCCCAACCGTCTCTCATCAGTCCCCCAGAATAGCAGCGTGCAGGTGATCTTCACCAAAACACCGCCACATGACACCATGGACAGGCTGGGCGGGCGCTCAATGTGTCCAGTCCTGGACTCGTTTAGCCCCCGCCATTGCTTTAGGGCTGAGAAGATGCTGTTCTATTGTTCCCATGGCGCGGGCGCACCTCCCCGTAGCTCTCAGCTGTCACCCCTGCAGCCCGCATGCACAGAAAGGGGCCACGAGTAACATCCACGGTTTCGAGGCTGGCTCCATCATGTTCACCTCAGCCAAGGGCTGACCGTCCAACCACACAGCCCGCCGGCCGCCTTGGGGCCTGTCTCGTACCCTTGACAATAGCAGTCACGAGCAGTGCGATCCCAGGCAAACACTCCCAACACCAGGCCTTCATATACATCAGGTGCGACAGCTGTTGTCTGCCACACCCATCCCACCTCTTTCACTCTCCGACTGCTGACATCTGCGCAAGAACAGCTCAGCTTTCCAACGATCAGTCACCCGGCATATCAGACGGAACCCTTGTCTTCGAAAGGACTCATATCGAACACCTATAAAACCACTCGACATCGACGGCACTGCCGCGCCCACCTGCCCACGATGGTCCAGCAAGTAGCACGCTCTGCGACGCACCGCAGCCAGGCCGACGACATGCAGCACCGCACGCGCAAGGAGAGGAAGTTCCTCGACACCGAGGCGCACCTCCCCAAGGCCACCCAGCGCAACATTCTCCAGGTTCTCAACCCCATGGCCAAGTCGGGCGGTCTGGGCAACAAGATCCCCGATATCCTCTCGTACTTTGGCTCCCGAAATCCTCTCCCCTTATCCATCACCAAGAAGGACTGCGTCTGGCTTCTGGACAACATTGCATACAAGTCGCCGTCGACGGGCGAGTGGGAGGCCGAGTTTGTCGCATGCGCCTTCTCGCAAGAGTCGTCATGCGACGTGCTCGAGGCTGTCACCAAGGTGGCCAATAAGATTGACCTCAAGGATGACGACCCGGCATTCGATACGATTGGCGAGAGGATACAGCCGTTCCTGCAAGACATCCTTCCGGGAAGGCAGGTCAGAGCTCTGCATGGCGGCTCGACCAAGCTTGTTTTTAGCCCCGGCGGTCGCAACGGGATTAGTAGTGACGTCCGGCGCTTGCCGCACTCCCCCGCCGGCATGGTGGTGCCCACTACCGCCGAGGTGCCCAAGGGGACGACCGGCGAGGTCCAGATGAAGACCTTTTTCGCCGAGCCTGAAGGTTGGGCTGTCATCTCAGGTGAGAAGCGCAATTCTCCGATCCCCCTGGGCAACTCGCCATGGGTAGCCAAACTAATCAGGTCCGACGCTTGCAGACATTGATGACACCATCAAGATCACCCAGACCAGCGACCCCATCGGCATTCTCCGCACGACCTTTACCGAAGCGCCGACGCCGACCAAGGGTCTACCAGAGCTCTACGCTTTCATCCAGACCTTGATCACCAACACCTCGCCATTCTTCTACCTGTCAGCTTCACCGTACAATCTGTATCCCTTTCTGCGTAACTTCCGCGACCAACACTATCCCCACGGCCAGCTCATCCTCCGCGATGCCAGCTGGATGAGTGTTCCTGGCCTGCTGTCCAATCTGACCTTGGGCACGCAAGAGTACAAGGTCAGCCGGATGCAGAAGATACACGAGTGGCTGCCGAGCCGCAAGATGATCCTGATCGGCGACAGCACCCAGAGCGACCCGGAGTCGTATGGGGACATGTAAGTGGAATCGGGCATCCTTCTTTCAGCTTCATGTGTGTGCATTGCTGACGGAATTCCCTCATCAGCTATCGGGAATTCCCCGGGTGGGTCAAGATCATCCTCATCCGCAAGGTCACCGATATTGCTGCTATTGGCATCGAGTCCAAGAACGAGCCCAAGCGGTTCGAGAAGGCGTTCAAAGACGTGCCCAAGGGAGTATGGCACGTCTTTGAGGACCCGGCGGAGTGCAACAAGATTATACAGGATGCAGTTTCAAAGTAGATATATGTGTTTTCGGTGCGCTGCGGCGTTTGTTTGGTCCGGACTGGTACGGCTGGCGTTGGAGCGGTTTGGTTTTGAGGTAATTACGTGTAAAGGCCTCTCACGTCTGGATGAATAATGATGTATCGGCTCGGCTGGCCGTTTTCATCTTGACAACATAAACACGTGTCATCGCTCCGATGCGTCGGTTGGGCATGGTGCCCTCACAGATTACCATGTTATTTCAATGTTGCCTAACCTGAAGTCCCCCTCCTCTGTTGGGACTTCTTTTTGCGTCTGACGATGGGGTCCAGTCGGGAATTCCGCAACAATATTTAGAAATGCCGTTTCCGACAAGATCGCGAAACCGAGGATGGGTGGTTTACCCGCACATTTAATGCCGGCCGGCATGCAGCTTACAAGTTCCGATATTGCCCCGCAGACGTTCAATGTGCCCACTCTGATGTCTCAGCATCAATCCGGCGTCATGTCATCCCCATCCCACCATTGACTCCTCACTCCTCACCACCACTTGGATCCTTCTCATCCAACACATCAAAAGCCACTCCAAGCTACACCAATTGTAACCAATTCCATCATGGCAGAGGCACCAGCCAAGCGACAAATGTCCTCCAAGGAGGGGCCGTACGAGCTCATCTACTGGGGCGGCATGCCCGGCCGCGGCGAGTTCGTCCGCCTGCTGCTCGAGGAAGCCGGCGCCGACTACACCGACACGGCGCATATCGAGAACGGCGTCAAGGAGGTCCTCGGGCTCATCGACGAGGGCTACAAGGGCGACGGAGACAACCCTCCCCCCTTCGCCCCGCCCATCCTGCGCCACGGCGACCTCGTCATCAACCAGACGCCCAACATCCTGCTCTACCTCGGCAGACGCCTCGGGCTGGCCGGGAACGAATCCGAGGGAGAGGGCGACTCCTACAGGGTCAACGAGCTGGCGCTGACTGCGCTCGACGGCTTCAGCAACGAGGTACACGACTGCCACCACCCCATCTCCACCGGACTTTACTACGAGGACCAGAAGGAGGAGTCCATCCGCCGGAGCAAGGACTGGGTCGCGACCCGCCTCCCCAAGTTCCTGGGCTACTTCGAGCGGGTCCTGAACTCGCCCAGCGCGGGCAAAGGACCCTGGCTGCACGGTGGACAGCTGACGTACGCCGACCTGGTGCTCTTCCAGGGCCTCGACGGCACCAAGTTCCAGTTCCCCAAGGCCGTTGGCAAGTGCAGAGCAGCTGGAAAGTATGACAAAGTGTTTGCACTCTACGACGCGGTTCTGGAGAGGCCCAAGATCAAGGCCTATCTCGAGAGCGAGCGGCGACAGAAGTATTCGCTGTGCATCTGGCGGTACTACTCTGAGCTCGATGTGGAGTGAAAACGCCGAGGAAATAGACCTGAAAAGATGAAGACATTGACAGAATAAAAGGCTTCGAGACTTCAATTCCAAATTGCATTCTTCTTTTTCGACAGAAAACAACTGTTTAGTAATCTCTTGGACAGCTTTTTCTCGTCGTCATGTCTCCTCTGCGCGAACAAATGCTCAAGACCCTGATGGGTTACATTGATGCCTTCAACACCAACACCCTCAAGAGTGTTAGCAATTTAAGAGATTTCTAAAGGAGAGACGAAACCGCGCTTGCCCACAGCGCATGTCCAGTTTGAAAAGATGAACTTTTCAAACCCCCGAAACTAATTCATTATTCAGACCATCATAATAGCCACAACAAACCCGACGCGCCTGTCGTGAGCGGCACAATTGTGTCAAGGACGATCCAATGCCAGAAACCCATCAGATAATGGCGAGCAATAGTGCGAGAATACCCATTGCCGTACACCTAGTGTCCAGAAATGATTTCACATTTTGGCTATGTCCGGTTGTGATAATGTTTTCTTACAGTGGAAACCCTGCTCGAAGCAGTTTCATATCACTCGAGCAAGGAGAAATTGTCTACACTTCATGATTCTTGCAAGTCACTTGCGGAAGTCAACCTCATAGGTAAGGGCTCTTCGTCAATCATCACCTTCTTCCAGGATATTTGAGGTAGTTGGCAGAATTGACATACCGCTTCAGCTCACTCTAAACCAGCGGGAAATCTTGAGATAGGTGCGGCCAAGTATACACGAGCACACAACAACCCTAGAGATTGTCGACGGGCAGGTGTGTGCTTCCTTGAGGTTTAATGATTGCTTGGATTGACTACTGAATCTGACTAAAAGAACACGCCTCAAAGTACTTTGGGAGTGATTAAGGAGAGACAACTTGAAAGAATCCGGAGAATGACTATTCGCGAAAATCTTGAAGGTTTCAAGGTTTGAAGCACAGGTACCGAAAAGAATCCTTGAGACCTGAGAGTGTCAAGGGAACATCGGAGCCAAGACTCGAGAGAGAAGTCCTGGAAGATGGTTAGGACATAACGAGGAGAGGCCGTATGCCATCTCAACAGACACATCGTCTGTCTTCCTGACTTCGTTCAGCCGGAGCCTCCACATTTGAAGTTCGAGGGCGCCCCTGCCTCCTTGCCGGCGCTCCCCACACAATGGCGCTGAAAGACGCCGGTTCTGAACTTCGCCGTCCACTCGCGGCCGTCACTACCAAGGCCGTATTGGAAGCTCCATGTGCGTGGAAGCAAGGCACAGTCGTCGACCTGGCTGTTCAATAAGACACCTCCATCATGTGTGGCCCAGCCTCTACCCCACATCACATATTCATTCCAAAATACCTTGTAAGTCGAGTCGCAACCGCCTTGTATGCCCCCCTTCGGCGGCTGACGGAGGGTCTTGGGCTGCACATCGTACTTGACATCACCCGTGGTCATAGTTCCACCTCCCTTGAAGCTGGCGGGATTGTTTGGGTCATTGCCGTCGCAGCCGTCTATGACATTGCCCAAAAGATACTTGACACAATCATCAACCGTTGGCTTGAAGCCAGCAGGCCCTTGCACTGTGATGACTATGTGATCCGGAGTCCTCTCGTAATATTCCCTTGATATGCTTCCCTTTGTAGCTGCTTCGGGGCAGAATTGACTGTTGATGGCATCCTTTGCCAAGTCCCTGTCAACATAGCGGTCATCACCAAGCCCATGGCACTGGTTGGTCTCCACTGGTACCGGGGCGGGAGATGGAGCTGGATCTGGCGCTGGCTCTGATGCCGAGGCCCTGACGCCCGCGATGCCATCGCTTCGCATTCTTCGTATGAATGCATCCTTCAGTGCCGTATGACCGTCCCATTTAGGGTGGAATGGTCGGGCGGTCCAGCCGAACCCGTACTGTTGGGCACCAATGTCTTGACCGAGAAGGTCGTCAGAGGCAAGTATTGGAGGAAGGGTAGGGTCGGTCACAGGATCCGAACTCATAAACTTGGTGCCGCTGGCGTCTGTTTTGACCATCCAATGCCTATTGGCATTGTCTCCTTGTTCATCGTAATATTGCAGGTTCCAGAGCCAGACACTTGGACCGTAGAATTGGTCCTCGAACGTGTGGCCTGGCTCACAGAACCGGTGCCCATCATACACAGGCGAGGGAAGCTCGTGATGGACACGGTAGTGAGGATCTGCCGGCAGTGGAGGTTGATAGCCCCGTATGATTTCGGCCTGCATGTTGTTGAATCGGTTGACCATGTCGCTGATCACCTGTCTCAGTCCTTTCACAAGCTTGGGACGTCCGACGCTAAGACGATCATGCGCAAAGCTCCACTTGTCGCAGTCGTCGGTCTTTGTGTTGAAGAAGTCGACGTAACCACTCAGGTACAAGTCAAAGGTGGGCATGGCGAGCCTTTGGCCTTGTGCGATGTTCAAAATGTCATCGATAGTTCGCTTGGTCCCTTTCTGTATCTCGCCGTTCATGGCGGAGTCGAAGGAAGCAATGTTGATCTTGCATTGACCTGAGCCGTCTGGATCTTCATCCCAAGCCGGACCCCAACCGCCGAGGTGACCGGGATCAACGGGCTGGTAAATACAGGCGCGAGCAATAGCACCAAACCCAGCATCGTTCCCTCCAAACATGGCCCAGATCACCCTCGGTTTACCTCCGTGATCTTGGAGCTGTGACTCCACAGCTGCCATCCGGCTGCCACCACACGCAGCGAAGTTGAACACCTGCTTCCCTTCCGTCCAGGACTTGTCGTTAAACATCTGCACCCCCCATGATTCAGTGGTTCTGTAACAGAATTGTCGATCAGTAGGTGCGTAGACATTCGTGCGATTGTAAGCAACACCAGATGCCCAAGAGTCCCCCAAGACAGTCCACTCAAAATCTGGAGCCACGTCCCTTTTGTAGTCAGGTTCGGAGGTAACTGGCTCTACCGCTAGCGGGATTCCCGTCACTGCTTGGCTCAAGGCTATCAGAGCCCAGCAAAGTAACATCTTGAGCCGATGTGAGAAGGTAACAACAGAAGAAAGTGCACGAGAACAGTCACCTGCGATGGATTGTGTGCCTGATTGCATATCATGAACAGCAGACACATGCTGTTATGAGAAACTATGCGTTGCATTGTTCTAATACTGATGTGGAAGATGGACTCGGCCCAACATGTCAACATCCTCGGCCAAGAGAAAATTGTATACATTAACACCATGCCCCTCGGAACGATTGTGCCTCCAAGTTAAAGCACACACTTGTGGACAACATGGAGGGTGAGTTGGGGTGATCGATCTCGAATCATCTTACCAACAGAGGGTGGCATATTGGTGTTAGCTGGGGGCCGGCGTCTATGGCAGAATGCCTTGTCACCAGCAATTAATGAGAACTAACACCTGACTACCTCTGCAGGCCAACAAATACATATCTATATATAGATGAAACCAACAGGAATAGGTGCCTTGCCTCAGGCACTACCGAGAGGAATTTCACCTAACTACAAATACGTATTTCTGGATCTAACCACTGCAAACGTGAGTACATTCCAACATTCTACCTTTGTCACCATGCCTACGCACCCAGACTTAACAAACGTCGGTAGAATGATCCCCCTTCTTTCATGGTTCCTTGCGATCTATGTCTGCCTGTCCTCAGCATCTCTGAATATTCCCCCCCAGCAGCACCCTCTCTTATCCAACACTGCCGCAACTTTAGCTTCCAATTTCAGTGTAGGATTCTCGCTTCAGAGCTCCTACGGTGCCGCGGCAATCATTTTCACTTATCCTGACGGGCAGCTGGAGACACATACCACAGTGTACTATGGGAATGCTCAATATAGAGAAGTAATGGCGAGACTGTCGCTAGATTCTTCTATACATATTGCGTTAGATTGCCACATCCTGATTTCGAGTACGGCGTTGCTAATTTGAATCAGACCTCCGTATAACGACGATGGAGAGTATTATGAAGACATCCCACGACAAGCTGCCCGAGCTGCACTGAAGGCGGCCGGCCTCCCGGCATCTAATGACGTGGGAGTCCTTGCTGCTGTTCTTCGTCAGCTACGTTCCCAACTGGAGGGAGCCTTTGGGGTGGTCATCACCGAGGCCGTTTTCACCTGCTCACATGTCATAGCGCTGTACCAAGACGACATGGAAGATGCAGCCATTCATCTTGGGATCCGCTATGTGACGCCGAAACGTGAGCATCATGCATTGGTGTGGGAAACATCCTCAGTCTATGCAGGCCACGGACGTGGCCTCTGCAAATCGTGGTACAACGAAAGTCAATGCCTCTGGGAGGTGCACAACACTCTGCCGGACATTACTGCGCTGAGTGTGCATTACAGTCGTACTGCGCTGACGGTATCTCTGGCGAGAATGCAAGGGGCGCATGATCTTTGGGAGCCTCCGTACCGGCATGTTGAGAACTTCACGCTAGGTCGGGAGGCGCTCGCATACTATCCCGACGAGAAGGATTATTGGACTTATGTTGAAGACTTCTTGCTGATCGTCATGAAGTTCTTCCCGTATTTTGACAAACCGGACCTGATTTTGGTGAATGGCGACGCGGTAGAGCGAGAGTTCATGCAACATCTTGAAAATTCCATAGCTAGACACATGGGAAGAGTTCCAGAGGTTCTCTCGGACGAGCCAGTCACGGCTGCTGCCAAGGGTGCTGCCGAGTTCATGCGGCGTGGGCCGGCAGTATGGTCTCGTTACAACCTGACGTAGCTTAGCCAACATACTGCAACAATGGGTGCCTGCAAAGTCATATTATTCATTAATCCCATCCTGCTATTCCTATGAATGTGTCCCTTCCACGTCATCACACCATTCCAAGAGATGCTTCCCATCCGGTGGTCTGAATCGGGCATTGATCGCCCGTCGTCCGGCCTGCATTATCTGCTACCCCTCCACACTGCCTGGCACTGCCCCTTTGTTCAAAACCAACATCCAACATCACTGTATTATCCAATAATAGTGAGGCATGTTGGATGGCCAGAGATTCAACAAAGTGCAGCCAACCTAACAGGTCGTCTTAGCTGCGGCCAAATCACACCGAATGCCAACTACATCAGAGTGACAATAAGCCACTCAAGACAGTCACACTATTGTGGGCGGAATGCCATCGGCACACCCTCACAGAGCTTAGATCCATAGTAATATTGAGGCCAGGTATGCACTGACTAATCTTTACTCAGAAGGCAATGACCAATGCCAGTTTCATGATTGCATGGCTATTTGGGCACGAAGGGTTAGTCTCTCCGAGTACTATTTTTACCTCTTATCAGTACTTCTAGTCTCTCTTGTTCTCTACATACTTTGACAGGAAAATTAAAGGGAACACTGGCAGAGATCAATGGCGAAGCCCAACATGAGCTCCAACATGAGCTCCAACACGGGATGCAACAAAGAACCCAGCAAAGGATCCAACACAGGCTCCGGAAGGTATGCAACGGACGCACATCCGTTTCATGTTTTAGAATGCCCCTTGCCATGGACCAAATTGGCAGAGCAATTGATGTTGGTCATCACCGTCATGCCTATCATGGAGGGAAACACAGCTTTGAAACGATTCATTATAAGTTAGAGAGAGTCTTCGTCCTGGAATAATGGCGGTGTTTTAATTCATAGGCTCATTGAACTCCTTGTCCGGATTGACCTTATTTCAGTTTCAAAAAATATCGCAAGCCAATACCTGGATGCTGTCGGGAAGGCCCGATATTTCCGAGAGATTTGATCAACTCAAGGAAAATGGAATTTCTGTCGTGCTTTCTACTACATGCCCTTCTCTTCCTGCCTCTGTGCAGTTCGGCTGACATTGAACTACATACATTACAAAGCCGATCACCACCGAGCAAAGGGTTCTACAATATATTCCCGACCTCTGACGCCAACCTCAACGACACTGAGCTGTTTGTCAAGACAACAGTCAACAACGAAGATCTTAGGCCATGGACCGATGTGCAAGGTCACCTCATTTCGTGGACGGTACAAGTCGATCAGGGACAGGTTTCTCTGCTGGCCAGTTACCCCGGGATCAAAAGCATTTCGAAGCTTGACTTGCCCGCAGGCAATCCTGAGCCTCAAGGGGCGACAGCATCATATGGAGCTACAACAGAGACGCAAACGAAACGTAACGAGGAGAAAAGTGAATGGATTATCATTCCGACCGACGATGCAGACGCTGCACTATGTGACCAGATAACTGGACTCCTGAGGGCCTTGTCAAACACGGATCCGTTGAAGTATTCCTTTTCTTTAGGGGAAGAAACACTCACCTTTTGGGGAGCGCACCTCACGTCGGCACAGCGCGACGAAGTTGCGAAACATCCAGGAGTCAAAGGAGTCGATCCTAACGCTCCGATCGAGTCCACCTCCATATCTTCGCCTGCTCTCGTACATCCTCGAACAATCGTAGAGAACAGGGACGTCAGTTACGCTGTTCAGAAGGATGCTGTGGAGGAGCTTGTCTCTATCAGCCAACCAAGGTATGTGAAGAGTTTTAATATGATTGTGAATGTAGTCGCCTCCAGATACTGACACATTCGGACTGTAGCACTGTTCCGGATATTGGGAAACTTAAAAACTATGTCTTCGAAAGTATCAATGGTGCTAGAAGCTACCTCTATCATTTTGAATTCGGAGTCGCGTTTCGTGATTTGGCAGCAGTATGTCTCCATGAGGACCTCGCTTTAACATTTCTAATTTACCACTAGGAATTCCCTCACGTCTCAACAGAGCATGTCACTACGATAAGCTCCAGACAGCGAGGCTTGAGACCCGACCAGGATATCTCGATCCCCCCTTTTCACAGCACTTGCACTGCCGGCAAGGGTCTCGGCCAATTGTATGGTGCCTCGAAGGCAGCCACACTCGTCGTCGTAAGGCTGAGCGAGTACACGCTACTGGAGATGATGTCAGCGTTGGCGGAGGTTATTAGTGATATTCGATCGCATCCCGAGAGGGCAAAGTTGAGTGTCGTGAGCATGTCGCTTGAAGGACCAAAATTCGACCCGAACAACGTGGCCATGGGTTTCCTGGCTGGGGTCGTTGGACGATTGTTAAGCATGGATGTGCCAGTAGTCGTATCTGCTGGCAATCATGCGAATGAGGCGGGCCGGGAAAGAATTGACACCGTTCCGGCAGCATTCGCTGGAGACACTTTTCCTCTTATTGTGGTCGGGTCCTGCAACCGCGCAGGCTTCAGATCTGGTTTCTCGCAGACTGGGCCACAGCTGACGACCTATGCACTGGGCGAAGATGTCACTTGCTTAACCGTCGGAGGCGACCAACCATCTAGGGGTAGATCGGGAACTTCTTACTGTGAGTATGATTGCTTCAAGTACTGTAACATACTCTATACTGACATTTATTCGGCCTCTCTAGCCACACCACTTGTTGCAGGGGAGATCGCAAACCTGCTGTCTCGCGAGACGGTACCCTTTGACACTAGCAACGGCAACTTAGTCAAGAGTCTGCGTGCTTATCTAATGACGAATACCGACTCTGGCTGGTCTCGCCAGCCAGGTATACGTGTTCTTTGGAACGGTGTTACCGAAGCTCATAACTCTCCGGAACCAGTCGCAGACGCACCGGCACCACCCGACCCGCCCGTGACCGTGACAAAGAAGTGTGCTCATCTTGCAGACAACAAGTATACTGCACGAGAGAGCCTTCGGTCCATCATCGAGGATCTCTTCTGTCCTGACGCCGTAGCTCAAGGAGGGCTGGACAAAGACAGCAGCTCAATCATGCGGCGGTATCATCAAGGCACTCTGGAGGATGTGAGCATCGCAATCAACTATAAGCCAGGTCTAAACGTCAAGCTCGTCAAAGACGACTGCGTGCATTACCTTCTCAGCGAGCTTACCGATGGCTGCGATGGCAACGACCCCGAGGGCAACCCGGCGAACTACAAGGCTGGTGGCGAGGTGACAGTCGGTCCCGTGGCGTACTTGATCCAGCCCCAGGCGCTCCGGCAGCCGGCACGTCTCGGAATTCAGGCAAAATGTGATAGCTCTTGGAAGGCAGTCTTCAACGAGTATGTCTTGTGGGGTCATGGATTTGCGAGCGACGACTCTGGGGCTCGTCTGAAACGGGAGCTCGAAGGCTGCGCATTGCTGCCAAAGACATGGAGCTTCCAGTACGGTTTAGGTAGCGACGGCAGGGAGTGGACGGCTAAGTTCCGCACTGGCGTCTTCCAGAAAAAATGCGTGGGTCATGCTTCAGTGACAGCTGGGGCGCCCGGGGGCTTTGGTTGCGGCGGCAGTGGATCTTGAATCTGCCATGCTGATATGTGATGTTTTCCTTTTTCTCTTTTGGTTCTTCTTTTTCCTTTCTTTTCTAGTTACCTTAGTTCCTTCCTTTTACCCTCGCTATGCTTCTGGACTCATTTCCTCTTGTCGTGTTTCAAGAAATGTCAACTTCTTTCAATATGCCAACGAATAAATATCAACATCATCCTCGACGAAACATTGAGGTTCCGAGACAAGAAACAAGCAAGAAAGCTCATAGAGGAGCGCAAATGAAGTGCATAGCATTGAATGACGCATTGAGTTTTGGAAGGACTTGTGCCGCATCACGGCGGGTTACCGGTCCAATTGAATGTTTTTCTCTAATACTACTTAGGTACTAGCCTTTCGCTTGCCCGCTTGCGGAAACGAGAACTGTCGAAGTCTTTATTATCGACGACTAGGCCAAGAAGGACTGCAACAGTATGTCGCGGTCCAACATGGCAAGGGACTTTGCACTTGGGTTTTGGTTTTGGGCAGGTCCGCATAGCGTTGTCAAGCCGTATCATAGCTGCTGTAGGTGCAGCTATAAGTTACTAAAACCTCCTCGCGGTGACCAATTCGTTTCATGCCGTTGAAAATATTGTGCCAGCGTCTTGCAATGGTAAGTCACTGATGCTGCATACGTTTGCAAGGTTAAAGTGAATATTCCAATGGAGAGCGTTGACGTCCAGTGGCTATGCAAGTAGAAAATAGGACCAACGAAACAACATGTTTTCTCATTGACCGAAGCCTCAACGCCTTGCTAGAAAAGACCTCCTCTAGAATAAACATGACTTTTATCTTCCTGAAACAGAATAACATACCCCACCCCCATATAAGTTATTGACAGAGCATTACCAGCATCGCAAAGCCAGTCATGAGCAAGCTCAGGAAGATAGAAACCCCATGCTGATGGGCATGGCTCGGCTTTGAAGACCCATGGATATCCGCCATTCGACGCTCAAGGTTGATCTTGACGGGACTCAGGCCACGGATGTAGTCTTCCAAGACTTCAGTGATGTTCTTGGGGAGCTCCCGGTCCTGAGGGTTCTTCCTTGGCGGCAAATAATTGTCTCCCTGGCTGGTTCCGCCAATGAAATCTGTTGTGGCGATGGTATAATTGGCCTCGAAATCCAGAGGCTCTCCTCCAATCTCGACGCTTCTCAGCTCACGAAACTCATCGTTGCCCTTGCGCACTGTCTCATACATGACTTTGATGTTGCGCGAGAGCTGGGGCGTTGTGCCGATGGGCTCGCCGGACCAATGGTTAATGCCGGTCGTGAAGCCATTGATCAGGTGCCATACCTCGGACCCCGTCAGCTTGACATCGACAACAATGTTCTTGAACGGGAACGACGTGTAGAGATCGTAGCGGGTTATGTCGCCGACGGGGAGGTCGGCCCGGCAACCACCTCCGTTCATGATGGCAAAGTCGGCTTCGTTTGTGCAGTTTCGGCTGTAGCTAAGCATTGCGCTGCGCACACTGTTAGTCTTTCGAAAACGTGTCATAAAGAAGCGAAGAGGGCGACTTGCTCTGAGAGGAGCTCGCCAAAGAGACAGGGTTCCTTCTTGCAGTTACTGCTCTCCAGCTCCACGTCCGCATGGCCAATGATCTCGGCCGCCCACGGAGCGAAGGCCTCTCTCCACTCATGAACCTTTGCTTTCAACTTTGGCTCTTGAGGCAACGACTGGACCAGGTGCACGGGTTTACCAACGACTTTGACGACCTGGCCGCTCTCATCCCAGGTCATGTCGACATGCCCCAGCCACTCCGACCAGTGGAAGTCCGTTACGATATACACCTTTTCACCGTCAAGATTCTTCTCGATGGTAGGGTACTCGCCGTCGGGCGGCTCATCGTCACGGCCCACCATTGGACCGAGTGGCGTATCGGTGTGTCCTCCAATGATCAGGCTCAGGCCAGTCGTGGACCTGGCCAGCTCCTTGTCCTCGTCGTAGCCGATGTGAGTCAGCGCAACGATGCGAGTGATATTTGTGGTTGAAAGGATTTCATCCACAGTCTTCTGGATGGTGGACACCACATCGTGGAACTTGGTCTCTCTCCCGGGGCGGGACTCTGTCTTGGTCGTCTCAGTGACGGCTCCGATCACTGCCACGCCCTGCTCCCAGTAGATATGATACGGCACCACTGTGGTGTTCACAACCTCGTTCTCGGACTCGATATTGGCGGCCAGGATGGGGCAATTCAGCAGCGGGAGGAACTTGGCCAGGCCCTTTGTGCCTTCGTCGAACTCGTGGTTGCCGAGGGTGAAGCCGTCAACACCGACATCATTCAGGGCTTCGGCGAGGATGGGGTGGCCGTGATAACTGTAGAACAAGGTTCCAGTTGTCTCGTCACCAGCGACAAGGAACAGGCTGTGCTTATTCTCCGACCGCAGTCGGTGCACGGCCGACTTTAGCCGGGCCGAGCCGCCGACGCATTGCCCATCCTTGCGGTGAGTGTCCTTGCAATCCACCTCGGCGCCGCCGACCCATTCGTCAATGTGCGCGTGCATGTCATTGATGTGGAAGAAGGATACAGTCTCCGGCAACTCTGGTGGGTGGAATCCAGAGGCGGGGGGATTGTCATGGGTGTTGTCAGGAGGGAAACCATGTGGTCCATGAATCGGAGTTGGCAGCCGATCGCTTCGTTGGACTAAAAGACGTTGCCTATGCTCGTCCCTCGAGGACCGGACAAACAGGGCTTGAGCACCAAGCGTGAGAAATGCCACAAGATTGGCTGACGAGAAGTGAGAGAGACGCATGGACACGAAAGTGTGAGCGCACAAATATGTATCCAGGTGACACCGTGACCGGATGAACCAGACGCCTCCAGTCAACCCAGGGGGTATATGACCTTTGGTCAACGGGGAGGAAAAAGAGAAAGACAAACTCAAAGGTGAATGTAAACAATAATAGGGCGAACCAGGGCTTAAGAAGGAAACCCGGCTGGGCATCGCTCAGGGGTTAATCATTGTGAACGGATCTGGCCCTAAACAGACCACAATCGGCCATCTTGCTCTGCAGAATTTTCTGCCAAAGTTAAAAAAAAAAACACGCACGCGAAAGAAAAAACGTATGGACAGTCGCGTTGTGGCCATATCGGTGGGCAGATGACATAGACTGATCCGCGCGCCATGGTCTTGTGTTGGTCCGGAACCATATGGAGAGTCCGGGAGATCATGCAACTGGCGGCTGCTTCATGGTTATTCGCGGCTTTTCTTATCGCTGGGAGCCAAATTCTGGTCGGATACCCCAAAACTTTGTATGGTTGGATTCCATAACGAGCGCACATACGCCGGTGCCCCCTTGGCAGGTTCTGATAAGCGTTGTGTACTATTACGTCCCATCGATTGTTCGGTTCTACCACAAGCTTGTCCGCAGTGACCTCCCTCATTCTGTACAACTTGAAGATTTCACACGTGGTGACATGCTCGCAATTCTATGATGTGGACATAGTACCTATTCCCATCTCGAGGATATCTCGCATCCGGAGTAGCACAAGGAGGGACGCGATGAAGGCTTGGCGGGAGAGAAGAGAATAAGGGCAAATCAGGTCCCTTGCCGAATCTCCTCCAGAAAGCGGAACCAGAAGCAAGTATTGTTTCAGTGTAACGTCCGCGGGCCATGGTGTGATGCCTCGTCATGCTATTTAAGTCTGTCCATCGTCCTCGAAGGTGGGCGGCAGAGCTCTACTACGCATCTCAACGGAAGAGACACCCCCAAGATGGCGAAAGACTCTCCCAAAGCTGACTTCAGCCACATATACAACAGGCGCGATCCGCGCCAGTTCTTCAAGGAGTTGCAGTCCCTCGACTACCAGGTCCCTCACCATGCTCTCCCATTTCTACAAGCGGCAGTCGAATGGCTGTCCAGAGACGGGGACGAGAAACCGCCGAAGGTGCTGGACATTTGTTGCTCTTACGGAGTAAACGCAGCTCTGTTGCGTTACGAAATTAGTTTCGCAGCACTGGTTGACCATTCGAGCTCCGCATCACGTCAGCCGGCAGCGGAAGAGCAGATCGCTTCAGACGTGCGGTACTTTAGCTCCTTGCCAAAACGGTACGACATTAGTATTGCTGGCCTAGATGTTGCTCAGAACGCAGTGCAGTATGCAGTCGGCACGGGCCTTCTCACGGCAGGATACACTGAAAATCTCGAAATAGAAGAGATGAGCCCGGAATTGCAGCAAGAGCTCAAGGAGGTGCGGCTTCTGACATGTACTGGCGGCGTCGGATATGTGGGAGTTGACACATTCTCACGGATCATGAAAGCCATCAGTAATCCAAAGAGGGTGTGGGTGGTCGCATTCGTATTGCGAATATTCTCTTATGATGAGATCAGCATCCTGCTTTCTGAATCTGGTCTGGTAACAGAGAAGATTCCTGATGCAGTGTTCTGCCAACGACGTTTCGCATCATCTGAAGAGCAGCAGCGCGCAATGGCTACTGTGCGGGCCAAGGGGCTCGATCCCACCGGCTTGGAGGCTGATGGATGGTATTATGCAGAGTGCTTCATCTCTCGACCAGATGACGAGGTCCAGAGATATCCTCTGAAGGAAGTCATCAGGATTGTCTGAGCGATTTCGCAGATGTACCGCGATACCAGAGAACTTGCTACGAGGAATGCGCGAAGAAATACCGGGATTGCGATACTTGGCTGGTCCAAATCTTGGGGGAGGGGTTTTCCTTATGCTGGCATAAGATATGTCAATCAACTTGATCTGAACTAGGCCCAAGACGTGGAAATGCAGAAGCTGTTGATGTCAAACAGGCAGGCTGAAGCACGTGGAGAGACAACACTCGGCACAATGTGTTTCTCTTCATCGACAATCTATACCCATTTTGTCTGTTGAACCGGCTTCTTGTTGAGCAATCTAGCTGCACTTGACTAAGGCATTTATTCAACCCATCCCCGTTCTAATACAAACGTCGCCACGCCATCATCCTCCATACAGATTATTGTGGACGACGCAGAGGGTGAGCCTCCGTGTTGAGAACGTACTCATCCAAGCTCATAACGTCCGGTGAATCAAAAATCAGGTAAAAGTACTTTAGCGTCTCTGCCAACCAGAAGCTCTCCATGCGATCGGCTCGGGTGGTCTCTGGGTGTTCCTTGGTACAGTCATCCAACGCAGCGTGCGCAATGTCGGTAGTCGTGGCCTTCGCGATGGTTTCAAACATGGCCCAGGCCCGGTCCATCAGGGTGGTGTCGCCCGTCAGCCGGTATAGAATGAAAATACTCTCGATCGCCTCGGGCCGCAGGATGTAGCGTCCGTCATGGACCTTGGTGAAGCCAGGCTTTAACCTCCTCTCCAGAGCGATTTGCTCGCCACCAGAGGATCGCTCATGTGCCGCGGCAACTTCATTGTGCCACGCAGCCTGGTCCCACTCACAGCCGCCCGTTGACGGACACTTGGTCGTTCGAATGATCTCGGGCATCATGCCAGACGGGCTGTTCTCGTATCCCCAGAGACAACCCTCGACCAACTGGCGTGCTACTAGGAGGTCGTTGGGCAGGTCAAACGCGCGAGCCGCGAGGCCGACCATTCCGCCAGCAAAACAGCCCAGGTGCTGGGCTTTTGGTTCAGTCTCCAAAAGAGAAGGATGTGTCTTGCCGTCAGACGAGACGTCGCCGGGCAGAAGAATGTCCAGGCCAGCCTCGGTTCGTGGCCGATAGAATATGTTCCGCTTCATAGCAGCAAGTGCCTTGACGTACATATCCCGGTACTGCTGCGAAGCTCCGCCGAGGAGAAGATATTGCTGTACTCTCGTTAGATTCATGTGCTTGGCCTTGGCAAGCTTCGAGGACTACCTTTGGGAGATATTCATATGTAGAGTCAGCCATTCCGCCAATGGTAAAGCCACCATAGCTGGTCAGGTCCATTGTCTTTGCATTGACTGCAACGGGCCAGAGACCCGGAATCTTTGTCCGGTCTTGTGCGTCTGCGCAAGCATCCATGACCCGCTGTACCGCATCGAAGTACTTGGGGTCTCCAGAAAGTTGGCTCAGTCGTGTAAACTCGAGCGTCAAGGACCCCAGCTCGGCTATCAATATGCTTTCAGAAGCGACGAGCTTAGCGCCAGTCTTTGACTGCTTGAACTTCCATCGAGTGACTGGCATATGATTCGGCGTGTCAAAGGCGACATACAGCATGTCACCGAGCTCGACAGCTTTCCGAAGGAGATTCGGATATTTCCCTTTCGACAAGTCGTACGCGGCCAAGAAGCCTCCGAGGTAGCGGATCGTGGTCTCGAATACGTTGATCTCCTCGTGGTTGCTGTCGGAGAAGTCGATTTGACCAACGGCTTTGACAGCTTGGTCAAAGTCATCGTGCAGACCCATGAGCCAGAGGGTATCTACGGGGGTTAGCACACATTGCAGGTGACGTCGCGCCAGGAGCCGTCATCTCATACCGAGTGCATCTACCAACGTTGCGGCCCAGCCGCCAAAGGTATCCTGTCCACCCCCGGACAGTGGCTTGACCTCGTCTCTCATCCATGCGTGCTGCTTGTAACCCTGCCAAGCATGCGTGAAATTGCCCTTGACCGCTTCCCGTCGTGCCAGCCGTGTGGCCCGGGCTGCGGGCTGCTCCTTGCCAAACTGGTGCTGTATCCTTGGTATCGCTCGCGGGGCAGCCGTGGGCACTGCTCTCATCGACTGTCTGGCGATCGGATACTGGAGAGGAACTTCGGACCAGCGAAAAGAACCGTCATGCGGACGCAAGTCGCCTGCAAAAGGCGGCACTGGGCTCAGGACATCGCCCCTGCCACGGCTGCTGTAGAGTAGTAGCACGATGGTGCCCGCGGCGAGGAGGAGGGAGATGAGGGGACCGGGCCTAGGTAGCGTGATCATTTCCGACGAGAATGCGCCGTAGTGCTGGCGACAAAGAATCGCGCGTCGGGGAAGTACCGCTGTGCATCGAGGAGGCGACACAGCCAGGCATGTGTCCCGATCGCAGAGTTTGGATCGCGACTGGAAACAAGCTTGAATCAGCTCCCCCGCGTTGGGTCGCGTTAATGACTGGGAGGTCCATGGGAAGCAACCTTAACCGCTTTAGTGGCTTGGCCAGCCATGGAGCATGACCAGGGTTTGGATTGGGTGGCTGGCTCCCTGGAGGATACCTGTGCTACCCTAGGGGCTAGGGGGGTTTGAGCAAATCTGGCCCAATGCGTGCGTCTGTTGTGCACAGCGAGCATTGCTTGCTTTTAGCTTTTAGATGTCCCTGGCCGGCCTAGTTCGTAGGTGCCGGGTATCCACAATCTTAAGGTTAATCAACACATGCATTGCGAGCACATGGGCGTTTGAAGCACTGAGCCTTACAGAGGCGCACGCTTAGCAGTCATCTTCCGTTGGCAATCAAAGCGACAGGGTTCAGATCCCAATCTTGTAACTAGGGAAGTACGAAGTAAGGCTGGAGGATTCATGTAGGGGATCTCGGGATCCAAAGAATGACAGGTCAGCACTAGAGGACAGACCCGGCGCAATGTCGAATGGCGTCTTGCCTGTTGAGAGGGCCGTTGCCAAAGGATGACCCGCAATGCTTCCATGTATGGCAAGGTCAATGCCATGATGTTTTGAAAGCGGATGGCGGCTCGTCAGCAATCTGTAGGCAACAGAATTAATGGACCCACGCTGCAAATTTACAAGTGCACATGGCATTGGCTGGTTTTGTCGGCAAGCAGAGCTCCCATCCTTCTTCTTCCTCGCAAGGAAAATAGAAAAACGCCTGACCCTCGCGCATGCACATTTTTCTGGCCCCGTTTGGTCCTCCTTCGCCTCCCTCGAGGCCAACGTTGTCTGTCTTGTGGACTGGCCATGCGTCGATATGCAGCCACTTGCGATCAGATTCCCGACAAAGATCTTCAGTAGTCGCCGGTCACGTTCCTTGTTCTTTCTTGTCTTTTTCATCCTTTCTTTGGCGTTACTACTTCGTCATGGCTTCTCAGAAGGAGGTCGGACATGGACTGCCAACCTGCCAGGCTGGGCTGGCGGGCATCGAGACACAGCAACGGAACCAAATTTCACGCCACACCCTATAGATCGACTCATCCGCGATGCCTACCATCACTTACACACCCTGCTAGCGAAGCGGTCGTTCACCGTCGAAGAAGCGGCGGCTAATTATCGAGAACGTCGTGGTCGCCACCCGCCGCCGGGCTTCGATGTTTGGTTCGAGCATGCGCAGCGTGATCAGGCGGTCATCGTGGAGGAGTTCTTCGACAGGATACACGACGACATAAATCCGTTCTGGGCGCTTGACCCACGGACACTGCGCCGCCAGGCACATTCACAGCCCCAGGTGATTCGAGTGCGAAACCGCACGGCGACCTTCGAGACCGATGACCCGAACCGCCAACCCTGGATACAGTTGTGGCATGGCTTAATACGAGAGATGTCGCCATATCTTCCAGACTTAGATATGGTCGTCAACGTGATGGATGAAACGCGACTATTAGTCCCGTGGGAACAGTTAGGCGAGTATGTCCAGAAGGAGCTTCAGGGGCGGCGACTCACCGACCCCAAAGACACGATATCCAGATACAGCGGCCTGCAAGATGTGGAAACAAATAACAGAGAGATTACCAATCCTGACTGGATTACAAGCGGCGCAAATCAATATTGGGACCACCTACGTCAAGCTTGCCCCCCGGATAGCCCTGGCAGAAATATCACGGCGCTGGAGACGTTCGATGGCCCCGTGGAGTATCCTCATGGCGTTATGCCTTACATGTATAAGGGCTTCATTCACAATGTCACCCAAGCCCGTGATCCATGCCTGCAACCTCATCTACGCGGCATGCACGGCACATTTGTAGAAAGCGTTAGCATGTCGACGCTACACGCCTTATTTCCGATGTTTGGAGGATCCAAGCTGCCACAGAACAATGAGTTGCTGATCCCTGGTGCCATGTATCTCTCGGAGCGCGAATTCTACAACGGCGGACAAGGGCATGGGCCAGAATGGCCAAAGAAGAAGGACGGCTTGGTTTGGCGAGGAACGGCCTCGGGAGGTCGGAACAAAATTGATAACTGGTGGCATTTCCACCGTCATCGCTGGGTACAGATGATGAACGGGTCAACGGTAACGGCTATGGAGGCAGGAGAGACATGGCAAGGACCGACTTTCGATCTACCCACAATGGATCAATACCCGACCATGAAAGAAAAGCAAGGTCAGCTGGGACACTGGCTCGCCAACTTTTCCGATGTGGCGTTCATGAACCTGGAGTGCTTCGCCGACATCAGCAAGAAGGACAGGAAGAAGGGGTTGTGCCCGTACACGTCACCTTTCATGAGTGTGCAAGCCAGCAAGCCGATGAAGCAACAGTACAAGTACAAGTACCTACCCGACGTGGATGGGAACTCATTCAGCGCAAGATGGCGGGCTTTCCTGCTATCAACCAGCCTCCCCCTTAAGGCGACCATCTACACAGAGTGGCACGACGACAGGCTCATCCCGTGGCTGCACTTTGTACCCTTTGACAACTCCTACATGGACATCTACGGGGTCATGGACTACTTTCTCGATGGCAGAGATAGACAAGCGGAGATGATCGCTCTGGAAGGGGCGCAGTGGGCGGCCAAAGTTTACCGAAGAGAAGATATGAAATTGTACGTCTGGCGACTGTTGCTAGAATACGCCAGGGTCGTGGACGATCGCAGGGACTTGTTGGCGTATGTAGATGATGTAAGATAAAATAAGCAAGTGACAGCGTATCCCCTTTTCTGTGTCAGCATTGACATTGGTTCTTCCCGAAGACCCAATCTAAATAATGTGCACGGAACTAGCCGCTACTACGTACGCTTAACCCCAGTGGCATTTATTCTAAAATTTAAGGTTTCAATAGTACTCCAGACCAAGCTAGTTTAATGAGACGTAGATGTGGCAGCTAAGTTTACCTCGGAATTCTAGGGACTACTAGCATGAAGTCATGATAGTATCATATGCCACCACTTTTGTTCTCTCTCTTAGATAGTGCCTCATTTGCCCAAGCCCTCCTTGTCAATCAGGTTGTCAATGAGGCTGAAGCCACACATCAATAGTGTCAGTATTTAAATTTACGTGGCAAACTTATTCCCAATAGATACTGCAAAAAAAGAAAACTGATGATATGATTAAAGATGCATATATATGTATATATACCGGCCTACCACATTGAATTTCAATGTTACAAGCTCTTCTTTTCATATCTCGCCCTTCTGGAAACTCGCTGGATAACAATCTCACAGAATTCGTTCGGAACCATGACACACTTTAATAAACTAGTCGCCATTCTCCTTACTGTCATTGGTGTGACGTTAGTAACGGCTTCACCGCGTGCTGCCCATGTTCAAGTTCTCGATCGACGATGGAGCTACGATGTCTGCAACAATTGCTCTCTATATGGCATTCCCGCGCCCGACAAGACGACCTTTAACGACGGACCTATCGGCAAATGGCACGCCGACCGGACCTACAACCTCTGCCTTGGTAGCCCGCCGGACTGTTCTCAAAAGTGGACAGTGACATTGGATTTCCAAGGTCTGAACCTCTTCTTAAATTTCTCCAAGGCCCCTATTGGATATACCTACTCGACCGCCGGGGTGTTCCTGGCGCCTCAGGGCGTGGGATTTGGGCCCTCATTCAATCCTCCCCCGACCGACGTGACGCCGACATACAAGTGCGTCATTAACGCGGATGGCACCGCAACATGCATTATCCCCTTCTCTGTCCTGACCGGAAAGGACACTACCGATGCTGCCGTACTGTTCAACGCACTGTGCCCCCTCGGCTCGAGGCAGGCTCTCGATTTCTACGTAGCCTTTTCCGGCTACGTGACGAACTCGGCGGGGACATACGCCTTCCAACAGCAGTACCCCTGTACCAACTATTCTAGTGCGGCTTGTCAGAGTTACTGCACCTCGTGCATCTACGCCGAGATGTCATACCGCTGTACCAAGTGCAACGTCCCTTGCCCAAGCTCCAGCACGACTAGCACATCCTCCAGCACCTCTACTAGTAGCACTTCCTCTACTAGCAGCACTTCTTCTACTAGCAGCGAGTCCTCTACTAGCAGCACGTCCTCCACTAGTAGCACGTCCTCTACTAGTAGCACGTCCTCTACTAGTAGCACGTCCTCGAGCTCACCAACCCCTTCAAGCTGTGATGTCGGCACGGCCTTTGGCTATCAAGACTCGATACATAGCCACACCCTTAATACCCAGAGTGGGCAGGGTTGCAAGAGATGGGGCTGGTACGAGACGCCGTCCGAGGTCGACCTCCAGACAGGCATCAGCGGCATTTTGTACGTCGGCGCAGGGGGAAACGACATATCCAAGGCGATCAACGTGGGCACCTGGTCCGCCGTAGAGACGGGTGGGTCTGTCATGGTGACGTACAGCCTATCTGCTCCCTATACGGCCACTGAGATCCACGTCGATCTCAACTGTCTGCCCATAGACAAATGTGCACCAGGCCAGTATACGTACGGTAATACGTTCAGCGGTTTGGGTGTTAGCTCATTCACAACACCCTCTATCCCGTTCCCGAATTGCGGGAGCGGCGAGACACCATATTTGATTGTCCATGCTAGGGTATCAACAACGACGACAGGGAGCTGTGGGACGCCAGTTTTATGATAGAGTAGTGTTAAATTCAACGTAGGGATTAGTTTTAGGCGCATAATAGGTTTATTCTTTACCGTAGAAGGAAGTGCTAAAGACTCTACTCTTATCTTTAATAATTCAGTTCTGCCCCAGACAATCATAGCGCCGTTTTGGTTTGTATAGGGTTTCAATTCGGATCTAGGATGAACTGAATATACAGATTGTTGTGAGACCAGCAGGGTAAGGCACTCCCGTGCTCATATTCATCAACTCCTCCTGGCTATCTGCGGCTCGTTTACCCTTATTGGTGAGATATCTAGGGTTGCAGAATGCAATTGGGGACATGGACGCAGCATTTTGGAGAAAAGAAGACTACTCCAGGACCGCAATCTCTTGGTATGAGCTGTTTAGAAGTTGCTTAGAAAGGGATTCCTGATACAGCCTTTAAAGTTAATTAAGGCCCATCGGCCGGACGACTACATCACAAGTTCGGAGGGCGAGACACCTATTGCAAGGACAATGAGGACTAATGATTGACCATTCCCTGATTTCATAGATATGAGAGACGAGAAGAGGCTACAGAAAAGTTCAGCTTAGACTGGCGATTCGGGTGGCTTGTAGATTGCATTATGCATGTAATGCATAACATGCCACAGTCATATTCGGCCTCGTACTGTGGTAAACAACCAGTAGTGTCTAGACGCCAAGAATGACGCTTGAACCATATACTGAAACTTTTGAGGAATGCTAATTACTGAAGATTGACCGCCTGATTGTCAGTGACTTGGTAGACGGTGTATTCAGATATTGCTGGGTCAAATGAACGATGTTCGGCAAGGTCTTCGATTTGTGATTTGAAGTCCTGACATCTCTGAAGTTATTGATACCAGTGTTAATTTCAGAGTGGGGGACTCAAATGCTATGAATGCAATTCATCTTTGACAATTTCGAAAAATGCTATGCTGTTGGATACTTTATGGAGGCTGCAGAACGGTCAGAACCTCGGCTCATTATCCGGTGCTAGGTTGGAACTCTTCGTGATAACGAAACTTACTGCGCAATACTACCACATTGGGCATGAAAACTTACACCACTAGCTCGGCCGATATTAGGATCAACTTCGCTGAGTACTGGTGCTATCCTTGAAGAGGCCCAGATACAGCTGCCATCCAAAACCCTCAGGTGGGTGGGCTGCGGCAAGTGTGTCTGTCTGTCCACGGATAAACAACCCCGACGGTGGCAAGTTAGTGACTCAACTGGCTCGAGGAGACATTAATTTGCCAGCAGCCAGTGCTCTAGGGTCACCCTCTCGCAGCTCGAAAAGCTGAAAGCAAGGAGCAAAATCCATTTCCAGGTGATTTTGAAAGGCGGTCTAGATCATGGCACGGCACTATCCCGTCTACATAACGAACCCCTTACTTGTCACTCAGTGGCTGGCAGAGAAGTGACAATGAGTGTCAAGGTTGGTGACTATTAGTGATTGGAGACGTTGCCCAGGGAGCCCATTGCCTTCCCGATGCACACTACAACCACGAATCTTGCTCAATATGCCATCAGGTAGAGCCAATTCTGGGAGTTATCGACACCTCATTTGAAGCCTTCTCCCAGCGACTGCCAATGTTCATGTTTGGCATTCCATTCCAGGGCAGTATCGAATCGCCACATCTCGCTCTGCTGGCCCCAGACAGTGGGCTATTTCGCCTGCCTCCCTCCCGACTCCCAAGGAGTGTACAGTGGTACCGCAATTGGAACCTCCTCTGAACCCGATGCCATGGTAACCGATCCGCGGCCCGGGAGACGCCTTTGCGTGTGCATACCATGCATTGGCATCTGTGTTTCGGATTAATATTGCATCCAGGGATGCCCTTGGTCCTGTGGAGCGAGCGTGTCAACACATGGCGATTGGGAGAAATAGTGCAACACTGCGATCCGAACTGCGATTCGTGCTTGCCGATCCATAGGCAGGGGCCGCGATATGGAAAAGGAAGAGGTTTCCAAAGTGGCGGCCAAGAATCTCGCGTCACATGCGCTGCTTGCACTCCTCACAAGTAGCATAGCAGACAAGCAATATTGGTTGGTTGCTATCTGTCAGCCAAGGACGGAGGAGTACAGCACCGTAAATCGTGATTCGGCCCGACTACAGCCACCTTGTGTTCCCCCACATGCATGCGGGGAAAACAAATTCGACCATGGGAATAGGCATCTCAGATCTTTGCCGCTAGACTCGGTCCAAGTGCCAACGAAGATATATCTATCTTTGGTCAGCTGTGCTCATATCTCGCGCGAGACGAAAATGATTGATTGTTCCAGAAGCGAGCCGACTGTCCGATCCCTCCCTTACCACGCCCTGAACACGTTGAACATCCATGCGAGGTGTCGATCTAATTCGCACGCTACCTAAACTTAGCTAAGACATGTTCCGCGGTCTCCATCCAATTGTTGCCAGTATTGGCCTGTAGGCTGGGTGAGGGTTCAGGGCTCGCCGCAATGATTCGATGAGGCGATACGACATGCACAACAGGTTTCTACAAGTGACCGGAGATCGACCTGAACTCAGCTTACAAGAGACATTGCGAAAGCTTCGAGACCTGAGGAAAGGTCCATGGGATTCGGTCTAGCCGTCAGTGAGATTTATCCGCTGCAATAAAGTCCAAGCTGGTGAGCTGGATGGTCACATTCAGTAAGACTGGGCCGATCTCCCGAATCAGACCAGGATACTCTTTACTCGCCAAAGCTAGACTCGATCACTTGCGATGACTAGTGGTTATTCTCCTCTGGGGATGCGCGCCAGTCAAGGCTCACTATGACACTGTTGGCGCCAGTCTTGATGGACATCGACGATGTTGTAGACTTCAATGTTGGGAAGAGCCCCAGCCGGGATTACCATCCAGCGACCAGTGGGTACCTCTGCTCGACTGGCGTACCTGAGCGCAAGGTCCCCGAGTAAAGACATGGGGAGCGAGTAGGTACCATTGAAAGGATTCGCTAGTCACACGGGCGAATTGCGTTTGCCGCTGATGGACTGGAAACGAGGTACGGATCAAAATCTTCACTACGGACGGTCTGGAATGGAGATGCGACAGAACACCACGAACATCGATCTGGCCAGGGTCATATCTTCTCGAGCGGCATTGGGAACAGACCTTAATCGGTCAATAACAGGCCGAAGCCTCTCCCGGGCATGTATGTGTGCTTCTACTTACGCGACGCGTAGCAATGTTCGCAGCACTAATGCCTCGACGCCTCCCTTGTGCGTGCCGTCAGACGGCTCGCTAGCGACCGTTAAGCCACTGTTCTTGGCTTCCTTAGTACGAAGTTGTCGATGCGCGCCAACCCTCGGTCTCCCTCCGGGGGTATGGCTGCCGTAGGAGCTACAGGCCTGAAGCTTCATTAAAGGGGACCAACAGCAGCGCGCCGGTTGGCTCGTCTGCTCCACCTGTGACGGCACGTTGCTCTTCCAAGGTTGTTTGCCCTGTGGTATGTGGAGATCATTCGGAGGAACACTGCCAAGGCGGGGTTAGCTTCGTGCTTGAATCTGGTCGTGTCTTCACTCCAAGGAAACTCCTCCAGTGAGAAGCCGTGGGCGGCTCTGAGACCACCGGACACCTCAGCCGCTCATTGGACCGGCTAAGCTCTACGCCTAATTACGAAACCTAACCCCAGCTTACGGAGTACCACCTGTCGCCCACCCTAGACAAGATGTACCGTACACCTCGCGGGGAGAATAAGCGCATGCAGCACTCGGGGTCATCTAACCCGCTGTGGGTGCGTGCTCGGCGGCTTTACCCCAACCTACCCCAGAGCGGATCTCGTCTCCAAAAGGGAAGGAGGTAGAGTGCAGGAGCACGAAGGGGCAAAAAAGAATGAAAAGCAGCGGCTCCCGGCCGCACATGCATCTGTTCCTTTCTCCCTTTGTTTGTCGCCGATCCCAACTTAGACGTTATCTGTACGGGCACACAGCAGCCGACAACATGAGCCAACCTGTCGATTCCAAGGGCGAGGGCCTGACGCCTGAGGTCGAGGCGCCTCAGGTCGTGCAGGGCGCTGACCTCGATGAGAAGGCGGGTCTCAAAGACTACAAGGCCGATGCCATGGAGGCAGAGCACGCCGAGCACAACATGACAGTCCTCCAGGCCGTCAGGGCCTACCCCATGGCTACCTTCTGGGCTTTTGTCATGTCCTTTTGTATTGTGAGTCCTACGCTATCAGAGCCTTTTACCCGGCGGACAAATAAAACTAATACCGGACCCAGATTATGGAATCCTACGATGTGTTCCTCATGGGTAGCTTCGTTGCGCTGCCATATTTCAAACAGGAATACGGTATACCGCACGGCGACGAACACGTCATCGAGACCAAATGGCAATCTGCACTTCAAGTCTCCGGGCAACTCGGTGCGCTTATCGGGGTTTTTGTTGCTGGTCCCCTGACCAGCCGCATCGGATACCGATGGGCGACAATCACCGGTCTCATGCTCTTGAACGCCTTCATCTTCTCGTTCTACTTTGCCAAGTCACTCCCGGTCATGTTTGTGGCCCAACTGCTGGAGGGTGTGCCATGGGGCATTTTCATCGCGAACGCGCCGGCATACTGCAGTGAGATCGTGCCTATCCAGCTGCGAGCCCCCTGCACGCAGATGCTGCAAATGTTCTGGGCCATCGGCAGTATCATCGTGGGCGCTGTCACCTATGTGTACAGCCACGTTCACGACCCAACCGCCTACAGGTATGTTTCAATCCTCGCTGGTTGTAGAGAGGGAAGATTAACATGGCTGCAGGATCCCCATTGCTCTCCAGTGGATGTTCCCCACCCCACTCGCCATCCTCATGTTCTGCGCCCCAGAGTCACCCTGGTGGCTGGTCCGAAAGGGTCGCCTTGAAGATGCAGCGCATGCGGTCGAGCGTCTTGGACGCAGGTCGCAGCTGAACTCTGGCGAGACCGTAGCCATGATGCGTCGTGTCGTTGAGCTCGAGAAGGAGACCAAGGATCCCACCTTTGCCGAGCTCTTCAAGGGAACTGACCGCTACCGCACTCTCATTGTGTGTGGTGTGTACGCGGCACAGAACCTCACTGGTAACCTGATTGCCAACCAGGCTGTCTATTTCTTCCAGCGTAAGCTCAAGTGTCCCAGTCAATAGAGGAAGCACATGCTGATCTAAATCCAGAGGCCGGGATGAGCGACACCACTGCATTCGCCCTAGGCCTCATCACATCGGCCCTGCAGATGATCTTCGTCATGCTCTCCTGGATTTTGACCACGTACTTCGGTCGCCGTGACATCTATGTATGGGGCTCCGCTGTCAACACAATTCTTCTTGTTGCCCTGGGTGTCGCGGGCTCCTTCCCCAGATCTACGTCAGTTAACCTGGCAGTGGCATCTCTCGGTCTCATTGTCTCTGTCCTATTCACCCTTGGTCCCGCGCCCGCCTCTTGGGTCATTATTGGCGAAACATCGGCCATCCGCCTCCGCCCACTGACCACTGGTATGGGACGTGCCTCGTACTACATTGTCGAGATTCCTTGCATCTTCCTGGCCAGTTACATGCTCAACCCAACGGTAAGACCACGGCCATTCCCCAAAATGCTATGATGTGACAACACTGACACAGTCCAGGGCGGCAACCTTGCCGGCAAGTGCGGTTATGTGTGGGGTGCCACCGGTCTGGTCTGCTTGGTTTGCGCTTGGATTTGGCTGCCGGAGATGAAGGGCCGATCCTACCGTGAGATTGACATCTTGTTCAAGCGCCGCGTTCAGGCTCGCAAGTGGAAGAAGACCATCATTGATCCCGAGGATGATGAGTAAACATCTCGTGTTTGCCCGAATCGACCACACACATGGCACATCGTCCTCGATGGAAACCCAAAAGCAAATTGTCGATGGGCAAAGTTAACATTATTTGGAAGTTGATTTAGCCGGGCTCTGCCGTAAACTCCAGATCATTACCATGTATGATATCAACCACCTAAGCTACTGCACGACACTGTAGTGTGTATTGGCTCACTACTCTGCCTTTTCAACACCGTCTGGTAAAGCATGCATACATGTTCCTAGGAACTCCTTGACTTCAATTTCTGTTTGGCAGAATGAAATCCTCTATTCATGATCCGGCGTCCTTTTTAACTGTCTTCGAACCTCGAAATTCCTCGTGAGGATTTGAATTTGCAAAGCCTAGCCAGGCACAGTCTAGTCATCTGACTTAGTCTTAAACCCTGAGCAGGAACACAATGATCGTTGTCCAGTGCGCCTGTGTTATGGATGCTGCGAAGCACAATCCTCACCCTTGGCCAAACGTCAAGCCGCTAGAGAGAGTATCGGGAGCCGAGACTTGGACTCTTTATTCTTCGCATGGACGGACTTGGGTTTGAACTAGGTAGTCATTGGGCAAGGTCGTCCTTCCAAACACAGAAATGACACCAACCTGCAGGATCAACCACTGAAACCACAATCCCGAGCCGTCGTTCAATCTTCGACCAGCCCACAACCACAGCGACTTGTGTGTTATGGCGTCTTGACGTGAGCGTCCCTATTGTAGCCATTTGGCGTTCAAGTTCATCCTTCATGTTCACCGAATACGTCTTTGGTTCACCTTGGCAATATTGCCCAGAAACAATATCATGATTACACAGGTTGTAATTACTACATGAAAGAAGAAACAAAGTGCAAATTGAAGCCAGTGATATGCAATGGTCCGCATTACATGTCTGGCAACATAGCTTACCAATTTCTCTTGGTATTCCCATTAACAAGTTGCCAGGTGAGATACATGCATTGCGCTTCAGCTTAAGTATCTACTTCTCAGCGGCATGTCTCTTAGCCGTCAAGTTCTCCACGGGGGCATCGACCCTATAGTTCATGGTCGCGCGCAGGTCGCCGAGGAAGAAGCAGGTGATACACGCGATGACACCGAAAGGAATTGCGATGTAGTAGACGACATGCAGCGAGTCCGCATATGCCTGGCCCTGCGCTACCATCGCCGCGTCGATGATGGTGGAGTTCACTCCGGGAATCGCGTCCAGGGACGTGGTGTTCTGCGACAACAGAGCGCCAATGAACTTGGGAACGGACTCGGAAGATAGGCCAGCTTTGACGGCGGCGTTAGCTATGTTAGCAGGGAGCTTCTCGCCAATGGCAGAGCTGAACGCAGCGGCGTAGATGGCCGTGAAGACCGTTGCGCCAACCGCTCGGGCGGAGGTTGTCACGGCCGTGGCAGTGGCAATCAAGTTATGCGGTGTGGAGAGTTGAACTGCTGCTATGATGAGGACAAGCGGGGCGCCGAAGCCAAGTCCGGCAAGACCGGAGAAGATGACGGCCCTCAGATCATCACCAGGCTGGATGCAGGCGAAGCCGATAAGCCCGCCGGTGTAAATGAGGAACCCCGCGAAAAGCGGCGCTCGGACAGTGCCGAACCGCATGCTCCAGTAGCCCCACGCCGATGTTGACAAACCCGAGGCGATCCAGAACGGTGTCCCGCGAGCGGTGAGAAGGAACGGATCTTTCTCAAAGAGCGCAGTGGTCCTGTTTTCCACAGTATTGTCAGTCAGGTCATCCGTGAGATGGAACATGGATATCGGGACCCTCAACTTACATGACGGGGTAAAAGATGACGTATGAAAACAGCAGTATGCCTTCGATCAGCATGAGGACGATACAGAGGGCAAAGGTGCGCCTCGCTGCTTTTCCTCCCTGGAAGAGCTCATGATTCAGGATACCTGTCTTTGTTCCTTTCCATTCAAAGACGCCGAAGCAGATGAGGGTAATCAGACCAATGATCATCAAGGACAACACACGGGCGTTGGTCCATGCGAATAGTCCGCCTCCGAGGTTCAGCGAGACTAGGAACAAGGTGAGCCCAGCTGTCAGCAGGCCAAAGCCAGGTAGATCCAGATGTGTGATCTTTTGCCAGACGGAGAGGTGGTCTAGCCGAGTGTGTCGCTTCGGGGGTCGGTAGCCGAAGAAGATGCCGATTGCGGTCGAACCCCAAAGGGCCATTTGCACCCACTGCTGGTGGTCAGTTCGGTGCTCATAAGTCTCGGAACATGAGGTGGCTCGCTCACATAGAAATTCTTCCAACCATTCATCTCATCCGCCTTAGTGAAAGCACCGATAACCAATGGGCCAGCTACTGCACCTAGAGAAGCGGCAATGTTCATTGCTGCCTGGGACACTAAAATCAATATTGTTAGTCATAACGTCCCCCCAACCTGTCGAGGTTAATACGAGGGATCGGACTTACTGGGCCTCCATTTTCGAGGCAGGATCTCACTCGGGACGGCAAACGCCAACCCTACAGAGGAAAAGCCAATGCCAATGAGAATGGTGGCTACAATCAGCCGGTAGATATTTTTCGAGCCGGGTGCAATGGCCGCGCCAATCATCGAAATGACTGAAGTCCCAACAAGTAGATACTTGCGAGCCTGGAACACATCGGATGTGGAGGAGAAGAGCGGAGAGACGACGGCTTGCACGAGCGCGAGCGAGTTGGGAACCCAGGTCTGGGCCTGCGTGTTGTGGAGGGATGTGCCAATGTACGAAAGCTTTGGTTCACTGGAGTCAACAGTCTCATCTCAATGCCTCTCGGGGGGGTGGGGGGGCAAGAAACTATACTTACGACAGAGGGTGGGCCTTGAAGCGCGAATGTCTGAACAAAATTCATTAGGAACATGGAGGCGAGCGCGATCCAAGTTCGTAGGTGGATGACCGGCTCTTCATCGACGTTGTCGTACACAAGGTTCTCCATCGCAGGTTTTTCGAGATTCTCAATGTCTCCAACGTTGGTGCTCTCAGCCCGTGAGACTTCAAGGGGCTCTTGATGGTGTGCTTTGTGGGTTGGAGCTGCCATGATTTGTAGCGAAGTTGTCGGTTGCCCAGCTACGCAGCTTAACGCAATAATTGGAACTGTTCCGAGTTGACAGCGAGTTGAGAGCTGAGAGATCCACAATGGGATCCCCGGGGGCAATATATATCTGAGATAGCTCTACTAAGTAGCGTGAATACATGATCTGAGTTCCCCTGATAGACGAGAAGGCTGATTGGAATGGGGATTCCGGGGTAATCTCTTGACAAAGGTTAAATGCCGTGATACGTGCGTGCCTGCAGAGGTTCGCGGGACACTAGCGATAAAGAGTGACGAGGTAAATGATAGAAGCTGGCGGAGATCTGCGAGCAGCCAAAAGTCTCAGATGTCGGAGATCTGCGAGCGAGTCCAAGAATGGGTGGGGCCCTCTAGTATGTTGGCATGGGGGCGCTTCCCCAGGTTTGAATTAGTTTCGGTTGCTAATACCATGTCTGTGAGACTCAGAATGTCACCGCCACATTTGCTACGTGTCGGAAATTTGCGAGCCCCATTATCCGACGTGTGTGAGGTTGTGGCATCCATGTTGCTTGTAAAGTTCAACTCACCGCACCGTGGGAATTGTTTCGAGATTATTTGATATGATCATAGCGGAAACGGATTGGACTGCGGCCCGAACACAGGTCGTTATCCGAATTGTAGCTGATTTCGCATACGAGTGTGTCCATCCTCAGTGCCGCCTCATCGACCAAGCCTGGAGCTCGGCTGCTTCCACCTTCACCGTCCATTGCCTTTGGAGTCTAGGATACTTGCGCAAATTGACTTTATCACGTGAACTAGATATTCTCGTGCCACGGGTTAAGTACGTGTGCAGGCTCTCTGGTGTAGCAAGGAGACAATGCTGATTTCTTCAAGAGCTTTGGGATGAGCGAGAACAATGATCCTCGAGCATAGGTCCTGTTCAATAATTGCAACCCTGTTTGGTTTGAAAGCTCTTTGTACTTTGCGATCCTATGATACTATTTCGGAGGTCACCTGTTACCATGTAGGAACTTTGTGAAAGTCATGTCCTTCGTACTATAGGTCAAGCGAAATCTACATGTAGAGTCTTTTGACTCGTTCTATGCAGTCATGTGAAGAACCTCATGACACGAATTTGTGGTTGGCAAAGTGGGCTTTCACCACCTTGTCAATCAACTCCATGATTCTTACCAGTTTCTCATCCTCGAGCCGCGGTACGACGACTTGTACACTGAGCGGCGTACCCAGGTATACCTTTCTGTTGACCGATTTCTCGTCCCATAGTTCTCGGCTCCCATCGTCCCAGATGCTCAATGACCTCCCTGCAAGTGGCTGACCTAGCTCCAGATCTTGCTCAACAACGTCTCTAATGGGGATGGTACCTGCAGGATAATCGAACATGACGAATGAGCTTGTGTATCCAAGAGCGTGGTATCTGTCAATCTCGGGCACAGGGTGAGGTGCCACTGGGCAAATGACAGCATCCAGTCTCCTCGCCCTCCTGCCGTAGTTGTCCACCTCTGACCAGATCTGGAGCATCTCGTACTCGAGTTCTGCGCGTCGAGCCTGGAGCTGAGCCAGTTCTGTAAGCTGGCCAACCTCGCTGATTTTGAATCTCGACTGCATCCATGGAACCAGGGGCTCTTGTGCAGATTTCAAAAGCTCCCCCATCAGGACTGCTCCGTCGATCCCAATCAGCCTATTCATGAGGCTCTGAGCTTCTGTCCACGCCGGTGGAGTCGAGACTTCCACTACCTTGATATCCGGGTGCTGGCCCAGGATTGCCGCCACTTCAGAGAGAATTTTCTGAATAGGCGGCAGTAGGGTACAGTTCCCATCACATCTCAGCACACCAATGACAATTTCTCCATTCGGCCCGGCCCCCTGGAGGCGTCCTTGGATATCTGACCACTGACCAAACACGCAGTCTTCCCCCCACAGAGAGGCCCGAGGCACCAACTCATTCATGACATAGCTAATGTCATCGGCCCTCTGCGCGAGTAGACCCGCCACGGGTTGCACGCTTGATCTTGTCATGCCGTCAGGCACCAAAACTGCCTGTCCACCATATGGCAATCTGGAGTTGCTCGGTTTGAAACCATAGACGCCATTCGTCATAGCCGGAATCCTCACGCTCCCGCCAAGATCAGTGCCAACCCCAATGAGAGAGCTCTTCATCGCTATCATGACACCCTCCCCTCCTGAGCTTCCGCCGGCAGTACACAGTCGGTTGATTGGATTCATTGTCCTGCCGAAGACATTGTTTATGCTGTCAAGACTCGAGAGCGTTTGCGGTACATTGGTCTTAGCCACAATGACTGCCCCCAAAGACAAGAGGAGGTCTACTAGAGGGGCATTCTTGATCGCCGGTTTGTAGCAGTAGGCTGCCAAGCCAGTGGAACTATCGACGCCTTGTACATCGAATGTATCCTTGACGCTGACCGGCAAGCCATGCAAGGGCCCGAAGGTGGCTCCGTGCTCTTTCAGATACGAATCCAGGAACTTCGCTCGTTCGGCAGCTTGCTTGAACAAAGGCTCAGTCAAGCAGTTTGTCAATTGGTGGGCCACCGCTGCTCGATGGCAAAAGGCGCCTATCACCCTTTCAGCGGAGATCTTTTGGTTCGAGATCGCCTCAAGGAGCGTGGAAACGGTGTAGTTCTCAGTGATGTCGGTCTCTTCTGCGGACAAAACTCTCCGAGGGACACCTAGTACGTTTTGAGGACCATCTTCGAAAAGCGGAGGGTCTTTGGGCAAGTACGAAGAAGGTATGCGCCAATGCGATGGAATGCAGGAATCGCGCTCGAGTTGCTTGCGACGGGCGATGGGCACCCATGGCGCTTCAGAAGCGGGGATTGCCATATTTGCCAAAACCGTCTAAGGTATGTGTAGAATGACAATGGAGTAGCTGTCAGGATCTGGATAATACAATGTGAAGAGGAGGGTTGGTTGCTGAGCTGTCTTGTCTTCTGCATTGTCAGGTCCAGGACAAGCAGAATCAAGGACGAGGGCAAGGGGCTAACTATATACTTAGTCTACTCCGTAAGGAACCCGGCGATCTGAATAGGACTACACTAAGACAAGCTAAATGGCCCTAGCCGCCATTAAGTCGGACAGCCGGTCAACCCGCAACCGACAGCAGGTGAGTTACGATGTGGCATTGCCGTCTTGTCCTACATCCGAAATACGCAGATATTCGCACCATATTCAATTAACCATGATAATGTGCCCAATACTGCTATAGTATCCTTGCAATCTTGTGCGGGGGAAGAATAGAGTCACTCTTCGGAAAGCAATAACAACCAGAAATGTTGAACAAATGCGTATTTATCTATTGGGGTTTTTGGCGATACCAATATATCTTCCTCGATCTTACGATTGCAATATCTTCCAATCATACGCTTTCTCCCAGGCAGCTGCCACCTTCAGACAATCGACATCCTCGTATTTCCGGCCGACCAGCTGCATTCCAGCTGGGAGCCTGACATTGGCATCTTCTCTGGCAGGAACAAAGCCCACTGGGATTGAAATGGCAGGATGACCGGAATCTGGGGGTGCCTTTTTAGTCACCACGTATCGTTTTTGGAACCGTAGAAGACTCACTGTCAAATGGAGACGTGTTGGCAATCATGCCTGTCGTCCTCATCGTAAACTTCAGCAGACCCTCTTCGTAGCGATGTTCTGGAAGCTTCGGTGCCGGATGTGGCAGGGTAGGCATGACCAAGACGTCGAATTGCTTCAGTGCCTTATCATAGGCGTCCTGAGCTAATGTCAGCACAACATGTATTGAGTTGAATAGTAAATAACCTACGCTTATGAACTTTTGTAAGTTCATACATTTCCCCTGATGCACCAGCCCGTGCTTCTCCGATAGCCACAGGTGGTTTAGGTACAAGCTGGCCGCTCCAGGACCAAGCGCATCGAACTGTTGCTGGGTAAGGCGGGAACCAATTAACGCCAACCGATCAGTCATGTAAAGCTGCTTTCTGCCTTCCATCCCGCCCAGCAATGCTTGCCGCCCACAGGAGAGCCCAATGGAGCTCATCCAGACAAGTGGCGCTAGTTTGTGCTCGGGAATCGACACTGGCGCGACTTCCGCACCGAGGGCTTTGAACTTGTCCACAGCAGCCTGGACACACTTGACAATGTTCTCGTCTTGGCCATCAATCTGGAAGCCTTCTTGCAGCACTCCGATCTTGATACCACTCAGCATTTCGCTTTGTGGCTTCGACACGATCCCGTCGACACGCTCAACAAACTTCAGTCTCCTATCATCTAGATCCAACAAAGCCTGCCTGTCATCCCAACTGTCTGGTCCGGCAATCGCTTCGAGAAGTAAAGCACAGTCTCGCACTGTGCGTGTCATCGGCCCCGCGTGATCAAGCGCCGCGTCCAGGTTGATGATGCCTGTGTACGGGACCATTCCCCATGTTGGCTTGAGTCCGACGATTCCACAGGAAGCCGAGGGGATACGGATACTACCGGCTTGGTCGCACCCGATAGACATATCTACGAGACCGGCCCCTACAAGGCGGCCGGAGCCGCTGCTTGAACCACCGGCACTGTACCCATGCGCCCATGGATTGTGGACGTTGCCGGTGATGGCAGTCGCAGATAGACCTTCGAAGCAGGCATTTTCGCATGCTAACAGACGTGTTTTAGCAACCCTTCGACATGGAAAGGCCTGGGTTGGGCTTCCTGAGGCTCATCTTACCAGCCTTGCCGACAATGATGCCGCCAGCATCCATCACGCGAGTCGCAACGGTCGCATCCACTTTCGGTGTCCATTCTACCATCGATGTTCCGTTCATGCACGGCACTCCAGCAAGCGCGATATTGTCCTTGAGTGCGATGGTTCGGCCGCCGAGGAGATTGCTGGTAGGTACTGTGCATTTCGCCGTGACCTGTTGGCGTTAGACTCTCCAATCCTTATAGAGCTCTTCTGCGCTCGACAAGGACTTCTGACCTTTGCAGCCCATCCGCCGAGATCGTTGTCTGTGGGAAAGTGAATATCACTCCTCGGATACTTGGCAAGATCCGGGATGGGGATGACGCAGCTATCGTCCGGCAAGCTAGCAATCACAGCCTCGAGACCGCTGACAAGCGTGACGTAGTCTGTTGCCATCTGGTCCGACAGCTTGAGGCCACTCTTAGCAGCGATGTCCTGGACATCTTGTACCGCCACTTGCGGCGCCTCAGTATCGACTCGAACAATGGACATTGTCAGGATTTGAGAGACGAGTAAAGTGAAGGGGGACGATGGAAAGACACAAAGGAGGAGGTGAAGTGGAATCAAAAGGCAAGGCGAGAGCTTTGAGGCGACATACTTCACTTCAGGAACAGCCCCCTCAGTCGGGATCGGACGCCATGGCTTTAAACAGCCGGGTCAGCTGGCCTGCAGGCCGTCGAGGGCAAAGATGAACCCAGTCTCGACGTGCAGCGCTCTGTGCCATTGTGGGGGAGCATTTTATCGCATTCGAAGAACGATCAACGCAGTCTTGATCAGACCCACTCGGGCCTATCTCCGACTGGGGTCCTTTTGGTGCTATTGTCGGACTTTTGCTAGCCTCGTGTTGTGACCCGCGCCGCGTTGTTAATACTATTGACCAACCCGGTTGTGTCATGACTCGGTTACTTGGTGCAATCGACCTGGTGGGTCTCGATTCGTGGTGCATGGGACTTGCTGATTGATGACACCCCGCTATCCCGCATTGTCAACAACAGAGTCGCATCTGGATACCTACTACCTCCTCGCAATTCCTTGCGGCACGAGATTGGTTATCAATGGGAGATTCGCGATAAGCACCTGGTTTCCTGTTGCTTGGTCGCGCCAGCGCCGGCCTTTGCCTTGAACCGCGGTCCGCTTAGCTGTGCATTCGCGTGTTGCAAGCCCTCGCGACAATGCCTCGCCGTCCGCGGACCCAGCCTGTCCTGGCCTGCGCTAGGTGTTACTGCCTGAAGAAGAGGGTAGAAGCCCCTTGACCTTTGGTCTGCCACACTCCAATTAACACCACGCTGCAGTGTGACAAGCAGTTGCCAGCCTGCTCGCGATGCATCACAGCTGGCAAGGAGTGTGTGGGCATTGATCGACATAACCGTAAAGAAGTCCCGCGAAGGTAACAAACCTCTTCTACAAGCCTACGTTCCTTTGACGCTGAGATGATTCCCAGTGCTCTTCAGTACTTGACAAAGCGTCTGGCCGAGATCGACCCAGACCGTAGAAGCCGCCTGCCAGAGCCGGAACACATACAAACCCAGAAGGAAAATCAGATTTCGGAGACATCACCCATCTCTGAGCATGCCTATGCCCACGTCCTCCGGGCCATCAGCGTGTCCATCCGCAGCTTACACACTACGAACTGCGTGGGCAGCCATCTGGGGCTTCTACACGAATCCAAGTTATTTTACCCAACCGAACGACCGCCTCACAAGCTTCCAGTACAGGGACTTTACTACGAGTATCTCGGCAGGCGAGCAGGTTATGGCGATGACACTCAATTCGCAGCAATCAACCCTCTGCGGATCCCTTTCGAAGTTGCGCGGCACATCTTTGACAACTACGTGACGACGATCCTACCGCGATATCCTTGTTTCACTAGCAATGAGCTATGGTATCATTTTGGGCAGGTATACTCCAAGCAGCAAGTGGACAGCTCCTCGCTCCTGGGTGCCAGCCGATTTGTTGTGTCCATGGTCTTGGCAATCAGCTCACTGACATCGAGGCGTGAAGACTTCTCCAGAGTCGCCTCAATGAGCGAGTCGCTTCACCGGGATGCTATGCAACACTGGGCTTTCCTAAAACAGTCTAATATCAGATCGCTTCAAGGACTTCTCTTGCTGATACAACTAGGCTTCTTTTTGCCATATATCGATAATGTCTTTTTCTTGAGCGGCGAAGCCGTACGCATGGCCATCGGGCTTGGCCTTCATCAAGAGGCGGATCCTGTCCAAGGACTTGATCCACAAAGCATAAGCGTCCGACGGCAGATCTTTTGGTTGGTATAATTCTGCAAGCCCGTCAAATACCCTTGGCACTGTTTGTCGGGACGGGCTCTAAGGCTAATGTTCGGAAAAGGTCTACCTGATTGACAGGACTATTGCTATCGCGACAGGATCGGCCCCCTGTGTCAGTGACGAGCATATCACCACATGCTTGCCAGGCGGCGGCGAAGGAGGAAGCTATGCCGCCGACACCTCTACAGCCTCTAGGGACGAACGACTCAATGCAAATCATTTCCTGCTACAAATACAATTATGCAGACTCCAGTCTGAGATATACGAAATCAAGTTCTTCGGCCGGGCTATCCCCGACCATTTAGACAGCCACGATAGCTGGGTCCAGCACATGGACGAGTGTATCGGTAGCATGCTTGATCCTTCAGCCACATCAGACGGTGTCGTGCCTCAATGGGTAGAAATTATTGCCCATCACAGTCGAAACTTGCTACATCGGCCGTTTCCTGGAGATATGGCCCCAAGTCACGACTCCTTACTGGCCGCAACCACAAGCGCGATCAACCTAATCAACTGCTACCACAGAACCTGCCAAGCTCCGCGGTTCATCTGGACTTTCGTGGTCGTCAACAATGCTTTTCAAGCAGCAATTGTCCTGCTGTACATCTTTGCAAACTATGAATACGTCATCCGTGGGAATTCACTAGGAGATGAGCTTCTTTTATCTCTTGAGAAACTCATGAACATCCTTGTGAGAAGCATTCGGGACACTCTGGATTCTCAATAGAGGCTAATAATTGATAGGAGGTCGGAGCACGAAGGTGGCCTATCATTGCCATCACCAGCATGTATATCAACGATCTCCGAGATGTCGTCATATCGACCCAGCCAAATTCGATTGGCTCAGCCAATGGTCTGAAGCTCATTTCTGAGCTCGAGTTACTGCTCTCGCAACGTCGCATACGCAGTATCTACCAGGCAAACACGGAGATACAACATGCATTTCCGCCTTTGGGACCTCCATCGCCTCAGGAATATTCTCAACAGCCTTTTTCCGACGATGTATGGCACGAGTTCATGGCAGCTCAGTTTGAGTTCGAGGAGCCGTCCTCTCTTAATTTTCTCGACTCCTCTTGGCTGACCCAACAGCACCAAACGGCTGTCGCGGCTACTGCAGAGGCTGTAAGTGAAGTATCGATCCCAGAGCTTCCGAGTGACATCAAGGCTGTCGTGGATTCAATGCCATCCTGCAGTTTCTGCCGTGATCAACACATACGATGTGACCGTGAGCTGCCATGCTGTGGTGCCTGCCGCAGATCGCCCCGGGAATGTATTTATTATGATATTGCTTTATCCCAAGAGGTTCCACGAAGGTTAGTCACTCGGTCCCTGCTGTTAGTTGATACCCAGACGGAGAGCTCACTCGAGTGCTTTACTATACTAGAGACATCCATGATTTGATTCACAGGATAAGTGCAGCAATCCAACTGGTGTCAATACCCCAGAACATGCCTTTAGAGTCTACGACGCTTCCCAAATCTAGCCGTACGGCATCGCCACAGCTCATTTGCGGTGCCAACCTCCTGATTCCAGCTGCGGCAACACCCATGCGCGACTCAGCAAAAAACCACGAAGAGTCCGAATCTTCAACGAGGACCACACATCCAGATTACATATTCTTTGGCACATCAAGTCATCTTGCGGCCATAAATTCTGTTATGATTCGACTGGCAGAAAGCTCCTCTGGGCTGGAAGTCAAGATTAGACCGAATTCCGACACCACCCCACCAACATGCCACGTCAATCCTCCAGACATTTCGATCGCCCTACGTCTATTTGCGATATTCAGCAGATCAGTCCATGTGTGGTACCCGGTACTGAGTGACAACTGTTTGCAGGGTTTGCTCTCCTGCTGCTACGTTGAGCCCCTTGACTCTTTCCTGGACCCCAACCAGGAGCTGTTCTATTTGGTCCTCGCCATAAGCAGCCAACTATCGAAGAGGGCCGAGCCCTGCATTGGCTATACCCCTGCTGCCTACTTTCACAAGGCTACTTCACTTGCCAATACTAGCTGTGAACATTCGTCGGGGTCCAGCACTTTGCATCTTATGCAGAGGTCTCTGCTCATTTGTATCTACTTGCTCCTGAGTCCGGGTGGAGGGGATATCTGGAGGAACCTCGGCTTTGCGATTCGCCTCTACTTTGACATGTCCCACGGCCGCTATGAGAATATTGAAGACCTGGACGAGGGCCAACTCACCATGCTCGCCAGAACCTTGTATTGTATTGAGGGGTACGTACGAATACCGGTTGCCAGGGCACATAGTTAACGACGAGAATAGGAATGTGACTGCCGCATTCGGTCGGCCAACGGTTTTGATAATAGGGGATAGACTGCGTGATGTCAGTCAACATTTCCCAACTCTTGTACAGAGTGTACTGACACCTTCTGCATAGGATCTTACTCAGCCAGTCTCTAATACGATTGAGGAACGTATATCTATTCAGTTCTACCGGATATCGACCCTGAAAATGCAATTGCAGAGCCTCATCCTCTCGGAAGCGTCTTTGCAGCACAATCCAAAAAGAGTGAAGGAAAGATCCGAGGCTATTCGAAAAGATTTGCTCCAGTGGTACCAATCCTGGAAGACGGACTTCATGCCCAATCTCACGAGCGATCTATACGACTGGGAAGGGGCGCTTCAAGATCTTGAGGCATGGGCTAGTTTGGAATACAATGCGGCCATCCTCTTGCTGTCCAGGCTGTCCTCAGGGATGGGGGATGTCTTCAATGCTGTTCAAGAAGTCGTGTCGTGCAGCAGCGCGCTTGTTAGACAACATCAACTATCGTTTTGCACTGTTTACGACCAGGAGTCACCTCGCCAGCTTCCAGTATTTCCTACCGACTGGACGTTCTCACATCTCCTGTTTTCTGCTGCGCTTCATCTAATTCCTTCCAAGAAACATGATGCAGCTGGATATAGTACTTGGGACCGAACAGTGCGATCTTGTTTGGCAACTATGGCGTTGATGGAACCCGATCCTACTAACTTGGCGATGGGCTTTTCAAAGATATTGGAGGACTTGTATTACTATGAACCTGACGACGGAAACATTCAAACTGCATAGTTCTCCAATGTAGGGGTCAACTAAGCAAACTGTACGGACTACACAGTTAGTTCCCCTTGAACGCCTGTTTCCAAGTAATACTCGATAATCTTTTGCATTTAGTCTCTGTTGGTAAAGTTTGCTCTATACTATGTATTACAATATTGCGGCATGAGCACTTCAAGCAGAGAATTTTGTTTCTGATCCTACCTATTGGTGGTATGAGAAAGGACGCGGCTGATCATGGTCTGCCTGTAACGGCTCTGTTTGTAGTAGAGATACCCATGGACTTTACGCGGCTCAAAACCGGCTCTATAATTCGATAATTGACTGACTGTCACCAACCTCAAACTGCGGATCGTCACCCACCGTACCACCTCCACACGGATCCTGAAGCTCAAACCCTAACTCGGGCCCATAACGAGTCTGTATCGTCTTCAACGTGCCAAAAGCTCGCCTACAGTCCCTTATGCTTTTCTCGACATCTCCACTAGCACCAAGCACCTGTCTAATCCCAATTCCATACACACTGACTCCGCTGTCCTCGATATAGATCACTGCAATCTTGCCATAGTGTCCATTGCCAATATCCAGAGGCTTGATGACATGATCAACAGACCGGTCCGGCAGCGGCAGTGGCCGAGCGCGGCGCAGTGGGGTACGGACACCGACGTTACGAGTCCAGGTCCCGGCCTCGCCATGGCTGGACTGCTTCTTAAACTCGCACCAATGGTACGCGTCCGAGTCTGGATGGCAATGTGACGTGTCGCTATTCAGACTGGTCGGTACCCACCTAAATACAGCCCCAGGGGATCAATGTCTTGTTTCGCAATAGATGTGTATAATATCATGACAGACTCACCATCCAAAGCTGAAGTATCCTAATTCTGTCATGTAGCAAAAGAAATGTTCCGGGTCGGCTGGCCGAATTGAACGGCCTGGTACCATGATTCTCGGGTATCCTCCAATGCATCATCCATCATCATGATTCATGATCAGTTCCAGCGCATATTTGGCGAGTTATTTCGCTCGGGTCCCGAGATAACATTAAGGACATGGAGAGTAACTCAGAGTTTAGGCATCGTTCAGCGATGTAGAGATTGTTCACTTGGGTATTTAGCTCTTGATCTATCAATGTTTTGACTGAAGTGCTTTTGATATTCGCCGCTTAAGCTTGGTCTCGTTTTCCCGACTGCTAGAGATGGCCAGGGTATATAGCTGATTGGAAGCTACTGCACAGCTGACCGCCTCCAATATACCATCAAGTAAGTGTTTTACATACTGCCCAAGTATGCGAGCGTGCAGAGCCTTGTTGGGCTTTGGCTGAAAGCTGCCTAGGTTGATCTGCACGTAGCTGCCGGGACAGTCCAGACCCCTGCAGGTCTCTACGACGAATGTGACAACTTCAAAGATCTGCAACAGCTTCTTGGAGCAGCTGACTATCATCAAACCAGTGGCAGTATCAACTTGTGGGTCTGCTAGCTCGGTCGTGATGGTCACTGATTGAGTCGGTGGTCGCGGGCGACGTAGGCCCGGAATCGAGGACAGGTCATTGTGGCATCTAACGTGCTCCATGCGACTGCCAACCTGCAACACACTCTCCAGAATGTGCGCGAGTTGCTCAAGCCCGGTGGCTTCCTGTTACTCCTAGAAATTACAGACAACACCAACATCCGATACAGCTTCACAATGGGTGGCCTTCCACGCTGGTGGATGGGTGTTGGTGACGGCCGGACCCACTCGCCTTGCATCAAGCCCTCCGCAAGACAGGTTCCGGAGGCGTGGACTTCGTGACTCCAGCTTATGACCTCCATTTTCAATCATTGCTTCACAAGCGGTCGATGACAGAGTGGAAACGCTCCGCAAGCCTTTTCTTAGAACACCACGTGGAGAGTTTGGAGACCTGTACATTCTCGGCGGGGAGACACTTAAAACGGCCAACATTGTGGATGATTTGACAGGCTCGCTGGAGAATGTATTCGACGAATTGATTGTCATTGATACCCTTGAAGAGGTTATGCAAACTTACATACCCGCCTCTGCGACTGTGCTCAGTCTCCTCAATCTTGAAGACCCAGCATGGAATGGTCTGACCACTCCGCAGTTTGAAGCTTTGTAAAAGTTGTTCAGGGACTGTCGGAGCATTCTTTGGATCACACATGCACAGGAGAGGGATGATCATTATGGAAACACCACTGTTGGATTCCTGCGGTCCGGTTTTGCGGAAGTCAACGCCGGAAACAATACCTCATAATTCCTTGATCAGACTGGTAGATGATCTGGGTGTACGCAAGTTGCTCTTAGGAACCTCCCTGACCCTCCCTGGAGTCTCTCTGAGCTCTCCGATATCGGAAGAAGCACCATGTTCGCTTCTGAAAATCTCTGGCGAAGATGCAAGTATTGAGGTGCATACCAGCGCCTGTGGTGACGACGCGCGCGTCCATTAGATTTGGGCAGGTCGAGGACTGCTACGAGGCCGTTGTACGCGATAACTTGGTTGATTAGGCAATGATTCCATCTAGACACAAGTAGCATCAATGATATTATGCATATTGGCGATTAGAAAAGCACTACCGCTCGAAAGCTTTATGCTTCATGTAGAGTTGTATGCTGATGCCACAAGATCAACCTTCCCGAACACAAACCCTTTGGTACCGTTGCTCAGCCAGCATTCTTCTCCGTGTTCTAGAGAACCCGCAAGGACGGTCTTTTAACAGCCAAGCCCCTATTTATCATTAGCAACTGTTCAATTACTTCCATTGTCATTTGGGACTTTACCGGTCCAAAGCCCATCTTCTAGTAGTTCCATCCTGGCCTCCGCTCCCTGCGGTCGTCGAGGGTTGAGCCCAGACTGGAGGCGTGACCCATCTGCCGTCGCGATAGAAGTACGGCGTAGCTCGACTTGCTTCCATAACGGAGCCATCCACATCACTGACGAGTAATACTTCAGCATCTTCGCCTTCTCTGATATGGCAACGCTCACGAGCAGCATCATACATCCTTCTGAAGGTCGTCTTGAAATGTGTCCACATAGAGCTTGAGGTTGTTGAGGGGTCTAGTCTAACCGCAAGCCCTGGAGTCTTTGGAGGCAGTCCTGAGCCGGCTGTTGAGCTATGGTGGCCAGGGACAGGAAGCTTCATAGGCAATAGTCGCTCGAGTGGGCCTGGCAATGTGTCCAAAACTGTATATCTCAGCTGGCCAGCCTTTGTTAGGTGAACTCTTAGCCTCACAGCACCACCTGCTCCTGGTGACCTTCTTGCGACTTCCTCTTCGATATCCGCCTCTAGTCGGCGGAGTCCGGCCTCCCCTGTAACTGCTTCTATAGCCTGACCCCACCCCCAATTCTCTGCGGCTCGGGCCATACGGTCGCGATGAAAGTCCAACATGTAGATTGCGGACCGGTTCTCGAAATTCCATCCGGCATAGGCATATTCAGGATGGTCCGGAACTTCTAGTAGGGCTGGGTCATAGCGCACCGAAGTGTATAGCATAAACTCGTCAACCATCTTGACTGGCACTGAGGAGGGTTCAGGGTTGAGTTGGTCTTCGCTTTGAATTTTGGGGCTACAAAAGTTTGTCGGCAGAGATACTGACGACAGGATCTCACAAAGGTGGTCAGGGACAGTGCGCCATTGATCTTTCAGGTGGACTAAAGGGACTGGAGGTCGTACGAAGGCGTTGGGCACGCTCAAGGTTGGGCGTTTGTTGCTACCAATCTTTCGTGAGGCAGCAATGATAAGGCGGGATGTTACGTAAAGGAAACGGAATGAGGGATTATGCCACCCACATCATCTGATGACAACAGGGCTCGGGTGCTCATTCCGTGTACTTCAATTTCAGTTCATAATATTCTGCACATACGATCCTATATTAGATACTGCAAGACATTCAACACATGGGACTGACTCCGTGAGGATCTTCCTGGCATGCGGGCACTCTGACTGATTATCTAAGTTCAAAGAGGATAGACAACATGGTGGAGAATGAAAGCAGTCTGTTGATAAAATTGTTTATGCACGAGCTTGTATTAATTTAGTGAAAGTCCTCATAGATCAGCGGTGCACACACGGACTGAGTATGTGACTACAGGCCGCGGCGTATCGGTTGTTGGATCCCGACTTCTCAAGATTATAAGTCTTGATCGCAAAGACAAGCTGGGCGATAGCCAGGCCGGTGTTTGTGACCGCCAAAAGTAAGGCAACAGATCCGAAAATGACCACGACAATGAACTGGTACCACTCCTTCGTATCGCTCTTGTCTCTGATGATACGCCAGAACTTGTTGGCGGGCTCTTGTCGAGCAAATGCCTGCAATTCCATAAGGCGATCGCCTAGAATGGGAAATTCGACCTTTCGGAAGGTTTGCTGTCGGTTCTTGGACTTGTCTACGGCGTTGGAATTGCGACTGGACAGACTGAACCCGCACTGTTCGTCCAGTAATGGGTCAATATCTTCCCCGTGCTGCTTCCTAATCGTTTTTCTCTGCTTTCGATAGACCTTCTTTGCGCCAGAATTGTTCTGGAAGATGATTTCATAGCTGAGCATGATCTCATCAACAAGTCCCTGGGTAGTGAACCCGTCTGGTCGGGTATGGTCATCATAAAAAGTTGAGATGAATCTGCGATTTATGTCAATGTTCGCATATGTCCCAAGCTGTGGCTAAGAACGGAGTTGCTCTCACTGGCAAAGCGGCGAGGAAGGATTCCGGAACTGCAAATGTGGAATGGAAGTTAGGCAGAAAAGCTTGAGGCAATTTGCCGACGTGTCAAGCTCGAGATGGGTACCAATGGATCGTGTCCACTCAATTCTCAACTTGCGAACTTGTCTCAGGTGAGCTGCGTTGAGAATGGAAACCTGAATGACATCGTCAGACGATGACAAAGTTGACAGGTCCGGTCCGTGTACTTTCTTGAAAAGAACCATGCCAAAATCATGGATGAACAGACTGAGATGCTTTTTCCCATCTAGAGGTTGCTGCGGTTGTTCGAAGAGGGATTTGCTTTCTTGTTTCACTGTCAGCCGATCCGGGAGGCCATCCACGATTGGATTGTAAAGGCAAGTAATCCACCCGACGAAAAGAAAGATCAGTTGGATTGCTTCTGCATTGAAACGAGGGTCTCCTGATTCATTTTGTGGTAGTCCTCCATTACTCCTCATGGTCCCAACGACTTCGCCAAAAGTCGAATGTACATGTTGAGATATGGTTTTGGCCACATTTGCGATTGCCGAAAGCTCGGTAGTGTATGGTTCCGTCCGGTCGGGAGTATCGACAAATAGCCTTCTCTGGAACTGGGAACTGCTCAAAAGATGTCGCAGATGACGAGAGCAGTACGCAAGTTGTGCGTCACTTGTCTCGGTAACTCGGTCGCTCAAGGCTTCCCGGAGCTCATCAAGCCCGGCAAACACTAAATTCATTCATTTATGTGAGCTACTAGGCAGACAGATTGCATACTCACACTCAAATAGCAGAGGTGATGGCGAATCGGACCTACTGGACGTGCTTGCCTGAGCCATATGTCTCAGTCTCGCCTCTCGTCACGGTGGTCGGCTGCGTGGTGATATTAAGCCGTGTGTGGGATGGAGGGGCAGAGAAGTCCAATTCAGTCGTGAGCTTTTGGCAGTATTTATAGAATATTCGGTGGGGGATTGGGTTGTGTTCGAGCGCGCGCCTTGGAGGGGGGAACAAGGCCTCATGAATGCAAGGCAAGTCAGGCACCCAATCCAAGACGTGATCACACACTGAGCTACACCGAATGCATTACACGATTTTTTGATTGGTACGTGTAACAAATTGAAGTTCTACAGACAATCTACTGAAACTAGTGCAATACCGCTTGATTCCTAGGTACTATCCGCCTGTCTGAGTAGGTGGGAGCTGCCCACTTCTCAAAATAATAGTGGGAATAACCTCGTGTACTCATCCCATCCGTGTGGCTGCAGCACCTCCGATTTCAGCACAACCCATGGCAACCTTCTCGGGCTGGGTTGTCTAAGTGCTCCAGACTCCGTAAACTCACACCGCGCATACCGACTTCGAGTCCGTTGTCTACATCTTGACATCTTTCACTCCTTGATTAGGTATCCTCCCGATCGTTGTCTTGAGGTCCGACTCGGGCAGTTTGTACATCTCCCCCTTGCCGGGGTTGTGAATGAGCTCAAACGCATAGGCGATTTGCAAGAGCTTCTCCTCGGCAAACCGTCTTCCGAGGAAGCATATCGGGAAACTGTATAGAGCAAACAAGAATACGTAGTTAGTATTCTGGACATGAGATAACCGGGCTGGGCAGGGTGCTTAGGGGATCCCAGGCGCAAGTACGTATAGATCGCCTTTCTTTTCCTTCACCACGGGAGTATCCGGGCCATGGAAGCCTAGAGGGACGGTGATGAGGGGAGAGCCCTCCAGGCTTGCAAATGTCACTGGCGTGGAAGCTGCTGTGGGAACCACCAGGACGTCGAGGTTTTCTCTGTTCAATGCTGCCCCAAGTCCACCCCCCGCTGTGATAAACTCTCGCAGCTTGTCCAATTTCGCAAATTTGTCAGAAGCGTAGTGATCATGGTCCAGTGCCATTTCAAAGGTTGCCGTGTTGTAGTGAGCAAAATCTTCCTCTGGTGTGTTCCTTGTGTAGTCGATGAGATCTTTGAGGGAGTGTAGACCATTGGGGTTTGTCTCCAATGTTGCAAAGTACTTTTCGAGGCTTTCCGCCAGATCGGCGATTGTGACTGACATTCTGTCGTGGGAAGAATACGACTCCCACTCGTCGGCGGCAGTTAGCTTCACATCATCGACAATTTCCGCTCCAGCAGATTTCAGCTCCTGGATGGCCTTCTCAAAGGCTTCGGTTTCGGCCGGCTCTACGGAGCCGATAGACTGCCTCGGAATGCCAATACGAATTCCTCCGAGGTCCGTAGAGCTGCAAGCCGCGACATAGTTGGGGATTGTGTCGAAGGGGATATCTTGCGTGCGCGAGTCACGGTCGCTTTTGCCGGCAATAACACTGAGAATGGCAGCTGAGTCTCTGACTCTGCGGGTGAAGAGGCCAACGGTGTCGAGACGGTTTGAAGCGGGGATGACACCATCGCGCGAGACCAGTCCCGTCGTTGGCTTGAGGCCGACCAGACTCGCTTTGCCGGCAGGGTTACAGATGCTTCCATCAGCCTCGGTGCCAAGCGCGGCAAAGGTCAAGCCGAGGGTCGTGGCCACGGCGCTGCCAGTACTGCTCCCAGATGCCTTCATCTTGGGATAGAAGGGACCGCTGCATTGGCCTCCCCTGGCGCACCACCCAGTTGCCGCGTTGTCCCACCGATAGTTTGCCCATTCAGTCAAGCTCGCCTTCCCCAAGATGATGGCGCCAGCGTCGCGTAACTTGGTCGCTACTGTAGCTCGTGGCCGGGCTTGGCGCCTTTCAACGCGTACGAGCCGGCTGTTGCCTCCATAGAGTCCAGAGTCACGATATTGTCTTTGAGCAAAATGGGTACACCGTGAAGAGGCCTGTAGGATGCATGGTTAGTACAATTGATAATAATGGTATAATATGGCCCGCGCTTACCCTTTACCGCCTGATGCTCGTGCTTTCTCATCAAGATCCCTCGCGATGGAGAGGGCATCTGGGTTGAATTCCAGAACCGACCGGTACACATGGTCGACCTCTTTTGCCCGTTGAATGTAGGCATTGACTAGATCGGTAGCAGTGAAGGTCCCCTGTTCCAGACCAATTTTGATGTCCTCGAGCGATATTTCGAGAAGGGAGGGGATGCTGGGTGCTTCTCATCGTCAGCTCAGCTTTACGGCCATGAAGCCTTCAGCGCCCAGTGGCAGGCACCATGAGAAAATACATACCCCGGGAGAAGAAGAACTTTGCGACAGCGGCCATGGCGATGAAGACTAGGACAGGCAAGGGCTTCCTGATTCTTGTTAGGGTACGAAGAGTGCGCCGAAGAACGGCCTGCATTGCAGGCACGGCCTTGCTAAATTGGATCAGTGCTGCCTGTTCAGATGGAGTTGTGCACCTTGAGGCGAGATGATTGTGAGCAGCAGTTGAAAACTCGCTGCAGGCTCTGATTTAGCAGCCAGCTCTGGCCGATGATGTACACGCACACGTCAACGTGGGAGTGCTAAGCGACGTGCGAAGGGCGGGCAGGGAAAGGACGAGGCCGGAATTGAGGTTAGGACGGGTTGGGCAGGAAAGAATTGAACCGCGCTGTAATGGCAAGAAAGGACCAAGCTGAAATAATTGTGAATGGTTGGTAAAAGGATGATGGTGACAGCATTCGCACACACTCGGGGGGCTTGGCAGGGCTGAAATCATCGTAGACAAGGTACAAACAGCCAACGGTCATGCCTGCACGAATAGGCACCGAAGAACAAACATGCCCGTCTTTTCTTGATTCGTTACCATCGTCCAAGTCTGTTGCATTGCGAAATCGGCCGTTGTCGGGGAGCAAGAAAGTGGAATGGTAAAAGAGCATACCCATGTAGGTAGGTAATGCAGATGCCAGTATTTCGTAGAGCTCGATTTCGCCCTCAAAAGACTGACGACGTACCTGATGGTTCTCTCTTTTTTCCTACCATGTATGGATGATTTTCATCTACAAGAAAATGACTGAAAGATAAAGATTGCTTCACAGCAGTCGGAATTATGAAGCTTCAGCGGTTGTGCTAGATCCCAGAGAGCAGGTCGCCGGGCCAAATTTGACTGGAGACGTGGTAATCGCCGATGGGAGTTGGAGGTGGTGAGTGTTCTATTGCTCGCTTGAAGACTGGGTTTCCTTCTATTGGAAGAACCTCTGATGGAAAGCAATATTAGGTCTTTCCTAGGCCAATGCCCTCTATGCGCTATGGCCGTGTTGCTCGTAGCGGCCCTCTTGCACCTACCAGCTCGGAAGACGTGGGACACTAAGAACGAGGCGTCGACATTCAAGATGGCTAGACTCGATATCCCCGGAACTGCATTCCTCATTACCTTCATAATCTTCCTTCTCCTCTTCCTCGACACCGCATCTCAAGCTACGGCGAGCTGGACATCTCTCTCCTGGCTCCTGGGCAGCATCCTGTCTTTCGCGTGCTTCATATCGATGGAAGCCGGCATAGCAACGCACACGATGACACCGCTGCGCATCCTCTTCGGTCCCGAATTCCTCGGCGCATTCCTCGCCCTCGACTTTGGCAATGTCGCATGGTATGGCGCCCTTTTCTACATCCCTCTGTTGTACCAGGCCGTCGGACACTAATACTCCGCCTCCATGGCTGGGGCATCCCTCCTACCGGGTATCTTATCTGATATCATATGAGGCCTTATCGGAGGACACATGATCAAGCGTAGGGGTGGTACCAGATTCAGACGTTTGGCGCTATCGTCATACCCCCTCGTGACTCTCTCGAGTCTGGGGCTGGTACTCGGAGTCGGCCTGTTCTGGATTTGTACGTCACCAGCAGCCCTGATCACGGCTCTGAGTCTTAGCCTCTTCATTGGAGGTCGAGGGAACGGCGCTGGCATAGGTTCCACGCTCGTCGTCGTCGTGATTGTTGCGCAGCCTGCGGATCAGGCCGTGGCTACCGCCTGCATCTACCTATACCGCCAGCTCGGCGCGACCCTGGGCCACGCTATCATCTCGCTGGTGTTCTAGCGGGTGCTCAAAGCAGCTTTGGTTGTATCCTTGGCGCGGGTGCCTGGACTGGACCTTGACGTGGATGAGGTGGTGCGGCGCGTCCGTGAACCGCCCGAATACTTGAACCAATTGCCCGGAGAGGCACGTGTGGTTGTGGAACATGCATATGGCAAGGCGTGTCAGGCTACTCTAGGCGTATGCGTAACACTTGCAGTGTGCGCTATCGCCTGCGCAGCGTTCATCAGGGAGAATAGGAGACATGTAGAGCCATGATGTAATGTTATATTAGTCGGTTGAGAATACTCTGTAGATATCTTGGAACCACACGAGGGAGATCTCCTGCACCACAAGGCGAATGACTGGGCTAACCCTAACCCTAACGAAGTCTCTGTCAGGCATCACAGCTGATTGGCATTTTTAGATAGACACCGGTTCTGAAGGGGCTGCGTCCGATGAGCTCAGATGCTGAACCGCAAACCACGCCTGCGAAGAGTCATACAACCAGACCCAGCAAGTCGGTGTAAAAAGGGTGAGTGCATGGGGTGAGATAATTTGGAGTTGACTGTCTTGGAGATGATCTGTCATCCGGTCCGAACCCGCTCCGCTCCCCAATGCATCGACCAAGTGCCCTATGTCGTGGCACAGTGTGCAAACCGAATAGTACAGTTTACATGCTATCGAAACAAAGACCCCCAATGATAAGCAATCTAGAGATAGCGGAGACAGCCGTGCGGCGTAGGTAATGTCAGATCTGGTGGTATGGGTTGCTTAAGTAGAATAAAGTAGGAGACAGTTGGCAAGGCATGGGCCTCCTCGAACTAAGTACCGTGATCCTAGCCTCCTAGTTGTTCAGCGTGAGGTCGAATTCTGACATCTGTTTGCGGTGGTGTGTTTGGGTTCGCCCAGCCCTTTCAATAATATCTACAGGAGGGCAGAGACACCTGAAAGTCATCACAAGGGGACTTCTTCTCAAGGTCGCCGGTGGCTCGAGTAATCAGGCGTCCGCAGTCTCAATGACAGCACACGCATTCGGATTCTCTGTTATTTCCTAACACTGCGCCTCTGGGCGCTTGTCCTAAAGGATAAAGGTATACTGGTTTCCTGGAAGGTACTGTTCTCAAGCAACATTTCCACCACTCCTCGAGCACACAGGAGCACCTGGGGCATGCCGTGGCCATTAAACCCTGCGCATATGTACATGCCCGGCTTCGTCTCGTCGACTCGGCCTACGTGCGGCAAGGAGTCGGCAGTGTACTACATCAATTGCGTTAGCAAGGTTGGCCTCCAGTGCAAGTAGTAGGTGACTATACCCCCATGATGCCAGTCCAGAGATAGTCCACCTCCGAAGGTTCATTCTCCCAAGTAGCAAATGTTCGCTGCATGAAGCCGTCGTAGTAATTAACAGCAGCCGGAATGAGTTGAGAGTCGTCTATGACATTGTACCAATCGTCGCGTGGCCCAGGGCGAACCGCCTTCCATGCTCCGCCTACCACGATGCTTCCATCTGGCCTCGTGATCAGATAGTCCTGGCAGCCGGGGCTGTGCTTAATGCCCATAGTTTTTATGGTCTCTGATATGACAGGAGCTGGGTTGCTCGTATTGACCGCTTGAATATGACTGCATATTCCACGGACGGGAATGATTGTCCCCGCATACTCGGGCAAAAGGTTTGGTGTGTAGCCATTCGTGGCAAAGATAACTGTCTTGGCCATCATATCTCCGCGCGGTGTCGAGATAACCCAATAGCCGTTGTCGTTTGGGGTTGACGAAATGCACTGGGCTGGCGTGTGGGTTTGGAGCTGGACTCCTTTTGACATGGCAATTTTTAAGAGGTGAACGGCAAGCTTGTACGGCCTTATACATACATCAGACAATAGCCAGAGACTTGAAGTGAAAAGGTCAGTCTCACCATATGCTTGCGGCAGGGAATGTTGCTGCCGCCTTGGCGCCAAGGACTCCCGTAACATCCTCTGCTTCATGAGGGTTCTCATGGAACTGAATCTTTCCAACAATGTCATATCCCGATCGGGCTAGTTCACCAATCTGAGATTTGGCCGCGCTTGCAAGGCTCCCATCGAGATAAACATTGGCAGACTCGACTTGTGTGTAATCACAGTCGATTCCTTCTGTTTGGACAAGCTCTTTGACAGCCTCGGCATTCGCAACCTCGAATAGTGCAATCTCATTAGCCGAATCCAGACCTAGAGTTTCTGAGAATTTGGAGAAGCTTGCGAGCGCTTCAGGTCGTAAGTGACCGCCTGCATTTCGTTGATTCAGCCCAATGCACACGACAGCTTCAGTACCATGCAAGCTCACGCACCGTTCCTTCCCGTTGCTCCCGAGCATACCTCTCTTGCCTCTAAGACTGTCGTAGTAGGTATGCTGCTGCTACCGGCCGTTTGGCTTATATAATATGCGCAGGCAGCGCCTGTAAGCCCGGAACCTATAATGACGATATCCTGGACACGTGGCAAGTCTGAGGTGCTGCGAAAGTTTTCAAGATGGCCTCCGTCCTTGCGCCAATATGAAAATGTCGGGCCAGCGACAGGTGTGACACCAACAGTCGTACAGCTTGCCATAGCTCAACAGGTTTGATCAGTTGCAATAGCAGTGTCGTGGCATGAAACGCTTGAGGCGTAGGAGGTCATATGTTGTGATTTCAAAGCCTGTGGCACATGGCGAGAGGGAATGTAGCAGGATCTGGACTCCATGTGGCCTAGGAGTGCCGAAGCCGGCCAGATAGCTCCTCACCACCAGCGATCCACGTTCAGATCTCTAACTGGAACAAGTTAGTTGTGCGCAGAAATTCGCTCAAGGACTGCTCGTGTCGAGGGTTGCTCGTGTCGAGGATGCGTGCGACTCTAAGCGTCGGTTTGACAGAAGCTTGACCTGTCGTGGCGAGTATATGTGGGGCCCATCTCATCTTATCTGATCCTTCTTTCAGTCACGCTAAGAAATCCAGCATCATCACGGGCAGAGGACAACGCACCAGTCTGTACACGTTCCATGCCCACTTGACAAGCTACCTAGGTATGAAATGGGATATCTGCCTAACAAAAGTCTCCTGGCATGATCCGGCTTCGGCTGCCCCCCTCCTTTGACTCAACCCTGATAAAAGACGCGTTACCGGGTCTTTTCTCACATGCATTTCCTAACGTCAAGAACTGCCAGTCCACAGCAAAGTACGAGGGAAGAAAAACTAAAGCCATGGTGAACAGATTCGATCTGAATGTCAATCCGGCCCCGGAAGCCGGCATAGACATGCATACTGTGAAGCGGGGTCGCATTCTTTCAGAGCACGAGGTGCCGGAGGGCGTGTCTGGTTACAACCCCGAATTGATGCGAGGTCGAGCACTCTTGTCGCCCGCTGAAGAGAAGAAGCTTATGCGAAAAGTCGACCTTCATTTGATGCCTTTACTTGCACTTATTTTGATGGTCAAGAACCTGGATGCAAACAATGTAAGCTATCGACCCTTTGTTGCTCATGCACGAATGACTCTTACTAAGCTTGATCTTGATCTTCCCAACCAGGCCGCCAACGCTCGAATCATGAACAAGGGGACACCACGCAATATCTTGGAAGAGTTGCATATGAGTCCCGACGCCTACAACTTTGTTAGCTCCATATACTTTGTAAGTGCAGTCTCTGTCACAGTCGCCTAGATCACTACTCATGTCGTCGTTAAGATTCCTTTTATTCTCGGCGGCATGCCGTCGAACCTCATCATCAAGCGGGTCCGGCCTTCGAGGTGGCAGTCGGTATCCATGGTGCTTTGGGGTACGGCCCTAGCTTGCCACGTCGCAGTTCGAAATAAAGAGGGGCTTTACGCGGCAAGGTTCTTCGTTGGGCTTGTAAGTGGATACTCGATCGAATCGTTGACAAGTCCAAGAGTTCAATGCTGATCTGTCCTTGTAGTTTGAGTCGGGCATGTTTCCAGGAGCAATTCTTCAAATGACGTACTGGTATAGAGCCGACGAGATGTCCGTCCGTTTGCTGTATTACTGTGAGCCTTCACGCGAGCTCTGCCCGATAGCGCACAGCGTCCTCCAAGACTGACGTCGATTTCACTAGATATTTTGGGAAACTTCTCAAGCGTCATCAGTGGTGTTTTAGCCTTTGGATTCGATACAATCTCTGGCCGCTGTGGCCTTTCGGGGTGGCAATGGTGAGCTGACTTGTGCTTGTGTCTACTACCAAGTTGACGACAGCCCAAGGCTAATGAATTCCAGGTTTTTCCTTGTCGAGGCCATCGTTACTATTGCTTTTGGATGTGCTGTGTGGTTCATCTTACCGGATTGTAAGTCTCCAACCTTCATTCTAAGCCTTGTCCTCTAACAGTTCATATAGTCCCACAACAAACCAGCTGGCTGTCCGAAGATGAAAAGGCCTTCATTCAGGGCAGGCTTCCTGCGAACGCCCCCAGATCAAATGAGGCGAATTTTACGTTTCGTCAAATTCTTGAATCACTAAAGGACAAACGCCTTTGGCTTTTCACATTCGTCTGGGCGACCATGACCGTCGGCACATCAGGGCTGTCATTCTATCAGCCCACTGTCATAGCCAATCTTGGCTTCACGTAAGAGAGATTATGCCTCTGCTGTGATTCTTACGTCTGTTTCTAACATTGAAACCTTAAGGTCCATCGCCAAGAGTCAGCTTCTCAACATCCCGACGGCAGTTCTCGCGATTCTTATCATCACAGTGACTAGCCTGATCAGCGACAACACGCCCATTCCTAAGCCTGTCCTGCCGCTGGTCATACTTGCCGTCATCCTAGCCTGCAACAGCGTCCTGTACACATTTCCCAACACGGGCGGCGTCTATGCCGCTACCGTACTATCCAATGCGCTGGCAAACAGCTGGTATCCCATGATGTGGCCGTGGCGAATCCAGACGACCAGCCGCGCGACAGGGGCCGCTTTTGCCATTGCCTTTTCGAACGCCTGCGGCCAGGTCGGGTTCGCAGTGGGGCCGCAAATCTTTCAACAAAAGTATGCGCCGCACTATACAACGTCTTTCGCTGTGGCGATGGCATTTGTCGGGGTATGCATCTTGCTGACGCTTTGGACGTGGTGGGAGACGCGGGTCACGGAGGCCCGGACAAGGGTGATCAAAAAGATGCGTATGGCCGCGGCTAGTCGGGGGCAAACTGTCCTAGATGACGTGGATGCCGATGCGGACTTGAAGACCAAGGCAAAGGGGGAAAAGTCAGGTTCAGGCATGTAGCAGTCGGGGAGAGACCAACTCGTAGAATTCCGATAATAGTCAAGCTATGGGAAGTCGGCCCCCCACATTGGCGCCGTCGGTCACCATCGCGCCGAATTCATTCACCGGCCCCATTTAATTCACGATTTCCGGGTTCAATTCCGAGTTCAGCAGAGCACGATTCGTGGTGGTTTCTCCTGAGATTTCAGTATTTCAGGATAAGATTTTCATATTGACCTCGTCCATATGATAACAACTTAATGTAATTTACCACTTGACACGCATGTTATTCATACTCACAGACCACAATGAGTCAGCCAATCAATCGCATCACGCTTTTTAAGATTCCCAATGCAAAGGACCAGGAAACATTGATCAACATCTACAAGGATATGCCCAGAATTGCAGTCAAGGTATGTCCAGTTATATGGAAAGACTAGGTGCTAGCTGTTCTGCTTTATTTTATTAACTTGACAGACTTTTAGGGCGGGAAGCCGTACATCCGTTCCGTGACCGCCGGGCTGGCAAAGCCGGACCAACGCGCGCAGGGTTATACTGTAGCAGCCATCTCAGTCTTCGAGTCTGCGGAGGACATGGCATACTACGACAATGAGTGTGCTGCGCACGGAACACTCAAGGCTTTTGCTAAGAATGTGCACCAAGGATTCGCAATGATCTACTTCGAGAACGTGGTGGTCTAAGCAAATGAGCGAACTATCGCGTTCATGGGGTCACTGTCAGTCAGGAAGTCGAAGAGAGTGCTATTACCGTGCTAGGCCGAAGCGGGCACAGATGGGACCTAAAGCAAGGATCGCATAAACATTTGAATAGGGTAGATCTTGGATGAGTTGTTATATAAGCCCTTCAAAGCGCCTCGAAACCTCCCCACCAATTTCGCTCAAAAATTCGAAGTCGTTCAAAGCATACGCGTTGGCAGAGTAGTAGTCCGCTGGTTGTGCATAACGATGGCCGAATGCATCAAACAAAGATAGGAGGTCAGTCCCCATTTGTGAAAGATCTGGTGACTCGCACATGAAGTTCGCATTGGATACCAGGTCACTGTGCGGGTCCACGCCTGGCATATATGGCTCAAGCTCAGCTCCCAAGGAATGACCAAGTGAAGGGCCGAATTGACCAGGGGCGGCAACGACAGCTGGTGTCTTCCCGGTAGATGATGAACTAAGTCCCTCAGAACGCTGCAGGCCGAGGCGCCCGAGCCGTGGAAGAATTCCATTGATTGTTTTCCACAGCCGCATACTCACATTACTGTGACGTGAGAACCCGCGGACCAGTTCAACAGCATCGAGAAAGCTTTTTCTACATGGTCCCGTAAAGATCTCCGGTGCGTTACACACTGCGAGGACAATGATAGCTAGGGCGCTGAGCAGAAAATAGTTGAATGCGTTTTGCTGCCGCTTGTATATGTCGGTCGTAGCACTCAGATGCATCAGGACTTGAATGCTGTCCATGGCAATGTCGACGACAAGCCAAGCACCCTGTAGATTGCCAGATATCCTGGGGCCATCTAGAATATGATTTCGATGAATAAGAGAGCGTGTGTGGTTTCCCCGTAGATAGAGTAACGTGCGAAGTCGCTGGAGGCCAGCCGGCTGTGATTGTGGCGCAAGGCCGAGGCGAGGATGGCGTAGTTGAAGTTCTGTAGGGATGGATTCGAGCCAGTCAAGGGCCCTAGCTTCCAAAGAGTTGGCGGTGTCTTCAGGAATTGACTGTGGCCCCGATCCGAAAGGTGGAATAGCATCCCAGATCTCAGAATTAAGTCGTCCATAGTTCACCATACATCTAAGGTAGGCGAACTCGGCATCCTGTCGAAAGTAAGCCATTAGCATTGGCGACGAGCGCCGACTCAACTTAGAATTGACTTCTCTTACTGGCTCTGGAAGATCAGGATCGATATCTCGTTCAGAAATGGCAAATGGAAGGCCAGCCCCGAAGCTCCAGCGGCGATCGAGCACGTACAGGCACCAAAAGACTCTCGCAGCTTTGGCGCGAGACAGTTGGTCCCTGAAACGATCGAGCGTGCTTTCCTTGCGATGCAGGCCCATCTCGAGGGCTTCTCGCGCCGCCAATCCGATGGTTCGCCAACTAAGGAGATCTTCACCGGAATGAAAATAGTAGATACTCTGTCAAGTGATTGTCAGCCGATGTCACTCCGTAGAAACAAGTTTCGTAGGATGATGAGGACATACCAGCATCATAAGAAGCTGGATGCTCTTTAAATTTGTGTTCGACTTCGAGAGCCTCGAGATGTTACTCTCCACAGAGTCGACAATTGCGGTGCTAAGCTCGTTCTTGCCGCCTGAGTCGCAGACGTTGGCAGTCGATAGTGCGACCTTGAAAAGGTCAATATCCCGTGTATCAACTCCAAAGTGTTGATTTTCCATTCTTGCAGCTGTCCGGAAGCGTTCTATCAACTCGGGTGACTGAGATACCTGATCCCTGAGGTCGATAAAGGGATAGACCATCTCGACCTCATCATGCCAAACCTCTAGAAGTCTCCTGACTTCGTCCGGACTGCAGGACGCCCAGTACTCACGGGCTACAGCTGAACACGTGGGATCATGAGAAGAGGTTGTAGGGGATTGCGCGCCGCTAGGAGGGACGGAGTCACACACAGGGATGCCCATACGGGTTAGAGCGCGCTCGCCCATGACCAGGCCAAAGGCTGGCCTCGTCGGGCCCATGAATTGAGGCTGTTGTGACACATTATCCCTCCGGCTATGGCTGGTAGGAGAATGGACCAAAGGAGCGCCTTGTGAGGCTGCCGGAGACAGGGGTCGCAAGCTTCCTGGGAGTGCCTGCTTCGCCTCTCCCAACCGATTCACGGCCCCAGTCAGGTCAGCCAGCTGCTGCCGAATTTGTGTCACTTCACTGCTCAATGACTCGATGCGCTGATTTTGTTGCGCTAGGTGAAGACTCTGTCTGTATTCATGGTGGCTATTTGCTTCAGTCTGAGCCTTAGATCTGGGTATACGATTAGTGTCTCCTTACCTCTCGGCCTTGTCCCGAACTAGCTGTGGCGGCGCACGTGTGTAGATGCACGCCAGTCTGCCTTCGAGACAGCGCTTGCAGCCTGACTCCCCAGCTGGGATGCACTTGGATTTTCGCTTCTTACACTCCTCACTGCTTTCCTGTTAGGCCAACGACCGTCAACGGCAATGGGGGTCATATTCACCATGCGACCGAAGTGTACTTCCCTCTCTTCCCTTGTCGTGATTGGTTGTTGTCGTCGTTGAGTCCGTGTTTTCTCCGTTGCTCGGCACTGGCCTGCGGGGCCATCGTCGTGCCATCCTCACTCAGGGGATCCGCGCAATCCATCTCATTCAAGTTGTTTTCCGGCGGAATGAGAACCGGAAGATTTTAAAAGCATGTTCCAGCTCAGGGCAGAGATGGTGGGAAATGGCTGCGTTATCATTGGCGCCGTTTGCGATGGTACACGAACTTCGGAAACTAGGAACTATTTCCGACAGGAGGTGGATGCGGGGTTTGGCGGGGAACGCTGCCAGCTGGCACTCTAGAGGACAGGTTCGGCACTTCTTTTGGCATCATATGGCTTATAAGAGGCTGCCGACCAGGTGGAAGGTGAGAACTAATGTAACTAGCACCTGAATCTCAGCAAAAGGACACCCTACCTGTGAGTGACTCGAGTATTCAACTGCAACATCTTTGGCCATGACTATCGCGAGTCTGCTTCTGTCCGTGCGCGACAACGTCTTCCGAAACTTGAGCCGGTCCTTCTTGGCGTCGTTGATCCTGGCACCGCTTATCTGCATCTTGATCAATGAGGTCATCCGTTACAATGCACGGATTGGCAAGTTGAAAGGCCCATTGGGATTGCCTGTAATAGGTAATATCTGGGATATTCGAGTCAATGCCGCGGAGAAATATCGCGAATGGGCCAAGCAGTTTGGAGATGTGTATCAGATCCAACTTGGAAATGTTCCCGTTGTGGTTGTCAACTCTGCATCGGCAGCTCGAAGTCTCTTGACCAAGTCGTCGTTCAGCTCCCGTCCCGAGTTCTACACCTTCCACAAAGTATGCTTAGCGCCACCCTCATGGCTCGAATCTTGTGTTTATTGAACATCTTTCCAGGTCGTTTCCGACACCGCCGGGACCACAATTGGGACATCTCCCTACAGCGACTCGCTCAAGCGTCGCCGCAAAGGGGCTGCGTCCGCGCTCAACAAACCTTCTATACAAACTTATATTCCTCATCTTGACATCGAGACTCGGGGATTCATTCAGGAGCTCTATGACTTTGGCGGTGCTGGCAGAAAACCTGTCGATCCCATGCCGATGATCCAACGCCTTTCGCTCTCTCTCGGACTCACACTCAACTGGGGTACTCGCCTCAAGAGTCAGAAGGATAACCTTTTCGATGAGGTTACGCATGTAGAGGAAGAGATCAGTCGTTTCCGGTCTACTACAGGCAATATTCAGGACTACATTCCATTGCTTCGTCTCAATCCCATCAATAAACACTCCGCAAAGGCGAGGGAGATGCGGCAACGACGCGACACATATCTGGCGGCACTCAACAACGGGCTCGACGAAAGCATTGCCAATGGAAGCTACAAGCCCTGTATCCAAGCCAATGTCATTCTGGACAAGGAGAACAAGCTGAACAAGGAGGAACTTACCTCGATTAGTTTGACTATGCTCTCTGGTGGCCTAGATACTGTCACCACATTAGTTGCCTGGGTCCTCGCTTTGTTAGCACAGCATCCCGAGATCCAGGACAAGGCTCTTTCGGAAATTCGGAAATTCTACAGCGACAAGGAGCCGATGTGCAGGGCCGATGATGACCAAAAGTGCGAATATGTTGTGGCTCTGGTGAGAGAGAGCCTGAGGTATTTCACCGTGCTACGTCTTGCCCTGCCGCGTGTTTCGGTTCAGGACGTCGTTTATGAGGGTATCGTCATCCCAAAGGGCACCGTGGTGTTTCTCAATGCTTGGGCCTGTAATATGGGTAAGATAATAGCATTTATACATCCCAAAATAGTTAGGCAGCTACTGACATAATACCCTCTTAGATCCTAAAGTGTGGTCGGACCCTGACATCTTCCGACCTGAAAGATGGTTGGAACAACCTGACGCTCCTTTCTTCGCCTATGGAATAGGATATCGCATGTGTGCTGGGTCACTCCTCGCCAACCGAGAACTGTACCTTTTGTTCATGCGGCTAATCAACAGCTTTCGTATCGAGAGGTATGATGATATTGATTGCCATCCAGTATACGGAAATGCCGATCCGACAAGTTTAGTAGCCATGCCGAAGCGTTATAAAGCCAGGTTCATCCCGCGGAACGACCCGATCCTCAGAAACGAACTGGAAGTTCAGCTTGAGTAGTGCTATAGTAGAGAAGGCATCAAAATAGATAACCAGGGACGCTGTATTTATCTATCATTGAAATGGTGAAATACTGGAGTAGCAGGAGCATGGGTATTGCAGCTCACACCGATGCTTACAACTATGTAATCCCTCTGGTAGTCTCATCAACATTAGGGCAGGCTCTTAGGCGACATAGGTAAAATTCAAGAAGTGAAACACCGAGATGGCTATGTAGAGGTTCACCGCAAATCGCAGTTTCTGACACCGAATAAAGGCCGTGCGTGCACTAAGGGTAAGCCTATGAATGGAGCCTTGGAAATGGCTCTTTATCTCGGTCTGAATGTTGCCAAGATGGAAATGAATCCCAGGTGTTTGTTTGAAAAAGACTTGGGGATAGACTGCAAAGGCTTATTTTCTCATCCTATTTGTCAGTGCTACAGGAGATTTCACGGTGTTGCTGCTGAGTCTTGCGGCAACGTTGGTGAATTCCCGTAGGTTGCCTCTGGGCTGCGTTGCAGCGCAGTAGAGCTGTCACAACTAAGATAGGGGTCAAGTCAAAGGTGTGTAAAAGGTTGAAGTTCATTTCCTTAGAGCTACTGTAGAGAGTCGCGCCTTAAGTGCGCGACCGTCAGCTTAGCTGAGCTCTCTACAGTAGAGCCAGATCCACACATAACAGTCAGTCAGGCCTTCGCAAACAGTCCGACGACGCAGACCATCCGATTGAGTCACGTAGCGTGACTGCTTTTCGTGCGACAGACCTTGCCATCTTGTAAGAACTGTGCTTTGTTGTCTTCGCTTTTCTCTGTGAGATATAGATCATCGCATTAGCACGGCGGGCAGGATCTCGCCCGAACATTCCCCAAATCCAACCAGGCCTTCTGCGTCAGTTCCAGCCCAACCGCGTATTATGATAGAGTCCCCGTCCTCAAGAAATATGCGTTGATCTCCGTTTTCCAATATGATGGGCTGCTTTCCCGCCTGTGTCTGCTCCAATAAGCTGCCATACGAACCGGCCTCCGACCCCGAGATGGTACCTGACCCGAAGAGATCGCCAGGACGCAAGTTACATCCGGAGATGGTGTGGTGCGCGATCATCTGTGGCCAAGACCAAAGTAGGTTTTTCGAACAGGTTTTTGTTAATGTATGCTCGTTCCCTTCCGAGGCTGGTAAACCAATTTTAGCTCACGGGCTGAATTTCGACGTGGAGGTTGGCAACTTACTTCGAATGGCAATGGTCAATTGAATGTCCAGAATATTATCTGTTCGTGACTCACGAAGATATTGCTGCAACCCAATGTCGTTTGGGAGGCCGTTTGTTTTGAACGGGTCCATTGCATCCGCGAGAACAACCCAGGGGCTGATGGAAGTACCAAAGTTCTTCGCGTTAAATGGGCCTAGCGGAACATACTCCCACTGTTGTATGTCTCTGGCGCTCCAGTCATTCATGAGAACATAGCCAAATATGTAGTCTTCAGCGTCAGAGATCGACACCGGCTCGCCTAACTTGTTCTCTCTGCACAAGAACATCCCCAATTCTAACTCGATATCCAGCCTCTTTGAAGGCCGGAACTCTGGTGTTTTATCTGCCGGGCTGGCCAATGCCTGACCCCAGGGTCGACGGAGTGGTGTGCCGGAGACAACAACCGAACTGGCGCGGCCATGGTACGCAACCGGCAAATGATTGTAGTTCGGATTCAGAGCATTGGAAGGCCCACGGAAAAAAGTGCCAACATTGTGCGCGTGGTTGCGGCCAGCGAAGAAATCAGTGTAATCTCCTATGGCGAGCGGTAGATGCATTTGTACCTCAGACAAAGGAATGATGGCGTCATGTTTCAAGACCTCGTTCGTCTTGAGAGCGTCTGAATAAGGTGTATCTCCCCGGAAGATATCACGAAGATAGGCGCGGACGGCCTTATGTGACGGCCGGCCTAAAGCCGCGAACGCGTTCAATGTGGTCTCAGAGAATACAGAGATATTTTCGGAGGGCAGGGTTTGGAGATTGCGGAAGCCACCTCCGTCAGCGAAAGCCTTTAGATCGAGGACATTCTGACCGATGGCAACGGCAGGCCGGCGGGTTGGCTTGTTGTCCGTGGAAATGATACCAAATGGAAGGTTGGCAAGGGAGAAATGAGACCCTGCCGGAATGGGAAGCCACGACTTCATCTTGCCAAGTAAATAGCAGTAGTGTGCACGAGATGGTCTCAGACAGATCCGTGGAAACAAATCAAGCTTAGCAATACGATGAAAAAACGCAAAGCGGAGGAGAATCTCAACACTTGAAAGCCAAAAAAAGCAGACCTTGTACTATTGCATAGATAGAATTTAAAGCCGACTTACGATGCAGACTCGGACTCTGCCAATAACCTTACCTAGGTTTACGTGGAGACCCGGAGCACTTTTGCGGGAGCAGAGGCGGAATCGGAAATGTGGAATTTCTTTCCGGGCAGGCCTTCGTCCTAACCGAGGACCCCATTCCACATTCTCCATTAAAGAAGTATTGCTTACAGGGTGTTGGGGGAATGATGCGAAAAGAAAAGAAAGGGAAAGGGAAAGGCAAAAGAAAATAGACACAACGAAGCGGCGCTGCCCATCTAAACCAACCATGCCAGTCACGGATTTCAAGACACCCGAAAAGTATACCTACCTCAATGGCCATGGCTCTTATCATGAGTGAGTTCATTCGGATCTCTGCTTCTGATAGGTGGATAGGGAATTGAACTATTGTTTTAGGTCTGAGGCGATCAAAGGGGCCTTGCCCGTAGGTGCCAACTCCCCGCAGAAGCCCCCTTATGGGCTGTATGCCGAAAAGCTCTCAGGCACAGCTTTCACAGCTCCCCGACATGAAAATCTTCAAACATGGCTGTATCGCGTGCTGCCGTCGGCATCGCATTCTCCATTCGAGCCTTTTATGGACTACTCCAGCGAACAGCTGCAATCTGTTCTGAACCACATACCCAATCAATTCCGATGGGACCCGTTCGATACTGATGCCAGTGTTGACTGGGTCCGGGGCATCAAGCATCTGGCTGGTGCCGGCGATCCAACTGCCAAGAGAGGTCTCGGCATATACCTATTTGCCGCTGGTCGCGACATGGATTCAAACACCGCCATGTACTCCTCAGATGGCGAGATGCTCATAGTTGCCCAGCAAGGCGTGTTGGACATCCAGACTGAGATAGGGAAGCTCCTCATTCGACCCAACGAGATTGTGATCATCCCGCGTGGGATCAAATATCGCGTCACCCTGCCAGAAGGCCCTGTGCGTGGTTATATCTTGGAATTATACCAAGGACACTTCGTCCTTCCGGAGCTGGGGCCTATTGGCTCTAACTGTCTTGCTAACCCACGCGATTTTCAAGTGCCTTGTGCAAGTTTTGATATGGATACAAATACCACTTGGTCGATTGTAAACAAGTACAATGGTCAGCTCTTTATCGCCAAGCAAAACCACACCCCCTTCGATGTGGTAGCTTGGCATGGTCGGTATGTGATCAGATCGGTGACATATCGAGTGAGCGAGTGCCACTGACCTCTTTATAGATGTAAGTCGTTTGAACACCGGGACCAGTTTCAAGACGACGATCACGTTGTTAGAGGCTTGCGCAGAACGGCGGCTGATTTTTGTATTTATCAAGACTACCCATACAAGTATGATTTAGGGCGTTTCAGTGTAATCGGCAGCACCTCATTCGATCACCCGGATCCGTCCATTTACACGGTCCTTACCGGCCCGTCCGACCATCCGGGCACAGCTGTTGCTGATTTTGTAGTCTTCCCTCCTCGCTGGCTCGTCCAGGAAGACACCTTTAGGCCACCTTGGTACCACCGCAACACAATGTCCGAGTTTATGGGCCTAGTCTCGGGGGATTATGACGCCAAATCCGGTGCTGGTTTTCGACCCGGAGGCGCAAGCCTTCATAACGTTATGGCTGCCCATGGCCCAGACACCGGCACATTTGAGAAAGCCAGTAACATGGAGCTGAAGCCTCAGAAGATTGGTGTTGGCAGTATGGCCTTCATGTTTGAGAGTAGTCTTATGCTCGGTGTGACGGAATGGGGCCTGAATACTTGCCAGAAGGTACAGGGAAGTTATAATAAGGATAGTTGGCTGGATCTGCAACCTCAGTTCAAGCCACCTGTCTAAGAACGCATCAGATGTAAGGGAGGGGTTTTCTTCTTGATCTGGACCATAAATTAATTATCAAATCTATGTACTGTTTCCGTGCCTAAATGTAGTGACTCAACTTTTATAAATGTATTGGAATTGTGCATCATAGATGCTTACCACAAAGCCCGGTAGCGTATGCAAAGCTAGAAGGTAGGGACCGAACTGACCTATCACGTGCACCACCATGAATGATGCCAGAGAGCTTGCCATGCGGGTGGATATTGTGATAGTTATTGCAGGTCATCTAGCCTACGACATAGATTCAGATCATAAGAATTTGAAGTTGCCTGCAGATGCGACCCTGAAAGCGGCAAGTTTACGTCATATCAGCAAGATCGCCTTATTCAGAACTAACCCACCATCTTAAATCTTCAACTTTCAGGCGGGCAGCTAATTTGTCATGCCCTGGGTCCACGTTGTGTCGACGGATGTGCACGAGCGTGGCGCTGCGGCGAAGAAACGAGTAATAGATGTCCACTTCGGCCATCCAACCACTGCGGTCATCTTTCAATAGGATAGCTGAGGCTTCAGGATCTCCACCTTCTTAACAAATTAGCAAAAGCAGTTACTCTATCGTGTACGATGAGAGCATGTTCCTCGGTTATTGAGATCACAAGCAGCTATATTAAAATTCTTCATTCTCCTTTGGTTCCGGGCTTTTGTAGACGACTTTTAACTACTAGAGTCGGTTTGTTACCAACGCTATCGTCATAGATGATAACACGGATGGCAAATTCGAGGGGCCGGTAGATGTGGTGAGTGCCAAGGAGTGGAATGGCTTGGAGACGGAGTAGTCGTCCTTCCAGATATGTCGATTCCACTAAACCTTACTCAGGAGTTCGCTGTGATACGGGCAGAGAAGACACCGAAGAGACGGCGGAGGTCAAGCTGAACTTGAATTTATAATCGTATAGTGTTCCGCGTTGATTTAGATTCATCAAAACTATATTTACGAACGATCAAGCAGCAGTATGATATATCCTTCTCTTGTAGATATCTGACGGGGCTGTTCTCTGGCAGAGGCAATGATTCTGTCATGTCGAGGTAAACCCAGTCTCGATGACTGCATCAATCACGAAAGATGGCTTCCGAGACCCATGATGCATATTGGATGAATTCTCAAAGTCTCCAAACCCGTGGTATTCTTTCCCTTCAGTGGTTTCGAAAGCTTTGAAGCTGCATAAGCGGTCCACGACTGCAAGATCGTGATGCCAAGTGACAAAGGCTTTGGACACAGGCTTCCACTCGATGACGTAGCTTTTCCCATCCACCAGCTCAATCTGTGTCTTCCCACCCCTGTTCGTCAATGAGTCGTCTTCTTTATATGCCAGGATATCAATTGACTTTGCCGCTTTGACCATGTTGTTTGAGACTACCCATCCAAACTTTGAGTATGAATCATCCGCCCCATGCCAAGCAACAATAACGACTCCGAAGTCTGGGCCGGCTGAGCCGGCCACCCAGCGATGCGAGAGGACTGCACGGTTCCAGGTACGGACACCCCAGCCTCGGTCCCGAATGCTAAAGCCATTCTTGATCTCGTACGTTTCCCCCTTGTGGGTCATAGTGCCAGTGACTACACCAGGGATGTCAAGGTGCCCAGCAGCAAATGTATCAGTGATGGCTCTCTTAGGGTAGCAGTCAACATGGGGACCCGTGTCTTTATGAACGATATGGAGCTTGAGCTCCTCATCGGGCTCCTCGATGTTCCAGATATGCTGACCATTCTTGAACTCAACTGTGCAAGTGTCATCGCCACTCCCAAAACCTCCACTTGGAAGAATGTCTTTCTTCCTGAGAGGTTTGCTTTGAGTGCGCTTAAAGATTCCCGTGGGGGTTGTGATATTGGTCCACAATGCCACCTTGTTCCCCTCCGGGTTGCTTTCGTGGCCGAGGCGGTGAAATCCACCAATGCTGTTGCCTGGATCCCACCAGACTAGGACGACGCTGTCTTGGAAGTCTTTGTCTCTGGGTGCTTCGTGACGGAGGTTGATGCTTTCATCAAGATTCACACATCCTGCCAGGATGGTGTGTTTGTTGGCTGCCATACTTGCAAGTGGAAAAGAATCGACGGATGTGGTGATGAATGGCAAGAGGCTGCGTGGTTCTATTACTTCGAATCTCAAGTGTATACTCATCAGTCTTTATCACACTGAGTAGATCTTATTCGACTTGCCGGGGTAATTTGCGTCTACCAAGCGGGACCTCTTTAGGTTGGTGTATGATCTTGTTGATGAGCCGGGCTTGCGGAGCCCGGGTGAAACCCGCTCCGAGGTCCGCCCTCGATCAGAGCTCTATGGCACCCAGGCATCTTTTCTCGGAGGTGGAGACTTTCTATACCTGTATACAGGAGGTAGCATCTTCCCATTATTCTGATCCATTCGATCATCCTCAATAACATGCTCGATTCACATTCTCACATGATGTCTCTTAAACCTGAAAACATTACGGCAAGTGTTCGTCAAGTATATGATTTTGCATCTACTGCCTGTTAGATTGAATTCCAACAGACAATTTACCAGTAATCAATCGGGCTGCCTAAAATGATCGACAAAGTTGTTGTAAGGATATCCCATCACTGGGTCCCTGTTAGTGTGAAGATCCGGACCCAAAACCATCCGGACCCGTGGAAAAGGATTTCCCTGCAGAACATGACGTCGTTTGGTACGAGTGCGGAAAATAGATCTATGATCGGTAGCCGGGAATGCGTGCTGAGAACGTCAACGTCACTGTCATTCTGCAGGGCTGTTCCTGAACTAGAGCTCTGTACATGGGATTGCGGAGAACGAAATCCGGGGTAATAGTTTAGCTTACGCTTCAAAAAGTGTCACACGACACGTATGAGATGATTAACATAAGAACTTGGCCTTTCTTCCATTGAGCACCCGGGTTTCAAGTCATGTATCTCACGCTCTATTCTCTTCTGACCCTTGAAGTGAATCATGAAGCTCAACACTACGCCTCGCTTGCTGGAGCTTGTCCTCCGCTCCCTAGAAGAGATCATTAAGCCCGAGCTCCAAACACCGGCCGCACGGGAAACCTTATCACACATAATTATCACGATTATCGACTTGCTCAAACGTGTCGGTCCCACTAAAAGGCTGCTCTACGACTGCGTGCGCCAGGGCGAGGAGCTGTATAAAGAGATCCTGAGTGAGCTCGATGAGAAGAATCCCGCAGAGGTGCGAGAAGTCGGCGCCGAATCCTTTGATGCCCTCGCTGCGCATCATGAGGAACTCACCGAGCGACTGACCAAGGCCTGCGAGAAGCTTTGTATGGTTCACCCGACAAGCCCGGAGTCACTGGCACTACAAGAACAAGCTGCCCACTGGGAATTGTCGTACTATAGAGCATTGCCATCAGAGCTCCCCAACAATCTCCCCTCTAACAGCAACTCAAACGCTAAAAGCGACGTTCTCTCGAAAGAAGCTTTTGAGCATTTCATGATTGCTGAGCGGGGCCCGATCAAAGTCACCCGGTTCGAAGTGCTGCCGGGCGGCTTTGGGAAAGAGACGTACATGGCGACTATTTTGCACCCGGGCGGGAGGATTGAAGAGCTTGTCATCCGCAAGGATAGCCGGCACCCCATTCAGCAGCATCGAACGTTTCAATTAGAGCTCGAGTTCCACTTGGTCTCAGCTGTCCACAAGGCTGGTTTTCCAAGCCAGAAGCCTCTGGAACTGGCCCTCAATTTCCCCGGGGTCGAACAGACGTTTTACACGATGCCACGAAGTGCTGGTAAAGCACCGGGTACCTGGCTCGATGGGCACAAGGAGAAAATCTCTGAAAATATTCTGCTTGAGATGGCTGAGTTACTCGCAAAGCTGCACTCCATCCCTTTGCAACACTTCACCGAGTTTCTCGAAAAGTACGATACCCTCGACACCATGACAGAAACGGTGGAAGATCGGTATCGACGGAACTTGCAAGGGTGGAAAGAATACGTGCGAGAGGTTGAGCATCCGCCGTCACCCGTGCTGGTCTGGATGTTTAGTTGGCTCGACCAGAACATCCCGGGCGATAAGCGCAAGCCTGTACTGACCCACGGAGACTACGCCGTCCATAACATGCTGGCAACCGAGGATGACAAGATTGTTACCGTGCTTGACTGGGACTGCGCCGACTTTGGCGCACCGGAGCAGGATATTGCATACGTGCGGCCGCATATCGAACCGCACATGAACTTCGACAAGTTTCTGACTCACTACCGTGCATGCGGGGGCAGGGAACTTGACGAGGACCATATGGCGTTTTACGGGGTGTGGTCGACACTCCGACTCGTAATGGGTGGGCTAAGGGGGGCTTTGAATCTACAGGAAGGGCTTACCCATGATTTGAGATACATACAGGTAGAGCAAGGCTTTCATAGTGGCCTTATGGGCTTAGCTTTGGCTCACGCTTCCAAGATGCGCACTGTGGATGCCGTGCAGAGGTGAGCATCGGCAGTACTATTAGTGATAAGTCGAGGAAGAGATGATGTCAATTTCTGCCTTGTCGTACCTAAAAGGACCCCCCTTAGTATGTGCCAGGGAATATATTCAAGATCGCCTTTCTATTTATTGCCGAGTGGTCTTACTGGTATATGGTCTGACTCTGATGCATCAATCAGAATAGCCTGGATATAACGAGGCATCTCATAAATGTCCAGCCCTATATGTCTAAGAACTGGGCAAGCTTCGCGGGAAGCATCCTGGATAACCACACCATAATAAACAACATTATGATATGTACATAGAGTCACGATTCCCGCCCCATCCCTTTTGCTTTTTCGTTTGGAATTATTGCAAATCCGACTAATATCAGGTATTCAAGTGTCTCATGTTCGAATAGGAACAGAGGTCCATACAGAGCCTCCCCGACAGTACATGTGATCAACCCTCATACCACCTTCTTGCATGTATTGAATCAAGGTGTCGTGACAGGTGACAACTACTCATAGACCTGAGCCGTATGTTTGAGTGCGCAGCGTAAAATGTTTGTGATTAGACACACAGGTGAGACGATAATGGAGAAATTTGGGCGTTTAGTTCGCCGCATGATGTTGGTGCTCATGCCTTGACCATTGGTCATCTTCCTGTGCGTGGCCGGTAGCTAGATGAAGTGGATATGCGGCTTGATTGCCAGAATGTTTTTCTCCTTGAACGCCGGTGATGCCCCAGGATCGTCAAGAGTCACGAATTGCTCGCATCCGGCCTCGCTATGTGGAATATATAAGACCGAGTCCAGGGGCGGGACCCGTTCCGCCCAAGCCGATATCGTCTCGAACTTCTTTGGGGTCGCCGCCCACGCGAGCTGCTCTTCCAGGGACAGGATCGAATGCGGCTCCTCGCGCCGCAGGCCCAGATTGACCCTTTCATTAAAGCTCTCTACCAGCAGAGCGGGGATGCACGCCAGAACGGCGTAGCGCTCCGGGTCACCCTGCTCGCCCGGGTCCGGAATATCGGCGACGGGCCACCGGGCCCACCAGAACATCTCTAGTTCGTTGCGCATGTTGACGATGTGGTCAACCATGATCCACTCGTACAGGCGATAGAGACCAAAGAGCGGTGAATCATCGAACACGCCCCTCGGAGCGAGATACCTGCGGCTTAACAGACGCTCCCTGTAGAAGTCGCGTCGGGAGAGCATCTCGCGAGGACTTGGTGGCGGCCACGAGGGGAAGAGCTCGTCGCTGCCAGCAGTGCTTGCCGGTTGAGGCGTAGTAGATTCGCCTGCAGGCTTATTTTTGGAGATGATCCTCTTAGGCCAAGAAGCCACTGCATGGAGTAACTTTTCCATCATTTATGGTATTACGCAGATGATGATGCAGCACTGGGCGGCGTGGAAGCGAGGGATTGAGATGAAGCGAGGAACAATCTGCCAAAGTCGGTCTGGAGACTGGAGCAGTCACCTGCGGCGCTTAATAAGTAGGTACTACCTGTGGTGGCTGGACGGCCCCACTACCTGGCTCTGCCCAAGGTCTCCGTCACCAGGCAACACTGTACTGTGTGTCCTGCAATTACCTACACCTCTACGACGATTGCATTCCGAACCTCGCCATTCTTCCGATCCCCAACCACTGCAGCATTGATAAGAAGTGTCTTTCTGGCATCAACCCTTGTGTTTGCAAGCCCCAAGACTCTTGCAACCAATGACCAGACAACCCAGATGCCCAACGCGGCCACAGACACCCAGGCTGCTCGTCCAGACATAGTATCCTCATACCACTTCTGTGCCCTGTCAAATAGAAGCCACTCCATCCCTCTTCCGACATGAATGTGTCCACACACCACTACCTTCGGCCTTGTTCTCCATATCTCGGCTAGCAATTGCCAGCAGCCCTTCCCTCCATCGTCCCGATGACCTAGTGGCGGTCCATGCACAAGCAAAACATCTGTACGCTCGGGCACGGTACCGTACCATGGGCTTGAGGAGCCGTGTTGCCTCTGTCTTGCCCCCTGCGGGCTCTGATCTGTTTCGTACTGGAATGCAAACATCCCACAACGCGGGGTCCGAGGGCTGCCATACACACGGATTGAACGACCTTTGGCCTCGACCTCCAAATCCAGCGAATCGTCCTCTAGATAGCGCACATCACCCCATTCCAGATTTGGCCGGCGCTTACCGTCATGCCGGTCTAGCTCACGGTCTGGGTGGGTAATGACAAAGGCTGAATCCAGTAAAAGATCGTGGTTGCCCGCGATGACGACCTTGTGTTGGTGCGGTTGCGCGGCCAGCCACGTCAATTGCGCCTGGATCTCGTCGAAGGTACCAAACTGAGAGAGGTCGCCTGCGTGCAAGAGGATGTCGCCGGGTGGAAGGTCGCGCGGTGTGGTGTTGTGTGTGTCGGAGATACAGACCAAGGTGACAGGATCGGCTTCCGCACCAGTCTCAAAGCGCGCCGCATTTTGTCCCCCCTGGAGCTGGCCAACAGCATCATAAAGTCTAGTGGCGAGTTGCTGGGCACGACTCTGTCGCTGCGGAAACCCAATGAGAGGACTGCTTATAGTCTGGGCCTACCAATTATTGTGGCCGCCTTTTTGGCTGAAAAAGGAGACCCCTACGCACCTCCTCGCGTGTGCGCACAGGCCAGGGCTGTCAATAGGGGTCTCCTTTTTATCTGAAAAAGGAGACCCCTAGCATTTATCGGCTAGCCGGCTAATCATATAGACAGGAGGGGAAGAGAGTAGGGTTAAGAAAAGAAGAGAGGAGAGAGAAAATATTTAGGGTAAATAAGATAATATTAGCTAGTTAAATAAAGTAACTAGGTATAATAGATGACTTTATATATAACTCTAATTATTAGGTTATTATCTACTAATAGTATAAGATATATCTTATACTATAGAAGGCTAGCTAGAAGAGCTATCTATAGACTAAGCTATATTATATAAAGGGTAAGAGGCTTTAAATAATAGTAATATTATTATTATAGTATAATATCTATAGTATAGATAAGCTATATTATTATAAGGTAGATAAGGCTTAATTATATTAGTAGATAGTAGGCCTTATGTCACGAAACCAGCCGCAGTTACCGCGGGGCACCGCCCCAGACGGGCCGCAGGACTGGCCGGCAGAAAACCACACACCGCCTGCCCGAAACGGCGTGCTAACCAGTGCTCAGTTAGCAGCAGTT